TGCATAAACTATGTTTTTTATTTCCCCTGGGTGTTTCAGTCTATAATGTTTTCCAAGCGTTATATCAAACTTCACAAACAATAAAAATGAACTTTGAAAAGCACAATTGCAATCCGTTTCAATCTCCTTCACGCTTGTCCATCCGTGCCCTCTTTTCAGGGGAAATTCAATGGATCTGTTCCTCAAAATATCTGTTCTTGAGGCAAATTTTTGCTTGGTGGGAGATGTGGAAGAAATAATATTTGATGTCTAGAATGCTACTATGTGTTATGTGTCAGGAAAACGGTCAGTATTTATCCTAGTCGAGGGTCTCAATGGGGTGGTAGCTTTTACGGTTATCGGCTAAAATTTTGGCTCTTTTACGGCTATCGGTTAATTTTTTCCCAATTACGATTAGCAACAAAGTTAAAAATTAATTTCTTTTGTTTCAAGGAGTTAAATATTAATAAAGCTGTATTTTTTGTATCTTTGAAGCAAAGTAAAGGTCTTAGGATCATCTCGGGATGAAATAAGCCATTCTTTTGAAAAATTTTAACATTTGCCGGATAGATCATTCTTTTTATAAAGTATTCCCCTTCTAATATTATTTTACGCACGTACAAATGTCAATAGTCAATTTAAAAATAATCTTTGTGAAAAAGCAAAAGCAGACACCTAAACGCTCAACTCAAGGTCGGGGCACGACATTCATTTATAACAGAAATGGCCGTTTTCACACTAGAGGCGGATTATTCGGGTGAGACTGGTTATCCGTTTGATAATTCGCGTCAGATAGGTATTAAATACGTCTTAATTTGAAAATGGAATGGTTTTAATTTTGACTCAGTACAATCCTCCTGGCTTTCTCCGTCAATTTTGGCGGACAATTTAATTGAAGATGGATTAACCATTTCAGATAGCCTGTGTACAGCCGCCACCTCCGATCCCTTCAGAAGGAGGAAGGGAGAAGGAGTGTCTATGGGGGAGGGGTGACTGTACACAGGCTAGTCTCAGTTGGATAATCCATTTCTAGCTCTAGTGTGAAAACGGCCAATGTAAAACAATTCCCGTGTCGAGTGTTTTTAATGATAGCGAAGGACTGTAAAGAACGACTGTCCCGTTGCCTTGTCCGTAGGCCTCATTATTCCGCGCGGCTGATGCGTTTCAGGTCACGTGGTCCGAGCGAGTTTTTCTCTCAGATACGTCACCGAAATGCCTTGACCGAGATTGCGTGGGAAGACGCCGTAGCCTCAGAGAAAAACAGGGAATTGTGACATGGAATTCACAGTTGTTTATCGGCGACGTGTTTTAGAAACAGTGACATCTCTGCGTGTTGCTAGTATTTCGAGGGCACGACCTCCTGAAAATCTCAAATATCAATCCCCAGCAAGAAGCCAGATTTTCGCTATGGAAAAAATTAGTGCCCCGAGAGAGCCGCGGCGGAAATGGAGCCCAGGTCTAGGTCAACACCTAAAAGCTAGGCGCTTGGCCTAACGTGCGTACGCAGTCAAAGTAGCCGGGAAATAAAAAACGCAACCATAAGTGAGTTTAGCACCTTCCTTAAAACTAACAAATCTAGGGAACCATTTCTTCTACGGTTAACTCTTTCTTACCCTATTTACGGCTAACGGTTAAAATTTTTCAATTTTTACGGCTATCGACTAAAGTTTTGGACGTTATCGGTTAACCCCATTGAGACCCTCCTAGACCTGCGCCTGTATAAATGGTTTTCACGGTGACCTCATCAAATTGTAAAGTCAAAATAGCGAGCTTTTACGAATTCTTATTTACAATAGGTTGAAGATAAGCAAAAAGTAAATCTTTGTACAAGTTTCCATTCCCGCAGCATGTTTAATTTCGAAAATACAGCAATTTGAACTTTCGAGTTTTTACAGTGCGTGACACCGAAAAAGGAATGCTGTCTCGTTGAAAAAGGTCTCTCTATCTTGATTTTCAGCAGTATAACCATTTCAAGTATTAGAAGATATGTTTATGCGCACGTATGTTAGTTCTCGAGTGAAAAGAAAGAGCTTTTATAGAAAAGATGTTACTGTTGATTTTCGGCGGCCATATTGGTGCATCAAAACGGTACACCAAGTGGCGTCTCCATACGGTATTAGTACTAAATACAAACATCGATTCTTGGAAGTGTTTGTGCGAAACATCCCACGCAAAACTAGCTTCCACCAGGATCCCATAAAGCTTCCGCTCATACCCAAGAGTCAATAAAAATGCAGAAATTTATGTTGGTACTCAACTTCCGTTAGGAAAGGCATAGCCAGTCAAAAATATCGATTAAATTGATGTCCCCAGAGTCTTTCCGGCGTTGCCCCGCTGGCCAAAATGCCTGAAGACTCTGGGTACGAGATTGCGTGTTATCCGAAACAGCTGTAATGGAACTTTTCCTCTTTCCACTCCAATGAGCACACATGACGAATTGGGGTCGAGGCTTGGGGGGAGCAGTAGATCTTCCTTACGATACCTGCCATCTTTGCAAGCGCTTTAGGATTGATGGGATAAAAGCAATGTCACGTGGTATTTTAGGAGGCAAACAAGTCAACCTCTTCCCCAGGGTCTTCTCGCTTTCCAATATGGCGCGGTAGGAGAGGAGATTGCTGGGAAAAATGTATCCGTTCCTCACTCCCAGCAAGACTGATGGAAGAGTTCCCAGCGAGCAAGGTGCACCTATCAATATCTGAATGAAAATGGTTTATTAAACAGCGGCCAGTCTGGTTTCCGCTCTCTACACAGCACTCTTACTGCCTTGTTGGAGACAAACGATAGCTGGTGTGTCAATATTGGTAGAGATCTTCTTAATGATTTGAAGAAGGACTTCGACACTATTGACCACGAGATAATTCTAAAAAAACTTACTAAGAATGGCGTTGATCAAGACGCCCTGAAATGGTTTAAATCTTACCTAACAGTATGCAAAGGTGTAATCTAAACAATCATCTATCTAGCGCGAGCCTTCTAAATTTTGGCGTACCTCAAGGGTCAAGAATCGGTCCTCTTGTTTTCTTGATCTATATAAAAGATCTACCAAATTGTTTGAATGTGGGCTGTCCTAGAATGTATGCCGACGACACTAATGTTACCTTCTCTGCATCTACTATACCTGATCTTGAGTCCCAAATCAATAGTGACCTGAAATATATTGATCGCTGTCTCAAAGCTAATTGACCACTCCAGAAAATACCATAACATACCATAATGCTCTTCCTTTGTCACCCCAAAACCAAGAATTAATTACCTGAAGCGTAGCTTTAGTTACCGTGGCGCTCTTCTATGGAACAATCTTCCTGAGGAAATACGTACATCAAATTCCTTAGGTCTCTTTAAGAGAAGTTCCCATAGATGGTTTTCTGATCAGTACTCCCACACTGATGTTTTTAACCGTGTATAAATAAAGTTATCATTCATTCATTCATTTCCAGGGCTAATGAATGCATAAAAATCGAGTCCACCGTTGCACAGTGAGCACCGGCAGGCGTGAGTATTTTCCGCACTGTTTTATTCCTCACGCGTGATAACGCGATACCCCGCATGTTGTGACGTCACGATCAATTTGTGCATAAATATTTCACTCATCCATTCACTCAGTTTTACTTCACTTTTCACATCAGATGTACGCTGTCTTGCTTCAATAACTAAACCAGCTTACAGACGATAAACACAATGTTAATTTAGTTTTCTGAAAACCTTTTTTTTTTCAGAAAACATCAGAGCTGTGTCACGAAATTAATCACTGAATGGCAAACAGGGGGAACCACCACCAAAAAAACTCCCAAAAAGACTTATGCTCAAAACACTACAAAAAAATTTTGAATAATACATGAAATACAAACGGAGGAACGGATGGACAAACTTTAGGAAGGCTGAAACGGATTATAATTGTGGCTTTGAAAACTTGTAAGCCTAAATGTGTAAGCCCAATTTTAGAATCTGTCCCCGTATGGAAAAGCATACCTGAATTTCTGACTTCTAATATGGAAAGCATTGAAAAAGGGTTATGCGTATCATTTGTCCTACCTACGATTACAATGAGGCTTTATCTGCACTTTCTCCGACGACGTTAAATGAGAGACGAGTCCACCTCTGTCAGATCTACGTTGCGAGATTACAGAACGAAAACCACCCGTTATACTTTATTCTTCCCAAACTGAAGGAAGTTCAGCATGATTATCATCTAAAGTCAGGAGCAAGCTACCGCTTACGCCCAATTTGACCAAGCGCACTCAAGATTTTATCACTTTTAAGTATTAAATGTCGTTAGTTCGTAATTTTTTAAGTAGCTTTGCGATTTATTATCTATTTTTGTACATATTATTATACGAATGTAAGTAGCTCTGAAATTCACCTGTATATGTACAATGTCAGTATTGCTGGAATGAGTTTCTTTAATAAACAGTCATTATTATCATCAAGGGAGCTAGGCCAAACATGCGACCCCCAAATTGATGAGTTATCCATCGCCATTCATTAAGAAATACGATCCTATACAATTTGTAGGAAACGCTAATGAAAGTCAAATTGACCCTAAGAAAACGTAAGGACATAATATTTGCAGGAATCTTGTGCATACTTTACAAAGATGACGGACACCAGTTGTTAGCCTGTACAATGAGAATTTTCCCAACAAACAAATAATGGCAAATATCAGTCAGTACCATTAGGATGCCTGATTTCCCAGGAAACATTTGCCTGTTCAGTTGCATCATAAACTTCCCGTATTTCCGAGAACAAGACATAGCACGAATTAGAGACACCTTTGATCCTAAAAAAACATCATATGTAGTATTCCATTCAGCCAGTAAGAACACGCTGTGACCGGCATGGCCGGTCTTAAGGCGAAGTCTAGCTCGCGCGAATCACGTTTCCGTAAAGGTGGGGGAGGGGAGGGGGGGGGGTACAACAGGTAGAAAGTCCTCGAGCAGTTCCTTTGAATTATGCGCGTGGGAGTTACCATTTTTCGTTCTTTGAAAATAATACTAAAAGAAAAAGTCTTTTTTGACTTTGTGTTTTGACCTTCATCTTCATCGGTTGAAGTGTCTTTAGATTTAAAAGCCCTGAAAACATTGAGGGATCGAGTAGTGCTTAGTTTTGATCACGCACTAAGTACGACTGGGCGAGCTGGTCCGAACGACTTGAAGCACTGTCAGCACACACGTTGGCACGGGGCCGGGAAACTTCTTTATTTTGCGACATATATTCTTAGCATCTCATACTAGATCAAGGCCTCTTCAGAAAAGACCAAGAAAGCACAGGTACGTTTTTAATCCTTGCACTAACTTTGATCACGGTACTGAATTTGGAAAAGCTACACAACAATTCTTTATAAAAATAAGATGACAGGAACAGTTTTAGGAGGCCTTGTGGGATTTTAAGATTTTACTTGCCACTGATACAATCACAATCAGTTTAGTCTCATCTGTGCTCCATTTTAAATGCTTGGTAAGCTATAAGTAATACATGACTGTTCGATGTTTAAAGTATTCATAATTGTCCGACGTACCTTCGGGAGCGGTTTCATAGGACCTCTGAAATTCATGACTATAATTTGAGGGGTTCTAACCATGATCTCCAACTACCACTACCTAAAAAAAAATTTTCTTAAGGGTTCATTTTCTTATCGGGATACAATGGCTTGGAACCAACTGTCAAATCAAACGCGTGAGATAGGGGATCTTACTAGCTTTAAACTCGCGATATCCTAGGATATACGTAACTTTTTATTATGTTTTTTATCGTATTTCTTTAATGACTCATTTCTTGTTATTACATTGTATTTCAAATTATTACTATTTTTTACTAGTATTATTAGTCTCGCTTACCATACAAACTAGATAGTCACGTTTATGAGAGTCGATAGGAACAGATAAAATTGTCAATTCTTGTGCTAATTATTGTTAGTTAATCACTAGTCTTAATTTTTATAACTTGTAATTATCACACGGCATGTCTGAAGACCAGCTTGCTGAGCCATTTACCCTGTTTAAACTGAAGTTGAGTGATTTATTGATGGATTGTTCATTTGTTCATTTGGCCTATTTCGCCTTTTTGTAAAGTATACTTGTTTACGCGTGAAATATTTAGGCACATGTGTAATCTTCGCTGCACTTTTCGGGAGATGGTCTGAGTTGAACTGTGACTAATGATCTGGTGATACTGTTAAATCTCTTTACTTTTAGATTAAACAATGGATGCAAAGTTCGTTATGGTTTTCCTGATGGCGGTCGTTTTTGTGTGCACAGATGCTTTACCTGCAAAGCTATTTTACAGAAAAGGTACTGTAAGCACTTTTAAAAATCTCTAAATGAACTTCGACTTTTGCAGGCTACAATTCTTAATTTGCTTTGCTTTAAACGTCTCGAATACGCATGTCCCTTTCGAAATCAGAATAAGTACAAAAGAATCACTACTCCATTGGCAAATACCCATAAAAAGTATTTTTAGGATGTACGTCAATTACCTCTATACTCCTGCGAGTAAAGAAGGAGAAGTTTTTACTATGATTAGAAACCTATGCTGAGTAAATGTGTAATTGCAAATTATACTGACTTTTAAGGGCGTTGAAATCTTGTTCGGTACTTGACTAATGTCCAGTTCTTTCCCCTTCTAAATTTAAAATCCGTGAATTTTTGGTTTGAGTCGGCTACTTGACAAAGTGAGGGCGGAATTAGTTTGAGATATCTCGAGATCACTCCGATTTGTTGAGGAAGAAATAATTATTATTTTTGGCTTGCCCGGGGTTTGGACGGACTTAACCCGCGACCCGTCGAATCATGTGGTTTCACGTGAAAATTAGCTATAAATAAATATAGTACACAAGTGGGTCAGTTTCGTGCGCGAAGTGGAAGAAAAGGGTCGACAAAAATGATCGCTTAGTTCAATTGGACATGCTTGGAACGATGAAATGGTTTAAAAGAAGCAAGTGGTAAAAAATACTTGGTTTGCAGCTATCTTATCCGAATATGGAAAAATAGTATTTTTGAAGAATCTTGCAAAACTTTGAGTTGTTCCCGAAAGGTTTTGATCGGAAAGATAATCGTTAGAATATGAAATAAAGTGTTTACTTTGTATCCATACCCGCGGAGCAGCCATCAGTCATTGAGAACGTCTACCGTACCGTTTGCATTACAGCTTTTTCAAAGGCAAAGGCCAGAGTTTAACCTGTGTCCTTTTTATTTGATGTTATTATCTATTTTAATGTCGTGTTTCAAAATTTCCCCTTGATTGAGGTCTTAATTATAAATTGATGTTTTTGAACTGTTTTATGGTGAATTTAAAACTACAAAAAGGTTGCACAACTACGTTCTGTCTTTGTTGACAATGTAACGGTGTTTAATATTATACGAAATTATGGCGAAGCATCTTCATCATTTTAGGACAACACAGGGATACTTTTCAGTTTGGAAGAAGGTTGTTTTTCCAAGAAAATTTTTAAAATTAATAAAAGGAGAGATTTTTTAGATAATTGAAGACAAATCTCGCGAAAGTGATTGGAATTGATGGTTTGGCTAATGATAGTTTGAGCAATTTTGTCCGCTTTTGTTCAGATGTCGAGTGCCATCCCAGTGCCATAGGAGATGTCAGCACTTGACAAATGTTTTTGGGGGTATGGGTACCCTTGGAATTGACTGAGCCATTATGATGACGATGCAACCAGGACAGGATAGGTTGCTCCCGGTCCATAACATTTCTTGTTAATCATGCGTGTTCGCTATTCGGTGAGCAGCCAGTTTACGTTGGGAATTCCGCGGAAAAATTCGAGCTATTTACATATTAAGCAACGTCCACTATGGCTCCTCGTCTCCTTTTTCACCCATTTCAATCAACACTGAACAATTAACAACATTGCGGCACTCCCTCGTGCCCGTGACACAAAAAATCCTCACATACGGGTGATATAACAACGCTTTAAGTGTTTACAAAACAATTTGTTTGTTTGACAAGCGTAAACCCCTATGTGACAAAAGCCAAAGAATCGTAAATTATTTCCTTCTGCATTTTTTGTCCTGTGAAATCCTGGTGCAAGTTCGTCGATTTTAGGCGCGCAACTCGCTGCCTAGCTTTTAAGAAAACAGCCGACATTTTGCGACATCACCACTCAGGTTTCCCCGCGAAATGAAGTCTGGAAAACGAGCACAGAAATTCCTTCAAAGAGACTGGTAACTACTCCTCACGTCATTCCACTTTTTTTTCTGATGCAGACGAAACTGGGAAGGACGCGGACCCAAGAAGGCTCACTAGAATTGGTGGTGAACCATGTTCCTGTATTCCTAGTGGTGAGATAGGGACTTTGTGGTGGCCGACTTGTCCATCTGGTTGGGATGTATGCCTTTCGGCTTTACCGTTTGGAGAATGCTGTATTAAGCGGCTGTAGAAATTGATTTCAATAAGGTCGTGCAGTCTGGACAAGTAATTTTATAACAGATGACGACACATCGGGAAAAAATTAAACCGCTAACATTGCTTAACGTAAAATTTTGTTCAAACGAATAAGAGGATGAACTAATTACGTCTTGGATTATTTCCGTGTATTAAAATAATAACTAATAATTAAAAAAGAACTTTTTAAACATTGACACAAGTTGTATTTCTTTCAATTTCGCATTGCAGTAGTGGTTATGCTACTAAATGAAATCAACATTGTTAAATCAAACATTTTGAATTCACCATTTGCACTACTCTTATGTTCGCTTCCCCCCCCCACCCCCTCCCCCCAGAAAAAAAATGCATAAACTGTGTTTTTCATTTCCCCTGGGTGTTTCAGTCTAGGACGGTTAATGTTTTCCAAGCGTTATATCAAACTTCACAAACAATAAAAATGAACTTTGAAAAAACTGTTAGGCTTTAGAACAAGGTTTTTAAAAGCTAAATTGCAATCCGTTTCAATCTCCTTCAAGTCTGTCCATCCGTGCCCTCTTTTCAGGGGAAATCCGATGGATCTGTTCGTCAAAAATGTCCGTATTTGAGGCAATTTTTGCTGGGTGGGAGATGTGGAAGAAATAATATGTTCTTGGAAGGAAAGTGTTGCTGGGAAAAAGATAATTCAGAGTGTCTGAGGGGACTTGATGTCTAGAATATCTTCTATGTATTATGTGTCAGAAACCTCCCCCACCCGCCCCCTTCCCACCACTGAAGGTCTAAATTTTGCCCTTAGGCCACACCCAAACTGGCCAGTAATATTTGGACATACGTCTGCTGGGAAACTTCCCAATAAGTCAGGTTGTAGGTTGTAGGTGCACCTTGCTGGCTGGGAACTCTTCTATCAGTCTTGCTGGGAGTTGAGGAACAAATGCATTTTCCCAGCAGTCTCCGAAAATGCTTAAAATAGCTTCAGAAAGCTTTATACCATGTTGTTGTTGGTTTTAGGCCTTTTTCTCAAAATTTCCCGTTGGGTGCCCCTGTCTTTTGTGTTTGCTGTCGTGTTATTCATAAAGGCCTTCGTTTTATGTTACGATCGGTTATTTTCATGCTTCTTTCAGTTTGGTGGCCATTCCCACCGTTTGAATTTTGTTAAATTTCTTGACACAGCCCTTTACAGCTGTTTCGGATAACACGCGACCTGCGTTGTCCAAAACGTTTCAGGACTTGGGTGTTTCTTCGAGGTCAGTTAAACCGTTACCATAGCAGGCGCGGATCCACACCGGGTTCCACCGTTTTACGAAAATCGGTCAGAGTTGTCATAAAGAAATAAATTTTTCATGAAAAAAAGTTTCCAAGTTCAAATCCGGCCAATATCCTGACTGAATGACTCAGAAAACCAGGAAAGGTGACTTCAGGGAGTAGAAATCTAAGAAATTTCACGGGGGTGCATGCCCCAGGACCCCCCTAGAGGCTTACGCCTTCGGCTCTCGTTTAGGAAAACGGTCAGTATTTATCCTAGATCTGCCCCTGCATAGATGGTTTTCACGGTGACCTGGTCAAATTGTAAAGTCAAAATAGCGAGGTTTTACGAATTCTTATTTAAAACAGGCTGAAGATAAACAAAAAGTAAATCTTTGTAAAAGGTTCCATTCCCGTAGCATGTTTCATTTCGAAAATACAGCAATTTGAACTTTCGAGTTTTACAGTGCGTGACACCGAAAAAGAAATGCTGTCTCGTTAAAAAAAAGTCTCTCTATCTTGATTTTCAGCAGTATAACCATTTCAAGTATTAGAAGATATGTTTATGCGCACGTATGCTAGTTCTCGAGTGAAAAGAAAGAGCTTTTATAGAAGAATTGAACTCCAGATGTTCCAAAACGGTACACCAATATGGCGTCTCCATACAGTATTAGTACTAAATACAAACATCGATTCTTGGAAGTATTTCTGCTAAACATCCCACGCAAAGCTAGCTTCCACCAGGATCCCATAAAGCTTCCGCTTATACCCAAAAGTCAATGAAAATGCAGAAATTTATTTTGGTACTCAATTTCCGTTAGGAAAGGCATAGCCAGTCAAAAATATCGATGAAATTGATGTCCCCAGAGTGTTCCCGGCGTTGCCCCGCCGACCAAAAAGCCTGAAGACTCTGGGTACGAGATTGCAGGTTGTCCGAAACAGCTGTAATGGAACTTTTCCTGTTTCCACTCCAATGAGCACACATGACGAATTGGGGTCGAGGCTTGGGCGAACAATAGACCTTCCTCACGATACCTGCCATCTCAGCAAGCGCGTTAGGATTGATGGGATAAAAGCAATGTCGAGTGGTATTTTAGGAGGCAAACAGGTCACCCTCTTCCCCAGGGTCTTCTCGCTTTCCAATATGGCGGCGGTAGGAGAGAAGTTTGCTGGAAAAAATGTACCCGTTCCTCACTCCCAGCAAGACTGATGGAAGAGTTCTCAGCCAGCGAGGTGCACCTACAACCTACATCCTGACTTTCTGGGAAGTTTCCCAGCAGACGTATATGTCCAAACATTACTCGCCAGAATGGGTGTGGGCTAAGGGCAAAATTCAGACCTTCAATGGAAGGGGGGGGAGTAGCAGCCATATAACAGCTGTTCTAGACATCAAATCCCCTCAGACACCCTCAGTTGAGTTGATTCGACGGTCGGTTTTTGTACACCACCAACAACAAGGTAGTCTATAAGCCTAGACTGCGTGGACGCGGATCCAGAGCCCATTATTTGAATTTTAACCACCGATTAAAGCCAGCAAGACTGTTTCAGTTACAAAAACTCCGTGACTGGCTAAAGTGTCACCAAGTCCGACCTAAACAACTATCGGCCTATATCTGTTATTCCTAACGTAGCCAAAATTTTCGAAAAATTATCTATTACCAGCTATATCAATATCTGAATGAAAATAGTTTATAAAACAGCGGCCAGTCTGGTTTCCGCTCTCTACACAGCACTCTTACTGACTTGTTGGAGACAAAAGATAGCTGGTGTGCAATGTTGATAGAGATCTTCTTAATGGTGTAATCTTTATTGATTTGAAGAAGGGCTTCGACACTATTGACCACGAGATAATTCTAAAAAAACTTACAAAGTATGGCGTTGATCAAGACGCCCTGAAATGGTTTAAATCTTACCTAACTAACAGTATGCAAAGGTGTAATGTAAACAATCATCTATCTAGCGCGAGCCTTCTAAATTTTGGCGTACCTCAAGGGTCAATAATCGGTCCTCTTTTTTCTTGATCTATATAAATGATCTACCAAATTATTTGAATGTGGGCTCTCCTAGAATGTATGCCGACGACACTAATGTTAACCTGATGTTTTTAACCGTGTATAAATAAAGTTATCATTCATTCATTCATTTCCAGCTATTTCCAGGGCTAATCAATGCATAAAAATCGAGTCGACTGTTGCACAGTGAGCACCGGCAGGCGTGAGTATTTTCCGCACTGTTTTATTCCTCACGCGCGATAACTTGTACCCCGCATGTTGTGACGTCACGATCAATTCGTGCATAAATATTTCATTCATCCATTCACTCACTTTTACCTCACTTTTCACACCAGATGTACGCTGTCTTGCTTCAATAACTAAACCAGCTTACAGACGATAAACACAATGTTAATTTAGTTTTCTGAAAATTTTTTTTTTTTCAGAAAACATCAGAGCTGTGTCACGATATTTGTGTCACTGAATGGCAAACGAAGGGAACCGCCACCAAAAAAAACTCCCCAAAAATATTTGTGCTCAAAACACTACAAAAAAAGTTTAAATAATACATTAAATACAAACGGAGGAACGGATGGACAAACTTTAGGAAGGCTGAAACGGATTAAAACCACTGATCAGAGCGCCGCGATCAAACCACCTGAATTGTAAGTTCTCGGCTCCTTCGATTCAATCCATGGTTAAAGTTCCTTGTAATTGTTACTACGATGTTTACCATAAAAAATGAAGTGTGTTTTCTTAAAATTTGCAGCCAGTACGCGAAGCGCAAAATAAACAATACAGTTCGGGTTTGTTCGTTTCAAACCTCGTCTGTTCGGCACTTGCCTCACCCCTCACTACTGCGTCGTCCGTTTCGCCAGTCAACTAACACTCCTACCCACCCCCTAAGGTGAAATTGCTCCTTCCTTCGGTCCCGCCGAAAATTCAAATCTCACGGAAAGAAGCAATCGGTAATGTTGAAATTTGCCGCGCGAAAAAGCTATTGTTTCACGTTGATCGTTTTTGTCCTTAAAAGGCAAGAAACGATAAAAAATAACAATACAAAACAATACCTATTGTTCTCGAATTCAGGTCGCTTTTCTTGATACGTTTGAAAACTTGTAAGCCTAAATTTGTAAGCCCAATTTTAGAATGCGCTGTCCCCGTATGGAAAAGCATACCTGAATTTCTGGCTTCTAATATCAAACGCATTCAAAAGGGGTTATGCGTATCATTTTTCCTACGTACGATTACAATGAGGCTTTATCTGCACTTTCTCTCACGACATTAAATGAGAGACGCGAGTCTACCTGTGTCAGGTCCACGTTGCGAGATTACAGAACAAAAACCACCCGTTATACTTTATTCTTCCTAAACTGGAGGAAGTTCATTATAATTAACATCTGAAGTCAGCGGCTAGCTACCGCTTACGCCCAATTTGTAACACCAAGAAAACTCAAGATATTATTACTTTTCAGTATTAAATGTCGTTAGTTCGTAATTTTTTAAGTAGCTTTGCGATTTATTTTCTATTTTTGTACATATTATAATATGATTGTAGGTAGCTCTGTAATTCACCCTTATATGTGCAATGTCAGTATTGCTGCAATGAGTTTCTTTAATAAGCAGTCATTATCATATAAGGGAGCTAGGCCAAACATGCGAGCCCCAAATTGATGAGTTATCCACCGCGATTCATTAGGAAAAATACGATCCTAAAATTTTGTAGAAAATGCTAGATAAAAGTCAATGACGCTAAGAAAACGTAAGGACTTAATATTTGCAGAAACGTTGTGCATACTTTACAAAGATAAAATTTATGACTGTCCAACGTGATGGACACCAGTTGTTAGCCTGTACAATGAGAATTCTTCCAACAAACAAACAACGGCAAATATCAGTCATAAGCATTAGAATGCCTCATTTCCCAGGAAACATTTGCCTTTTCAGTTGCATCATAAACTTCCCGTATTTCCGAGAATATCACATGGCACGAATTAAAGACACCTTTGTTCCTAAGAAAACATCATATGTAGTATTCCATTCAGCCAATAAGAACACGCTGGGGCCGGCACGCCCGGTGTTAAGGCGAAGTCTAGCTCGCGCGAATCACGTTTCCGTAAAGGTGGGGGCGCGGGGTTGGGGGGAGGGGGTGGGGGTACAGCAGGTTACAACGTCCTTGAGCAGTTCTTTTGAATTATGCGCGTGGGAGTTACCATTTTTCGTTCTTTGAAAATAATACTAAAAGAGAAAGTCTTTTTTGACTTTGTTTTTTGACCTTCATCTTCATCGGTTGAGGTGTCTTTAGATTTAAAAGCCCTGAAAACGTTGAGGGATCGAGCAGTGCTTAATAAGTTCGGCCAAAACCAGTTCTGATCACGTACTAATTACGAAAGAGCTTGTCGAAACGACTTGAAGCACTGTCATAAAACATGTTGCTCAGGGGCCGGGAAACTTCTATATATTTGCGACATATATTCTTAGCATCTCAGACTAGATCAAGGCCTCTTCAGAAAAAAACCAAGAAAGCACACATGTAAGTTTTTAATCCTTGCGCTACTTTTGATCATGGTACTGAATTTGGGAAAGCTACACAACATTTCTTTATAAAAATAAGATGATAGGAACAGTATCAGGGGGCCTTGTGGGATTTTAAGATTTTACTTGCCAAGATACAATCACAATCAGTTTAGTCTCATCTGTGCTCCATTTTAAATGTTGCCTTGGTAAGCGATATGTCGTGAATACACTGTTCATTTGGAGGCATATGAGAATTTCAATATAATTTACAAGTTTATAGCAAGTCACATCAGTTCATTTGGTCTATTTCGCCTTTTTGTAAAGTACACTTGTTTACGCGTGAAATAATTAATTAGCACATGTGTAATCTTCGCTGCACTTTTCGGGAGATGGTCTGAGTTGAACTGTGACTAATGATCTGGTGATACTGTTAAATCCCTTTATTTTTAGATTAAACAATGGATGCAAAGTTCGTTATGGTTTTCCTGATGGCGGTCGTTTTTGTGTGCACAGATGCTTCACCCGCAAAGCTATTTTACAGAAAAGGTAAGCCCCTAATCTCTCAATAAGAGAGATAAAAAATGTTATGTTTTTAAATAAAATCGACGTACCTTATTGCCTTGTTGTAGTCTTTGTTGTTTGCCCGCGTCTCAGGCCGTTTTGAAGCGTTTTCGGCGAGTTAGCCCTTTTTTTTGTGTCCCACTGTTTGTTCTTTTAGCAGTGGGACACCAAAATAGCGCTAACTCGCCGAAAACGCTTCAAAACGGCCTGAGACGCGGGCAAACAACAAAGAATACAACAAGGCAATAAGGTGCGTCGATTTTATTTAAAAACATAACATTTTTTATCTCTTTTAAGAAAAACCGATCGATCCCATACAAGCCTTTTTAAATAACCGTTTGTAACACAACACCGCTCGCAAGCAAGAGTCACGTCCGCGTTCATGTAATGAGTTTGGGCCGCCTGTGCTTTCATGGGCCTAGAAATCTTGTTCCGTACTTGTAATGTCTAATTCTTCCAACTTACATAATGAACGGCCTTAGTACGAGTGGTACAAGGCGCGTAGTTTACTCCTTTTTGAAGAAAGTGGAAGTTTATTGGTGTGGAATGGGATGTATTCAAGAGAGGGTGATCTCCGTGTTTTGCTTGTTACTTGGGCGGAGCGTCAAGTAAAGGATTCGCAACGCTCAGGAATGTTTTAAAGTTGCTTTTTCGGGACAACATTGTCTGTACAAAGTCTGTGAGTTTTAGGTTTCAGTGGGCTTTTTGACATAGTGAGGGCGGAATTAGTTAGAGATGTCTCGAGATCACTTCGATTTCTTGAGGAAGAAATAATTATTATTTTTGGCCTGCCCGTGGTTTGAAGCGACTCACATGCGACCCGTGAGATCAGATGAGCGTCAAAGTTGAGGGATTAGCCAAATGTACCACGGCGACCCCAGGCTGTTTGTAAGATAAAAAAAGAGCTATGAAATTATGCACTAGTTTTGGACAAGATTGCACACTCAGGTTCGTGACTTTTCGGCTCGTTTAATTCGGCTATTTTACGAAGTGAGACCGGAATCACTTCGACATATCTCGAGATCACTTCGACTTCTTTCGGCTACAATAAATTTTTGATTTCTTCGAGGAAAAACTAATTACTTGTTTTTGTTTACCGTGGATTTGAATTGACTTTTAAACCCGCGATCGACCCGTCGGATCAGACGCCAAGATGACGGATTAGTCGATTGCATCATCGCTACCTAACGTGATTTACCATGTAAAAATTAATAGTAATATCCTGCACTAGTGGGTTTCGTGCGGGAAAGTTCACGAACAACAATTTTGCGTTTCACGAGTCACGAAACAACATTTTCACGCTTCTCAAAAATAGAGGTCGCACAAAATGTCAAAAACATTACGTTATTCGCATTTTGCAAAACAGAGTCCTTCGATTATATTTAAGTTAACTAGAGTTTTACGAACCTTATGAAAAACACTGCTAGGCCATAATTCCCTCCCTAGCTGTAGGTGGGTCTGAGGGCACTGAAGTGTGAAGAAAGTCTCGAAAGTGAAGTAAAATCAAGCCACCAGATGCCAGTTCAGGTCGTTTGGCTAAATTAACGATATATTTTCTTCAATTGATCTTCAATCTACGTGTAAACAATCGAGGATTTTGACAGTTCACGCTTCGCAGAACAGTTTTTCAGTACATCACGATTCACGGACACCAAAAATGATCGATCATGGCGTCGTGAAAATAAGCTTGCCTCCCCTGGGGGGCGGAGGGTACTTACTTATAACAGGCTAATGGGGATGTGCCGCTGGATGGGGTCGCATTTTCACGTCTGCAGTCAGACTATAATGGGGTCGCATTTTCAATACAATTACAATTACAATTGGTATAAGACAGTTCTTCATATTTACGGTTAGCAAACGTACCATAATGTTTACACTGTAGGTGAGAAGTAGAGTGTTCTCCGTTTAATATGAGGCAGATACGTTAAGAGAAAGTGACTAAGTTAAGTTGGGATCGCGAAAATTACATATTTGCCCAAAAGTGACTAACATGGGGTCTATAATTGGCCGCAGAATAGACTATAATGGAGTAGGGGCTCTGAGAGGCCAGTGCCACAAACCCAGCAAAAATTAACCCAAGTACCCCCCGGGCTTGCCCCCCCCCCCTTAATTATAAGTTGCTGATGTTTTCAAACTGTTTTATGGTGAATTTAAAGCCACAAAAGTTGCACAAAGACGTTTTGTCTCTGTTGACAGTTTAACGGTGTTTAACATTATGCGAAATTACGGCGAAGCATTTTCAACATTTTAAGACAACAAAGGGGATTCTTTTCAACTTGGAAGAAGGTCAGTTTTTGCCTAGAAAAGGAGCGATTTTTTCGATCATTGGAGACAAATCTCGCAAAAGTGACTGGAATTGATGATTTGGCTAACGAGAGTTTGAGCAATTTTGTCCGCTTTTGTTCAGATGTCGAGTGTTATAGGAGATGTTAGCACTTGACAAATGCCTTTGGGGGTATGGGTACGCTTGGAATTGACTGCATGAGCCATTATGATGACGATGCAACCATCTCTCACAACAATGAAAACCGTAACCGTAACAGCCTGCGAGTGAGCTCTCCATTTAAGGGATATCGGGAGAAGTCACGCGCGAGCGGCACGCAAAACAAGACGTGAGAGCAAGGTGCGGGGAAAGAAAATGAGAGCTCTTCCTTTCCTTCGCCCCTCACGGATTCGCCGCTCACTCGCATGTTCGCTTGCCACTCGGAAGGGATAGTTTGCTCCCGGTCCATAACATTTCTTGTTAATTGTGCGCGTTCCCTATTCGGTGAGCCAGTTTTCGTTGGGAATTCCGACGAAAAATTCGAACTATCTACATACTAAGCAACGTCCACTATGACTCCACGTTTCCTTTTTTCACCTGTTTTAACCAACACTGAACAATTTCCTAGTGCATGGAACAAAAAATCCTCACATACGCGTGATATAACGACTCCCAAGGAACTCCCAAGTGTTTACAAAACAATTTGTTTGTTTGACAAGCGTAAACACCTCGGACAAAAGTCAAAGAATCGTAAATTAATTCCTTCTGCATTCATTGTCCTGTGAAATCCCGGTGCAGATTCGTCGATTTTCGGTGCGAAACTCGCTGCCTAGCTTGAGAAAACAGCCGATATTTTGCGACATCACCACTTGTTTCCCGCCAAATGACGTCTGGGAAACCAGCACGGAAATTCCTTCGAAGAGACTGGTAACTATTCCTCACGCCATTCCATTTTTTTTTCTGTTGCAGACGAAACTGGGAAGACCGCTGACCCAAAAAGGCTCTCTAGAATTGGTAGTAAACCATGTCCCTGTTTTGGTGAGCGAGGGACTTACTGGTGGCCTTATTGTCCGCCTCGTTGGGAATTATGCTGGTCGGCTGCACCTTTTGGAGAATGCTGTATTGAGCAGTGGAATTGATTTCCATCAGGGCATGGAGTCTGTCAAGTAATTTTATAACAGATGACGACACATCGGGAAAAAATTAAACCGCTAACATTGCTTAACGAAAAATTTTGTTAAAACGAATAAGAGGGTGAACCGATTATGTCTTGAATTATTTCCCCTTTTTATAATAATAATAATAAAAAGAACTTGTTAAACATTGACACAAGTTGTATTCCTTTCAATTTCGAATTGCAGTAAAAAGTAAGTAAACTAGCGAAACAGTAACACGCGTGGTTGGTAAACCGACTGAAAGGTACGTAGAAGAAAGTGACATTAAGCTATGCAAACTTACAAGTCGACCATTGTACAAGAAACGTTTTTCAGTTTCTAGCTTTAATAACTCGAAAGAATAATTTATGAGCTCGAGCAAGAGTTCTGTCTCATAAATTTTTCTTTGCTTTTCTTTCTTGCTCTATTAGTAATAAGTTTTTGCGCCCAGTTGAACTATCATAAGGAACTCCATACCCAATGTAGCTCGACGTAGTGAGTCACTGGCATTTTTTATTGACTTTTTAAATGAACTTTAGAATTAATTGCAATGGAGGGATAGATTGATGTGTTTGTTAAATTAGTAAAACTTTTAGAGCGATTTTATCTTACTCTTACTGTAGCTTTTGGCGTTAAGCATACTTTATTTAGATCAGGTACGCTTGTTCAGTACGCTTATTTTTGAAATTTTTAGGAAGTGAATTGTAGGGTTAGTATAATGAGGGACACCCCTTTTAAAAACTAGCTCTTATGTTAAATAGGTTGGTGTGTTTAAATAAATTTGATCCTGTCCTATCCTAGCACAGACAGATTTTTAACGAACTTGGCTTTTTTTTCGTGTTTGATGATTGTTTAATCATGTTTGAGTCTTTTTTGGCCCAGCGACAGCTATGAAAGTAAAAGCCAAGGAAAACAACCACCAATTGTTACAAGGCCAAGAAATAGAAACATGACGACGTTAAAGATTCTTTCAGTATCTTTGTGTGTCACGGCTGAGGAACAGTTTCGGTCGTAGCCGTTATTACATTTGCAAAAACGAGGAGTTCTCGTCAGTATATGCTATTGTTTTCAGCGACTCCATCAAGGTAGGTTTTTTAGCATCGATACAGTACAAACGGCTGTGTATGTCACTTGTTTTTGAATAGTATTAAGTGGGTCTTCAGACTTCTCGTAAGTGATAGTCTAATTGATAAGGTTGAGGAGAAACCTTTATAAAATGGCGATTTTTATTTTTATCGTTACAGTGAATACCCCAACCTTAATAAAAATAACTTATTGATGCAACTGATCGGATTATTAAAAAAGACGGCTGCCTAAAATGATGATTTGAGCAGGTCTAGGCAGGAAACCTCAGAACATGATGTGACTGTTTATTATTCCTTTCTTTTTCGATTGAGGAAAATTAATAATAATTTTATTCGGTTCATTATGTTTGAAAATTCAGAAAAAAACTCATTAGGGAATCGGGAATCCTGCTTTACCGACTTCTCTCTGAAAACTATTTGACTCACAGTTAAGTTTTTTACTGTTTACGAAAAGAGTTAGACTGCAAAACAGTCGTTTTTTTCTCAAAATCAGTAAACAAATCGGTAAAGCGTGGCGTAAGTCTCACGCGAGGGAAGCGCGGGCGTGTGAGGCGAGCGTCTTTCTCCATTCTCGCTCTCTGTTTTCAGCCTCGTTCCAGACCTTTTGTTCGACTGCTCGCGCGTACTTGGATACGCAAAAATACGGATGATAGCTGCCTCCCCCCCCGAAATTTCGCATCCGTCGTTCGTAGTTATAATTTAAACAGCTGTTGCTCTTTTGTATTTAAATGGTTTAATAGATTTGCTTTGCTTGATAATTTTGAAACAAGAACAAAACATATGGACGAACAGGAGGAGTTTGAACAATATGAAGAACACATCAAATGGCTTGAATTGGCCAAAGAAGACATCGCTACCTGGATAAGCTGTGTGCAGACAGAGGCACAGACAGACCAACAGCGAAAGGTTGAGAAGTACAAAATAAACATATATAATCATACAACATAACAAAATCAATAAGTGTTCCTTTAATGTACCGTAAAATGGGCAACGAAGCCTTGCAACTTGTGATCCAACTTTCCCGCAGAACGGTTCAAGTGATGTCTCGCGTTTTACCACCCACGTTGAAACCTGTCTTGCAGCAAATCAGGATGTTCCAGGTTGTGCGACTTTGTTGGAGAAAGAAGAGAGTGGTTCTACTTTTTTAAACAAAATGTTCGGTACATGTTGCGCGTTTTACCGCTCCAAGGCAACCGTTATTGCAGCAAGTGACGTAACTACCGTGTATGGCGTAGCTCCCTCCCTTCCAATCAGAAGTCAATATTCACGCAACTTACAGCAACCTAATTTGTTGCAAAACAGGTTTGAACTGATTGCCGTGGTAAAACGCGCAACATCGCTTCTCCAGTCGTTTTACGACAATTTTTTCGAAACAAGTTGCAGGTTTTTGATGCCCAGTGGTTTACCATTAGTTTCCGGTATATGCAAAGTCGTGACTAGCCTTTATTAACAGACGCCCCTCCCCCTGAAAAAATTTTTGGAGGGGAGGGGAGGGGACGTCTTGACACAGGCTAAGTAGTGACCTACCTACCGATCTATTTTCCCACAAAAAGCTCCCCACCCACCCACTCACCTACCTCCCGACCCACCCACCTACCTAACTACATTCCACTGTACTAAGTGGCACTATTTTCATCGTATTCAGAGGACGCATCTTTTCTTGGTTCGTTTCTCCAACATGCTTGGAATGTCCTTGAACTGTACTGGTTGCGGTATCACTTGGGACAAAGGAAAAGACTTCTGGGGTTGTCTTAATTGCCCAAATGTTAATTTGTGCGGGAGCTGTAACCTGTGTGAGTATTCAAAAAGTTAAATCAATTATATATGCCGCTCACTGAGTGGCAAATTTTCGCTATTTTATTATAGCGCTGGATTAGACCATTTTCGATGTATTAAAATTCATACTTAGTTTCGAGGCTTGGGGGAATAAAACAAAAGAGCACTATTCATTACTGAGCCTCAAGATGATTTCTTCTGTTTTATTTCCCCAAACCTGGCAGCCAAGAATGAATTTTAATATATCGGAATTGGTCTATTGTTCCTCAACACTGCGCCCTCTCATTGGTCATTTCGAGGTCACATGACATCTAACCTGTTCCCCGCAGAAAGCCTCTAACCGAGCAAACAAAATTTGTGATGTCCGAATTGACCACTCTGTGCTTTCATAAAGTTGTACACAAAGAAGTCTTTTTCCTCGCGAGCTACATAATACTAGTGGCAGGAATCGGTTAATTTTGTTTTCAGAAAATGTCAATGTTTCCCTGTTCTACGTTTTTCTGTTTTGTGTAATTCATTCCAAAGAAATACACTGAGGCCACTGCTCACAGAAATTGCGTATATTTTATACATGTATACAGCAAGTTCAAATTTATATTACATGTAATCTGCTTGAGCAAATAAGAGAGAAATGTAAGAGGGAAAAAAACAAAGTCTAGAAAAATAACGTCATCGTGACCATAACCCCTGATCATTTATCCATGTTTTTGTTCCGCAGGTGGAGTAAACCCTGATGGCCATTCAGAAACTCACGATACTGTTTATCTAAGGTAAACAACTCTGCCTCGTTCCTAGTTCTATGCAAAGGGAGCAGAGGAGGCTAGAGATTCCAACCCTCCCGTTTTCGCTTGATATTCACCCGGTTTTTGAAACTCTTCCTAGCCAAAGAAAGATGATGTGTTCTTCGTTTAACCAGTCTTTTTTAGCACGAATCTTTGCCGTTTTTCTGTGGTTTCTCAGCCATTTCTACCCTTTTGGTATCCAAGCATGATCCTGCGATAACTTTGACCTCGGTAATGCACTTATGTGATAGGGACCAATTGGCCTCTACTGCTTGTTAAAAATTCCACTATTTTCAATGGACTGTAATCTCAGGAAATGGCATCTTAGGGGTAAATATCTTAAAAATTTTGGAATCTCTGCGCAAAAGCGAGGACGTTATTCACATCTTTGCACGTGCTTAAGGACGTGTATAGAAAATGCGTCTTTTCCAAACAATCCATGAAGAGTAACCTCTGGATAAACAGCCGACGTCCTTTTTTAAGACGCTCCAAAGCTGTGGCCATAGTTGAGAAATCTAACAAAAAATGTATAAAAATAAATAACTCAGAACATCTGTATATTTAGTGGTTACCCGTCTGGTATATTTTTGATCGAATTAAATCTAAATATATTGGTTTTTGAGGAGAGAGATAACCTCTTGGATAATGGAAGAAACCCAACGACAATCGATCCAAAATACGGTATCAGGATTCGAACCCAGGCTCAACTAATTCCTAAACCACAGTTTATTGAATAGCTGGTTCAGTATTTGGTGAACATCAATGTAAAAGAAAGGTAAAATTCTTGATTTTTCAGAGTCTGGTGTGATGGATGTGGTGGTTGTATAGTTGGAACACGATATCATTGCAGTGAGTGCAAGGAGATGAATCTGTGTACTGGATGCCATTTCTCTGGAAAGTTCCCGGAAAGGTAAAACCCTTCTAAATTTTTTTTGGGTCGACCCCCAAAAAATTTATAAGGGTTTGTATGGAGCATAACTGGGCTACGATCCTGACAAATCCCATAATTTCAGAAATTTCATTTTTATGACGTCATCACTTTAGTACTCTATTCTAGAGCTCTAATTGGCTTAGGTATATGAGCCGTTACACCATGCTCTCCAAATATGGTAACTGTACGCGTCTACTCAAAATTTTTAAAAAAGCTACAAATCGGTTGTTTTTTACAAATAAAGTCGGGAAGAATTCTCGATATTTTGTAGGCTTTTGCGATAAAACAATTATTCCACTCGCGCTTGTTGGATATGAGATGATTATGGCTATCTACCATCTTTTATCCAACGCGAACTTAATTGTTAATTATACCGAGGACTTCATTACATAGGGGTTCGTTTTATGGAAGCTTCCGCTGTAACCAGGGTTTGCCCCAAGTAAGCTTTCACTCGCCCCATGTAAGGGCACTCAAGATAGTCTTGGATTCTGGATTCCAGGCACTGGAATCCGGATTGTTTGTCAGTGGAACTTGGATTCTGGATTCCAATCGTCATCAGGATTCCGGATTCCTTGAGCTGTATCCCGGAATCCAAAGCCCAGGATTCCGGATTCCACAAACACAAATTTCCCGGATTCCGGAATCCCTTAATTACATGAGGCGATCGCAGTCAACGAAGCAACCTTCTCAAGCAGAAGCGAAAGCAAAGGGAAGGGAAAGAAAGGAAAAGTTGGGTTTTCTCATTGTCTTGCTTAGCGCGTCACTCTACAATCATGACATTGAACTAACCCGTTTGATGTTGTTTTTCCTAGGCATATTGTTACTCATAACGTGACGAAATATTCTGTTTTAGTAGCAGGTAATAATCGTTATGGAAACATTATAAATATTGTTTTATTAAGATTCAGACAGCTAAGTTAAAAGTAGCCTGCATGACAGGCGTTAAACTAAAAAGGTGGAAGGGGGAGGGGAAGGGGAGAGAGCGCAAGGAGCGCGCCCCATTATAAGCCATATTCGAATAATACACAGTCTTTTTTCTTGGTCCGTCGAGTAAAACGCACGAGACACGAAAATGACCACACGCGTGGCTGAAGGCGCGAGATGGAAAAGGAACGACCGCGCGCGTGCACTCCCCTCACTAAATCTGAAGAAAAAGAGAGACTGCTCGTGGTCTATTCGAATAAGGTTAGTCTTCATAAATGACACAAGAACTTTAAAAAGCAGATGGATTTTCTGTTCCTTCAGGAACGAAGAACACCGACGAACAACAAGAGCTACAACATTACGAAGAAAACATGAAATGGGTTGAGGACGCCAAAAAGGATTTTAACGCCTGGCGCAGTGGAGTGTGGAAGAAAGTTGTGACAAACCATCACTTACGGGTTAGCTGCTTTTATTCCCTTCTGTAACTCTACTTGAACAACAAGAAACGGATAACTCCCTTATCTAAGACCTGGTTCAGAAGTCCAAAGAAGTTAGCTAGAACTGAGCGTGCAGAGAAAAACTTGACAAAGCCATGTCTACTTATTCAGCGGCTGAAGATGATAAGCTAAAAGTAATAACACAGTTTGAGGCGAAAAACGCGTAAAATGCCCGCCCACAACAATAAAAATTTGCAGCAAGCAAATGCAATGGATAGCTAGCTTTTGCGCAGCAGAATAAACAGAAATTCCGGCGAGTCACCAAGCTAGCTTGGCTCATACAGACTTTAAATTAATCTCACTTCTTTTTATGTGACTGATGAATCATGGAAACAATAATCGAGGTTAGGTTTGTTTGTTTTCGTTCCTTTCCGACAGAGAGTGTTACTGTTTTTGGCGCGGTTCTCTCATGTCATCGGCGGCACCAAAATCTGCGACGGATGTGGAACGGACCTTGTGAAAGGCACCAGACAATTTTTCTGTCTTACCTGCTTGAAAGTTATTTTGTGCAACTCCTGTCACGAATGTGAGTGTTTGTAAATGTAGCGAAACAAAATTTTAAGTTAGTAGTGAGAAAAGCCCTAAAAGTTAAACTGAAAATGTAGTGATGATGGTGACTGACGAAACTCAGCAAGCTGAGTTGAATAGTTTTCCTTTGCCAGTCAAATATTTAAGCTCAGTCAGCTTCATAACTGCAATCCTCTCTCTGACCCAATTACAATGTATGACACGAGACAAACTAACCAAACACTTGACATCGTAAAACGCCATGGTATGCATTGGTCAAGAGGCTAATCGGGGAAGTTCATTCCCGAACCATTTTCTCCTACACACAGGACTTATTTATTTTCGAGATGTACATATTTCCTTCAAAACTAACCTGGTGGCGCATAACTAGCCTGCAAACACAGATGTATTTCCAGTCGTCGCTTCTCTCCAGCGACGTCTGGAAATACGTCTGTGTTCGCAGGCTAAGGGATACCTGGTTGAGGTTATTTTGCTAGCCTGCGTCGAAAACAATCTAAACCTTCTGACGGACTATACAAACGGTTTAGACGATGCGTGGACCGGCTGCAACGCAGGCTATATTTTTCTTATTCTCTGAATTTTTTTCTTGCTCAACAGCTGGAGAGAAACCTGAACGCCACTTAAAAACTCATGATATTCTAGGAATGAGGTGGGTCAGGAAAACAGCCAACCTGTGGCCGAATGTGATGCAAGAACAGTTGCGGATCCAGGCCTTTACATAAGGGGGGGGTCATCCAGACCCTGAGATAAGGGGGGACCCGGTCTTAGTTTGGTCTAAAAATAGAGGGGGTGTGGACCCACCGGGCCCCTCCTCTGGATCCGCCACTGAAGAATGTCCCAGATATAACGACAGGGAGTTGTTTAGAAACTCACAATACAGTCTATGCATTCAGTTTTATCAGGGCTGCTAACAGCCAGTCACAGATTAATCTCCTCCGCAGCCGTTCTTTGTGTCGTTAGGCAACGCTCGCGTAGGAGACAATTCACAGATTTTGAAAACATTTCGTAATAGTCATGACTGATAAGTACGAATGATTCACGGAATCTCGCGTTTTCACATTGCTTTCCTATAAACAAACGTAATTTTAGTTTACCTTTTTTCAGATTTTTGTGTGAAAGCTGCGATAGCTACATCGTTGGAGCACGGTATCACTGCGGCGAGTGCAAGAATGGGGTTGATCTTTGCACCGGATGTTATTCATCTGGCAAGTTTCCGAAAGGGTAAATAGGAATATTTTTGTATCAGAAGGATATTGCATTTTTTAAAGCCAGTGGTCAAGCCTGGCAGGAGCGGTACCTGCCCCTTCCCACTTATTATTATTTTTACCACACTTAATATAATATCGCATGAACTCTACAATATAATATTGCGGTATGAGCCCTTCGAGATGACATGAGTAAGTATTGAGGGGTATGGCAATAATGAGCACCGTGACGTCATTCAAAATGGCCGCCATCTCGGCTATTACCATAAATTCAGCGTTTCCTATACTTCTTTTCATTCTAGGCACACTGCAAATCACGAAATGACGAAATTCCCCCCTGAGACAGGTAAAGAAATATACAAGAAAATATGGGTAATAATATTAATCAGTGTCATTGGTTCATGGATTTAAAAATATTTTTTTCTTATGATAACCTAAGGGCTTTGCAACAGAAATTGTTCCAGAGAAGGATCACAGGCACAATACATCGCCCCATTAATGAATTAAGCTATTTTGTTATTGCTGTTTTATTATGAGATAGTTCATATGTTCCTCTTCTACCGTGCTTTGATGAAGTGTACTAAAAATAACTGCAGAAATCGTTTGAACACCCACAGCCTCCCCAAACCCAAACATCCGTTCCTAATCAAGACTGATCAAAATCCACCCAACAATTTAACATCATAGTTGGCTATTATGGCGTACCTCTCTACTTTGTCTCACACTGCATGTTTATGATGAGCACGGCTTTGCAAAAATTTTTAAGGTAATATGTTTCCTTCACTACACAAAACTAAGGGTACATTAAATTATCTTCCTTTGTTAACATTAACACTGGCTTCGTTTATAGGTGTTTCTTAATGCTTTGAATTTTTTATTTCCTTTTTTTGCGCAGCAAGTGAAGTGAACGCTAAATTCCACTCGGAAGCTCACGATGCTATAAAAACGAGGTAGACGTTGAAAGGAACCAGTCTTTCACCTTGAAAGTCGTTTTTTTAATTATATGGTAAAATCCTCAGAATGAACGCAAGCGGAAACGCTCTAGGAGAGGATTAAGTATGATTTAGCATTATCTTGTACAAAGAAAACACCCGTAACGGTTAAAGTGAAAATTTATTCGGGAAACACATACCTGGTTTTCTGAAACCATGCTATTGAAGGGATTTAGAGTCCGCTTTCGGCAAACGTCAGATTCAAGTTGATAAAATTCTCAAAATAGAAAATGAGCAGATAAAAACAGTCCAAAACCATTCTTACGGATAAAATAACGGGATGCAACTATTTTTAACTTTGTAGAAGTAAGAGACAAGTAAAGGGAATCTTGGTCACATGGTACAAAGATTCATGTTTGCCGTAAACGTGATTCTAAAGAGAGAGTTTAAGCTTCACGTTATATTATTACGACAAACGGCAGATTCAAGTTGAGAATTTCTCAAAATAATAAAAAAGAGCGGATAAAACAGCTCAAAACAATTCTTATGGATGAAAAATTGTTTGAAACGACTAAATTTGGTGTAGAATTAATTAACAGTAAACGACAAGTAAAGGGGACACTTGGTCACGTGGTACAAGTTTGCGTTTGCCGTTTGACATAAACGTGTCGCTTTACCTCTCTAATGTCGAATGCAAGTAAAATAACTTAAATTTTCCCTTTTTTCTCGTTATCGAAAGTGTAAGGAACCAATAACTATCACTATTGATGTACTACTATATATTAGAGGTAAGACACGAACTAGTTAGTTTTAGTAGTCACGAACTCTCCGTTTGGCTGTCTCGTATATCTTTTTTCGACCTCGTCCCGGGGGCGCTCCTGTTTTCCAACATGGCCGCCAAATTGCAAAACAGACAGTTATAAGGAAACCAGTTGCATTATCCAGTGGAAAGAGATTTATCCGGTAGTTAAGCGTTATCCAGCATGGGAACGAAACATTCACCGAAAGTATACTGCACGTGCAACCTGTTGTTAAAACATATCGCTTTTTCCACCTTTTCGTTGCCACCCTTAAGGTCCCAGTTAGAACATATTTACGGGGTAGTGGCACATGCGAAAACTAATATAAAAGCTTTTTTTAAACTGAGAGGAAAGAAACCTTTTTATTTTTTTTTTTTATTCTAGCCAATCAAAAACTCATCCCATTTAGGGATGCAATGTTCTTTTTGCTGTTTTAGTTATTAGGAATTGAATCAAAGTTTTAAACTTCTTTTGGTATGAGTATTCTCCCTCATTTTTCTAGAAATAAAAAGACTGTTATATACAACAGAGAAGAAGTTCTGCAATCCATCTCTATTGCATTGAGGCACTGTTTCTAAGTACTTCTCCAGTAATCAGTTAGTTTTTTGAAAAAAAAAAAGCCATCCAGTTATTCAAGGGGCGATTATTCCTTCCAACAATACGACACTGGCAAATCGAATGATTTACCACATTATTATTAAGAAATTGTGTACCTAGGAATATCTGTATACTTTAGGAACGCTATGTGAAAGTTTCTCTCGTTTTGCCAAAGAAAAAGGGTTTTCGCGTTGAGGAAATTCACAAAAACACTCGCGTTGACTTATCAATCATTGATATAGTTTTCATTATAATAAACAGTTATTGAAGACAAAATGATGAATTTTTCGAATCTTTTGTTTGTTTGATTTGTCTCTTTCCATAGCCTCACACGCAGACGTTCTTAAGGCCTCGTCACTTGTCCGTCAAAGGCACGCGATCACGGTTATGCGCATGCGCACCGTCGGTCTCTTCAGAATAAATTCGAAATCTGACATCTGTAGCTTTGGCTGGCCTAGTTATACTTCGGTAGCAGTTATTAACGTGTAGTTGTGTCGTTTGACTGGTCAAGTTTTCCAAAGAAAAACCTCAGACTATTGGCGTTACAAGAAGATTTTATATATAACCTACGAGCGAGAAGCCAGCTGACTGACCGCGAAGCATTCTCACAACCGGCGCGACTGCTGCTCTCATTTGTGATTGGTTCATAAACAATGAACTTGCGTCATCGCTCGCACATGCGAGTAACCGTGAACCAGTCCCTTTAACCACGAAGTGGGGGAAGAACCAGTGGCGGATCCACGGGAGGGACCCGGGGGGGCCCGCCTCCCCCCCTTATTTTTAAACCAAACTGAGGCCCGAAGGACAGAAAAATGTCTTTTGGATACCGGTTCCCCCCGTTACCTCAGGTTTTGGATGACCGCCCCTCCCCCCCCCCGTCCCAACCACTTATCTCCAGGTCTGGATCCGGCTCAAAGAACGAGATTACTGTTTACATAGATTCCAAGGAAATTTATATCCGTTAAATCTCTCGGAGGTTAAAAACAGTCAAACATTAGAACCCAAAATATAGTGGGCGTCGCTAACGAGAGGCTTTGACAAAGAGATACCGGGTATTTAGGAAGGCGTGGTCGCGTTCATGAGGTAGTCTGGATTCGACCGCGTCTGACTTAAGCTGGACGCAGCATAGCAAGTCTGTAAAACTTTATTGAATTAAATTCAGCCGAAAGAAGTCACAAATGTACCTAGACACTAGGCTATTTTGCAAACTTACGACCTAAATTGCAAAATATAAAAAATTGTAATTTTAAAAAGCTTTAAAATAATTTTCAAAAAACAGTGTCGACAACAATAATTGCCCAGTAACAGAGCACGCACACATTGGTCGCGTGTTTAACGTTAAACATTTTTTCTAATATAAACCCTGGTTGTTTACCATTTAACAAGCAGAGTGATCGAAGTTGAATTAAAGGAGATTTGCAAATGGCTCACTCATTTCTTCGTTGATCAGAATGTTAGCTTTACCTTTAAGAAATCCCTTTTTCGGAAATTTCCCGTAAAGTACCTGGCCAGAGGAAAGGCCTTCTTCTTAACCCTTCGTGGGTACGACCCTGCCTTCTAACCCATATTTACGGAATTTAGGGATTAAATGGTAAACAACGTAATAATAAAGAGGGGGAAAATTCAATAAAATTTCCAAATTTTACTTTGTAAAAAAACCTAGTAAAAGTAATAATGAAGAGATTTCAATTGAATGGGCAAACCGTAGGATTACAACCACAGAAAATCAAAAGTTAGAAAAACCATACCAAAATCCATTCATCACTCTAAGGGTGAAAGGGTTAGATTTCAGAATGTTATTACATTCAACCTCTTTTTCAAGTTAAAGCTTACAAGTTAGTCACGTGACCAAAAGAAGTGACCATGTGCAAACTGCCTCAGCAAGCACCTGACAAAATTTTCATAACTTCGTATGGGTCCTCAGGCCTCCTGGTCAGCGCTGGTCGCCAGGAAACGGTGGGAAAATGGAATTTTTAACACACTAACTAGGAGTGCAGTAAACGAAAAAGTACAGAAAGGTAGACTAAAGCTACAGCTAAGAACCATCAACTTTAAGTTTGTTCTCGTCTTCACGAACCAGGGAACAGGGTTGTAGTTGATATTGACAGTTAGAAAACAGATTTAAAAAATCATGATCTTCCCTTCCATCCCGGCGACTACCTCTGACCAAAAAGTTTGAAGGCTCTGGGTATGAGATTGTTGTCAATCTTTATAAAGTAATTCTTAAAAAATTCAGTTATTGCCAAGATTTTGCAATGCCTCTTGGGCGTATAGATCCCAAATATTTTTAGATACAAATAGAAGAGACGTGCATCCCGCTGTTATTTGCACATTGCCTTTGTCTGACGAGAGACGAACCCGCCGTCTCCGAAATTATAATAAAAATTTCAATCGTGAATGTATAAATCTTAATTATCATGCTAACTATAGTTCGCTAAGCACACTTCAAAGATAACATATACACGTAGTATTCTTATCGAAGTTAATACCATTTAAATAAGAGTTATTCTTTAGACTAATAAGTACTTAACCAGAAGCACGTATTTCTTATGTGATGTGCCAACTACGGCTTCGAGCAGAAAGCCTCTGTTCATAAACTGTCAGTGACACTCGTCTCTATATTTTTGCGTTTAAAATTTCAAGGGCCTCATAATTCATTAATGAGAGCAGCTAATGGGTGCTGTTTTACTACACATCAACCAAAGTGGTAACTGTTCGATTTACCAATTTTTGTAAAAAAAAAAAAAAAACACCCAATAGGTTAATACGTCACGAGAGATCGGGTCGTGAAACAACCCGCTGACGTCAGCAATGAAGAACCCCCGCCCCTGTTCATATCATCTATCATTTTTTTAGCACTTGACTTCAAATCCTCTACTACTTCTCAGTATAGAATTAAACATTCTAAAAACGTCTTGAAAATTATAAATAACTTAGTTTAACAAAAATAACTCTTTACTGCCTACCAAGAGCCTACTGATTACTATATAAGGCATAGCGAACCTTATTCGTAAGGCTGTAGGCGATAATTCTTAACGTTTCACCACTTTAAAAGAAAAAAGATAAAATTACCCTCGTTACCTAATTAAAGTGCCATACGTAATTTATGGTCGAGAACTGTTTGGAGAATATCCCGGAGGAAGGGTACTTCCTCGTAGTAGGCTAATGGGGATGTGCCGCTGGATGGGGTCGCATTTTCACGACTGGGTTAACTATTATGGGGTTGCATTTTCATAACAGTTACTAGACTGGAGTCGTCCATTTTTTGGGATTTTGAGGGTCAGAAAATTCAGGTATGAAGGGATTTAAAAATAGAAAGATTTACACCACATTAAGTTTAACAAATGTGTCAGGTCATTACAGGATGACCAAAAGGCTAAAATATGTAGATGCATAAACAGAAAGTGGCTGAGTTGGAATTGCGACTATAATGGGGTAGAGGTTCTGAGAGGCCAGCGGCACATACCCAGGAAAAATTATTTTCCCCCCATGGAGAATATACGGCGGGATTTTAGGTTTTTTAGGGTTTAAACTGTTAAGACTTTCAAAAAGTACGTGTATACTTTCCCTTTATCTAAAGCCTGTTCCCGGCGTTCAGATCGTGGGGGCAACGAAAAGAGATGTGAGTGGTAAAAAAAGAACAGGCTACTTCATCTATTACTTAAACTCGTCGAGGGCCATTAATTCACTAAAAAGCGAACTTTTTTTTAGGATTATCAAATTTCCACTCAACGAAGGAGTGCCGGGCACTAGCACTCGGACTGTCGCGCTTTCACATTTTGTTGAACTCTGGTTGATTAAGAATTGAAAGAACCCCAGGTAAAATAAGGACAAGTGCCATTAATCACACTGGAGTAGAACAAGGCAAAAGTTTGAAATAAGATAAATTTGCTATTCTCAGACATAGTTTTTCCGTGAAGAAACAAGAATAAATTCGTCTCTTCCTCCATAAATTCTTGGGGTTATTTTAGCGGCTACACAGACCTAAAAAACAACTGAAAAGTCAAACAATTTGGTTGTTAGGTAGTGCGCAATGACATGAAATGTAGAATAACGTGCAGATCACATGAGGATCACGTGCACCCCAGCTTAGGAAATAATTGGTTATTTGACCATTTAAAGTAGAAGACTAGGTTAACAATTTTTACATATTTTTAAAAACCAAAGGCAGTTACTCAGTGCATTAATACGTTACTTTTCTTTTGGTTTTTTCAATTTTTCACGCTTTTTCAGTTGCCACATCATACTCAAACCCAACTTAACCTGCAAGCGTTCCAAATGGTCAGTTGTTATGGTTAGATTGTCGTTGGTTAAGGCAACAAGCCTTCTTTTTGAGGAGCCTTTATCGAAGGTTGTTTAAATCGAGCTTGAAGACGACTTTGATTTTTGCCTTGCCTACCTAACCGTGACTCCGACGTTCATGAACGATTGGGTCAACTTCCGTATCAGCAGGGTTTCTTGTTTTCAAGTGCCATGCAGTGAAGTTCATCACTGCCTGTCATCACGAACCTTCAAACTTCAAGTAACCAAAAACTTGGATTCGTTCCCCCAGTCATGAACTCTAAGTTTGAATCCATATGGGAAACAGAGCGTCGAGAAGTTGAATATCACTCTATTTTGGGAGACTTGCACTCTTTTGTTGGTTAAACTGATTCCACGATGTGTCCATGGCTTTTCAATCTTTGTGAGAAGAATTCTATAAACTTGAAGAACCTCATGTTCTGACAGTAAGAAATTGTGTGCTCGCGGTGATGTAAAAGTCGGCCAATTTGACTATAGCTTGGTGCTCCTATTTATGAAACAATAATGTTATTTTGTTCGCGCAAAGACAAAGACCATTTGCGTCTTTTAATCATATCATGTGATTTTGCGGGCCCAGATCTCACAGAGTTTACGTTCCATTACTCCTCGGTACTTCCATGAGCCGTGGATCCTTGATGCTTGCATTATAATTATATTCCATACTTGTAGTTCTGGTTTAAATTTTCGACGTAGCCAAATAGTGGCTCTAAGAAGTCCTAAAACCTTCATTTTCGATGGCATTGACTCTATCTTTTGCAACACACTGTTTTCTCATCAACTGTAAACAGTGCCATAGGGTAACCCTCGCTTCCAAGTCTTTCTTAAAAGACGTTCGAATCTGCTTGACCTTCTGGGTAATACTGATAACGATTATAGAATAAAAGCCGTATTTTATGAACGTGCAATTCGCGCATTAGTGAAATCGACGCAGATTCAGTGCTAGACTGTCGTATGGGCCCTCTGTGAATTCTCCTCGCCTTTGCTCATTCCACAAACCAGAATTCCTCTAGGCGTAGGTGATCTAGGACTTCTTCCATCCACATTTTCCAGTTCTGTGGAATTTTTGGAGTTATTCAATCCCTTCTCTTTGTCTTTTGCTCGTTGTTCCTCAGCTTTCTTCAGTTCTTCCTCCTTCCGTCTGTTCATCTCTTTGCTGTAAAAATTCTCAAAGTTGGAAACGATAACGGGCACAGGGAGGGCAATGGTTAGCACACCTGTGCACAAGAGAAAAAGCGAAAGGAAATATGAGATACGACGAGTTTCAGGTCTAATGTCGCTTTCCATGCTTAGCATGCTTGGATGTCAAACAAAATAGCTTTTCATCACGACAAAATTGTCGAACGAAAAAAATGTGCTCAGTTTTCAATAGTTCATTATGCTATCATCTTTCACATTTAGAACTTAAGGGTAAAATATATGAGCAAAGACTACTGGTACCAGTGGCGGATCCAGACCATCAGATAAGGGAGGGGGGAGGGGTGGTCTCCCCCCAAAAAAATGGGGGAGGGGAGGGGGCTCTGGGCCTCAGTTTGGTCTAAAAATGAGGGGACGCCCGGCCCCCCGGGCCCCTCCCCTGTATCCGCCACTGGATACTGAAAGGAAAGGAAGAGAAAAGTAGTATAAAAACAGCGTATTTAACACATCCTAGATGCATTGGGCCCTAGAGAATAGCTTAAGTTACATGAAAAACCCCACCATTTTCGGAGAACTAGCCATTCCGATTGAAGTTGGGTAGTAAGTGATTTTACAGAACAAAATACAAACGGTCGCAAAGCCTATAGAACGAGGGTAGAGCTTAAAAGACGTGCTTCTATTATGTAAAAACTGCTTGCTTAACGCATTCATCCTAGATGCACGAGGCCCCGAAGAATAGCTCAAGTTACATGAAAACCCCTCCGTTTCGGAAAACTAGCCAATCCGATTAACGCTGGGCAGTAAGGGATTTTAAACAACAAAATACAAACGATCGCAAAGCCTATAGAACGAGGGTAGAGCTTTTCACTGAAATGCTTTAACGAAATGAAGCCATGAATGCCTTCCCCACTCTGTCCACGATAGAAAAAACCATTCCTCTTAAAATTCTTTGCATTTTAAGAGGCAACTTTACGTTCTGTTTAGCTTAAGTTGTGGTTGTAATTACTCAAAACGTTAGCCTTTAAGTTTCTTTGTAAATTTACGTTCAAGACTAAGCCAAAATTTACATTTTTTTGCAAACGTCCATTTTTACAAGCTCACATATGGATGATACAAAATTAGTGGTCAACGAAACATTACGGGTGCAATGCTCCACCAGAAAAGCTTAACTTGCAAAATGGAGTAAATTGCTTCCAAAAACTCAGGCGCTCCACGTAAGGGAATACGGATTCCGAAATCCGAGAAATTTTTGCTGGTGGAATCCGGAATCTCGAATCCGCAAAATCCGGAATACAGCTAAATGAATCCAGAATCCCACTAACGATTGGAATCCAGTATCCACTGCCAAACACTTAACTCCAGTACCTGGAATCCGGAATCCCCAGCGAGAAATCCAGAATCCAAAACTGCCCTGGATTCCCTTACGTGGGAGGTTCAACCTCATTCTGGTGTGAACCGCGCATTTCCTGAAGGCCCGGAACTAAGTCGTTCCCAGTCGTCTTCGTGCCACCAGGGAGACGTTGTCAGAGACGACTGGGGATGAGTCAGGTTTCAGGAATGAGAGAAACGAAGAAAAAGGTTTAATTATCGAGAGCAAACGATAAGTGTATAACGAATTTCCGTGAAAAATAATTAAGAAAAATCAAACAAAGTAAATGGCACAAGAAAGCTGGAAGCTCAACCGAATTCTGTCGTTTTCATTTTTATCAGTATAATATCTACTAAAATCCAGCAGTACGAAAACACAAATCGTCGTCTCACCTCATTGTACAGGATTTACTTTGACTGCGAATTGCAATGAACACGGCCTCTGGGCAATTCTCGAACAAACCCTGCAATCTTATTTCACTAAAAATATGCAGAAAGTAATGGAATATACAGTCGTCTCCCGGTAATTCGAACCGTCAAGGGAAACAGAAAAACGTTCGACTTATCGGGAGTTCGAGTTATCGAGGGTAAAATTGTATAAAAAATGTTTTGAAGGGAAATGAAAATTGCTTCGAGTTAGCGGGAGGTTCGAGTTATAGAGGGTTCGAGTTATTGGGAGTCGACTGTAGAACCAATTCTATTTTCTTTCTTGAAGCAAAGTTCGAGGATTTGCTTTGGAGTGAATTAGAAATTCGGCTGTTTAGAATAAGAACAAGCTACGTTGTAGTTCAGAAGACTCTGTACTGACGCTATCCTAGGCTATGATCACACTTTCCCAGATAACTTTTGCGCTGGCATTAAAACAATACCGGATAGGGCTTCTATTCACACATAGGAACGGTGATTTCGGCGCGATTTCTGTAACGGAGCGAAGCTGCGCTGCGCCAATCTCTAAAGTGGAGAGTCACATATCGGATAGGTGTTCATACTATACTTGATAGTTTTTAGTGTTGGCACGATAAGCTGTTCGGTGTAGTATGAACAGAGGCTTATCGACGATAGAGCTGAATTAGTTAGCAGGTATATATTTTCGATAACAGGTGTTGCAATATGTCAAGCTGATTAATAAAACAAAGCGGAGCTCCTTCGTTAGGTATTCTCAGTAAAATCTTTAAATACATTTATTTTCCTAGCAAATTAAATCTTTGAACTCGCGTGGAAGCCCACGCAATATTCGCAGAAAAATTATGTGTTAAAATATATTTTATATGTTAAGATGGAAAGCCAGGCTAGATTTGCAAAATTCTCACTTTCCTTTGAACGTTTCACCTTTAGATCACAACGCCGATGAATCTCATTTCACAATTCCATTTGCGATTCTATGCTCTTGTTATATTTTTCTTTACGTACAATAGTCGATGCAAGGTGTGTTTCTAAAAAAAATGTTTTCTTCAGTGAAAATCCCTGCTGCGACCCGACTCGAAACAAGATTAAACAAAATGATAATTTCGCGAAATAACCAGTGTTTTGTCGCCGACGAAACGACTGAAAAATCAAACGTTACGTTCCATAACGAAGAAAACGAGCTTAACATGATTTCTTTAAAATCATTAAGTTATAAATTTTGCATTATGCATATGGTTTCCGAAGTGAGTTTTGAATTTTCAAAAGCCTCAGTAGTAGTTCACAATGTTATTGTTTGCTGTCCACTCCATTATTTCTTATCACAATTGTTGATTAAAGATTTGAAAAGAAATTTCTTCAGTTTCGAGATAAATGACTGAACCAACTACCGCAAAATCAAACAACGTTTTTCCTTTTAATAATGATACTGGAACTACTCCGAAACGTACATTCAGTCTATTGAAATCTGTTAACAAAAAAAAAATTATCCCAAAAAGTGAATCCAGAAAATTCCTTCTTTACTACTGTCTATATGAAACAATCTGTTTATTTAACCCAGGCTGTGAAAATTCTTTCTTGACTTCAACTTGGTCTTTTACGAAATGGTTTATGCGACAAAACACTCGAAAACTGTGTAGATTTAATGAAAGTGTCATGTTTCTATTTTCACGTACACTTCTTTAGCCAGCAGGTACTGATAAATATTTCAAAACATGACAAACTCTCTGTTGACTCAATGCACAACTCTAATTTAATTTTTCTGCCGTTAAGAAGTATGGGCCTCGAAGCCTTTTACTTCCTGTTGTTTGGAAAGGTTCGTATTTAAATCATGCTTCAAAGCCTTTAAGTTTAACTTTCAAAGCTAAAAGCCAAATATAAGTCAAAAGCACTTGCCTATTGTTATCATTTTAGCGTTCTGAAGCTAATTAATATTTAAAAACGAACTTCGGGTTGAAATAAGCACTATAAAAAAGTTTTTGAATTTTCTTCCACGAAAAAAAAAATTACTTTACTTGGACAAATTTCACTTTGTTTAAACAGCGTTGCTTTCTTTGCAGAATTATTGCCGTCCAGCAGCAGGCTTCGGAAGAAATCATTCATCGCCACTAATTCAAAACAAAGTTATTGTATTTGGTTGGCTCACACTCTATTACTTATTCACAGAGTGAAAGTAACAGAAGGTTGGCAAGATACGCGCGCGTTCCACGAAACGCGCGTGAATCTCGCTACCCAGAAAAATAATTTGCAATGAAATAGTACGAAAATTTGCTCAAGGAAATTTGTCGTTTGAAATTTTTCAACAAATTGAACATTTGCTTATCTTTTCTCAAGGTATGTGATATGCTTAAACCACCAATTTTGAACTTGAAAGTAGACAGCTCAATTGGATAAGAGACAGACGCGAACGGAAGAGAAATCAGCGTATAATTTTTATCAAATATAGCAAATTAACTTTTACAGTACTCATTCATTCTAGCGCGTTTGAAATTAAAAGTGGCTTTGTTTTTCGATTAACCTCAATCAGATTAACTTCAATTCCCGTCAATGAATCGGCCTAATTTTTGGGCCAATTTTACAATACGTCATTTTAAGGGTAAATAAAGGAGACATGTCATGTGTATGTAAGCAGAAACCTTATATCAATTGAAGCTAAGAATTATGGCTTTGAGAGAGTCAATGCGTCATTATCTCCCCCTATAAAGCCTCATGGCTCAAGTGTAATTATATATTTGGGGGACAAAATTGGCAGTGAACTAAAAGCTACATTTTAGTGATTCACCTGATCTTCAGTTCCAAACGAATTTGAGCTCTCGAGAAACGATTTTCAAACGGTCTCGGAGCAGTATCGCATTATGTTGAACTTCAAGTCATTTTACAGGCATTTAAACTCGTTCCGCAAGTGCTTTGTTTCGTTGTCTTTGAAGCGTGGTTAAGGTGTGCTATTGCATTAGCTTGAGTTTCTTAAGTGTTCTTAGCATGCGTTCCTGTAATTTAAAGGATTTCACACCAATTGAGTATCACTGCCATGTGCCGTTGTTTTTAAAGCGTGCCCAACGCTTGCCATTGCAGTTGGTTGGTTTCTTAACGTTCTAAGCACGCGCTACTGTATTTTAGGGGCTTTCACATTGATATATTTCGTTGGTTTTGAAGTGTGCTTATATATAACGTGTGCCATTGCATTAGGTTGGCTTCTAAAGTCTTCTAAGCACGCGCTACTTTTTTTTTTGGCCTCCAGACCTTGCCGAATTGTTGCTTTTAATCCTATCAGATGAGTGTCACAGCATTAGGTTGGCTTACCTGAGATAGCGCAAAGTGCCCCGACGATCTTTCCCGGGAAGCTTTCTGGAGACACGTCTCCATAGCCTACAGTCGTCATGGTGACAACTGCCCACCAAAAAGCGTGAGGAATACTTGGGAAATTGCTGTCGAGGCCTCCTTCCGCATAGAAAACACAGCTTGCAAATATCATGACGCCAATAGCCAAGAAGAACATTAACATTATCAACTCATTTAAACTTGCTCTGAGCGTGTTTCCTAATATCTGCAGACCGCGCGAGTGGCGCGAGAGTTTGAACACGCGAAACACGCGGACGACACGCACCACGCGAAGGACAGAGATGGAAGAGTCGTCCTCTTGGAGCCCTAGTTGAACGTAATACGGTAGTATGGATAACAAGTCAATAATGTTTAGCGCTCCGATTAGAAATTTGAATTTTTGTGGAGACGTAAGGAAGCGAATTACGTACTCGCCCGTAAACCAAACAATGACAAAAGTATTGAGCCGAAACCAGATTTTGTCGTAAGGATTAGGTGGAGGCTTCCAATCGTCTGTTGCGTTTTTTGGTTTCTCCGGATGTATTTTAAACGCCGGCAGCGTCTCGATGCAGAAAATGATTAACGAAAGAGTGATAACTATGACGGAGAAAATCGCCAGAAATTTTGCCAGGTGCGAGGAGTTCGGGTACTCGAGCGCATTCCAGACAATTCTCATGTAATAGTTGTTCGGCATGGGTTGCTCTTCGGGTTCATCAGCGATTCCCGCCTCAAGTTGAATATGTTGGACTGACTCCTCGGGTAAGTCAAAGAAGATAACTTCGTTTATAAACACATGAGGTGGTACGTGCTCCGGTCGAATTAGAGTTCCGCCAGATTGATAGTAGTAGAGAATGGCATCGAACGCGGAGCGATGCCGGTCGAAAAAGTACTCCTGACGCTTAGAGTTGTAGAACTTGGACCTTCGGCTGGCGCATCCCAGAAGGGTATCTGGAAAACGCGCCAGCGTCTCTTCGTACGTTTCAAATCGTTTTCCGCCAACGTTTATAACAATCGGGTCGTCCATATTTGCCGGAGTGTAGTTCACTAAGCTGTCATATCTGTCCATTAACTGTTTATACCCGCGAAGGTGACTTCCCGGAGCACCATTTGGATCTGAGTTCGAAGACGCAGAGGCAGTGGCTGTAGTCAACATGAAAACTGTCACAACAGCGAAGCTATCCGCTCGTCCGCTTGTAGATTAATCTTGTATGGCGCGTTGCTAGACCCACGTTTACCGCAAAATTTGTACACATGCGTAATCACAGTTTATGCCTATCAGTGATTCGCTTTAACTTGTTGCGAAGCATAAACGGCACTCGCTAGAGATCATTTTCAATTTTCTAGCTTTTCACTCGCACGGTTTCTTCACTCCTGGCCCCGCTGGCTTAACAAATGCAAGCCTCGACACATGTTTCCATCAATATATTTATGACTCTGTGTTCGCGGACCATTCAATATTGTTACATGATTATTTTATGAAGATGTCTAGAATTGTAATTAACCATCCTCTCTAGTCCAGTGCAGGAATACATTTCTCAGGCTTGAAAATAACTTCGATTTAACTATCCAACGACGGATTCATGAAATAAAAATTAAGCCTTCGTGTGAGAATTTGATTATTATATTAACTAGCGGTAAAAGAGCAGTAATGGATGGCGAAATGCCTGGTTTCAGAATTGCAAAAGCTATCGCTGAAAGCGAGAAAATCTTGCAGAGAGGGAATGGTATCAAACAATTGCTTGGAGCTACTTGGCAAGTTCTCCAACTGTGTGCATGCAAATTTACGACGACCATATTTGGAAACTTGTAACACAAAATCTACGACGTTGAAAAGAATTGTTTTAAAAATAAATCAAGGAAAATTTGAGGAAAATGTGCATTTATGACGATCTTACGCTTGTGTTGCAGCTTCCCTAATATTTTGTTATTTGTGAAATGTTTTCAAAAGTAATCTGCGATGCGATAAGGAATTCTCCTATCACCTGTTTCACGTCGGTGGAATTATCAAAATTTAAACTTTTAACTCTCAGAATTACTCAACGCAAATTAGATCAAAAACATAGCGTTTGTGTGGCTTTGTGCCTTAAACAACTGCCGTAACGATATTAAATTTAGCGTAAAAAAAACCTTTACCGTTCCAGTCTAGAAACATCGCAATACACGCTTAAGGATTTGAACGGGCAAAAAACCGAATTCTCGAAATTGCCTTGTTAAAAATTTAACTTTGGTCGATACCATAGTTAATTTTATCTCAGTCGGGAAAAAATAATAACAGATTCCGATAAGAATACAAGAGTCTCTTGGAATGAAATATAAACACAAGATTTAGGGCAACAATAATATTTGTTTTTCGTAACGTTTGAAAAATTACAATCCTAAAATTAGTTCTTCAATCGAAGCCCAGTGGATCAACAATTGAGTAATTTAGTTACGCTGGCAACTTAGGGGTTTTAAACTATTTTTTTTACCGAGAAAAACTGAGGAGATCATACGATCTTGCCAAAGGTTTAAGACAAATTTAAAGAAATTTTCGTCTGTAGCGATACCCGTTAGTTTTTGTCAACAAACCTTTTGTTCCGAAAAAAATAATTCAACAGAATACGCAAGGATCTAATTCCTGCTTGTGTTAAATTTTTAATGCTTTCGATGTTTTTAAAAGAACTGCTTAAATATGCACTGACACGGTTAATTCTGCCAATTTTTAGTATCTTTCATATAGCGTACCCGATGGCAAAACAGCAAAAACTTTAACCAAATTCTTCGGGTGCGATTTTTTTGGATAAGCGAGTTCGAAAGGCTTTTCGTGATATAAACTACGAAAAAAGAATTAGCGGGTATTCTATACACGGGAAAAATACCAGTGTAGACTATCCTAATTCAAGCTCGCCTAGGGTGATATTAAAAAAATGAAAGGGAACTGAATTTGAGGATAGAAAAAATTTTAAGCACGGGGAAAGCGTCTAGAACATAAAAGAAAATTTCGCTAGGAAAAAAGTGAATTCTTTACAAGTATTCGGTAGGACTTGAAAATAATTTTAGCCAAGCACTCGTGTGAAACAGATGTCTTGTGAGTATGTTTTCGATATCATTGTTTTTATTTTGCCTTCCTAGTTTAAACGGGCGATACCCCGTAGTTTTAATCTAAGACGAACTTTGGGCATAATTGACCACAACACTCGCGATTCCTGGGGTGGCATTGTAACATAACCTAGAAAGGCCGAGCTTCTATATATTCTATGTATTTTTTTCCGCGCTATCATATTCACAAAATAAAACATTTTTTGCAAACTTTCCGTCTTTTCCAATTGTTTGGAAAGTTTTCAGAAAGGATTAGCAATTAAATATTCAGAAGATATCATTATTGCTGGAAGATGAATAACTAACGCTCGCTGGAAAAAGTCGCGTGATTTCATGAGAACATATAAAGGTCTGTTGCATGGAATGAAAAATACTTGCTTAGAATCGATCTATATTTTCATAGGTACGCCTTGATCAAAAGTCAGTAAGACATAATTGATCCTATACTGTAAAATAAATTAGTGTAACCTGTCACAAGTAAGAAAATCAGACAAAATTGAGCGAAAAGGCAGACCGAGGCAGATTCTGCGTAAAAATAGGACTTATTACTGACTTGATTTAGCCTTTACTTAAATATTTTCTTTTAGATAGCAGCTTTTTTCAAACTGATTTACCTTTATTAACAGGGGGTAAACAAGAAGAACAAAGCAAGCAAAAACAATGATTTCGGGCATCGCGAAAGTGATGGAATTTTAAAAAATATCAAAGGCGAGCAAATCTTACAAGTTTGTTTGCAGTCAATGAAGACAATGATGTTGATTTGTCACAAGAAATTCAGTGGTATAAAGGCGTAACAATTTTCTAAAAAGTTGTAAAACTTTAAAGTCAAACCCCTGCAGATGCGACCATAATGTGGTATCCTGCAGATATTTTAATGAAATACTTCGAAAAAAATTATCAGGAAAATAATTAGAGTTTCCGCCCGATTCTCTAACTTAAAAATGGAAAAAATACTTTTTTTCCAAAAAAAAGATTGTTTGCATCCAGTTTACCTCCAACTGAACACAGATAAAGTACCACGTTAATTGTGTCTTTTTCTTTTTAGCCCTAACCTTTAAATACATTCGTAATCATAAACATTGCTTTACACTGCAATGAATCGATCCTGGTAATTTTAATAATTTTGCTTTTTATTACTACTATTTCTTGGAAATTCAGAGCCAAACAACTTTGTTAAAGTTTACTTTTTTGGTCTGTTTTGGTAACAAACGTCAGATAACGTGGGAAAACACTCGCCAGAGAACATTGCTAAAAAAGTCAGATCTACAATTGAGAATAGAAAAAGCAGGAAAGTTTCAAAAATGGTTGAGGGATTGTATTGGTTCGAATTAGAACATTCATACCAGGTCATTACCATATACATTTTAAGAAAACCGTGACCTAGTAAACTTTATGATGAAGAAATCTGACTGAAAATTACAGCCGTTTATTCCGAGTTACATGAATCGAATCTAATGAAATTTTCAAACGGAAATCACTCGACCACAGCAACTGTTTTTTATGATTCAGCATACTATGTGTGCCTTAATCATCTTCATTTAAGAAACCTTTTTGAAAACATATAGTTTGTCACAACTGGTTATGTCATTTTTTGATTTCTCACAGCGAGGGAAGACATATTTTTTTCCAAAATACTCGATTCCCCTTTCATGCTTTCACGTTTCTTTGAGTGAAACCGTAATTTAACCATCTTTTCAACATTCGTACGGCTTCAAAAAAAGAATACATTAACTCTTTACAACTGAGATTTATCACCCAATTGCTCCCCGACTTGTTCGCTTAATAGATGAAATAAGGATCTTTTGTTATGACGACACACGCAAAAACATATATTTTTTTAAATTTAGTTGTTAAAACTTGATAAAGGCCCTACTCATACTAGCAAAACCTCTACAATTAAATCAGGTTAACGAAAATTAAAATTAGCCCCCGAAAAAGCTAGAATATTGACATGGATATTGGGCTGGATAAGTTGCTTTAACTTGTGCGTTCAACAGATAGTTTTCACAATATAAAATTATTATGGGTGACCTGAAATGCGAGCCTTTGAAACTAGAAAATTCCAAAGAACAACTTTTAGTAATTCTCGCTTTAACTCTATTCCACAGTTCAGCTGACAGTTCTAGAACAGACGGGTTTAAACTTTTAATGAAGTGGACGGCAAAGGTTATGGTACTATTACGAAGGATATAAAGAGGTGCAAATCATGATAGATCAGGTCGATTGGTTATTACAGTTTGCAAATTCGCGGCGTAATTTGTGACCTATTTGTCATCACAAACGGCTCCGCCCAACAGGATTAAGCGCATGCGCAATCCCTGTGTCTGTTTTCTTTAAATAGCCTGCCATTGTTCAAAAACAATAATACGGAGCTCAAGCAACAACAACGGCAACGGCTACGAAAACGTCACTTAAAAAGTGAAGTCGCACCGCTTCAAACTTAATCGCGCTTATTCCATCTCGTTCAGTTCGTCAAATGTTGGCAATTTTTTTCTGGCGTTGAATTTTAAAAGACATGATCAAAGTTCAGGAAAAGAAAAATAAAGTCGTCTTGACTTCACGTTGTCCACGAAACGTGAAATTAGGGATTTTCGCGTCGCTGTCGTGCAGCGACGACAAGGGAATATGCAAAAAAGCGTAATGAACGTGCAAAGTTGTTGTTTTGCCATTCTAAACCTAATTTGCCTGCTTGTAGCCGTCTCCTATTTCTTTTGTTGCACGCGGAAAAAAAATAATTAAGCCTCGCTTACAGGCTACATCCGGTTGATTCTGGAATCGGTTCAAAAACAATAATTAAGCCTCGCTTACATGCTTCTTCCAGTAGTTCCGGAATCGGTTCAAAAGCAATAATTAAGCCTCGCTTACAGGCTACGTCCGGTTGATTCTGGAATCGGTGCATTATACATGCGACTAATAGAATGGATATACTCTGAGTCCCTTTAATAATGGTTGCAGTTTTGAAATCAAGAATGTGAAAGATGTGATAATAAACACATGTCATGAGCAAAGGACAAAGAAAAAACTCTTGAGTCACTGACAGGATTCGAACCTCTGACCTCCCTCTTCACCCCCTCCCCCCTCGGGGCTCGAACAGCGGAAGCGTTCCAAATAGAGAGAGGGTGAGAAACTCTAGATACGGAAAATAAACAAAATGTTATGCTATTTATCCTACTTTAACTACACATTGCCAGAGATTTTAAAAGACTAAATGGAGGCAAAGAGAAGTCTTGTTATCAGTGTAGTTGTAATATTGCGTTCGAAAAGAAAAGTGCATTTTCGTATGTTTCATGTCTAAAAATTTAAATAAAGGATATACCTCACCGCCCAAAAACTCTGCTGTTCTGTCTTGGGTTTGCCTGGATACCCAGCTCTGTTGGTATTGTTTTTCCTTTGGCGTGGAAACTTTTGTTGTCCCTTTCAGTGTGACCTTACAGACAACTGAAAACAGAGAGAATCAAGTCTTTGAATAGAAATATATTGCCTAGTAGTTCTGTGCTAACTGTTAGACCTTTTTCCGACGTTCAATTCATGGAGTGATCAAGTCTAGACTGCAAAACAGTCCGTATTTTTGCGTACTCAAGTACTCGCGAGCAGTCAAACAAAAGGTCGGGAACGAAGCTGAAAACAGAAAGCGAGACTGGGGAGAGACGATAAAAATACGGTTTTTTTCTCTCGCCTCACACGCCCTACGGGCGGGTTAGGCTCGTACGCTGCGCGCGTGTAAGACTCTTACGCCACGCTTTACCGATTTCTTTACTGATTTCGAGAAAAAAACCCGACTGTTTTGTAGTCCAGATCAAGTCTACGTCTCTTTTGATTGTAACAGGAATTTTCGCATCAACCCATGGGTTTCTGAACAACGACCATTAAAGTACATGTATGATGGAGAAAATAAATAAGAAAGATAATTAAATTTGGTGCTATTATTGCTGACTATTTTGCAAAATTGAAGTATGTTTCTTAATTTTCATTGGTTACAAAGCTGTCAGTTGCAATAAATAAAGATCAACAGAGACTTACCGTGTTTGTGCTTAATGTCTTTCACGATGCTTTCCATTATTTTCCTTCCACTGCGCGCCAAACTCAGATTATTAATCTTGCTTGAAGCTTGTCTAGTCCGGCGGTCTCATTATCCCGCGCGGCCCATGCGTTTCTGGTCACGTGGTACGAGCGGTCTTGGCAACGTCAGCGAAATGTATTGACCGAGAACGCCTGCTTGAAAAGACGCCGTGCCAAAATGCCAAATGCTTTTCAGTAACAATGAGCCACAATGCAAACGCCGCCCGCGGTAGTGCAACTGGGCTTTCCTTCATTTTCACATTTCTTGCCCTTTACTTGCAAAGAAAATGAAGCGTCGTTTTCTTCCGTGAGGTCCGGCTAGTGCAATCGATAAAAACCGATATCGGATGACCACTCGATAAATCGATAATTGTCGATAGTCACTTTTTTATTGACATCGATTGTATCGATCAATCGATAGAAATCGATAGCAACAACTGTTTTCGTTGTTAGCGCCATCCATTTTAACGATATCATCGATTTCACGATCTCAGTTTCATTGCCTTCGCGGATCAAAACCCAATCATGCATTGAAAACTGGGCCTTGTTTGAAAAACTGCGAACAGATAGCGATTAGCGTTGTCATACGTTTTGGTCATGCTACTTCTCTTTCCATTTGATTATCTAATTTGTTTTGCACATTTACAGGATGATTTTTATGACGCTTTGCAATATGATTTTTGAAGAAGCAAGGGTCTTGCTGACAAACTTTACACTGAACCGGAGTATCCTAACCACTTGAAATATACATTGTAGGGTTCAACTACCGCTAAAACACATGGAAATTAACTGAGCACCGACTAAAATCGATAACTTCGATAAAAATCGGTAATCATCGATTAGCAACAACTTTTTCCTCTATCGATATATATCGATTTTCAATTTAATGAATCGATTTTGTCGATAGTTATCGATTATCGACTTTATCGATAGTACCAGTCGGGCGTGAAGCAAACTGGTGTATAAGAAGTGGACGGATAGGGGGTTCGTTGAGCTCTGAAGAGAGCTCTAGATCACAACTGTAGTTCCCTGTTAGTAACCTTCAATTTAAGATTCGAAGACGATTTTTAAAGCTACTACAATGTATCATGTTGCTGTATTTGTTGTTGCTGCATCGTGCTTTGTGTGCTGTGTTTTGTTTTTATGACGAATCGTTTCTCTTAGAGATGCCTTATTTTACCTTTATTTCTCTATTTACCGATGAAGGTTAAAACATTTTTGTCGGAACATTAAAATTCCGAGCGAAATTTTTTCTCAGTTAAAGAACATTAAGAAGTCAGAATGACCAAGCAATTATAAGGTAAATCCAGAAAAGCCGTCGGAACACTAAAGCTGTCACATCTAATTGGACGTGGCTTAAAGAAGCTGATAACGAGTTGCTTACAGGAAGTGCTTTAGAAGTGATAATTATACTTGAACCTTTTGCCACTGAAACATTTCAAAAGGAAGTTATTTTTTGTCAGTTTATCTTAAGTATAAATTGCACAAACGCATTTTAAACTGATGAAAATTTTGATCCAGAGACAGTTTCGTGATAAATCCTTACGACAAGGATTCAAGAAAGAAAAATCGGGACATGCTGCGAATATTTCCTTATATATACGTGGCGGGTAGCAGTGATTAACTTTGCATACAGTTTAATACAGAAAATTGCGATAAAGTGAATTACTTGATGTAATATTTGAATTCACTGAACAAATATCGATGAGCACAAGTCAATAAGGGATTCCTTAAGGTCCAGACACGATATTTATCCAGAAGATTATAACTGGCAGGTGGATTGGCAAATATCATAAATGGAATACTTGATTAAGTAGATAGTTTTACCGTTTAGTAACGTTATTTAACAGGCCTTAAATACTTAAAATGGACTGGAAATTATTTCCGTCAACGCAGGCCAGCGTTTATTATCAAGAAAACTCGCAGCAGAGTAGAATTTCTATGGAACGACTTTGTGATAACCTGGAAGCCTTGCTTAGAAGAGATAAACGGGATTGTTTATCAAAACAACTTCACGGTCTTCTCAACCGAGCAGGAAAACATGAAGTTAGACTAAAGGCAGGCATTCAGAGAACGCCCACGAGTGAGAAATTGAAAGATGGAAGCGATCTAGAAAGGGCGGGCAAATGCAGCTCTATAAAAGAGGAGTATAGTGAAAAGCTTTCAAGGAAATATCTTAACACTCAGGCTACGAGGGAACTAGCAGATTCCAAAGCAAGTTGTTCTCGCGATGGAAAATATAAATCAGGAATAAATAAAACGTTTTATGCAAAGGAACCGCGTCCAATTTCTACGAAATTTCTATCAGGTAAATGTAAAAAGAGAGGACAGATTCAGATGAATTTGGAAACTGATAAAAGCGAAGTTGAAGTGTTGCCTAGCAACGGATGGTGGTTAGAGCAGAGATCTAGTGACTCAGAAACAGAGAGTGACTTGGACATCGATTGCAGTACAAGCTTGAATCTTAACACAAACAGTGATGATTTTGGAAGTTCTACTTCTCTATGCAGCAGCATTAAAAATGGCCGACGATCGCTAGTCGTTTCAAAAAACGGACACAGCGGAGCGGAATATCAAGGAAGGAAAGACTCCTTCGCAAGTCAACTGTCCGAAGATTATAAAATGCTAACTAGCGAACAAGGCGGGGGAAAAGATTCTTGTAACTTCTTTGAGTTAACGAGTGGGACTGGAGACGAAGAGGAAAGTTTTTCGGTAGTGCCCGGTCCAACTTCAACTAGCCCGGTTGTCGATGATAAAGGCAGCGAATTCCGTTCGAATTCCGGCCCTTCTTCACTGAGTCTCAGTCAACCATTATACAACGCCCATGATAAGGAAATATTTGACGACAATTTATTATTAGAATACAGAGCACTGCTTCAACATCGCCCAAACACGACCAGTCGAATAAATTATACTACATTAAAGACTTCTTACGGTCATAATTATGCTTTTCAGGGGATAGGACGCATAATTGAGGAATACAATCGTTCACGAGGAATCCTTGAAACCCGCAACAAAACTCACTGCGCACTGCCTAAAGTTAACAACAAAACAACAACAGGTCATTTAGGAAACGCGGACAAAAGACGTTCACATACAGCGGCTTTACCCGTGATACTTAAACTTACGCACAGAAAAAAGTGTGGTGTCAGCGGTAAGCTTGCAGAGGACAAAGACACAGATGAGAGAGTCCTACCTACAACTTTGAATAAGTCAGCGGAGGCATCGTACTCCATCATGACTCCATATATGGCGAATATTGTGTGGTCTGTAATGGAAGATGAGAAGGTGCAATGAGAAAACAGTCTGAGGCTATTGTCACACTATACCGGGTAGCTTTTACGCCGGCACAGAAACTATACTGGATAGGGCTTCTGTTTACACATAAGAACGGTGATTTCGGCGCGATTTCTGTAACGGAGCGATGCTGCGCCGCGCCCATCTCTAAAGTGGAGAGTCACATATCGGATAGGTGTTCATACTATACTGGATAGTTTTTAGTGTCAGCAAAATAAACTGTCCGGGGTAGTGTGAACATAGCGTTTATTCAAACCGCGGAGAAAGCAATTTTACCGCAGTACGTAGCCTGCGAGCAAGCTCTCCATTTGGGAGATATCGTGAAAAGTAGACGCGCGAGAGGAGACGCGAAAGCGTGGACGGGGAAGAGAGTCCTTTCCTCGGTCCCTCGCGCCTCGCTTCGCTCGCTTAAATAGGAAAGCTTGCTTGCAGGCAAAGCAGTACGTTTCCAGCGCTACAACTATAATCTAACGCATTTAAGTGTTTTACACACCCAGGTCAAAGCGGCTACGAAATAGTTTGTTTTACTCGGTCAAACGGCAAACGTGAAATTGTACCACGTGACCAAGTTTTTCCCTTAACTGTCGTTTACCTGTTTATTACTTCTACTCAAAAATAAGTAGTTTCACGCCGGTTTTATACATAAGAATTGTTCTGGACAGTTTTTATCTGTTTATTTTTTTTATTTTAAGAAATTCTCAACTTGAAACTGACATTTGCCGTTTGTCGTAAACGTGATGATAATTAATAATTACTATAAGGAGGTCTAACGACAAATGAGAACACGAAAGCGCTCAAAAATGACTGAACGCGACTTCCGGTTCCTGATTTGCTGCTCTGCCATTGGTCAATTCCATTTTTCAGATCTGCGCGCTTCACCGTCACTGCCGTCTCGTATTTTAAAAATCTTCCTATTATCGCAGTATCTACTGAGCGTGGTGAGTCTTTAACGCAAAGCATTTCATAGCCTTCTACCAACTGGTTGTTTCACCGTGGGGTTCAGATACCAATAACCGTAAATATTCGTTTGGGCGTCCTGGGCGCTCAATTAAATTTTGGGCTTTGATAAAGGGCGCTTACTCGAGGCGGGCGCTTGTTCGAGGCTGAGCGCTTATTAAATTTTCATTATTTTCAGCAAGTAGTAAGTCAAATTTTTAAAAAAAAACAGTAAATAATAACAAAACTTGAAGATGTACAACAGCAGAATTATAACTGTGCATTGGAAGTTTATTTTTAAAAAAGGCTAAGAATTCGGTCTCTTAGTAGCACCTAGTCAATTTCTACATGTATCTCATTGTCAATAAGGTCAATAAGCGAATGCTCTAGTGTTGCCACGTAGATGTCTCACAGTGCAACGTCTGCAAATGGGTCAGTAAACGAGAAGCAGATATGGCAGATAAGATATAATAACCAATCCTCTTTTCGTCCACTTCAGCTCTTTTTTTGGCGAGCGGGAGGGTGGTGGGTGGGGAGGGAGCTTATTCAAGGCTGGGCGCTTATTAACTTTTCCTTCCTACAGGAAAGGCACTTATTCGAGTCTGGGTGCTCAATCGAATAAATACGGTAAATGTCATAGTCACTTCCTTTGACATTTTGGCATTTCCATAGCAATGGGAATCAATCCCATTCTGAACTCACCTCGGGAAGGGGTCATTTATAACATGCCGTTTTGTCTCCATCGCGGGAGAATAGAACGATTTTCGTTTGACCTTGAAATGAAAACGCGCGCACAAAACAGAAACAACAAACGAACGGAAATACACCGATTTGATTGGTTTATCAAACGGACACAAACGCGCATGGTTTTTCTTTGTTTCTCGGGTGAAAAAACTTCATGCCCGAGAACTTTCTAGAAATCAATCGATACTTCGCTTTGACATCATACTGCAACACGATTGGCCAATCTAATCATGCCTTCTCCATATTAGGGTTTTCTTTGGCAGGAAAACGAAGAGTCCGTGTTTTGATCTTTTCCCTGATAAAACAAATAACCAACACTTACCGAAACCATTTTTCACGGTCATACGAAAATCGCTGTATATAGCCAGTTAAAGAACCGCCACTGTACCCAACGTACTGATCCAGTCTCATTCAGAACTTCAAAAAGACCAATATACCTCTCGGGCGTCAAATTCCTTGTCATTATGACATTACCAATACCATGTTCAAGTTGGAAACTCTTCTTCAGTGTCGCCGGTTTCTGTACTGAATGATTTCTTAACAACAAAAGGGAGGACTAGCTCAAGCAACCGCGTCAATAAGTTTTCCAAAGTGGTCATAGATCATTTCCTTTTCAAAGCTCAATGATCTGTGGCATTGGACCCCTCCACTGACCTTTCCAGTATGAATTTCCCTGCCGAGAGTTGCCTCCCGCAGACTTAGCTCAATTCAAAGGTTCACTAAGGCATACATTAAATCCCTTAACCACTGCCTGCGTTGCAGCCGACCCACGAATCATCTAGACCATTGGTATAGTCCGTCTGCAAACAGCAAGATGCCAGTTCACAAGGGGACTGCATCCTGTAAATTGCTTGTCACATACATGTGTACATGTACTTAATGCGATTGTACTTTACCTTTGGTTCAGCACTGTTGAATTTGATTGTGGCTTGCAAAACGAAGTCTGTTCAAAACCATGCCATGCTTTTCGTGGTTTTTGTATACACAGGATACTTTCCGACTGTAATTTGACTCATGTACTTCTTAATAAGATGACAAGCTGGTGTCATCAGAACAGGAGGTATCTGTTACAAAAGTAAAGAAGGTTTCAAAAATTCCAAGTTACAATGTATTTGTGACTAGATATATGCATACATTGAAGTTAAAGAGGCACAGATGATATGGACTAGCTACACCAACAGCCATTACACCTTTGATGATGCCGGCCAGCTGGTGGTTTAAAAATGCATTTTTGACCACATCACCAATGATGCAGTCAGAGAGAGAAGAATCAGGCAAGCCATTGGGCCCTATGATGATATATTAACCACGGTAAAGAAACGCAAGTGAAAGTGGTTTGGGCACGTATCAAGATCAGCAGGGCTCGCCAAGACAATTTTACAAGGAACAGTGCAAGGAGGGAGAAGAAGGGGCCGACAAAAGAAGCATTGGGAAAATAATGTCTCTGAGTGGACAGTTTTGCAACACCCTAAGAGAAGCTGAAAACAAAATCAAAGGGAGGGAAAGGGTTGCTAGGTTCATGGTGCCCCAACAGTCACCATGACTATGGGATATATATAAGTGCAAATGCAAGGTGCTTTTGGGCCGGTTGTCCAAGTTTTTGTGTGGAAAAGGCTAAAACTGATATTTGATAGCATTTGTCAGCCTCCTACATCTCACATTTGCCAACGTTTGCCACTGTAAGCCTCTGTTAGGGGCTGCCCCCATAGAGAATTTCATTCTAGTACTTAAAAGTACTAGAATGAGTGTCTTGCAAAACCTCACTAGTCAGTGAGTGATGAGTCAAGTAAAAGGAAATCTGCAAGCCTGAATAAAATAAATGCCAACTATTTCAAGTCTGTGCTTGCCCTAATAGTAGCCAGTGCTTAACCCTAATCACTGTTTTCAGTGTTCAGTATTGATGTTTACTCACCCCATCAACTTGTGTCAGTGCATATCAGCCTGTGTCAACCTGATTACCCTTTTTACCCTCCATCAGCCTCTTCTGGCCTCTGGTTGCCTCTGTCAGCCTGTCAGTCACTGTTAACCTATGTCTGTCCCTGTCAGCTACTGTCGCCCCTTGGTTGCAGAATCTAGTGAAGAAATAAGTGATTTCAATGGAATAACACAGAAATCTTTTGTGAAAGTAAACCAGAGAAAACTGGGAAAATGTGAAAAATTTCAGGAATGTTTACTGTGAAGTGAGCAATCACAAGTTTGGGACAGGCAAGAAAACCTCACCACCTCCTAAACTGTTGTGAGGAAAAACCAACATGGTGTGGAAAAACTAAACTGCTAACAGTAACAGTAATTATTACTGTTACTGTTTGCGGTTTAGTTTTTCCACACCATATTGGTGTTTCCTCACAACACATTAACGTTCCATGGATACTTCTGGTGTTTGCAGTTTTGTGCGTTTCAGAGTAAACCAATGAGAGGCGAAGAAATATTTTGAATGAATCCTAATGATACCTCCTTGCAAAGCAAGGTTTATAATTTTGTCAACCTGACGTTGTGTGTGGTAGGTGCATGGGTTGCGGTGAGTAAAGAAAACAAAACTGCAATAAACTTGGCCCGGTTGTTTTTGCGGCCAATTTGGCCATCAAGAATCCCTTTAACAATGTATTTCGATGGCAGAGGCACTTTGAAGAGAAAATGGAGGCGACTTGTATTTTTTTCTCGGATGGCTTTTTTCCCCATTTATCCTACTGCTGGTCTTTTACCAGACCATGAGCTTCGCGAAGTTCTGAAATCTAGAAAAATTACAATTTCGGGGAGCAAGAGTATTAGGGACCTCAAGCAACCACTGGAGGCGGTCAAGAAGAGGCGGAGAGGGCCACGAGGGATCGATCGCGAGTGGGTCGAGGCCACAACCCCATCACTTTTCAGCCCAACTCTGAAAAATTGCAAACGGTACAAGAAAAGAACCTCAAAATTAAGGCTATCTTCCTTAAGTTCCAAATGTGATACTATTCCAGGCTATAAGTTAACTTAAATCTTGATACTTGAACCTGGAATATTATAACCAGGCAAGGACAAATTGGGCAAAGACTTGCTGAGACTTGGCGCCCACTTGCTAAGGAAAGGTGAAAAATACATACTTACCAACATTCTATACATCTTTTAAGATATTATCACTCCATAGCGATTAGAATAAAACTTGTGCAGACCTCTAGAAAAAGGCTTAAAGGGGAACGTTAACGTCTTCATGCTGGCTCAAAAATTAAAATGGCCGCGCTTTGCATATAAGGACATTTGGTGTGGCATACATAAACTAAAACCTACGTCTCCTGGTGTTGAGGGAGACTGGGAATAGAGTTATGGCGGCGGACATGGCGGGAAACCAAAGAAGCTAAAAACCATAATTATTTGGATTGGAAATTCTTCAGTGTTTGGTTTGATTTTTGTTCTACAATAACTGCAGTTACTTGCGATTGGCTGCTGCTTTTTTTGAACAGGATTACGTGTGAATCGTGCCTAGATTTGTCGTGGTCTGGGCCTCGGAGTTCAGTCTCGGAGTTAGCAGTATCTTCATCCGAAATCAATTCTGCCAGATCAGCAAATAAACTTGCTCAGCGAAGATGTCTGACTGGTCATCAACGTTTTGGGGAAGTACGGCCGGACTGTTTGGAGAAGAAGATGAAGATGATGCTTTCGATCCAGATCGTCAAGTTTGTATTGTTTTCCTACATGTACCAAATCGATTTCGGTTTTTCGTGTTACAGCTAGCCTCGCGGGCGTTATCAATTGAACGGTCCAAGCTGAAATTGAACCCAATCGATCAAGTTTAAATGGCTCGATTGGACTCAGCGATTTACCTCCCCCTCCAATAGAACGTTGTAATAATTACGTTTGGTTCAAGGATTAGGTCATATTGGAGTGGAGGAAATGTGTACTGAAGATACATCAGCTGAGGACGTTCGATTTTTTTATCCACTCTTTTCAAAGTTGCCAACAAAAAATGAACTCTTCGGATTTCATTTTTCCAAAGGACGCTGACGAAAAATTGAGGGTTCCGATTGCTTCCATGTTTGGGGGGATGGGGGTTGGGGATAAAAATGGAATGTGTCCAGTAAAAAAAAGAAAATTAATATGTGAAATGCATCATCATCATCATCATTGTAATAATAATCATCGTCATAATCACCATCCTTACTTTGTATATGTTACGCATCAAAATTGAAATCAGGTTAAAATTTTTTAACCTAGGTTGATTCTCAATTTTCTTTGTCTCCTAGCCCTAATTATTGAAGAATAAATTATCAGAACAATAGGGCTAGGAGCAAAAAAATTTAGAATTAACCTGGTTAAACCATTTAACCTGTAATTTTCACCTGTAACGTATGTGTGGTATAAAAGTACTAGGCATCATAAATCATAAATGAAATAAAATTAATATTATAATATTATTACCATCTTTATGATAAAAATAAATTATTAATACAGTGTTTCACTTGAGACTATGTATAATAATATAAAATTATTTGGCTGGTTTATAGACACCAAAAATTGCTACACCTTCACCCCTCCCCCTCCATCCAAAACCCATTGCTCTGATCCCTACCTTACTCTGATAAAGAAACTACTCAGATCCAAAGGATTGGAAAAAGTGATTACTAATATTCCCATTAATTTCTATTAGACTCGCTGGGACAATAGGGACAGCCTAATTTTGGTAATTGACTGCTCCAGAGAAATGTTAAAAAAGTCAAGAGGAGAAATTCCATTTCAGCTGTGTATTAAGGTTTGTATCAAAATAATACCACAGAGTATTTAGCTTCATTGTTAAAACTACGGAAAGCAGTTACAATTACAGCTTTTTTCATACTGTTAATGCCATCAATAATGTTGATGGTAGCTTAATAAGAAATAGGCCATAACTGTACCTGGAATGAACAGATACTTTGTATTTGTTGTAGCCAATTATTTTTAACATTTTTCTGTTGTGGTTCAAATTTTTCTTTGGTTTAAAATTTCTCAAACTAGTTTAATTTTTACTTTCCTTTGTCTAAAATCAATTACCGTAATCAGAGACACAGAAAAACAAAAATTAAACTGGTTTGAAAAATTTTAAACCAAGGAAAAATTTAAACCACAACATAGCCATCACTACATGTTCATAGATGTTTAACATCTGGGTTAATTATCTATAGTGTATTCTAGCCAAGATCTTATTTTATTTTATTTTTTTAAATTTTTGCATTTATTAGTGTGCTGTGAGCGTCCTGAAGAACAAAATCGTAAGCAGTGACAAAGACCAGATTGGCATTGTATTCTTTGGAACTGTAAGTATATTTGTAAAAAAAGTGACATTAGCTCCCCCAAAGGGGTACAGGTACAGTGCACATAATTATGGCTCTTTAGGGCAGTTACCAACCCTTTAAGTCCTTGATTTATCTTTTGTTAGTTAACCTTCATTTTACCCGGCCTGTTTTGATCTGATTTGATTGACAGTATTATTTTTTTTCTAGGACAAAAGCCAAAATTCAAGCGACTTTAAGCAAATTTATATTTATCAGGTAACTTGACTTACATAATGTACTGTAAATTGAAATCATTCTGTTATATAATCACTTTCAGCTGTTTTCAATCTGGTCACTTTTGGTCTTTGGTCTTTTTCACCAGAGTCATAAATGATAATAGTACAACTGTATGATAATAACTATTTGTGTCTTAAATCTACAGGAATTAGATTCGCCAGATGCCAAAAAGATCCTTGATCTTGAAAGATTTCTTGAAGGTATAAGAACACTTCAACAACTGGCCTTCAGTCCATTGTTTTGAGCTTGTTTTTTGTGGTTACCCCTGAATTCTTTGTTCACTGAAGATTATTTCATTTGATGAAGTGTAACACTTTCTTTAACTTTGCTGCTAACATCTGTTTCATTCAATATCTATTTCAGATGAGAGCTGTGATAATTTTGCCACCAAATTTGGACACAACACTGGATTTTCTCTGAATGATGTTCTGTGGACATGTTCTAATATGTTTGCCAAGAGGTATGGCTTGTTGAAAGAGTCTTTTTTATGTGTACTGTACTATGAGTGCCTGAAAAAGAATGCTCGGCACACTGTTCAAAGTTTAAAAGGTAGATCCCACTGTTAATAGATACAAAGATCCTAGGTAAGGTTTGTAGCCAAGTGGATATCTAGGTGTGCTGTAGATGTCCAATTTTGGGCGAAAAAGAAAGAGTACATGTGTTGTAGGCTTGAGAGTTGAGGAGGATGCGTGTCACTTACACATGTAATTTGCTCAAGTTAAAATCCTGGACTAAGTAATTATAAGTAATAACTTCTTGCCAAGGTGTAGTCATTTCTATCATGGGAGACTGGTATATACACTGTAATGCTTGCAGCCACTCTGTAGTGAATGAGTATCCACCCTGCAGAGTGTAGGGAAGTAGTAATACATGCTACTAAAACAATGTCATGCAATACCTTGGTGGGGATCCTGTGGCATAAGTGTACTGACCTGTGAACCAACAGGATTCAAAAGCCACACTGATTTGTACAGGCATGGATATCTTGACCAGAGAGTTTCTGGAAACTCACAGTGAACAAAGCCTCAGAACATAAGGGGTCAGTTATGTCCCACCTGGCTGAATATTCCTGTACCCCACTACATTTAGTGGAGCATTTACACCTTTTTTGTACAAAACGGTTACATTGTAGCTCTCAGAAAACTGGCCACAAGCGAGTCATGTTGTTCACAAACAATGATAATCCACACGCTGATAACCCCAGCCTTCAGGTAAGAATACCATTAATTTTAGTTACTTGAATTTAAAAACCCAAGGGTAAAATTAATATGGTGCGTATTAAATTTTTCACACCTTAAATGCTTGAGGATAGCACTTATTTGAGGGCAGCAATTAAAATTTTCAAGTTGGATGCCGCAAAGAATTGTTATTATTATTATTATTATTATTATTATTATTATTTATATTATTATTATTATTATTAATAATGATGGTATAATTGCTATTTTCTGTATTAAAATAACAGAACTAATATCTTTTGATTTCAATTAAATTTGGGCCTGCCCTGTTACTAGTTGCAACCAGCTTGAGAATGGTGAACTATTTTTTTGCCTTCTTCCAGAGACAAGCAAAGACCAAGTCTAGGGTAGGTGTCATTAAAGATGATCTTGTTGTTGTTAACCCTAGTTATAGCAGAGCTTTCGGTCATGGTGGCAGTTGTGTGTTTAATACTGTCAGTGGAAAAGCAAGTCAATGACACCATCTGTAACAATTTCCTTGGCTATAATAATTACATGTAAAATGAAAATTAACCCTTGCCCACTATTTTTGTCAACCTACAAAATAATATTATTATGATTTGTTTACATTTAAACCCATTGCCAAAATAATTAAAGATGGGTGTGGTGAAGGTGCCATACCTCGACAAACTGAGTGAGCCACAGGTGAGCGCAGAATGTAACCATGAAAACCCTGTGAGAGGCATTTACTATATATGCACTGTCACATTGAGAACCTCAGTGGAGGGTTTCATAGATACTTACCAACACACATCCAGAGGGAGGGAGGGCTTGGGGGGGGGCAAAATGGCTAAAATGAATGCATGGGAAGGCAATGTGAGCAAAACAAATTGTCTAACAAAAGTGCTGTAAAATTTTTGAGGCTGGCTGCAAATGCGCAAAGATCACTGCCTTGCATATGATTAGATAAGGAGGCCACTGGCCAGCATGTCCTGTGTTTAACCTTGCCTAGATTACATTTAGCCACATTGTAAATTATGTTATTTATGCACATGTACCATTAATGAAAAAATAATAGTCATCTAAATTTCTTTTTCAGGATTTAAGTGAGATTGGCATTGCAATTGAGCTGATGCATATTCAACCTTCTGATGGTTCCTTTGACTCAAGTCTCTTTTATCAAGTAAGTACATAATTTCCCCAATTATTAAAAAATTCATTAATAATAATTCTTCATAAACAAAAACAAAAGAAATTGATGTTCAATGAGTGAGTGTCTTTATATCTGATAAAGACAGGGCTAAACTTTACGTCAAATTTTTTGGACCAAAATAGCCCCCAATCTTAATAGTAGTGCAAGATTGAGTTGATCTTCATTTTATATCAGAGATTTTGAAGCCGTTCTAAAAACTCAAGAGTGCATCATCGGGTTTAAAAACTCTTGGCTTCGCCTCTAGTTTTGAAACCTGTTAATACACTCCTGTTCATTTTTAAACAGTATATACAAAACAATTCTTGATAATTGTAATGATTATCATTGAAACAGAACAAAACAGGTTACTTTAATTTTGTAGGATCGAAACAGTGATAAAAAATCAAAGCTTTTCCTTTACCAAAAACAAATAAGTGGAATCCTGATATATTGTATTTGTTTTAGTATGACTGGATCAAGATACTATTTCAATCTAGTGCTAATAGTAAATAATAATATTATAATTGACTCTGGTCCCAGACAACGATTATTATTTGGTTTGAAGGAATCTAAGTGTGCAGAATTCTTGTAAACCTTTATTTGTCAGTATTAAGATAAAAAACTGGTTTGAGTGTCTCAGAGACAGACAGTAAATTAATGATGGCTAATACTGTCTGCCATCATTTAACGGACAATGACTGATGAAGTTAACATGTTGGCAATTGATAACCAAAAGTTTAGTGTTTTCTTTGGTGTCTTATGTGTGCGTGCTGTTTTATTTTACGGTATAAACAAGTTTGTTCCACATTAGCCTTCCACATTTCAGGATTTAATTCAAGTGGATGAAGATGAAGAAGGGATTTTGCCTGATCCATCTGAGAAGTTTGAAGAACTACTTTCTAGGTATTGAGTATTAAAATTGGCACTCCAAGCGAGTTTCAATCTCATGTCAAATTTTTCCGTTTCTTTTAATAACAAACATATAAAGAATATTATTTGAAAGGATAATCTGGAAGTCTACTTGGAGTGAAACTATTATTGTTTGCTGTAATGATTTATTATGAAATGAACTAGAAAAATAAGAACATTATAACTTAAGCTAAAATAAATCATATTAAAGTAGAGGTACATGATTGATTGTTGACTTAACCATCCTTGTTTTTCATTAACTAGTTTTGCGCTGTCTTTTATTCACTTCTGAATATTTTGTGAGGCAGTTTCTTGTATGAGAAAACAATATAGACCAATAATATAAGTCCTTTCCGCTACATTGAATAATAAAATAGTAAACTGTGTTGTCTTTTCTTTACAAAAACAGAGTGAGGAGGAAGCAGCACAAGAAACGACCCATGGCAACATTTCCTTTGACACTGGGAGATGGGATTGAACTTGGCGTTTCTGTGTAATTAATAAGCATTCTACGTTTGCCAGTTGATGGAACTTTAACGTCCTGGGCCGGGTTGTTCAAAGCTGGGTTAAGATAACCCAGAGTTAGTGCGCAATTTGAATTCAGATTTGAAAGCTTAAAAGGCATTTCAGTTTTAATTCTTTTTGTCTACAGGTTGATGATTGGAAGCCCTAAAAATAACAGAGAAAATTATCCGAGAAAATACTTTTGACCATAAGAAAAGGAAACCCGGGTTAAGTGCTAATTGGCCTTTAAAAAACTGGGCCCAGCTCAATGTTTGCCCTAGCAAGACAGACAAATTCTGCACTATTATAATTGTAGCTTAAAACATCACAAAATTAAAATACACAGTGATAATTGGACAAAATTTCAACATGTTATTTACAGAACTGTAGGTCATTGCACATAATTAATTTTTGCGGATGTTTGTTTTCCGGTCAGTTTTAACCTCTGTGGAGCTGCAAAAAAATCCAGCCACATAAATTTGGACAGCCGCACAAATGAGGAAATTAGAACGCACACAAAGTATATATGTGTGGTGAGTACTTATTGATCAACTGTATTAACACATGTAGTAACATAACATTAAATTAAAAATTTGTAACACTCATACATTTCGCTTTTGGACCTGTAAGTTAGGCAAAGATACTTTTATTAAATTTTGTGTCCAGCAACTGTTTTTATTTTAATTTTGGGGTCTCACAATCTTTACATTACATGTATTTTGAATCTTTAAATAGGATACCGGAAGGGAGCTAATGCCAACAGATATAAAGCTCTATCAGATGTTTGGGGGACAAAAAGTAAGGCTGTATAATGCTTACCAGTATAAATTAAAAAAAGAAGTGCTTCTTGACTTAATGTACATTTTGGCTTAATTTTTGGAATCGTTGTTGATGGGACACCCTTGGGGCTGAGGAAAGTGTCCCCTGAATAGAGGTTGGGGTGGGGTTTGTTAATGATTAACCAGCAAAGAAACAAATAAATGATTTATTTTGCTTTGGAATCAGCTGCAGTCAAAATTTGAAGCAGCTAGATATTATACTTGTAAATTATTGGCAAAATTGTGTGTTGAATTCCCACAAGTTTCAGTTCATTGATTTATGTGAGATAGACTATGTAATCTTTTAAACTTATCAACCCTCTTTGTTGTCAGTCACGTTTTGAGTGCCAAGGTGTCCCCTTGAATGGAAGTTAAACCTGGGTTTTGGGACCCACAATCAATGACAAAATTAGCTGAGACACTTTACCTGAAAATGGGTTTTTGACGTTTTACCAACTAAAGCTTGTCTTCCCCCATCCTCTAGTACTAGTCTCCATGCAATGTTGTGCCGCTGTTCCTGCTACCTGTAGAGAACAACAAACACCCCAACTTTGAATGGAAGGGAGGGGGGAGGGGTGTGGACAACAATTTTTTTTTTCAACATTGAAGAAAGGTGTCCCTTCAGTAAAGGTAACAGATATAAAGATTATGTGACTGACATTTTTCCAAGACCAAATTTTGTGTCCCCTGAATGGAGGTATCCCTTGAATAGAGGTGCCCAACAGGAGATATTCCATGCATTGTAATATTTATTATTTTGTTCAAATTCAGGTCATCTTTGAGAAAGAAGAAGTTACTGCTATGAAGACATTTGGTGATCCAGGTATGATACACTGTAACAGTTTATTTCACCGCTGAGTGAACTGCATCAATACCAAAAAATACTATAATCTGATTGGTTCATGTCGGTAATTTTCTACTGCTTTCTTGGCTCTTGCAGACTAAGCTAGAGCTGTGTTATTTGACCTATTTGATTACTTGTAGCAACTAGTAATCAGTAAGGGCAGATCAAGGAGTTTCTGATGAGAGTGGGGAGGAGGGCAGGAGGAGGGGGGGATGGGAGGTCCAGAACTATAAAATCTCCCAGACAGGCTTTGTTGGTCTTTTTAGCAAGTGACATTGGTGTACTCATTGGGGTCAGGATTATTTCTCCTATGAGTGTATTTAAGGGGTGTCCGGATCCCCCTGAACCCTTGAAATTGACCCATTAAATTTTAATAATATTATTGATAATATATCATTCCACTTTCATTGTTAGTATTAAAAACAAAAGTGTTTAGCCCAGTTTTTGGTTGGTTTTTTATTAATATTATTGTATTTTGTTTATATTGATATTATTTTGTTATTATTTTCAGGTCTTTTGTTAATGGGATTTAAACCTAAGTCTTCACTGAAGAACTATTTTCATATCAGACCAGCCCAGTTCCTTTATCCCAGTGAAAAGGTGTGCAGTACAGTGTAGAAGAACTCAAAATAAATTATAAGAAATCAACAATAATTAAAATGTCTTGAAAACATTATGTAAAATCAATGGAGTCCAAAAAATAGAGTAGTTCTTCTATTTAGCCCCCAACGTCTTAGTAGTTTTTTAATTTATTCGAAAAGAAACATTTTAACATAATAAATATTATCACAAGAAAATTAAGAAATTTGTTTTATACACCCCAAGAACTGTTTTTGAACTCATCAGTTTGAAACTGGTAAATGTTCTAATTATTACTCTCTCAGCAGTGAAAAAAATACTATAAATGTATGTCCACTCAGAAATTATGAAAATGGCCTCTGATTGAGAAACAAAAAATAATATTAAATAACTAAAACACACATGGCAGAACAGAGAGTGTGCTTTTGGGTATATTAATGCCTATAAAGGTCTTATTTGAATGAGATTTAAAGGCCAGTCTTAAACTTGTTTCACAGAGTGTAACTGGAAGTACCACATTATTCTCAGCACTTTTGAAAAGATGTCTTGCAAGGGACGTGGTGCCGATATGCCGATACATACCCAGGAGTGGCTCCCCACCAAGATTTGTTGCTCTGTTACCACAGGTGAATAACTTGACTTGATTGTTATTATTATTAAATAACAGTTATTAATTTGTTATCCTCCTGTAGGTTAGACAGGGACAACGAAACACAACTGCAAGTTACAATTTGGAAGCAAATATGTATAAATACGCACTTTAACCCTTTTCAGACCAGACATCCAGAGGGATCCCCCCCTCTTCCCCTTCTATAGCTGTCAATTAAAACCATGATTAATAGTTTAAGGTGCCAGAGACTTGCTTTCTCCAATGTTACTCAGGTGCTTGAATCCATGCTAGGGGTTACAAATGTACAAGACAAGGATGTGTGACATATATGTATAGTTGTATGACTTGGCTAATCTGATACAGCCTGTGTTTTGTGGGAGAATGACTGTTTCAAGTTGGACTTGAAGCTGGAGTGATCCCCTGATTTCAAGTTTGCTGCCTTGACCTCTTGACCCAGTGCCTGAAATTATCATTAGTTAACACTTGCAATATTCTTTGTCTTTGATCCCTTTTTTAAACCGTCTTATTAGAACTTAAACCTTATTTTAAACAGATGTAGTGATTAATTAGGGGTATGTGATGTGTTACAGTAGATAAAATAACCTTAATGTACCATGTTTCTCTTCAGCTTGATGGGCCAAAAAATCTTTCAGCCTGTAAATTTAAAAACTGTGTAGCAGTGTTCAAGAATTCTTTTTAAAAACAATTTAGCATAATTCTAATGTTTCTGCAATAATACATTTTAAGTAAAATTTTAATTCTTGCTATTTTCATTTAAGGAGGAAGAATTAGAAGAGCACAACATTCAAGTTACTCCACCAGGATTCCATCTGATTTTTCTTCCATTTACTGATGACCTAAGGAGACTGAAATATGAGGAGACACCTAAAGGTAACTGCACCACAAAAGAATAAATAAAAATTATTATATTGTACATAATCCGAAACCACTCCCCTCCATTCCCCATCCTTACAATCAAAGTTTGAAATAACAAAGGGCCATAGGGACTGCAAAAATGTGCACGATTGCTGTAAAGAGGTGTCATTTTATGGAGGTTCTAATTAATATTTTTTGTTTTACCTCACGCTGGGGTGAAGAAGTGCTGTTTTCCGCTGGCTGAGGAACAAACGAAGCCGATTGATGTACAGGCTGCCCAGGTGCTCAAAGTACAATGTAGACATGGTACCTGGCACTTGCATCTCCTTTCATGTGCGGCTCTCACATGACTTCTTACGCCACCCCCAAGAGTCTAATATAGACACAAGCTTCTTGTCCACTAGCTATCATAGTATTAATGCTGTACATTTTTTAATAGTGGGAGTTTAAATTCAGCAAATGATTCTGAATTCAGTTGCAAGTTAAGGTATCCTCACATTCCAATACTCTATTACTACTGCACTGGCTGTGAAAATGTGTAGTTTTTGTTTGGATTTAAGATTCTCAAACTTGATCCATGCCATCCCCTTTTTTTAGATATGGACTCTTCTCGTGCCTGCTGGATTAAAATTATTTTATTACTAATTCATATCTTTTAAATTGTAATATTTGTTTTATACAATGTATGTGCAGCCACATCAGAACAGATCAGTAAAGCCAAAGACGTCATCAAGAAACTCACCCTTGGATTTAGCAGTTCTCAGTTTGAAAATCCTTGTAAGTTACATGCAATGTACATATAATATTATTAAATTGTTACAACTAACAAGTTTTAAGTTTTTTTGTATTACATAATGACAAATAAAATTGTGTTGTTCCTGATAGTCTTCTGTGTTTTACACTGTCTCTTATTATTCTTCTCTTCTTGTAGCTCTTCAAAAACACTTCAAGAACCTTGAAGCTTTGGCTTTAGACAGAGATGAACCAGAAGAAGTCATTGATTACACAGGTAACAATATTATTCTTGCAGCCTCCTCTTGTTATTATGAAAGGAATCTTGTACCAACTCGAATGTACAGATCAGTCATGTACCCAGAAAAGTGCTGCATCCTTTAATATATACCCTAAAGTAAGATTCGGGGACGATCTCTTTTGATAACAGTCAATAGATAATTTATAATTATTTCCTAGTTGTTTAGTTTTTTTTTTTTCCAGACCCCCCCTTCTGTTTATTTATTTATTTATTTACTTATTTATTTATTTATCTATTTATCTATTTTTTTCCAGACCCCCCCTTCTGTTTATTTATGTATTTATTTATTTATTTATTTATTTATTTATTTATTTATTTATTTATTTATTTGTTTTTATCGTTATGACATATACCCTTACTGGCAAAAATCATCCCATGGTCCCTGTTGACTTGATTTTTCCTTTGGGGGGTCAATGACAAAGAAAACTTATACTAGTTATACTATACATCCCAGATCAATTCATGAACAATTATTATGTACTTGAAATAATTAATTTTCATGATATTATTCTCATTGCAGAGCCAAAAATAGAAGCAATTGATCGTAAGGCTGGTGAGGCTATCAAGGATTTCAAGGAAGTAGTGTTTCCTGATGATTATAATCCTGCTGGAAAACCTGCTGCGAAAAGAAAGGTATAAAAAAATATTGAAGGGGTTTTATTTATTGTTGTTGTTGCTCTAGGATAACTTTTGGCTTGATAAAGAGAACACACAGGGAAGAAAGGAACTCAAGTGTGTAAGTGAAGTGTAGTTCATGGGAATATTAGGGCTGGCCAGCATGAATTTTTCTTGTGTCGTGGATGTTGCAGTTAGCAACTATTGTCTAAATATTCAGCCACCTTAAATGACTATTGTAATAAACCCCTAGGGCATCTTCTATTTAATTTTAGGGGTCCAAGCGGGGGCGTTTAATACATAGGAGGCATTTATAAGAGAGAGGCATTCATTCTCGTAACTGTAACAAGCTCAAAAAAACTAGCCTGCAGAGCAGGCGTTTTTTAACGAAAACTCGGAGGTACACTTTTTGACTCGTCCCAACTCTCTGGTAGTATTAACGTCCAAGATGGCGGGACAACGTCATTCCTGAAAACAATTCATGGATCGCGCTCCAAAATACTCCTGCTTTGCAGGCTACAAAAAAAAACTAATATGCTTTCGGTGAAAATATCAAGAGAGTTTAATCATAGTGGAATATCCACGCCATCAACTTATATATCTTGGCCGTCCAGAGATCCATAACACTCTTTCAAATCCCAATATCAATGTCAGAATCCTAGCTCAGGGTTATTGTGTTGCCATCGTTGGTCTATTTTTACTTAAAACTTGACATTGAATAAAATGAAATATACATAGCCTGAATGAATTGAATGATGTTGCTTCTTTTTTCTATTATTCCTAGTACATTGGAGTAATTCTGATAGAGGGCATTTACTAGAGACTAAAAGAGGGGCATCCAATACAATTTTAACAGCACAGAGGGGGCGTTTAGTAGATAAGAGGCGTTTATTGGGGAGCGGGAATTTATTAGGTCATTTACAGTATTCAAAAGAGGTTGGGATTAGTCAACTAATCCTGGACCATTATTTTAATGCTCCACAGCCCCCTAACATTTTGTGAGAATTCTGCTTAAAAAAAATTAATTACTTTTCATGATGTCATCTTTGTTTTAGGCTGAAGGAGGAGGAGCTGCAGCCAAAAGAAGCAAGCCAGGGGATGATGTGGAAATTGATATGAGAGAAGAAGCACAGAAAGGCCGGGTAAGTGGCAGTGTTCAGTGAGTCTCTTTTCACCAAATTATTACTGATAACTTAACTCAATTATTTATTTGTCAAGAGAACAATCTGCTTTTAATATACATTTATCCATAGCTTTTTTATTAAATTATGTACAGGTCAAAATGAAATTTAGGTTAAAATTTTTTGACCCAATGTCCTTTGTCTTCTAGCCCTAGTTCATTATTAGGGCCAGGGGGGAATCAACCTAGTTTAAAAAAGTTTAATGTGCTAAATTTTATTTTGACCTGTAACATATATATAAATAGAATAGAATGGTTATGAAGCCCCTGAGATTCTTTTGTTATTTTTTGTGGACACAGTCATGTTCAGTGCAAATACATGTACTGTTTCTTCTGCTTTTTTTCTTTACAGCTTTCCAAGCTCACAGTTCCAGTGTTAAAAGAATTTGTCAAGCAAGCTGGTATCAAGTGTGGGACCAAAAAGGCTGATCTAGTTGAAGCTATCAAGGACCACTTTGGAGTCTGATTTCTTTGTACTTTTAAAAACATTATTGACTTTATATTGAAAATATGTTTAGTCTCCTACACTGCTGCTCGGGCCAGTGTCAGGCAACGATCCCGGCATGGGGGTGGGAGGTTGTGTCTACATGTAGACTTGAAAGAGAAAGTTTGAGATAGTTGAATGCATTATTACAATAAGACATATTTAGATTTCTGACATTTTAGTTCTTTAAAGACCATCTTTGATATGCAAACGTACTACACACCATACCAGAACAGAATTGCTTTAAAAATGCTGAAATTATAGATTAAGTCTTGCCAAAACCATCTTTGCAGTATACAAGTACGATATCAAGGTGTATAGTTTTGTTTAGTTTGCAACACATCTAATAAGTTCATGACAAGAAATGTTAATTCTATTCACATGCTTTCTTTAATAATAATGTCACTCAAATAATATTATACACTTTTACTATTAATGGTAAGTAGTCTGGATACATAGTATCACAAAGGAAGATTGAAAATAAAATTTGTTGTACAAAAAAATACATGTTCTTCAGTTTACTGTACAGCTCTAAGAAATTACTCAGTACCATTATCTAAACATACTTTATACACTGTACAATCATCATTGTTAGCTATATTTCCTTTAGCATAACATGGGAGGGTATTAAACTAGTCTTTCCAAAAAAGCTGGTCTTATAAAACTTTTTTTCCTATTTTTTCCCAAATTTAGTTCACTATTAGTCTCATTCTAAACATCCTCAGTGCTCTAGCAACACATGAGATTACCCTTGGGTGACAAGGATGTTAGCAAAACACTGATAAGGTGATGGTACACGAGATAATTCGCAACAACAATTTTCAGTGCAACACAGCATTGCAACAACATTGTTGCAACATTGCCGAGTTTCAAATGGTTACAACATTATTCAAACGTTGGACGTGTGTTGCACTGAAAATCGTCGTTGCGAATCGTTCTGTGTAACCAGTCACCTCTAATGCTGGGCACACTGGTATAAAATGTTAGTACGTACCTTTGGGCACCACATACCATAATAACTTCTGATTTTCACAGTCAACTTTAACCTCATCATCATGATTGCTATCTTTGCCATTGTAATCATCATCATCTTCATTTTGATCACCATTTTCTGCAAATGTTTGTCTTTGGCATTCATAATGACCGAGGTATCAACATGGAGGGTAGATAAGTACCTCTGCTGTCATCATACTAACCCATCTTTAAGGCAACCATGAAGACGCTATATTTTATCGCACAAAAGGTTTCTGTCCAGTCAAGTGTAACCCCACGCTTTGCCCGATAACTCTCATACTATGTGCCTGTGTACAATTGCTCGTAAAGGTACTGTGTCGTTGAACCTTTTGCTAGGGTATTAACATAGGTCTCACTACATCACACTAGCATCGGGGCTAATAATGCCGAATCTGTGCAGTGGAAAGCAATCTTCCCTCAGAACCCATCCAAACGTTCAATTGTCACCACATAGAGTGCATTAATTTCATTCGATTATAGGTCTTCTAACACGTAGTCCATAACGCCACGGTGTTCCTTGTCGAGAATACGGCGAGTCTGGCAATGTGTACTGCATTTTACTAGGAGCTGGTGAACTGTAGGATGGGTATAAATATTGCCAATCATTGTTAGAAAAATCACTTTGAGGTCTCGGGTATCTCTTGTAATTTGTTGGAGGCAGTATATTACCCTCCCAATCAATCGGAGGAGCTCTACATTCGCTCTTCACTTTTAAAATCCTTGACTGAAAATGTTCCTTTCCTTGTTTCTGCCATCCGACGATTTTGTGTTTGTTTTTAGGTAATTTCGTTCCCTGTAGGAATTTGTGATAGGTATTTTCGCCGATGCTCGAGGGCTTGGGCAATGTTAATGGATAGATTTCCGCGATCAAGCCTCTAGAAGCTTCAGGGGAGCTTTGTTTCCCGTAGTTGGCACTGTGCCTGGGGCGAACAAACTTGAAATTTTTCCACATGTTGCTGTTGTATTTCTCATCGATTTGTTGCATCGTCGACGTGTGGAGGTGAGACATGTCCAGCCATAGTCTGTGTTGGGCTGTGTTCATTGGTTTATCTCGTTCATCGTACGGAGCTTGGCGAACGAAGCTGTTTAAATCAAACGCAAGCTCTGAAGGACGATCGTTTCTTTGAGGTAACCCAAAAGTTGTCCCAGACCGAGGAGAGAACGCCATGACAGGTGAAAATTTGTGCAATCCCAAGCGTCCTTTGGGAAGGACGAGTTGTCATGGAAACTGAATGATGGTTTTCGCGGGAAAAATGACAGGGTGGGGCATTGGGAGGGTGACTTCCTGCTTTGCACTTTTTTTTTCTTTGTGCTCACCATGTTTTTTGTCGTGTGAATTTTTCCTCAAGTAAAGATACGAAAGCCAAACGAGAGCACGAAAAATGAGAGCGCGACCAACCGAATACTGATTACACTGAATGGCGACAACGGATATAGCGCGGGGAAGGATTATGAGAAAGTTTATATTCAGCGCCTATGTTGATAAAACCCGCCCGTCTTTAGTCAATTGGTCGCACTTATTCGAGCTCGTTCAATTCTTCAAATGTTGGCAATTTTTTCTGGAAGTGAATTCTTAAACACTGTATCGAAATTCAGGAAAAGAAAGAGGAAGTCGTTTCCTTGTGTTCTTGTCCTCCAAAAAAGTGAAATGATGCACTTTCACGTCGTAGTCGTTCAGCGACGCCAAAGAAATGTACAGTGCAAAAAAGCGTGATCAACGAGCAAAGTTGTTGTGTTGCTAATAAAAACATGTTGACATCCTATTTGTTTCTTAGCTATCTATTTATTGGTAAGGCCGTTTACACTTCATGCCACAAAATAACAGCTGATATGTCTTTTTTCTTAAAATAAGCTTACAATAAATACCGTACATTTACAGTTAACTGCGTTAAATTCAGTAAATTTCACCTTGGAAGCGAGTTTTGAATATAGCACGAGTCAACGGATGGAAACCGTAAAAAACTAACTCGATCGACAGAAGAGTCGCTTTAATGTTTCTTTTACAGCTTGCCTTACTTCTCTGATCTTCCAACAGTACAGCAACGGGTTTAATGACGAGTTAAAGAAAACCATGCTAGTTGTGAAATTCCAGGCAAGGTAGATCGATAAAGGCATCCCTCTGCGTGGTGTCAAAACGAACAATATAGAAAATGGAAGATAACAAATAGCCAATGTTCCCTGTACCCACAGTGCACTGTACACTGCCTTTCTGTATCGAGCTGTGTTCAGTGGAATTGCTTGGCTCGGTTGTCCTTGAGCAACATGGTTCTGAACATGAATTTGATTATGACGCAGAGTAAAGAAAATTTTTGTGTAAGCGAAGGTTGTGGTGACTAGACACAAAGCCGAAACTATGTATAGACACCATGAAGTTATACGACGATTAAAAAAGAGAGTAGACGCACCGACGATGGACAAAATCCAAAACCCAGTCACAATTATACATGTTATTCTATGAGTTAAAACTTGTCTGTATTTGAACCCCAGCAACAAGGCGAGAAGTCTGTCCACGCTTATTGCAGTCACTGTTAATACAGACACTACACACAAAACAAAACTTGAGTAATTTCCTGCCCGATATGCGTAATAACAAATATCCCATCTTTCTTTCACAACAGAAGTAAAATAAGTCACAGTTAAAGGCTCTATAATGATACCAACACAAAGATCAGTTATCGCTAGGTTACGATACAGGAGTTTGGACGGCGGATGAAGTGAAGTTTCCTTGTGCAGAGCAACTAGGATCAGAGTGTTCCCCAGAAATGCAGTGACGGAAAGAAAAATATGAAGAGCTGAAAGGAATATAAGCTCGCTCTCTACACCTCTGACAAATTCAGCCGAGCAGAACAGTCCTTGGACAGTTTTATGGTTTTCGTCTTCAGTAAAATTTTTCAGGGCCATTTTCCTCTTGGGCGCAATGACCTGCAAGTGAGAGTTTTATTTATATATACTATTTGAATTTGGGCCAACGTTGATATCAATTTGACATCTTTACAGTCAAAACTATTTACCTAAACTGTTACTGGTTATATACGTTAATTTGTAGCGTATTAATAAATGATGATCAGAGGTAAATTATAGAGTCATAAACGTGCAAAAACTATCAGTTAACTAAACGTAAAAGAAAAAAGCTCAGAGCGCCAAGAAAGGATGAGCAGAGTTGTCTCGGTATTTTTTCAATCCAACTGACCGAACTATGATGAGCCAAATGTTATGTCACAGATGAAACTTAAACTCACGGATAATTTTAATAACTTTTTAGGTCTTATGTTGGCTACGCATTGGCAACTTGACATCGCAGTAATTTGAAGGAAATTCCAATAACTCAAGATTTTTTAAAGTTTATATAAGGCTGAGTCATCACTCCTTCTCAGAAATTAAGCGACATATATACACCTAATTAATTGCAATTGCGTTGTCATAGTTAAATCAGCTAAAAGCAACTGAAATTAAAAATGCAAAAAACAAATCGAAATTAATTAGGCTTACCGTTAAACCACTATATCGTGAATTTATTTTCAACATACGCGTGCTGTCTTCGCTTCTATGCCCCTAAAACGCCTATGCAGCAAATAAATGCTCTCTTTCTGTCTCCTTTCTAGATTTATTAGCAGGCCTAATTAATTCCTATTTGGCTTTTTCTTTTTTCATTTCCCTTTACCATTTTTCTTAGACAACGTTATTGCAATTAGGTGTATATGCGCTACGTGACCACGCGTGAAATTAATATGGCTGGAAAAAGATATCTACATGTTTACAACAATTAGGACTCAATTAGGGTGAAGGGAAAACGCACGAAAACCATCAAAATCAGACTCGTACCCAGTCGCTATTTAAGTGTTTTTTGGGATGAGAGAAGATTAAGGATTAGGTTGAGGCGCGCGCGGGGTCTCATGGGAAGGGAAGAAGGAAAAATAGCGACTGGCAGATTTCGTTCGCTAGAGACGTGCAGGTCCTTTTTCCCTTCCCATGAGACCCCGCGCGCGCCTCAACCTAATTTCCAATCTTCTCTCATCCCAAAAAACACTTGAATAGCGACTGGGTACGAGTCTGCATCAAAATCAAGAAAATCAAGACGAGAGACTTTTTGCAATGAGACAGCATTCCTATTTTGGTTTCACGTACTGTGAAAACTCGGAAGTTCAAACTGCTGTGTTTTCGAAAAGAAACGTACTTCGGGGCTGGAATCTTGTACAAAGATTTCTTTTCTATTTATCTTCAACCTAGTGTAAATAAGAATTCATAGAGCCTCGCTTTTTTGACTTTGCAATTTGATGACCTCACTGTGAAAACCATCCCTTAGGGTAAAGGTAAAACGCAAGAAAACGTCATGACCATCTCAGTGCAAGTGCTTTGACGCGGTTATTTTATTTGCTAATTCTTCTGTAATTATCACGCCTGTAAATATCACGATCCGTGTTTCAAACAAAAACAAAAGAGATGAGTTTTTTTTGTTCCTAAAAGTTGTAGTCAGGGTTTAAAATGATAACTTTACCACTAGACTGTTCACAGTCCCCTATTTTCCCGTAAGATCGTCGAGATCGAGCGCTTTGCGTTACGGGCTGCCATCTTGCATGAGTGTCAAAACTACTTAGGGGGCGGGGGGCGGTTTGAGAGGAAGCGAATGACCTGCAAGTGAGAGTTTCATTTATACACACTATTTTAATCTGGGTGAAAATTGATATCATGTCGACATCTCTACAGTCAACACTATTTACCTAAACGGGCTATATACGTTAATTTGTCGCGTATTAATAAATAATGATCAGAAGTAATTTATAGAGTCATAAACGTGCAAAAACTATTAACTAAACGTAAAAGAAAAAAGCTCTCAGGGCCAAGAAAGGTCGAGCAAAGTTGTCTCGGTACTTTTTCAATCTAACTGATCGAACTATAAATGAGCCAGGTGAAACTTAAACTCACGGGCGATTTTAACACATTTTTAGGTCTCTTGTTGGAGGTGCATTGGCAACTTGATATCGCAGTAATTTGAAGGAAATTCCGATAACTCATTAGAATTTTTTTAAGTTTACTATAAGCTTGAGCCATCACTCCTTCCCAGAAATTAAGCGATATACTGTATATACACCTAATTGCTATAGCGTTGTCATAGTTAAATCAGCTAAAAGGAATTGAAATTAAAATTGCAAAAAAACAAATCGAAATTAATTAGGCTTGCCGTTAAACCACTATATGGTGAATTTATTTTCAACAACCTACGCGTACAGTCTTCTCTTCTATGCCCCCAAAATGCCTATACAGCTTAATGCTCCCTTTCTGACTCCTTTCTAGATTTTTTAGAAGGCCTTTCATTTCCCCCTTTACCATTTTTGTAAGACATGCTCATTGCAATCAGGTGTATATGCCCTACTTAATGACTAAGCGTATGTTTACAACAATTAGCAATCAATTAGGGTATACTAAAGGGAAATCGCACGAAAACGTCATGGCCATCTCATCAGTGCAAGTGCTTTGAAGCGGTTATTTTATTTGCTAATTCTTCCGTAATTATCACGCCTGTAATATATAGTTATCACGATATGTAACAAAAGAGATGAGTCTTATTTTTGTTCTTAAAAGTTGTAGTCAGGGTTTAGCAAAAACAATGAAGTGTTTCAAGCTGACACCGAACTTTAATGAGCCTGTTGAAACTAACTCGCTGATGTTTTTAATGTGTTTTCAGTTGTAAAGGAAGTCTTGACAGTCGGCAAACACATCAAACTGTGTGCAGTGGGCTGCGATAACGTTGGTGTACGTTATTTGTGTTGTTTATGAAGATGTTAAATGATAACTTCACCACTAACAATAACACTCGTTCCTTGAACAGCTGCATGTTTTTTTCCAGGGTTTATTCCCTGGATCTCCCTGGCTTGTTTCCTACAGCATCTTCCTTTAGTACGCAAGTGTTTTCGCGCGGAATTGACATGGATATACTTTTTTTTCCTGTTCCCCTTTCTACGTTACTTAATTAACATCCCTTCCGGCGTGATTACAAAGTACAAGTTGCTTTTGTTGCAAAATATTATGTGCTCATGAGGTGAATTTTTGCTATCGCTTGCATGACACCTGTGTTAGGCAAAATACAAAAGTTATAGCATGTATTTAATGCCCAGTTCATCTTCTGAGATACCGAGCATTCCTAACTTTTGGAAAGGCAATATCTTTGCCCTTCAATATGGTACTTTTACCAAACTGGACTGATGATCGATGTGTTATCAATATAACCTTGGTTCTTACCCAGTATGGACACCTGTCGTTTCTCTCAATGCCTTTTCGTTTCCATCACGTCCAGTGTATAAACAACGACTGATGTAGAAAGCACAATATACCGACTGCTTGTACCTTTTCTAGCCTTACTAATCAGTTACAATTTATACTGGTGCTAGACTTAACCTCAAGTAAACGAGAGCACGAAAAATGAGATCGCGACCAAACCGAATACTGATAAGATTGATTTTCTTTCTGCTGTCTCGTGTCTAGCTATTTTTCATATTCTCCACTATTTTTCTTTTCAGTTGGCCAATTCAAGATTTTCTTAACTTTGTCAATTAAAGGAAAAGGCCGCACGTTTCAAGTGCGTTGTTGCCATCAAAGAAAATGAAAAAAAATAATAATAATAAAATAAGAGTATTTAGTTCAGCGGAGTTTTGTTTTTAAAAAGTTAAGACGAATCTTCTCCGTTCTTACTTTTTTGTTTCACTTTTTTGAGGTAAGTGTTTCTTATTATGTTGTCTTCTGTTGAATTTTAATTTTATTTTCATATTTCGTTTCTCTGCTCGACCATTTCAATGTAACAGTTATAATAGTGCCTCTTCACGCACACCTGACTGGGGGTGTCTGTAAAACGCGTGCCAGATACCTGCGGATGGAAAAGTGAGGATAGAAAAAAATGTGGATAACAAAAATAATTTGTGTTACTGAAGCAGGTTTTTTTTATGGTTCTTCTATGCTTAAATCCCAATTATAAAATTAATTGTAGTTTGATATCCATCTTCGGAGAGCAAAACACGTGTACAAAGTTATTGACAGAAATTTTTAGTTTTGAAATAAAAGGCGGAGAAAAAGTAGGAACTACAGGTAATAGTTACATTAGACAGATAATTAGATGCAATTCCTGGATAAACAGGAGCGCTAGGCTGTTTGTCAATTCCTTCCGATACTTCACAGGGTACTTAAAAATTTTATTTTTCCCGTTCGTCTTCTGTTACATCCAATGATACTTTGTTCTTATTGCCAGGATTGAACGCAGGTAGTGTTCTAAGAGTACGTAATATTTGACTGAGTTGTTTGCCAATCTCACATTTGCTTTTTTTTGACCGACTTAGAAGTAACTATTTTGAAATAAAAAACTATGGACCGACATTTGACAACAAAACGATTTCTTAGGCGCCGAGATCGCAAAGTAATTCAGTTTTTAATTTGTTTTGTTCTCTAATAGTTTATTTGCACTGCTTTCAAGTATCATGAAAATGACTGCAGACTTAAAATACAGTGCTTTCACAGCCGGGTAAAATTCGATGTTCGTGTTATTACGATGCATGATCATTTCTATTCACTTATACTTCAGCTACATTTATTTGTTTATTCATTTACGTCCAACACGGATCTTCTTAGCGCAGTGGGAACTAGGCATGGTTACCGCCCAAGTACCTGCAGGGCCTGATTTTATGTATGGCGGGTGGACTGAGTTGCCGAGCAAAACTGACCTAGCGACAAGACAAAATGGAAACCCTGATCGATTCTTTTTCATGGCCAGAATCTGAAGTTCATTTTGATTGATCCATAAACAAATATGAACGACACAGTTCCGTTTTTGACTGAAGATAACCATTAAATTCCAAAAGTAACATTAAAATATGTCGCTAATTCCCGGAAGTAAGGTGAATTACGCCACGTTTGAATAATTGTCTAGCATAATTATGCACTGTGGGAAAAGGAAATTCCGGAGCAAGCGCAAAATGAAAATAGGCGAAGAGCTGGACGGTTATTTGCGCTGTTCACCCTGCCTACAGGCCCCTCTGCATGCTATGTGCTCAAAGAAGAAGTGCTCCAGAGCGTGCGTGCATTCATGGAGGACGAAAAGAGAGAGTCTTTTTTTGCTATGACATTAAGGAAAGGAAATACAGGGCTCAAATTAAAGAACTGAGGAAAAACCTGGAGTAACCTGTCGGCCAACTAATAACAACAAGTTCTATACATGAACGGCCCAACCCTGTGACAACCACTTCAAAGAAAGATTTCTTTCCTTTTTGTTTTTGTTTGTTTGTTTTTATTTGCTATCGGCATTGCTCGTCTTATCCTTCTTACTTGTTGTTTTTTTTTTCTGTCGGCATTTTTTTCTTTCCGAGCTTTTTTTTCCTCATTTTCCCATCCGCAAGTATGTGGTAGCCGTTTTACAGACATCCCCTGACTGGCTGGAATTACTTTAATTGGTAAAACAACGACAACAACAACAAACACAAGACTGGACAAGAAGAACAAGAAGGAATGGAACCCTTGAAACGTAATATTTCTTTGTTAGCTCTTTATTCGCACGAGTTAAGCTCTCGCGGGATGTGTACACTTCATGCCACCAAGAGAGAATGATCCAAGAGAGCGAATCCCCAATACATAACCCTCTTTCCATGAAAATTATTTTCAATCTATTCTTGGTTCTGTGTCATACTGCGTGGTTATTTTAAGGACGCCACCTTATTGGTCGGTTTGAGTGGCGTCATGTAATTTTAAACTTAGCGAGTAATTCATTTCACTGCCGATCACGCACAGCAAGCGATATGGCGTGCAAACGTGGTATTACTTTCAATTCGTCGACGAGTCAAAAGATTTCTACGTGGAAAAATCTGGACAGAGTAGCTGCCGAAGAGCAAAACGGTCGTGGCTTGTGGGAGTTCGCCGAAGAAAGCGGTTCTGACTCGACGAAAATTGGTCATTGAGGTCTTCGCTGCATCAGTATATAAACAACCAACAACCTATTGTATTAAAACGACAACTGTCTCTTCCGGCGACATCCACATACACCATCGAGCTGTGATACCATCGTTTGGATTTAACCGTGGACACGTACGAGCGGTTCAAAGTGGGTGCAAACACGAATGTTTGGTCGCCAAACATTTGAATTTTGAGAGGGCTCTATACAAATGTGGGCACACCGCTCACTATGAAGAATTGACCGAAACCGGAAACCGCGGATTAGAAGTCTCAGGCATCAAGGCTGGCGACTCTTTAACAGCTTGAAGCATCTGACCTGATTTGCGTTCGCACAGCGAAATATTCATCGCAAGTATTAGACATAAAGAAGAAGTAATGCAGTTTGAAACTCTCAAGAATAGTTCTTAAAAGCAATTTTACTGTTTCTGACCGAAGAAGATTCCATGAAAAAGAGAAAAAATATCTTACACATTTGTATAAACAAGTGAAGCCAGCCATTTATTAAAGGTTTTGTGTTTCTCGTTTGATAACCTTTGCCTTTGGCTTTCTCAATGTGTCAGAATTCAATATTCGTTACTTTAAATGAGGCTACCAGCCGTTAGAAAATCTCAAAGTGAAATTTTGACTCCAATACTGCAATCCCTTGTAAATGAAATTCATTCCTAAATTATGAGCGGAACACGCTGATCAAAAACATGTCTACAGCAGGAGCCGATTAGTATCGGCTCCTGGCGCTAATTACTATGATGGCTGTCAAACTTCAAATGTTTGGCGGTGAAACATGTCACGTTCACGTGAAAGTAGACCACACGGGTCACGGAAACAACAGACAAAAAAAGCCTTCGCATCACGCGCGCGAACTTTAAATAGATTTTAAAAAATTATCATGGGGCACAGGGATTCGCTCTCTTAGCTCATTCTCTCTTGATGCCACTAAATAGTTAAGCTGATAACATCTTTGAATTTCTAGGCGAGGAATACTATACTTGCCCCTAAAAAACAGGTGATATGCCTTTAAATTGTTGAAATATGCTTGCAGTACAATATATTTACAGTTAAAAATTGTTCAATATCAACGAGGCCAGATTTCTCCTCGAAAGCACGTTTTTCAGAGATGAATTACCAGATGGAAAGCAAAGAAAACCAACTCGATCAACGGAAGAGTTGCCTTAATGTTCCTTTCACAGCTTGCCTTACTTCTCTGATCTTCCAACAGTACATCAAGGGGTTTAAAGATGAGTTTAAATAGACTAAAGAAAGAGTTAAAGCAAGCGCACGGTAAACGGATAAAGAGATCCCTCTTTGAAGTGCTAAAATGGACGCTATACTATACGGCAGATAACAAACAACCAATGTTCCTTGTACCCAGATTGCACTGTACACTGCCTTTCTGTATCGAGCTATGTTCAGTGGAATTGCTTGACTCGGTTGTCCTTGAGCAACATGGTTCTGAACATGAATTTGATTATGACGCAGAGTGAAGGAGATTTTTGTGTAAGCGAAGATTGTGGTGACTAGACACAAAGGTAAACCTATACGTTCATACCATGTGGTTACATTAAAAAATAGATTCCAAAAGTCAGTAGCTGCTACGACGATGGACAAAATCCAAAAACCAATCACAGTTACACTTGTTTTTTTCAAAGTTACAACTTGTCTGTATCTGAGCCCCAGCATCAAGGCGAGAAGTCTGTCCAAGCTTATTGCAGCCAATGTTAATAAAGATACTGAACACAAAATACTGCCTGAAAATTTTTGGACTCGTGTTGCGTAATAGCAAATATCCCATCTTCCTTTCACCACAGAAGCCGAATAAGTCGCAGCTAAGGGCTCCGCAATGATACCAACACAGAGATCAGTTATCGCTAGGTTACGATACAGGAGTTTGGACGGCGGATGAAGTGAAGTTTCCTTGTGCAGAGCAACTAGGATCAGAGTGTTCCCCAAAAATGCAGTGACGGAAAGAAAAATATTAAGAGCTGAAAGGAATATAAGCTCGCTCTCTACACCTCTGACAAATTCAGCCGAGCAGAACAGTTCTTGCCAGTCAGTTTTATGGTTTTCGTCTTCAGAAAAATTTTTTAGAGCCATTTTCCTCCTCGGCGCAATAACCTGCAAATGAGAGTTTTATTTATATATACTATTTTAACTTTGGGCGAAAGCTGCATGATATCATTTCGACATCTGTACAGTCAAGACCACTTACCTAAACGGGCTATATACGTTTTGTCGCGTATTAATGATCAGAGGTAATTTATCGTCATAAACGAGCAAAAACTTTTAACTAAACGTAAAAGAAAGCTCACAGGGCCAAGAAAGGTCGAGCAAAGTTGTCTCGGTACTTCTTCTATCTAGCTGACCGAAATGAGCCAGGTGTTATGTCACAGGTGAAACTTACTCAAGGATGATTTTAATAACTTTTTAGGTCTTATGTTGGCGGTTTATTGGCAACTTGACATTGCAGCAATTTGAAGGAAATTCCCATAACTCAAGATTTTTTAAAGTTTGTATAAGCGTGACTCATCACTCCTTCTCAGAAATTAAGCGATATATATACACCTAATTAATCGCAATTGCGTTGTCATAGTTAAATCAGCTAAAAGGAACTGAAATTAAAAATGTAAAAAACAAATCGAAATTAATTAGGCTTACCGTTAAACCACCATATATGGTGAAATTATTTTCAACATACGCGTACTGTCTTCGCTTCTATGCCCCCAAAACGCCTATTTGACTTTTTCTATTTTCATTTCCCCTTTACCATTTTTCTAAGACATATCTTCATTGCAATCAGGTTTATATGCGCTACGTACTGACTACGCGTATCGTTAAGATGCCAGAAAAAGATCTCGACATATTTACAACAATTAGGACTCAATTAGGAAAAACACACGAAAACGTCATGACCATCTCAGTGCTTTGAAAGGGTTATTTTATTTGCTAATTCGTCTGTAATTTTAGCACTGTTCTGTAATTATCAGGATCCGTGTTTCAAACAAAAACAAAAGAGATGAGTTTTATTTTGTTCTTAAAAGTTGTAGTCAGGGTTTTAGCAAAAACAATAAAGACTGTTTCAAGCTGACACCGAACTTTAATGAGCCTGTTGAAACTAACTCACTGACGATTTTAATGAGTTTTCTGTAGTAAAGGAAGTCTTCACAGTCAGTAAACACATCAAACTGTGTGGGCTGCGGTAATTTTGTTGTCTGTTATGGATGTGAGATAATTACTTTGTCAATTCTTCTTGTTTCAATTTTTATCAACTTTTTCCACAAAACTTTGAGGAAAAAAATTAATTCTGTTTTTAGTCGTACCACACGAGGAGAAAGGATTCAGCGAAGTTGTCTGGGTGATCATTTTAAACACCTGACTGCTTTTTATGTTAATATATGTTTTATAGCCCAGTATACAAAAATTCACGACACATATAGATTCTTGTTATTCGTGTTTTTAATTTTCTTTTCCTTAGATTTCTTGCCAACAGCTCGTCCGTTACTAAAGCAAAATAACAATACCCATTAGGACACACGCTTCGTTAAAGTGAACGAAACCCCATAACCATCAATAATGCTTGGGTATAAAATAAAGATATTCATTATGGCAACAATATTTCTCTACTAATTTTGATTATCACCTCACTTTGTCTTCTTTTAACAAAGCGGCCCTCACCATTTTAAACACCTGCTGACTGCTTTTTTTGTTAATATATGTTTTTAGCCCAGCAAATAAATTCTCGACACACAGATTCTTGTTATTCGTACTTTAGATTTTCTTTTCTTTTCTTCCAACAACTCATAGAGGAGGCGAAATATTGACTGTTCGTTGTTGTTCTTTTCAACCGCTTATTTATAACAATTTATTGTTGCTTTTTGCAGCCCCAGACGAAGGATAGTATTGTCTAACCAAAATATCGGGCAATTAAATAATACCCTATCTTTTGGATACCAGCTTGCATTTGCTTTTACGTTTTATTCTCATTACTGATCCTGATCAACAGCAAGATCCGGCTTTACTTCGCCGTCGTTTGTCCAAGTATTTAACAGTTAGTACTTACCGATAAAGTTCTTGTACCCTATCATAATAAAGCTAGGTTTTTCGGGTATATTACATAGTACGATGGTAGAACTTTTTTGCAAAACATTTAAATGTGGTCGTGTGGATTTGCTTTCACGCCAAAAGGAAACATTTTTTCGTAAACAAAAACGAATGTGTGACACATGCTACAAACTTTCTTTTGTGACCTGTTTGGCAAAATGCAAAATGTTATTGTGTAGTCAATACCCACAGAAGTTTATTAAGACAACTATATCTTGCCACATCTTATACACAACAAATACGTGTACGGCAGAACTTGAATTGCTTACGTCCCAGGCCTTCTTGCTTTGCGTTTAGTTTACGTTGGCCCCGCGGACTAATGAGCCTGGGGACTAGGCAGTCGCATAATCTCGCGGGGCTCTGGGGAGGGCAACCTGTACGATGTGTTAATCATTAACCCATTCGCCCCTGAACCGCCCGTGCGGATCCAGGTCCTTTCTACCCTTTGTGACGTCATCAGTTTTAACGGTCAAGGACAACTTTCTTCGCTAACTTGTGTAGAGTGAAGAGATCTTTCAAACCATACCAGAATGAGTTCAATTCAGTCAAGGACACCGGAGAAAGAAGCAAAAAACCACCTGACATTGACCTGAAAATCTCCATGAAAATCTTGTTCCATTGCTCACCTACCTTTCCTTTCCCCTAATCCTAAGATCCTAGAAGCTTTCCTAAAAACTCTTCCCACCAAAATGAAGCCTACTAAATGCCCAGCAAGAGAAAAAAAATGAGGCAAGAAAAGCGAAAAAAGAAGGGAGGAGAGAAAGCGAAAAGTAAAAGTCAAGACTGCTGTGTCACTTTTAAACCCTAAAACTGTCGAAATTTGGCTTTCTGCGCATGCCCGAACTTCGCAAGCTGATATTTTGCATCTGGATCAGAAGGCCGCCAAGTGAACGACCTGTAAACCGGTTTGTGGTAAGTTTTAGCTCTTTATAGCACGACAGTGACCAGAAAACCACTCGACTAGCTTCAAAACGCGTTTTTCGGCAAAATCTCCAGGAGCGAATGGGTTAAAGAGATGCTTTTACCAGTATCAGAGGGGCAATTTTATTTCTGTTAATATGTTGAATGCTCAGAAAGTGCTGGCTTTAAACGTCGATGCACTTTTAATATCTTTCATTTGCATGCTAAGGTTACTTATTCTGAGTTTATACGAAGAAAGGACTGATAGAAATTTTGTAGGGATGAAAATAAGAGTTTCAGTTTTTTGGAAATGAAATCTCATTATTGAAAACATTAACGCTGATGACGTCATATATAGCCTTTTGTCTTTATCCCATGAATAAAATGCGGGGAAATCTCATTAAGATAAGGTCATGTACTACTTTTAAGTGGTTTAACTGTATTGACAGGCTTTGTATCGAGTAACAAGTTCTTCAAGTTCCATAAGGAGGAGGAGGAGGAGGAGGAGGAGGAGGAGAAGAAGCAGAAGCAGAAGCAGAAGAAGCAGAAGCAGAAGGAGAAGAAGCAGAAGCAGAAGAAGCAGAAGCAGAAGAAGAAGAAGAAGAAGAAGAAGAAGAAGAAGAAGCAGAGGCAGAGGCAGAAGCAGAAGAAAGCAGAAGAAGGAGAAGCAGAAGAAGAAAGAAGAAAGAAGCAGCGGCAGCAGCAGAATGTATGCCGATGACACCAGCCTAACCTATGCCAGCGCAGATTTAAAACTCATAAATGACTGCGTTAACGACGATTTAAACAAGGTGTATATATGGCTATCGGCTAACAAACTGACCCTTAACTTGACTAAAACTGAGTTTATGTTAGTTGGGTCGAGGCAGAAGCTATCAAAGCTTTCTGAAACTCCTTCTTTTATATGATAAGCGACCATCCCGTGATGCAAGTGTCAACGGCAAAACCTCTTGGAGTGCATATTGACCAAAACTTAAGCTGGGAATGCCACATAAAGAGTATTTGTAAAAAGATTACTTCTGCTTTGGGTGCAATTAAAAGAATACGACATCTTATTCCTTTTAATGTATTAATTAATGTTTACGACAGTTTAATTCAACCGCATTTTGATTACTGTAATGTCGTATGGAGCAATTAACTGCGGCATTAGTCTTTCCGATAAGCTGCAGAGGCTCCAAAATCGTGCAGCCCGTATTCTAATGTCCGCTAATTCTGACTGTAATGTGGACGATTTGTTCCTGGCACTGGGTTGGCGTAAGCTTAAACACCAAAGACAAGTATCGACGGCTATTATGATGTATAAAACCGTACATGGGATGACTCCCGACTATCTAACATCTAAATTTGTATCTCGTGACGAGAGAACTTCTTATCGATTGAGGAATACTGAAAATAAATTAGTCCTTCCACTGCCCCGTACCAATTATTTAAAGAAAAGTTTCTCCTATAGCGGAGCTAAGCTGTGGAACAGCCTATCCCATGATTTAAGATCTGCAGATTCTTTACATGATTTTAAACTCAAACTGTGTCGCAACAGTTTTGAATGAGTTCATACATTAATACAGTTTTACACGGCATCCTTGAAAAGCAGCTTTTATTTGTAAATAGCTAGGTAGTTAAAATTTTATGAATATATTTTTAATCAGAGTTAGTTTAGTTAGGTATAATAGATCTTAGATTTTCTGTACATGCTGAAGGAATTTTAACCGTGTTTAAATAAAGTTATCTATCTATCTATCGATCTATCTATCTATCTATCTATCAGAAGCAGAAGCAGAAGCAGAAGCAGAAGCAGCAGCAGCAGAAGAAAAAGAAGAAGAAGAAGAAGAAGAAGAAGAAGAAGAAGAAGAAGAAGAAGAAGAAAAAGCAGAAGCAGAAGGAGAAGAAGCAGAAGAAGCTGAAGAAGAAGCAGAAGCAGAAGCAGAGCCAGAGCCAGAGCCAGAGGCAGCGGCAGCGGCAGCAGCAGAAGAAGAACAACAACAACAAGAAGAAGAAGAAGAAGAAGAAAGCCCTTAAACTCTATCTCTTTATTAGTTCTTTATTCTTGTGCGTTGTTTACACCTCATGCCACTAAATAATAAAGATAACATCTTTGGATTTCTAGACCAGGAATATTTATAAATAAATATACTCGCCCCTAAAAAACAGGTGACATGCCTTCATAAAATATGCTTGCAGTACGATATATTTACAGTTAATGTCAACGAGGATTCAAGCATGAATTAAGAGCTGGCTAGAGAGAGCTGGAAAGCCCAGAAATCTAACTCGATCAACAGCAGAGTTGCGTTAATGTTTCTTTTACAGCTTGCCTTACTTCTCTGATCTTCCAGCAGTACAGTAACGGGTTTAATGACGAGTTTAAGAGAACCATGCTAAATGTGAAATTCCTAGCAAGGTAGATTGATAAAGGCATCCCTTTCTGAGGTGTCAAAACGACCGCTATATTATACGGCAGATAACAAATAACCAATGTTCCCTGCACCCACAGTGCACTGTACACCGCCTTTCTGTATCGAGCTATGTTCAATGGAATTGCTTGGCTCGGTTGTCCTTGAGCAGCCTGGCTCTGAACACGAATTTGGTTATGACGCAAAGTAACGAAAATTTTTGCGTAAGCGAAGATTGTGGAAACCAGACAGAAAGCAGTACCTATGTATTGATACCATGAAGTTATACGACGATTAAAAAAGAGAGTAGATGTACCGACGATGGAAAAAATCCAAAAACCAGTCACAGTTATACATGTTCTTCTATAAGTTACAACTTGTCTGTATCTGAGCCCCAGTAACAAGGCGAAAAGTCTGTCCACGCTTATTGCAGTCACTGTTAATAAAGATACTGCACACAAAATAGAACCTGAGAAACGTGCTGCCCAATATGCGTAATAGCAAATATCCCATCTTTCTTTCACAACAGAAGTCCAATGTGTCACAAACAAAGGCTCTACAATGATACCAACACAGAGATCAGTTATCGCTAGGTTACGATACAGGAGTTTGGACGGCGGATGAAGTGAAGTTTCCTTGTGCAGAGCAACTAGGATCAGAGTGTTCCCCAGAAATGCAGTAATGGAAAGAAACATATTTAGAGCTGAAAGGAATATAAGCTGGCTCTTAACATCTCTGACAAATTCATCCGAGCAGAACAGTTCTTGGACAGTTTTATGGTTTTCGTCTTCAGTAAAATTTTCCAGGGCCATTTTCCTCTTCGGCGCATTGACCTGCAAGTAAGAGTTTCACTTATACACACGATTTTAATTTGGGTGAAAGCTGATATAATGTCGACATCGCTACAAAACAATTTACCTAAACGGGCTATATACGTTAATTTGTCGCGTATTAATAAATAATGAACAGAAGTAATTTATAGAGTCATAAACTTGCAAAAACTATAAACTAAACGTAAAAGAAAAAAGCTCTCAGGGCCAAGAAAGGTCGAGCAAACTTGTCTTGCAACTTTTTCAGTCTAACTGATCGAACCATGATAAGCCAGGTGTTATGTCACAGGTGAAACTTAAACTCACGGATGATTTTAATACATTTTTAGGTCTCTTGTTAGCGGTGCATTGGCAACTTGACATCGCAGTAATTTGAAGGAAATTCCGACAACTCATTACATCTTTTTTTAAGTTTACTATAAGCTTGAGCCATCACTCCTTCCCAGAAATTAAGTGGTATACTGTATTATACACCTAGTTGCTATAGCGTTGTCATAGTTAAATCAGCTAAAAGGAATTGAAATTTAAAATGCAAAAAACAAATCGAAATTAATTCGGCTTGCCGTTAAACCACTATAGGGTGAATTTATTCTCAACCTACGCGTACTGTCTTCGCTTCTATGCCCCCAAAACGCCTACGCAGCAAATAAATGCTCCCTTTCTGACTCCTTTCTAGATTTATTAGCAGGCCTAATTAATTCCTATTTGTTTTTTTTTTTTTTAATTCCCCTTTACCAGTTTTCTAAGACATGCTCATTGCAATCAGGTGTATCTGCCCTACTTAATGACTAAGCGTATGGTTAAGATGGCTGGACAAAAATGTCCACATGTCTACAACAATTAGCACTCAATTAGGCGGATATACTAAAGGGAAATCGCACGAAAACGTCATAGCCATCTCATCAGTGCAAGTGCTTTGATGCGGTTAGTTTATTTGCTAATTCGTCCGTAATTATCACGCCTGTAATATATAGTTATCACGATCTGTTTTTCAAACAAAAACAAAAGAGATGAGTCTTATTTTGTTCTTAAAAGTTGTAGTCAGGGCTTAGCAAAAACAATGAAGTGTTTCAAGCTGACACCGAACTTTAATGAGCCTGTTGAAACTAACTCGCTGACGATTTTAATTTGTTTTCAGTTGTAAAGGAAGTCTTGACAGTCGGCAAACACATCAAACTGTGTGCAGTGGGCTGCGATAATTTTGGTGTACGTTATTTGTGTTGTTTCTAAAGATGTTAAATGATAACTTCACCACTAACAATAACACTCGTTCCTTGAACAGCTGCATGTTTTTCCAGGGTTTATTCCCTGACTTGCTTCGTACAGCACCTTCCGGCAGTACGCAAGTTTTTTCGCGCGGAATTTATATGGATAGACTTTTTTTCCCGTTCCCCTTTCTACGTTACTTAATTAAAATCCCTTCTGGTGTATAGTACAAAGTACAAGTTACTTTTGTTGCATAATATTATGTGCTCATAAGGTGAATTTTTGCTATCGCTTGCATGACACCTGTGTTAGGCAGAATACAAAAGTTAAGGCATGTATTTAATGCCCAGTTAATCTTCTTAGATACGAGCATTCCTAATTTTTGAAGCCAATATTTTTGCCCTTCAAAATGGTACTTTTATCAACTGGACTGACGACCGATGTGCGGAGTTATCAATATAACCTTAATTCTTACCAAGTATCATGGACACCTGTCATTTCTCTCAATGCTTTTTCGTCCCCATCACGTCTAGTGTATAAACAACTGATGTAGAGGGCAGCAATATACCGATTATTTTAAGCTTTTGCTAGCCTTACTACTTAGTTACAATTTATACTGGCGCTAGACGTAACCTCAAGTAAAGATACAAAAGCCAAACGAGAGCACGAAAAATGAGAGCGCGACCAACCGAATACTGATTGTTATGAATTAAGCGACATGGGTATACAGGGTAGGCCAGAGGGATAAGATACCAAAATAGTTACCCGAAATAAACCTTCCACCATACCAAAAAATAAACTAACACTCGTGTAAATACCAAAATTAAGAAAACTACTGTATACTTTATACCCAAAATTAGTCGTAAGAGATAAAGTCAGGAGTACGAGGCATAGCTTTTAGCACTCCAACACCTGTGGTGCAACGAGCCATGTTTTGGGGTTCGAGACAATCATTAGAGCTCATCAGTCATTCAGTGAAAATTTTAATTCATCCAGCTTTAAATTACATAGACATTTCCTTTTGTTTTCCTATTAAGAGATATGAAACGTTAGTTGATACAGCCACCCTTCTCCTTCTCTTGTGTATTATAATTAAGGCTTGACTCAACCACGAATTCGGTGTATTTTGATTTCAAGGAGAAACATTCCTCTCCTCCATCTTTGTGAAACTTGACAAACAGTTTCCTTTCCACGCTTACATTCATTTGATGAGCTTTTCAAGTCTCAGTCACGCGACTCATTTTTGACTCGTAACGCTCAAAACTTGTCACTGAAAATGGGGGATACTTAGTCAAACTGTATTTGCCTTATTTTATCGTTTTACTATGACTCCTAGTAAGGGCTTTAGAATGCCGCCTTTTAATCATGTCCATGTGCTATCGGAAACCGTCAGTTAAGTAAAACAGGTCACGTGACTTAACAAATATACGAATAACTGATAACAAGAGCCATAATATGGCTCTTGCTGATAAGGCATAGAATGAATTCCGCGTAAAAAGGTGGAAACGTGTTGAGAACGGTCTTAAGACCCTGTTTTGACGTCAAAAAGTTTCGAATTTTTAATATACAAATGTACCCTACTGGAAGGAACACTTCAAATGTTAATTTTTCTCAGTTCCACGACTAAAACGAACTTATTCTTACGAGCTGCAAGCGTGATATCTCAAAACTTTGCTGGGGGTCTTCTATAATAAAAAATCCAATCCTTAACACACTACAGTTCTGTTTGGGCCTACTAGAAAGTATAGCCTGAGTAGAGACGCCCCTCCCCTAAAAAAAATAGGGAGAGATAGATTTGTTTGTTAAAAGAGGGCAGGGGTCGGCTGTACACAGACTAGGACCTACTGGACATGGCATCTTCCTGCTCAGTGTAACGGAGAACAATGTCCTCCGACGAATTTTACCGATATCTAAAGCTGGGAAATTCGATGAAAAGCCGGCCTCTGGACATATTCAAAAGGGTACAGAAGTATCATGAGAAATTTTATATTCGCCGCTGTTGATAAAACCCGCCCATCTACTCTTTAGTCAATTGGTCGCACTTATTCCATCTCGCTGAGTATTCGACAAATGTTGGTAATTTTTTCTGGAGGTGAATTCTTATTAAGCGCTGTATTGTATCGAAATTCAGGAAAAGAAAAAGAAAGTCATTTTCTTGTGTTCACGTCCTCCAAAAAAGTGAAATAAGTAACTTTCACGTCGTAGTCGTGCAAGGACTACAAAGAAATATGTACAAAAAACGTGATGAACCTGCAAAGTTGTTGTATTACTAAATATAAACATACTGACATCCTATTTGTTTCTTTGTTGCCTATTTATTTGTAATGCCATTTACACTTCATGATACTAAATAACAACCATAACATCTTTAAACCAACAGGAATAATATAAGTTTCCCTTGAAAAAACAGTTGATATGCCTTGTTTTTTAAAATAAGCTTACAATACATTACAGTTAACTGCAAAATATCAGAACAGGAATCAACATATGGAAAGCGGAGAAAACTAACTCGGTCGACAGAAAAGTTGCCTTAATGTTTCTTTTACAGCTTGCCTCACTTCTCTGATCTTCCAGCAGTACAACAATGGGTTTAATGATGAGTTCCAATACACTAAAGTAGTCGTAAATTGCAAAGCACGGTAAATGGATAAAGACATCCCTCTCTGAGGTTTCAAAGCTACTACTATAACATACGGCAGATAACAAATAACCAATGTTCCCTGCACCCAGAGTGCACTGTACACTGCCTTTCTGTATCGAGCTATGTTCAGTGCGGGAATTGCTTGGCTCGGTTGTCCTTGTGCAGCATGGTTCTGAACATGAATTTGGTTATGACGCAGAGTACAGAAAATTTTAGTGTAAGCGACGGTTGTGGTGACTAGACACAAAGCTGCAACTTTGTATTTAAACTAGGAAGTTATAAGACGATTCCAAAAGAGAGTAGACTAAGGTGAGATCCACCAAGCCATCAAGTGAAGTTGGACTTTAACGAGCAAAGCGACAAGGCAAGTGTTCGTTGATTATCAGGTCTTCAAAATTTCTGGAAATTCAAACGGCGGTCAAGTTCGAAAACGTAAGGAGCACAAAAATTTTATTCCTTTTTACGTTTAACTATCATTTCTAGTTTGTATTAATACAGATAGCAAAGTTCAGACAGGTGCCACACTTTTTTAAAGTGCCCTCAAAGTTGAGCTATTTTCGTGTTTTGATGGAAGGCCGATAACACGTGCCAGGAAAAATATTCTTGCCGTTAAAATGAATGAATAATTCGGAAATGTGATATGGCTAGGACATCTAGAGTGGCGTATCCGTATATTAAAAAGAAAATGGGCCTTCTTGAATGAGTCGTTTGTTTTCTGTAGTGCCGACAATGTACGCGATTTTTGCAGTTTCAAAGACTATGGCGCCGGTGCCAACCGGCCGAAAATTCAAAAATTCGTAAAAAATTCTATTTCGCATTTTCGGTCAAACAAAATGCATTTTTGTAAATAATTGGGTAAAGACTTTAATATCTCAGAATATGAGGAAAATTAATATTTTGATCCGAAATCACTGGTCGGTTCTTACAGAGACACGCTCTTTAACAGTCGGCAAACGCGTCAAACAGTGTGGGCTGCGGTAATTTTGGTGTCTGTTATCATAATACGATGTAACATGAATAACACTCTTTACGGATATGTTAATTCCCGCCGATATCAGTACCTGGTATTTTAACCCTGTTCAGACCTAAGGGGTCTTTGGAGAAAATAGGTATTTAATATTCTATTTTCACCAATTGGTTGCATTATCTTGTCAGAGCGGCTAATTAGGTAAACGCACGCTGTTTTTAATTAAAAGTTCTTAATCTTTCTTGTTTCATAACTGTTTATAACCACCCCTTTTAACAAAAACAAGCGGGTCTTATGAACCTGCAACGAGACAGAAAACTATTAGAGGTGTCGTAGATGATCGACATACAGTACAATGGCCCACGTGCGATATATTAAAATTCCAACATATGCATGTCTTCGAGGCTTTCTGGTCGTTTTTCCATACTTGGTTTGGTGTTCTTTGTGCTCAAATCTCTTCCGGGAATTGCGGGACAATGGGGTCGTAAAAAACCTGCAGTTTTGGAGTCTCGAAGTCTCGGAGTTTTGGAGTCTCGGAGTCTCGGAGTCATGTTAGAATTTTAATATATCGAACGTGGGCTTTTGTTCACTCTTAAAAAAACGAACTATTACTGCCCACCTGCCTATCTCTTACAGAGGGCACCGGAGGGGTTATACCCTGTTTAGGTGTTCAGATATTGGGACGACGACATCAAGCTAGAAGAGGTTTGTAAAGATCCAAAAAATGATCCACTGTAAACAAATTAAAGGCCTTCTAATGCTTGCTAACGTTTTCTTAGACCTTCAGTTTTGTCAGGAAAAATGCAAATGTTAGTGACTGTATTCTCAGGAAATTAGTTATTAAAACAGGGTGACCCTTCATCTTAAATTAAGCATTTTTCAAAAAAGGTAATTGCCTCATATTACATTTTGAAAAAAAAGCGGTTTTTGCTCCTCAATTATTTCTGCTTCACTGATCAGAAGTTTTAACAGATGTCTCAATTTTTATAGCAGCTCAGTACCGGTATAAGCCGCGGGGAAGAGTGTACTTAATCGTTTGATGGGAGAGGCTTCACCACAAAGGGATACTTTGTTCAGGCTTAAGCTATTACCCAACGTTGCAGCCGGCCCACGCAATAAAACTTGACCATTGGTAAAGTCAACACAGGAGGTGTAGAATGTCTTGCGTCTTTAATTGAGACTGAAATTTAAATACTTAATTATTCTGAGCTCTTCCCTTATGGGGCTTTTCAAGAAAAAAAAAATTTTAAAAAAAATTAGTCTTGAGCGATGAAGTTATTCGACGAGGCCTAGCTTTTAGCACTCCAACACCTGTGCTGTAACGAGCCATGTTTTGATGTTCGAGACAATCAATAGATCTCATTAGTCATTCAGTGAAAATTTTATTTTATTCAACTTTAAATTACAAAGTCAGCTGATGGAGCCACCCTTCTTCTTCTCATGTTTATTAAGGCTTTGACTCAACCACGAATTCCGTGGATTTTGATTTCAAGGAGAAACATTCCTCTCCGCCATCTTTGTGAAACTTGGCAAACAGGCTTTCCACGTTTACATTCATTTGATGAGCTTTTCAAGTCTCAGTCACCTGACTCATTTTTGCCTCGTAACGGTCAAAACTTGTCACTGAAAATGGGGAATACCAAGAGCCATAATACTTAATCAAACTGTATTCGCCTTATTTTATCGTTTTACTATGGCTCTTAGTAAGGGCTTTAGAATGCCCCGTTTTAATCATGTCCATGTGCTATCGGAAACCGTCAATTAAGTAAAACAGCTCACGTGACTTAACAAATATACGAATAACTGATAAGGCATAGAATGAATTCCGCTTAAAAAGGCGGAAACGTGTTGAGAACGGTCTTAAGGCCATTTTGACATTCGAAGAGTTTCGAAGTTTTAATATACAAACGTTCCCCATTGGAAGGCACGTCAAATGTTAATTTTTCTCAGTTCCACGACTGAAACAAACTTATTCTTACGAGCTGCAAGCGTGATATCTTAAAACTTTGCTGGGGGTCCTCTAGTTCTGTTTGGGCCTACTAGAAAGTATAGCCTGAGCACAGACGCCCCTCCCCTAAAACAAAATAGGGAGAGATAGATTTGTTTTTTAAAAGAGGGCAGGGGTCGGCTGTACACAGGCTAGGACCTACTGGACATGGCTTCTTCCTGCTCAGTGTAACGGAGAACAATGTCCTCCGACGAATTTTACGGGTATCTAAACCTGGGAAATTCGATGAAAAGCCGGCCTCTGGACATATTCAAAAGGGTACAGAAGTATCATGAGAAATTTTATATTCGCCGCTGTTGATAAACCCCGCCCATCTACTCTTTAGTCAATTGGTCGCACTTATTCCATCTCGTTGAATATTCGACAAATGTTGGTAATTTTTTCTGGACGTGAATTCTTATTAAGCACTGTATTGTATCGAAATTCAGGAAAAGAAAAAGAAAGTCATTTTCTTGTGTTCACGTCCTCCAAAAAAGTGAAATAAGTAACTTTCACGTCGTAGTCGTGCAACGACGGCAAAGAAATTTGTACAAAAAAGCGGGATGAATGTACAAAGTTGTTGTATTACTAAATACAAACATACTGACATCCTATTTGTTTCTTTCTCACCTATTTGTTCGTAAGGCCATTTACACTTCATGCCACTAAATAACAACCATAACATCTTTAAACCAACAGGAATAATATAAGTTTCCCTTGAAAAAACAGTTGATATGCCTTGTTTTTTAAAATAAGCTTACAATACAATACATTACAGTTAACTGCAAAATATCAGTGCAGGAATCAACATATGAAAAGCATAGAAAACTAACTCGGTCGACAGAAAAGTTGCCTTAATGTTTCTTTTACAGCTTGCCTCACTTCTCTGATCTTCCAACAGTACAACAACGGGTTTAATGATGAGTTCAAATACACTAAAGTAGCCGTAAATTGCCGAGCACGGTAAAGGGATGAAGACATCCCTCTCTGAGGTTTCAAAGCTACTACTATACGGCAGATAACAAATAACCAATGTTCCCTGCACCCACAGTGCACTGTACACTGCCTTTCTGTATCGAACTATGTTCAATGGAATTGCTTGGCTCGGTTGTCCTTGAGCAGAAGGGTTCTGAACATGAATTTGGTTATGACGCAGAGTAACGAAAATTTTTGCGTAAGCGAAGATTGTGGTGACTAGACAGAAAGCTGAAAATATGCATAGCCACCATGAAGGTATACGAGGATTCAAAAAGAAAGCAGATGCACTGACGATGGACAAAATCCAAAAACCAGTCACAGTTATACATGTTCTTCTAAAAGTTACAACTTGTCTGTATCTGAGCCCCAGTAACAAGGCGAAAAGTCTGTCCACGCTTATTGCAGTCAATGTTAATAAAGATACTGCACACAAAATAAAACTTGAGAAAAGTACTGCCCAATATGCGTAATAACAAATATCCCATCTTTCGTTCACAACACAACAGAAGTCAAATAAGTCACAGCCAAAGGCTCCACAATGATACCAACACAGAGATCAGTTACCGCTAGGTTACGATACAGGAGTTTGGACGCCGGATGAAGTGAAGTTTCCTTGTGTAGAGCAGCTAGGATGAGAGTGTTCCCCAGAAATGCAGTGATGGAAAGAAAAATATTTAGAGCTGAAACGAATATAAGCTCGCTCTCTACACCTCTGACAAATTCAGCCGAGCAGTACAGTTCTTGGACAGTTTTATGGTTTTCGTCTTCAGTAAAATTTTTCAGGGCCATTTTCCTCTCCGGCGCAATGACCTGCAAGTGAGAGTTTTATTTATATATACTATTTGAATTTGGGTGAAAGCTGATATCATTTCGACATCTCTACAGTCAAGGCCATTTACCTAAACGGGCTATATACGTTTTGTCGCGTATTAATGATCAGAGGTAATTTATTGTCATAAACGAGAAAAAACTCTTAACTAAAGGTAAAAGAAAGCTCGCAGAGCTAAGAAAGGTAGAGCAAAGTTGTCTCGGTACTTTTTCAATTTAACTGACCGAACTATGATGAGCCAGGTGTTATGTCACAAGTGAAACTTAAACTCACGCATAATTTTAATAACTTTTTAGGTCTTATGTTGGCGGCGCATTGGCAACTTGACATTGCAGCAATTTGAAGGAAATTCCCATAACTCAAGATTTTTTAAAGTTTACTATAAGCTTGAGCCATCACTCCTTCCCAAAAATTAAGCGATATACTGTATATACACCTAATTGCAATAGCGCTGTCATAGTTAAATCAGCTAAAAGGAAGTAAAATTAAAAATGGAAATACAAATCGAAATTAATAAGGCTTACCGTTAAACCACTATATGGTGAATTTATTTTCAACATACGCGTGCTGTCTTCGCTTCTATTCCCCCAAAACTCCTGTTTGGCTTTTTCTGTTTTTATTTCTCCTTTACCATTTTTCTAAGACATCTTCATTGCAATCAGTGTAGATGCGCTACGTACTCACTGACCACGCGTATGGTTAAGATGGCTGGAAAAAGATATCCACATGTTTACAACAATTAGGACTCAATTAGGGTGAAGGGAAAACGCACGAAAACGTCATGACCATCTCAGTGCAAGTGCTCTGACGCGGTTATTTTATTTGCTAATTCTTCTGCAATTTTCACACCGTCCTGTAATTATCACGGCCCGTGTTTCAAACAAAAACAAAAGAGATGAGTTTTATTTTGTTCTTAAAAGTTGTAGTCAGGGTTTAGCAAAAACAAGGAAGTGTCTCAAGCTGACACCGAACTTTAATGAGCCTGTTGAAACTAACTCACTGACGATTTTAATAAGTTTTCAGTAGTAAAGGAAGTTAAAAACAGTAGGAAAACACATCAAACTGTATGGGCTGCGGTAATTTTGTTGTCTGTTATGTATGTGAGATAATGACCTTTGTAAATTCTTCTTGTTTCAATTTTTATTAACTTTTTCCACAAAAGTTTGAGGAAAAAAATTAATTCTGTTTTTAGTCGTACCAGACGAGGAAAAAGGATACAGCAAAGTTGTCTAGTTTTTCAAACAAACATTAGTCGAACTATAATGAGCCAGGTGAAACTGACTTACGGGCCATTTTAATGACTTTTAAGGTCTTAATATGTTGCGGTGTAACAAGTCTGTATGACGTTTTCTTCATTAACGTCGCTGTAAGTTCCAATAATTCGCAAATTCAACACATTAAGCTGCATGCAAATATGCTTGAGTCTTCAGAATTTTCCTAGCAGAGCGTAATACATGTGAGTTATTAACCCAATTCAGATGGCTGGAAAAAGAAACTTGGCAAGGGCCTTTAATTTTTAATCAATTAAATTGCTAATCGTCACCATGCACGGCCAGCTTTGAGAGACGTTAGCATAGAGTTTACTTGTATAAGAAAGGAAGTCTTAACAGTCCAAACATGTCAAACTGGTTTGTTTATAATTTTCGGGTCGGTTGAGAAAGGTTTCGATTGAGTGAGCCCCATAACTATAAATAATAGTTAGGTATAAAATAAAGATATCCACTCTGACTTGCAACTAAGAAAAATTTTCTTCAGGATAGTTTTGATTATAGCTCACGTCTTTTTAAACGAGCGTTCCTAATCATTTTAAACAACTGACAGCTTTTTATGTTAATATATGTTTTATAGCCCAGTATATAAAAATGCACGACACATATAGATTCTTGTTATTCGTATTTTTAGTTTTATTTTCCCTAGGTTTCCTGCCAACAGTTCATCGGTTACTTCAGCAAAATAGCAATACCCATTAGGACACACGCTTCGTTAAAGTGAACGAAACCCCATAACCATCAATAATGCTTGGGTATAAAACAAAGATATTCACTATGGCAACAATATTTTTCTACTAATTTTGATTATCAACTCAAATTGTCTTCTTTTAACAAAGCGGCCCTAACCATTTTAAACACCTGCTGACTGCTTTTTATCTTAATATACGTTTTTAGCCCAGTAAATAAATTCTCGACACACAGATTCTTGTTATTCGTACTCTTATTTTTTTGATTGTCTTTTCTTTTCTGCCAACAACTCATAGAGGAAGCAAAATATCGACTGTTTGTTGTTTTTTTTTTCAACCGCTTATTTATAACAATTTATTATTGCTTTTTGCAGCCCCAGACGAAGGATAGTATTGTCAAACCAAAATATCGGGCAATTAAATAATACCCTATCTTTTGGCTGCCAGCTTACATTTACTTTTACGTTTTATTCTCATTACCGATCCTGATCTAAAACCAAGATCCAGCTTTACTTCGCAGCCGTTTCCCTTCCATTATTCAGTAACAGTTAGTACTTACCGATAAAGTTCTTGTACCCCTAAATAAATAATAAAGCTAGGTTTTTAGGGTATATTACATAGTACGATGGTAGAACGTTTTTGCAAAACATTTAAATGTGGTCGTGTGGATTTGCTTTCACGCCAAAAGAAAACAGTTTTTCGTAAAGCAAAAACGAATCCCCTCTGACACATGCTACAAATTTCTTTGTGACCTGTTTTACTTGACAAAATGCAAAATGTTATTGTGTTGTTAATACCCACAGTAGTTTGCTAAAACAATTATCTTGCTACATCTTATACGCAACAAATACGTGTACAGCAGAACTTGAATTGCTTACGTCCCAGGCCTTCTTGCTATGCGTTTCGTTTACGTTGGCCCCGCGGACTAATAAGCCTGGGGACCAGGCAATCCAATAACCTCGCGGGGCTCTGGGGAAGGCAACCCGTAGGATGTGTTAATCATTAACGAGATGCTTTTACCAGTATCAGAGAGGCAATTTTATTTATGTTAATATGTTGAATACTCCGAAAGTGCTGGCTTTAAACGTCGATGCGCTTTTAATATCTTTCATTTGCATGCTCATCTTACTTATTCTGAGTTTACACCAAGAAGGAAGTGATAAACATTTAGCAGGGATGAAATTAAGACTTTCATTTTTTTTGAAATGAAATCTCGTTATTGAAAACATTAATGCTGATGACGTCATATATGGCCTTTTGTCTTTATCTCATGAATAAAATGCGGGGAAATCTCATTAAGATAAGGTCATGTACTACTTTTAAGTGATCCTCATAATTATCGTACTGAGTTTTACGAATCGTCTTTCACGCACTAGCCTTTATCTTAGCCTTAAGACAAGTTTCGTTTATTCAAACCTCTTCAGTTTGGCTAAAACTGTTACAATACGTTGTTACATTCAAACAGGCAAACGCGTACGCTCACCCTCAGGCGCGTGCAAGAAGGCGCGCGCAACTGCTAAAAAATTACAATCCATCAATCATTTCACTATTGCTGCTTGTTTTAAGTGGTTTAACTGGTTTGACAGGCTTTGTATCGAGTAACAAGTAATTCAAGTTCCATAACGAGGAGGAGGAGGAGGACAAGAAGAAGAAGAAGAAGCAGAAGAAGAAGAAGAAGAAGAAGAAGAAGAAGCAAGAAGAAGAAGGAGAAAAGGAGTGAAGCCCTTTAACTCTATTTCTTTATTAGTTCTTTATTCCTATGTGTTGCTTACACTTCATGCCACCAAAAAAAAGATAACATCTTTGGATTCCTAGATCAGGAATATTTATAATATACTTTCCCCTAAAAAACAGGTGACATGCCTTCATAAAATATCCTTGCAGTACAATATACTTACAGTTAATATCAACGAGGATTCAAGCATCAGGAGAATTATTAGCTGATATATGAGGGAGCTGGAAAGCCCAGAAAACTAACTCGATAAACAGCAGAGTTGCGTTAATGTTTCTTTTACAGCTTGCCTTACTTCTCTGATCTTCCAGCAGTACAGCAGCGGGTTTAATGACGAGTTTAAGAGAACCATGCTAGCTGCTAATTCCCTGGCAAGGTAGATCGATAAAGGCACCCCTGTCTGAGGTGTCAAAAAGACCGCTATAGTATTTGGAAGATAACAAATAACCAATGTTCCCTGCACCCACAGTGCACTGTACACTGCCTTTCTGTATCGAGCTATGTTCAATGGAATTGCTTGGCTCGGTTGTCCTTGAGCAACATGGTTCTGAACATGAATTTGGTTATGACGCAGAGTGCAGAAAATTTTTGCGTAAGCGAAGATTGTGGTGACCAGACACAAAGCTGAAACTATGTATAGACACCATGAAGCTATACGACGATCAAAGAAGAGAGTAGATGCACAGACGATGGACAAAATCCAAAAACCAGTCACAGTTATACATGTTCTTCTAAAAGTTACAACTTGTCTGTATCTGAGCCCCAGCAACAAGGCGAGAAGTCTGTCCACGCTTATTGCAGTCAATGTAAATAAAGACACTGCACACAAAAAAAAACCAGAGTAACCTACTGCCCGGCGTACGTAAGAGCAAATATCCCATCTTTCTTTCGCAACAGATGTTAAGTAAGTCACAAACAAAGGCTCCACAATGATACCAACACAGAGATCAGTTATCGCCAGGTTACGATACAGGAGTTTAGACGGCGGATGAAGTGAAGTTTCCTTGAGCAGAGCAACTAGGATCAGAGTGTTCCCCAGAAATGCAGTGACGGAAAAAAAAGATATTTAGAGCTGAAAGGAATATAAGCTCGCTCTCTACACCTCTGACAAATTCAGCTGAGCAGAACAGTTCTTGGGCAGTTTTATGGTTTTCGTCTCCAGTAAAATTTTTCAGGGCCATTTTCCTCTTCGGCGCAATGACCTGCAAGTGAGAGTTTTATTTAAATATACTATTTAACTTTGGGTGAAAGCTGATATCATTTCGACATCTCTACAGTCAAGACCACTTACCTAAACGGGCTATATACGTTTTGTCGCGTATTAATGATCAGACGTAATTTATTGTCATAAACGAGCAAAAACTCTTAACTAAACGTAAAAGAAAGCTCACAGGGCCAAGAAAGGTCGAGCAAAGTTGTCTTGGTACTTATTGTATCTAGCTGACCGAACTATGATGAGCCAGGTGTTATGTCACAGGTGAAACTTAAACTCAAGGATAATTTTAATAACTTTTTAGGTCTTATGTTGGCGGCGCATTGGCATCTTGACATTGCAGCAATTTGAAGGAAATTCCCATAACTCAAGATTTTTTAAAGTTTACTGTAACAGAGCCACCACTCCTTCCCAAAAATTAAGCGATATACTGTATATACACCTAATTGCTATAACGTTGTCATAGTTAAATTAGCTAAAAGGAATTGAAATTAAAAAAATGGAAATACAAATCGAAATTAATAAGGCTTACCGTTAAACCACTATATGGTGAATTTATTTTCAATATACGCGTGCTGTCTTCGCTTCTATGCCCCCAAAACGCCTATTTGGCTTTTTTGATTTTTATTTCTCCTTTACCATTTTTCTAAGACATCTTCATTGCAATCAGGTGTATATGCACTACGTACTGACCACGCGTATGGTTAAGTTGGCTGAAAAAGATATCCACATGTTTACAACAAGTAGGACTCAATTAGGGTAAAGGGAAAACGCACGAAAACGTCATGACCATCTCAGTGCAAGTGCTTTGACGGGGTTATTTTATTTGCGAATTCTTCTGTAATTTTCACACCGTCCTGCAATTATCACGATCCGTGTTTCAAACAGAATCAAAAGAGATGAGTTTTATATTGTTCTTAAAAGTTGTACTCAGGGTTTAGCAAAAACAATGAAGTGTTTCAAGCTGACACCGAACTTTAATGAGCCTGTTGAAACTAACTCACTGACGATTTTAATGAGTTTTCAGTAGTGAAGGAAGTTAAAAACAGTAGGCAAACACATCAAACTGTGTGGGCTATGGTAATTTTGTTGTCTGTTATGGATGTGAGATAATGACTTTTGTACATTCTTCTTGTTTCAATTTTTATCAACTTTTTACACAAAACTTTGAGGAAAAAATTAATTATGTTTTTAGTCGTACCAGACGAGGAAAAAGGATTCAGCAAAGTTGTCTAGTTTTTCAAACAAACATTAAGTCGAACTATAATAAGCCAGGTGAAACCGGGCCATTTTAATGACTTTTTAGGTCTTAATATGTCGTCGGTGCAACAAGGATGACGTTTTCTTCATTAACATTCCTGTAAGTTCCAATAATTCGGCAAATTCAACACATTAAGCTGCAGGCAAATATGCTTGAGTCATTAGAATTTTACTAGCAGAGCGCCAGCAGTGAGTTATTAAGAACCGCATTCAGATGGCTGGAAAAAGAAACTTGGCAAGGGCCTTTAATATTGCAGATCGTGCGCGGCCAGCTTTGACAGACGTTTGCATAGAGTTTACTTGCACTTCAAACATGTCAAACTGTTTGTTTATAATTTTCGGGTCGGTTGAGATGAGTTTCGATTGAGTGAGCCCTATAACTATCAACAATAATTAGGTCTAAAATAAAGATATCCACTCTAACTTGCAACTAAGAAAAATTTTCTTTAGAATAGTTTTGATTATAGCTTATGTCTTTTTTTAAACAAGCGTCCCTAGTTTTAAACACCTGATCGCTTTTTATGTTAAAAATTCACGACACATAGATTCTTGTTATTCGTATTTTTAGTTTTCTTTTCCCTAGATTTCCTTCCAACAGCTCATCCGTTACTAAAGCAAAATAGCAATATCCATAAGGACACCCGTTTCGTTAAAGTGAACGAAACCCCATAACTAACAATGCTTGGGTATAAAATAAAGATATTCACTATGGCAACAATATTTTTCTACTAATAATTGAATATCACCTCAACCATCACCTTTAATTTGAAGGAATTTCCGATAACTCTGGCCTGAAATTCATCCGATTGCTTCGAGTCGTTTTCGCCTCTCGAGGGAGTAATAAGACTAATAACAACTCGAAGTAATCGGATGAAATTCAGGCTAATAACTCAAGGTTTTTTAATAAAGTTTACTAAAAACTTGACCCATCACTCCGTCCCAGAAATTAAGCGATATATTTACACCTACTTGCAATAGCGTTGTCATGGTTAGTCAGCTAAAAGGAACTGACTGGCACCGTATAATCATTATACGAATTCTTCTTACAAAGCTCCTTCCCCTGGTTAGCTAGGGAACTGGCCATTATAAGGAAACGGATTTCTTTTTGTTGAGCTTAGTCTATAAACAACTGAGTGTCGGATGGCTGAAAAATAGAGACTGATTGAGTCCTTCGCGAAGGATGAGCTGTCATAGAAACTGAACGACAGTTTTAGCGGGAAAAATGATGATTATTGCTTTAAAAACACGCAAATTACTCATTAAAATCGCCATCGGCGAAGCAAGGACAGGAGGGGGGGGGGGGGGTGTTGCGAGAGTTTTTGCGTAGCATGTAATTTGTTTTTTTTTTGGGTTCTATTTGCATGTTTTCTTTCCTAGGGTTTTTCCCCTGGCTTGCGTTCTACAGCCTCCTCTGGTAGTAAGCAAGTTTTTTTCGCGTGGAATTTGTATAGGTAATAGCATGATTTGTAGTGATATTTGGCATAAATACCACGAGTGATATTTCGAAATTGTTACACGTAATTTCACGAGCCTTTAGGCGAGTGAAATTTGAGGCAATTTTGAAATATCATGAGTGGTATTTATGCCAAATATCACGTACAAACCATGCTATTATTTGTTTATACTACTACCCGCAAAAGGTTTGTAATTTTCACATGTAGGTATTTCAAATTAAGCTGAAATACTACTGCTCTAAGCCAATCAAATTGCAGAAATTTCTCCTGTAGTAGTATAAACATGGATAGACTTTTTTTCCTGTTCCCCCGTTCTTTAATTAACATTCCTTCTGGCGTATATTACAAAGCACAATGGTTGCTTTTTTTGCAAAATATTATGTGCTCATGAGGTGAATTTTTGCTATCGCTTGCATGACAACTGTGTTAAGCAGAATAAAAAAGTTAAGGCATGTATTTAATGCCCAGGTCATCTTCTTAGATAACCGAGCATTCCTAATTTTTGGAAAGGCAATATTTTTGCCGTTCAACATGGTACTTTTACCAAACTGGACTGATGATCGATGTGTTATCAATATAACCTTGGCTCTTACCCAGTATGGACACCTGTCGTTTCTCTCAATGCTTTTTCGTTTCCATCACGTCCGGTGTATACTGACAACGACTGATGTAGAGGGCAGCAATATACCGATTATTTTAAACTTTTGCTAGCCTTACTACTCTACAATTTATACTGGCGCTAGACGTAACCTCAAGTAAAGATACAAAAGCCAAACGAGAGCACCAAAAATGAGAGCACGACCAACCGAATACTGATAAGATTGATTTTCTTTCTGCTCTCTCGTGTCTAGCTATTTTTCACATTTTCGACTTTTTTTCTTTTCAGTGGGCCAATTCAAGATTTTCTTAACTTTATCAATTAAAGGAAAAGGCCGCACGCTTCAAGAAGTGCGTTGTTCCCATCAAAGAAAATGAAAATAATACTAATAATAATAAGAGTATTTAGTTCAGCGGAGTTTTGTGCTTAAAAACTTAAGACGAATCGTCTTCGTACTTAACTTTTTCTTTCACTTTTTTGAGGTACGTGTTTCTTATTATTTTATCTTTTGCTGAATTTTAATTTTTAGTTCATGCGTCAGCGTGCGTATGTCGAGATATTGAGCTCGCGGGAAGTTTGGAGAGCGCAAAATTAAAGAGGCGTAAGAGTAGCTCGAGGCGCAGCCGAGAGCAACTCTAGCCTTTTGAGTGCTCTCCGAACTTCCCAAGTCTCGACATACGCACTGCTGAAGCATAAACTAATTGTTTTATAGCATTATCAAAGCGATCAATGCAGCAGTTAACTTTTAAAAGTATAATTGTAGCCCGCGCTCAAAGCAGTATATACGTACGCGTCAATGTTTACGTGACTATATTTTTGAGAGAGAGAGAAAGTGTACTCTAAAATGATTGTAAAATCCATATTTAGGTGCCGGAAAACTATTAATTCACCGAAAAATTGCGGACTCGCGGACTCCGAGATGACAACAACAACACTCACCTCTTTTCTTTCGTTAACAAATTTAAACGTTTTCTCTTAAATTTCCTTTTAAAACACACGGTAAACGCTTCATCGTGTACTGCTGAGTCATGGATGCAAGACTCAAGATTGCTAAGCTCACAACAACTCAAGGAATTACGAATAGTTTATTGACGTCACCAGCGTGCTCAATAAGAATACGAACACGCTCGCCTATTGAATTTGATTATGCGAATTTTCTAGCTATGTTATAATTGAATTTGCTTGAAAGCTGATATCATTTCGACATCTCTACAGTCACGACTATTTGCTTAAACGGGCTATATAAGTTAATTTGTCGACCAAAGTTGTCTCACAGGTGAAACTTAAACTCGCGGATGATTTTAATAAGTTTTTATGTCTTATGTTGGCGGCGCATTGGTAACTTGACATCGCAGTAATCTGAAGGAAATTTCGAGAACTCAAGATTTTTTAAAGTTTACTATCCAGAAATTAAGCGATATATATATATACACCTAATTGCAATAGCGTTGTCATAGTTAAATCAGCTAAAAGGAACTGAAATTAAAAATGCAAAAAGCAAATTTATTTAATTAGGATTACCGTTAAACCACCATATATGGTGAATATATTTTCAACATAGGCGCACTGTCTCCGCTTATGTGCCCCCAAAACGCCTATAATTGGCTTTTTCTATTTTCATCTCTCCTTTACCATGTTTCCAACCTAGTCCCTAGGCGTTCTCAGCTCGGTCAATCCTGGACTCTACCGTGAGCTATGACGTCACCGAGAGATACACGCCGAGAAATCTCGCCCACTCTCTCCCAGACTTCGCGCAGACAACGGGGCAAGAGAGAACGCCTTGGGACTAGGCTGCCATTTTTCTAAGACATCATCATTGCAATCAGGTGTATGCGCTACGTGACCATGCGTATGGTTAAGATGGCTGAAAAAAGATATCCACATGTTTACAACAATTAGGACTCAACATGGATAATAGAAAGTCTTTCTATTATCCATGGACTCAATTAGGGAAAAGGGAAATCGCACGAAAACGTCATGACCATCTCAGTGCAAGTGCTTTGACGCGGTTATTTTATTTGCTAATTCTCCTGAAATTATCACGATCCGTGTTTTAAACAAAAACAAAAGAGATGAGTTTTATTTTGTTCTTAAAAGCTGTAGTCAGGGTTTAGCAAAAAGAAGGAAGTGTTTCGAGCTGACACTGAACCCCCAATGAGCGTGTTGAAACTAACTCACTAACGAATTTAAAGAGTTTTCAGTAGTAATGAAAGTCTGTTATTTGTCTGCTATTTATGTTGTTTATAAAGATGTAAAATGATAACTTCACCACTAACAACAACAAACGTTTCTTATAGCTATATGACGGATATGTTAATTCTGATACAAATCAGTTGAAGCTCTCCTTGCGACCACTCTCGTTTCACAAGCGACCAGCTCTAGTTACGACCAACTTTCTGAAATCCCGTTTGAACTTAGCCTGCCACGTGGACTTTCTTAGGGGTTTGTCTGGCAGGAACGCGTGACGAACCCCTAAGAACGTCTGCGTGGGATGCTCAGATTTGAACTGTGACTTAAAAACTTCGTAATGAGAAGCTCTCGTAAGCGACCACTCTCGCAAGCGATCATGACCACTTTTGGGATTAGGTGCTCAACTAGACCTTTCCTCGTAAGCGGTCACTCAGCAACCACTCAGAGTCTTATTCATATAATACAACACTTAAATGAAACTGTACACTGCGGTAATGGTTCATTGATAAAGATCTTCCACAGTGCAGTATGGCAGTTGTATACAGCTATTTCGAGAAAGGTTGTCGGAAAAGATGTGCACGCGACAATCCCGAAAGGCAATATGGGATATGATCGATATACTGTTCCTGACAACTGTAGCTGTCGATCCTACTTTTGTTGCTTTCCGTTAGCAGTTGCAAACACATTTTCATGGCCTTTCCTGCCAATTCTTTCAAATTTCTCTGAAGAACAGTGAACTCAAAACCACCCACAATGCCTTTCGGGTTTGTCGCGTGCACTTTTTCCGACAACCCTTCTCAAAAAAGTGGTAACTTCAAGGTCATTTCGTAGCGACCTCTTAGCCCGCCTTTTTTTCTTATGAATTATTAATGAGTTTCTGAAGCTCTCGTACCCGTACTCGTACAGCGAAGGCAAAGAATTAAATGTTCAAAAAAGGGTGACAACAACTTTTCACGTACAGTGTACATGCAAAGTTGTTGTTTTCGTAATCTAAGCCTATTACTTATTTGCCGTTCTCGTTGCTGTCGTCGTTACTTAAGCTCCCCAAATAAGGGAGCTTAGGCAGCGACGACAGGGTACCCGATAATGGCTCCTGGTAGTAAACACTGTATTATCATTATACGAATTCTCCTTACAAGGCTCCTTCCTCTGGTTAGGAAACTGGCCATTATCAGCAAACGGATTTCTTTTTATTGAGCTTAGTCTATAAACAACTGAGTGTCGGAAGGCTGAAAAATAGAGACTGTTTGAGTCCTTCGCGAAGGATGAGATTTCATAGAAACTGAACGATAGTTTTAGCGAGAGAAATGGTGATTATTGCTTTAAAAACACGCAAATTACTGATTAAAATCGCCATCGGCGAAGCATGGGGGGCTGGGAGAGTTCTTGCGTAGCATGTAATTTTTTTGGTTCTTTTTGCATACTTTTTTTCTGGGGTTTTTCTCCTGGGCCCATTTGTTCGAAGGCTGATTAGCGCTTAAACCGGGGTTAAATTTATCCCGAGTTTCTTTGGCTTGTGTTCAAAAGCATTTTCTTGGATAATTGTCTCTGTTATTTTTTAGCTTCCAATCATCAACTTGTAGACAAAGGGAATTAAAACTAAAAAGCTTTTCAAGCTTTCACAACTAAATTCAAATCTCGCACTAACCCTGGGTTATCTTAACCCCGCTTTGAACAACTCGGCCCTGGCTTTCATCCTACAGCATCTTCCTTTAGTACGCAAGTTTTTTTGCGTGGAATTAACATGGATATACTTTTTTTTCCTGTTCCCCTTTCTACGTTAATTAATTAACATCCCTTCTGGTGTATATTACAAAGTACAATGCTTGCTTTTGTTGCAAAATATTATGTGCTCATGAGGTGAATTTTTGCTATTGCTTGCATGACACCTGTGTTAGGCAAAATACAAAAGTTAAGGCATGTATTTAATGCCCAGTTCATCTTCTTAGATACAAGCATTCCTAATTTTTGAAGCCAATATGTTTGACCTTCAAAATGGTACTTTTACCAACTGGACTGACGACCGATGTGTTATTAATATAACCTTAATTCTTACCCAGTCACATGGACATCGATTTCTCTCGATGCTTTTTCGTCTCCATCACATCTGGTGTATAACAACAACTGATATAGAACGCAGCAATATTACTGATTATTTCAAGCTTTTGCTAGCCTTACTACTCAGTAACAATTTATACTGGCGCTAGACGTAACCTCAAGTAAAGATACAAAAGCCAAACGAGAGCACGAAAAATGTTGGCGCGACCAAACCGAGTACTGATTGTTATGAATAGCGACATGAGTAAACAGGGTCGACCAGAGGGGTAGTAAGATACCAAATTACCCGAAATAAACCTTCCAATATACCAAAAAATAAACTAAAACTCGTGTAAAACACCAAAATTAAGAAAACTACTGTGTACTTTGTACCCAAAATTAGTCGTAAGCGATAAAGTCAGGAGTACGAGGCATAGCTTTTAGCACTCCAACACCTGTGATGCAACGAGCCATGTTTTGATGTTCGAGACAATCAATAGATCTCATTAGTCACTCAGTGAAAATTTTAATTTATCCAACTTTATTTATTTTCCTATCAAGAGATATGAAAGTCAGTTGATGGAGCCACCCTTCTCCTTTTCTTGCGTATTAAGGTTTTGACTCAACCACGAATTCGGTGGATTTTGATTTCAAGGAGAAACATTCCTCTCCTCCATCTTTGTGAAACTTGGCAAACAGGTTCCTTTCCACGTTTACATTCATTTGATGAGCTTTTCAAGTCTCAGTCACGTGACTCATTTTTGCCACGTAACGGTCAAAACTTGTCTCTGAAAATGGGGAGTACTTAGTCAAATTGTATTCGCCTTACTTTATCGTATTACTATGGCTCCTAGTAAGGGCTTAAGAATGTCGCCTTTTAATCATGTCCATGTGCTGTCGGAAACCATCAGTTAAGTAAAACAGGTCAAACGACTTAACAAATATACTAATAACTGATAAGGCATAGAATGAATTTCGCTTAAAAAGGCGGAAACGTGTTGAGAACGGTCTTAAGGCCATTTTGACATTCGAAGAGTTTCGAAGTTTTAATATACAAATGTACCCCATTGGAGGGCACGTCAAATGTTAATTTTTCTCAGTTTCACGACTGAAACAAACTTTTTCTTACGAGCTGCAAGCGTGATATCTTAAAACTTTGCTGGGGGTCCTCTATAATAAAAAATCCAAACCTTAACACACTTGAGTTCTGTTTGGGCCTACTAGAAAGTATAGCCTGAGTAGAGACGTTCCTCCCCCTAGAAAAAATAGGGAGAGAGAGATTTGTTTTTTAAAAGAGGGCAGGGGTCGGCTGTACACACACTAGGACCTACTGGACATGGCTTCTTCCTGCTCAGTGTAACGGAGTACAATGTCCTCCCACAAATTTTACGGGTATCTAAAGCTGGGAAATTCGATGAAAAGCCCGCCTCTGGACATATTCAAAACGGTACAGCAGTATTATGAGAAATTTTATATTCGCCTCTGTTGATAAAATCCGCCCATCTACTCTTTAGTCAATTGGTCGCACTAATTCCATCTCGTTCAATTCGTCAAACGTTGGTAATTTTCTCTGGAGGTGAATTCTTAAACGCTGTATTGTATCGAAATTCAGAAAAACAAAAAGAAAGTCGTTCACGTCCTCCAAAAAAGTGAAATAAGTAACTTTCACGTCGTAGTCGTGCAACGGTTGCAAAGAAATATGTACAAAAAAGAGTGATGAACGTGCAAAGTTGTTTTATTACTAAATATAAACATATTGACATCCTATTTCAATTGTTTCTTTATTATCTATTTATTCGTAAGGCCATTTACACTTCATGCCACTAAATAACAACCATAACATCTTTAAACCAGCAGGAACAATATAAGTTTCCCTTGAACAAACAATGATATGCCTTGTTTCTTAAAATAAGCTTACAATACAATACATTACAGTGGAAAATATCAGAGCACGAATCAACATATGGAAAGCGTAAAAAACTAATTCAATCGACAGAAAAGTTGCCTTAATGTTTCTTTTACAGCTTGCCTTGGCAATTTTTTCCGGAGGTGAATTCTTAACATGACTTGTATCGAAATTCAGAAAAAGAAGCTCACGTCCTCCAAAAAACGTGAAATCAGAGGCACTTTCACGTAGTAGTCGTGCAACGACGGCAAAAGAATGTACGAAAAAAGAGTGATGAACGAGCAAAGTTGTTGTATTGCTAAATATGATCATAAACATATTGACATACTATTTGCTTCTTTGCTATCTATTTATTCGTAACAGTGTCGTAAGGCCGTTAACATTTCATGCCACTAAACAACAACCATAACATCGTTAAACCAACAGAAATAATATTCGTTTCCCTTGAAACCCCCCAAAAAACTGCTGATTTCCCTAGTTTCTTAAAATAAGCTTACATTTACAGTTAACTGCGTTAAATTCAGTTAATTTCACCCTACCTACCTTGAAAACAAGTTTTAAATAGCACGAATCAACGGATGGAAACAGTAAAAAACTAACTCGATCTACAGTAGAGTGGCCTTAATGTTTCTTTTACAGCTTGCCTTATTTCTCTGATCTTCCAAAAGTACAACAACGGGTTTAATGACGAGTTTAAGAAAACCATGCTAACTGTGAAATTCCTGGCAAGGTAGATCGATAAAGGTATCCCTCTCTGAGGTGTCAAAACGACCGCTATACTATATGGAAGATAACAAATATCCAAAGTTCCCTGCACCCACAGTGCACTGTACACTGCCTTTCTGTATCGAGCTATGTTCAATGGAATTGCTTGGCTCGGTTGTCCTTGAGCAACATGGTTCTGAACATGAATTTGGTTATGACGCAGAGTAACGAAAATATTTGCGTAAGCGAAGATTGTGGTGACCAGACACAAAGTTGTACCTATGTATTGAAACCATAAAGCTATACAACGATTAAAAAAGAAATTAGATGCTATGACGATGGAAAAAATCCAAACACCAGACACAGTTATACATGTTCTTCTATAAGTTACAACTTGTCTGTATCTGAGCCCCAGCAACAAGGCGAGAAGTCTGTCCACGCTTATTGCTGTCACTGTTAATAAAGATACTGCACACAAAAAAAAACCTGAGAAACGTATTGCCCAATCTGCGTAAAAGCAAATATCCCATCTTTCGTTCACAACAGAAGTCCAATAAGTCACAAACAAAGGCTCCACAATGACACCAACACAGAGATCAGTTATCGCTAGGTTACGATACAGGAGTTTGGACGGCGGATGAAGTGAAGTTTCCTTGTGTAGAGCAACTAGGATCAGAGTGTTCCCCAGGAATGCAGTGACGGAAAGAAACATATTTAGAGCTGAAAGAAATATAAGCTCGCTCTCTACTCCTCTGACAAATTCAGCCGAGCAGAACAGTTCTTGGACAGTTTTATGGTTTTCGTCTTCAGTCAAATTTTCCAGGGCCATTTTCCTCTTCGGCGCATTGACCTGCAAGTGAGAGTTTCATTTAAACACACTATTTTAATTTGGGTGAAAGTTGATATAATGTCGACATCTCTACAGTCAAAACAATTTACCTAAACGGGCTATATACGTTAATTTGTCGCGTATTAATAAATAATGATCAGAAGTAATTTATAGAGTCATAAACGTGCAAAAACTGTTAACTAAACGTAAAAGAAAAAAGCTCTCAGGGCTAAGAAAGTCGACCAAAGTTGTCTCGGTACTTATTCAATCTATGTCACAGGTGAAACTTAAACTCACGGATGATTTTAATACATTTTTAGGTCTCTTGTTGGCGGTGCATTAGCAACTTGACATCGCAGTAATTTGAAGGAAATTCCGATAACTCATTAGATTTTTTTAAAGTTTACTTTAAGCTTGAGCCATCACTCCTTCCCAGAAATTAAGTGATATACTGTATTATACACCTAGTTGCGATAGCGTTGTCATAGTTAAATCAGCTAAAAGGAATTGAAATTAAAAATGCAAAAAACAAATCGAAATTAATTAGGCTTGCCGTTAAACCACTAAATATGGTGAATTTATTTTCAACCTACGCGTACTGTCTTCGCTTCTATGCCCCCAAAACGCCTACGCAGCAAATTAATGCTCCCTTTCTGACTCCTTTCTAGATTTATTAGAAGGCCTAATTAATTCCTATTTGGTTTTTTCTTTTTTCACTTCCCCCTTTACCATTTTTGTAAGACATGCTCATTGCAATCAGGTGTATATGTTGTGGTTCAATTTTATCCTTGGTTTAAATTTTATTTTCTTTTGTTTTAGACTCATTATAATACATTACCATAACCTAAAACAAAGGGAAATGAAATTTAAACCAAGGATAAAATTGAACCTCAACATATATACCCTACTTAATGACTAAGCGTATGTTTACAACAATTAGCACTCAATTAGGGTATACTGAAGGGAAATCGCACGAAAACGTCATGGCCATCTCATCAGTGCAAGTGCTTTGAAGCGGTTATTTTATTTGCTAATTCTTCCGTAATTATCACGCCTGTAATATATAGTTATCACGATCTGTTTTTCAAACAAAAACAAAAGACATGAGTCTTATTTCGTTCTTAAAAGTTGTAGTCAGGGTTTAGCAAAAACAGTGAAGTGTTTCAAGCTGACACCGAACTTTAATAAGCCTGTTGAAACTAACTCGCTGACGATTTTAATATGTTTTCAGTAGTAAAGGAAGTCTTGACAGTCGGCAAACACATCAAACTGTATGCAGTGGGCTGCGATAATTTTGGTGTCTGCTATTTGTGTTGTTTATAAAGATGTTAAATGATAACTTCACCGCTAAAAATAACACTCGTTCCTTGAACAGCTGCATGTTTTTTCCAGGGTTTATTCCCTGGCTTGCTTCCTACAGCATCTTCCGGTAGTGCGCAAGTTTTTTCGCGCGGAATTTACATGGATAGACTTTTTTCCCGTTCCCCTTTCTACGTTAATTAATTAACATCCCTTCTGGCGTGATTACAAAGTACAAGTTGCTTTTGTTGCAAAATATTATGTGCTCATGAGGTGAATTTTTGCTATCGCTTGCATGACACCTGTGTTAGGCAGAATACAAAAGTTAAGGCATGTATTTAATGCCCAGTTAATGTTCTTAGATACGAGCATTCCTAATTTTTGAAGCCAATATTTTTGCCCTTCAAAATGGTACTTTTACCAACTGGACTGACGACCGATGTGTTATTAATATAACCTTGGCGCTTACCCAGTATCAGGGACACCTGTCATTTCTCTCAATGCATTTTCGTCTCCATCACGTCTAGTGTATAGAGAACAACTGATGTAGAAGGCAGTAATATACCGATTATTTTAAGCTTTTGCTAGCCTTACTACTCAGTTACAATATATACTGGCGCTTGACGTAACCTCAAGTAAAGATACAAAAGCCAAACGAGAGCACGAAAAACGGTTAGCGCGACCAACCAAATACTGATTGTTAATTATGAATAGCGACATGAGTATACAGGGTCGGCCAGAGGGGTGGTAAGATACCAAATTGCCCGAAATAAACCTTCCAATATACCAAAAAATAAACTAAAACTCGTGTAAAATACCAAAATTAAGAAAACTACTGTATACTTTACACCCAAAATTAGTCGTAAGCGATAAAGTCAGGAGTACGAGGCATAGCTTTTAGCACTCCAACACCTGTGGTGCAACCAGCCATGTTTTGGAGTTCGAGACAATCAATATTGCTCATCAGTCATTCAGTGGAAATTTTAATTTATTCAACTTTATTTATTTTCCTATCAAGAGATACGAAAGTCAGTTGATGTAGCCACCCTTCTCCTTCTCTTGTGTATGAAGGCTTTGACTCGACCACGAATTCGGTGGATTTTGATTTCAAGGAGAAACATTCCTATCATCTTTGTGAAACTTGGCAAACAGGTTCCTTTCCACGTTTACATTCATTTTATGAGCTTTTCAAGTCTCAGTCACGTGACTCATTTTGCCTTGTAACAGTCAAAACTTGTCACTGAAAATGAGGAGTACTTAGTCAATTTGTATTCGCCTTATTTTATCGTTTTACTATGGCTCCTAGTAAGGGCTTTAGAATGCCGCCTTATAACATAACAAAAGTAAATCGCGCGCTCTGATTGGTCAGTTAGCCACTACCATTTGCCCGTGGGTGCACGCCAAGAAACTGAGCTAGCGCGGTAAAATTCAGGCAGTTCAACAAATCTCCTCTCCTAACCGTAAAATACACCGATAAAATGCACAGATGAAAAGTGGAAGTTGAAGAAAACACTAAGCTGTCGTTTTGAAGGAAAAAAGACAAAAGATCAAGAGACAAATTTGCCCTGGATGAATTAATCACTGTTTTCCTCGCGGCTAGAATCGGCTGTTCAAAGGAAAATCGAGCCAGCGAAGATTGAAGGTACATTTTGTATGTTTTTTATAGAAGAGAAAGTCTCTTTGAAATGTAAATTCATCAATTAGGATTGTTTTATTGACTTTTTGGTCAAGCTGATGCTAAATCCATGCAAATATTTCTGGAAACACGCTCAAATTCGAGACAGCTTTGTTGTGAAGTTTCATCGCATCTATTAAAAGTTTTAGTTGAGTTTAAACGGGCACATTACGCTGGAATAAGCGAATTTCATTTGAGTAGAGAAACATTTGGGTTTTCAAATAAATTTTTAAAAAAATGACTTCTGTGTGTATTATTTTGTTCCTCAGTGTTCATTCATAACAGTCGTTCAGAGATCGGTCGAAAAACAACAGCTTCAGCGCCGGCTGTGTGTCGGCGAATTTCAGTTTTAACTTTGACTTTCATAGCTGGATTTCCCCAGGCAGATTTCGATACAAAGCTAGTTAATTTCTTTTTAAAATTAGTGTTACCTGTTATTCTAAAGGAATTACCTTCAAATTTTCTCATTTCTACTTTACGTATATTTCAAAAATTGTCACATAAAATAAGCTTGATAATTATTTCATTTATTTAGTTTTAGCTTGTTTTTTAGAGTCTCTTTAGTTGGTGTTTATAGTTGCAGCTATAGTTTTCCCTCAAAGTTTTCACCCTAATATTAAGAGCAAGTAGACAGATGCCATTCAGAATAACAACGAAAAACGTTTTGCAATTTACCTGAAGACAGAGAACGGTTGATTCAGCGAAAGAAAAACTCAAAGGCAAGTTTTTGAAAAACATAGAACAAGATTTGTTTACGCGCGGGCAGGTGGCAGCATACTTGAACTCGTACCGACCGGACTCAACCGAAGGCAAGTGGAAAATAATGTTTTTCTCTTTTGATTATGTTATAAACGAAATGGTAAACGTTGCAACTGTGCAACCATGGAGTTATGGATGCACTTGGGAGGTTTGCTAAGCACTCAAGAAGCTAGAGTCGCACTCGGCTGTCGCCTCGTGCGACTCTTACGCTTCTTTCGTGCTTAGCAACCTCCCGCGTGCATCCATAACTCCATGGTTGCACGCTGCACGTTTACCATTTCTTAAGTGTATAAATGAAACTCTCACTTGCAGGTCAATGCGCCGAAGAGGAAAATGGCCCTGAAAAATTTTACTGAAGACGAAAACCATAAAACTGTCCTAGAACTGTTCTGCTCAGCTGAATTTGTCAGAGGTGTAGAGAGCGAGCTTATATTCCTTTCAGCTCTAACTATTTTTTTTTTCGTCACTGCATTTCTGGGGAACACTCTGATCCTAGTTGCTCTGCACAAGGAAACTTCACTTCACCCGCCCTCCAAACTCCTGTATGGTAACCTAGCGATAACTGATCTCTGTGTTGGTATCATTGCTGAGCCTTTGGCTGTGACTTACTGGACTTCTGTTGTGAAAGAAAGATGGGATATTTGCTATCACGCAATTCGGGCATTAGGTTTCTCAAGTATTATTTTCTGTTTAGTGTCTTTATTAACAGTGACTGCAATAAGCGTGGACAGGCTTTTCGCCTTCCGGCTGGGGCTCAGATACAGACAAGTTGTAACTTTTAGAAGAACATGTATAACTGTGACTGGTTTTTGGATTTTGCCCATCGTCAGTGCATCTACTGTCTTTTTGAATCGTCGTATAACTTCATGGTATCCTGAACACATAGGTATAGCTATTTGTCTGTTCACCACAATCTTCGCTTACGCAAAAATTTTCGTTACTCTGCGTCATAACCAAATTCATGTTCAGAGCCATGCTGCTCAAGGACAACCGAGCCAAGCAATTCCACTGAACATAACTCGATACAGGAAGGCAGTGTACAGTGCACTGTGGGTGCAGGGAACATTGGTTATTTGTTATCTGCGGTATGTTGTAGTAGTAGCTTTGCAACCTCAGAGAGGCATGTCTTTATCCATTTACCGTGCTCAGCAATTTACGGCTACTTTACTGTATTCGAACTCGTCATTAAACCCGTTGTTGTACTGCTGGAAGATCAGAGAAGTAAGGGAAGCTGTAAAAGTAACATTAAGGCAACTTTTCTGTCGATCGAGTTAGCCTTCTACGCTTTCCATCTGTTGATCCCTGCACTGATATTTAGCAGTTAACTGTAATGTATTGTATTGTAAGCTTATTTTAAGAAACAAGGCATATCAGCTGTTTTTTCAAGGGAAACTTATATTGTTCCTGCTGGTTTAAAGATGTTATATATGGTTGTTATTTAGTGGCATGAAGTGTAAATGGCCTTACAAATAAATAGATAGCAAAGAAACAAATAGGAGGTCAATATGTTTATATTTAGTAATAAAACAACTTTGCACGTTTATCACTCTTTTCCGTACATATTTCTTTGCAAGCGTTGCACGACTACGACGTGAAAGTTACTTATTTCACTTTTTTGGAGGACGTGAACGACTTTCTTCTTGTTTTCCTGAATTTCGATACAATACAGTGTTTAAGAATTCACCTCCAGAGAAAATTACCAACGTTTGACGAATTGAACGAGATGGAATAAGTGCGACCAATTGACTAAAGAGTAGATGGGCGGGTTTTAACAACAGAGGCGAATATAAAATTTCTCATAGTACTTCCGTACCCTTTTGAATATGTCCAGAGGCCGGCTTTTCATCGAATTTCCCAGCTTTAGATATCGGTAAAATTTGTGGGAGGACATTGTTCTCCGTTACACTGAGCAGGAAGATGCCATGTCCAGTAGGTCCTAGTGTGTGTACAGCCGACCCCTGCCCTCTTTTAAAAAACAAATCTCTCTCTCCCTATTTTTTCTAGGGGGAGGGGCGTCTGTACTCAGGCTATACTTTCTAGTAGGCCCAAACAGAACTCAAGTGTGTCAAGGTTTGGATTTTTTATTATAGAGGACCCCCAGCAAAGTTTTAAGATATCACGCTTGCAGCTCGTAAGAATAAGTTTGTTTCAGTCGTGGAACTGAGAAAAATTAACATTTGACGTGTTCCTTCCTATGGGGTACATTTGTATATTAAAACTTCGAAACTCTTCGAATGTCAAAATGGCCTTAAGACCGTTCTCAACACGTTTCCGCCTTTTAAAGTGGAATTCATTCTATGCCTTATCAGTTATTCGTATATTTGTTAAGTCACGTGACCCGTTTTACTTAATTGACAGTTTCCGATAGCACATGGACATGATCAAAATTAAGAAATGGTAAACGTGCAGCGTGCAACCATGGAGTTATGGATGCACGCGGGAGGTTGCTAAGCACGAAAGAAGCGTAAGAGTCGCACGAGGCGATAGCCGAGTGCGACTCTAGCTTCTTGAGTGCTTAGCAAACCTCCCAAGTGCATCCATAACTCCATGGTTGCACAGTTGCAACGTTTACCATTTCGTTTATAACATAATCAAAAGAGAAAAACATTATTTTCCATTTGCCTTCGGTTGAGTCCGGTCGGTACGAGTTCAAGTATGCTGCCACCTGCCCGCGCGCAAACAAATCTTGTTCTATGTTTTTCAAAAACTTGCCTTTGAGTTTTTCTTTCGCTGATTCAACCGTTCTCTGTCTTCAGGTAAATTGCAAAACGTTTTTCGTTGTTATTCTGAATGGCATCTGTCTACTTGCTCTTAATATTAGGGTGAAAACTTTGAGGGAAAACTATAGCTGCAACTATAAACACCAACTAAAGAGACTCTAAAAAACAAGCTAAAACTAAATAAATGAAATAATTATCAAGCTTATTTTATGTGACAATTTTTGAAATATACGTAAAGTAGAAATGAGAAAATTTGAAGGTAATTCCTTTAGAATAACAGGTAACACTAATTTTAAAAAGAAATTAACTAGCTTTGTATCGAAATCTGCCTGGGGAAATCCAGCTATGAAAGTCAAAGTTAAAACTGAAATTCGCCGACACACAGCCGGCGCTGAAGCTGTTGTTTTTCGACCGATCTCTGAACGACTGTTATGAATGAACACTGAGGAACAAAATAATACACACAGAAGTCATTTTTTTAAAAATTTATTTGAAAACCCAAATGTTTCTCTACTCAAATGAAATTCGCTTATTCCAGCGTAATGTGCCCGTTTAAACTCAACTAAAACTTTTAATAGATGCGATGAAACTTCACAACAAAGCTGTCTCGAATTTGAGCGTGTTTCCAGAAATATTTGCATGGATTTAGCATCAGCTTGACCAAAAAGTCAATAAAACAATCCTAATTGATGAATTTACATTTCAAAGAGACTTTCTCTTCTATAAAAAACATACAAAATGTACCTTCAATCTTCGCTGGCTCGATTTTCCTTTGAACAGCCGATTCTAGCCGCGAGGAAAACAGTGATTAATTCATCCAGGGCAAATTTGTCTCTTGATCTTTTGTCTTTTTTCCTTCAAAACGACAGCTTAGTGTTTTCTTCAACTTCCACTTTTCATCTGTGCATTTTATCGGTGTATTTTACGGTCAGGAGAGGAGATTTGTTGAACTGCCTGAATTTTACCGCGCTAGCTCAGTTTCTTGGCGTGCACCCACGGGCAAATGGTAGTGGCTAACTGACCAATCAGAGCGCGCGATTTACTTTTGTTATGTTATAAACTATTTTAATTTGGGTGAAAGCTGATATAATGTCGACATCTCTACAGTCAAAACAATTTACCTAAACGGGCTATATACGTTAATTTGTCGCGTATTAATAAATAATGATCAGAAGTAATTTATAGAGTCATAAACGTGCAAAAACTATTAACTAAACGTGAAAGAAAAAAGCTCTCAGGGCCAAGAAAGGTCGAGCAAACTTGTCTTGGTACTTTTTCAATCTAACTGATCGAACCATGATAAGCTAGGGTTATGTCACAGGTAAACGCACGGATGATTTTAATACATTTTTAGGTCTCTTGTTGGCGGTGCATTGGCAACTTGACATCGCAGTAATTTGAAGGAAATTCCGATAACTCATTAGATTTTTTTTAAGTTTACCATAAGCTTGAGCCATCAAAAGACACTCCTTCCCAGAAATTAAGCGATATACTGTATATACACCTAGTTGCTATAGCGTTGTCATAGTTAAATCAGCTAAAAGGAATTGAAATTAAAAATGCAAAAAACAAATCGAAATTAATTAGGCTTGCCGTTAAACCACTAAATATGGTGAATTTATTTTCAACCTACGCGTACTGTCTTCGCTTCTATGCCCTCAAAACGCCTACGCAGCAAATAAATGCTCCCTTTCTGACTCCTTTCTAGATTTATTAGAAGGCCTAATTAATTCCTATTTGGTTTTTTCTTTTTCCACTTCCCCCTTTACCATTTTTGTAAGACATGCTCATTGCAATCAGGTGTATATGCCCTACTTAATGACTAAGCGTATGTTTACAACAATTAGCACTCAATTAGGGTATACTAAAGGGAAATCGCACGAAAACGTCATGGCCATCTCATCAGCGCAAGTGCTTTGAAGCGGTTATTTTATATGTTAATTCTTCCGTATTATCACGCCTGTAATATATAGTTATCACGATCTGTTTTTCAAACAAAAACAAAAGAGATGAGTCTTATTTTGTTCTTAAAAGTTGTAGTCAGGGCTTAGCAAAAACAATGAAGTGTTTCAAGCTGACACCAAACTTTAATGAGCCTGTTGAAACTAACTCGCTGACGATTTTAATGTGTTTTCAGTAGTAAAGGAAGTCTTGACAGTCAGCAAACACACAAACTGTGTACAGTGGGCTGCGATAATTTTGGTGTCTGTTATTTGTGTTGTTTATAAAGATGTTAAATGATAACTTCACCACTGACAATAACACTCGTTCCTTGAACAGCTGCGTATTTTTTCCAGGGTTTATTCCCTGGCTTGCTTCCTACAGCATCTTCCGGTAGTACGCAAGTTTTCTTTGCGGAATTTATATGGATAGACTTTTTTTCCCGTTCCCCGATCTACGTTAATCAACATCCCTTCTGGCGTATGTTACAAAGTACAATGGTTGCTTTTGTTGCAAAATATTATGCGCTCATGTGGTGAATTTTTGCTATCGCTTGCATGACACCTGTGTTAGGAAACATACAAAAGTTAAGGCACGTATTTAACGCCCAGTTAATCTTCTGAGATACCGAGCATTCCTAATTTTTGGAAAGGCAATACTTTTGCCCTTCAATATTGTACTTTTACCAAACTGGACTGATGATCGATGTGTTATCAATATAACCTTGGTTCTTACCCAGTACGGACACCTGTCGTTTTTCTCAATGCTTTTTCGTTTCCATCACGTCCGGTGTATTAACAACGGCTGATGTAGAGGGCAGCAATATACCGATTATTTTAAGCTTTTGCTAGCCTTACTACTCAGTTACAATTTATACTGGCGCTAGACGTAACCTTAAGTAAAGATAAAAAAGCCAAACGAGAGCACCAAAAATGAGAGCGCAACCAACCGAATAATGATAAGATTGATTTTCTTTCAGCTGTCTCGTGTCTAGCTATTTTTCATATTCTCCACTATTTTTCCCGTTCGCCTTCTGTTGCATCCAATGATACTTTGTTCTTATTGCCAGGATATAACGCAGGTAGTGTTCTAAGAGTACGTAATTAATATTTGACTGAGTTGTTTGCTAATCTCACATTAGGGAGCTTAAGCAACAACGTTTTTGAGCGACGCACGTCAACCGGAAGTGGCCTTTTTTCATTTTTTGACGGTGGTTTCGCGCAAATTTTCAGTCAAATCGCCTCTATAACAGTAAAGAAGCTAAGGAATACAAATTTTATATCATCAAGGCATGTTAAGAGGGAAAATACCTCACTTCCGGTTGACGTGCGTCGCTCAAAAACGTCGCTGCTTAAGACTTTTTTTGACCGACTTAGAAGTAACTATTTTGAAATAAAAAACTATGGACATTTGACAACAAAACGACTACTTACGGGCTCCGAGATTGCAAAGTAATTTAGTTTTTAATTTGTTTTGTTCTCTGATAGTTTATTTGCACTGCTTTCAAGTATCAATATCCTGAAAATGACTGCAGACTTAAAATACAGTGCTTTCACAGACTGGTAAAAACGGGAAAATTCGATAAAAAGCCGGCCTTTAGACATGTTCGTGTTATTACTATGCATGATCATTTTTATTCACTTATTACTTAAACTTCATTTACATTTTATTCATTTACGTCCAAAGCGGATCTTCTTAGCGCAGTGGGAACTTGGCATGGTTACCGACCAAGTACCTGCAGGGCCTGGTTTTATGTAGGGCGGGTGGACTGAGTTGCCGAGCAAAACTGACCTAGCGACAAAACAAAATAGAAACACAAAACAAAATGGAAACCCTGATCGATTCTTTTTCATGGCGAGAATCTGAAGGTCATTTTGATTGATCCATAAACAAATATGAACGACACAGTTCCGTTTTTGACTGAAGATAACCATTAAATTCCAAAAGTAACATTCAAAAAATGTCGCTAATTCCCGAAAGTAAGGACAGAACGCTTCGTGAATTACGCCACGTTTGAATAATTGTCTAGCATAATTATGCACTGTGGCCTGTGGCTGCAGGTACCCTGGCTCCTAATATTGGGAAAAGGAAATTCCGGAGCAAGCGCAAAATGAAAATAGGCGAAGAGCTGGACGGTTATTTGCGCTGTTCACCATGCCTACAGGCCCCTCTGCATGCTATGTGCTCAAAGAAGAAGTGCTCCAGAGCGTGCGTGCATTCATGGAGGACGAAAAGAGAGAGTCTTTTTTTGCTATGACATTAAGGAAAGGAAATACAGGGCTCAAATTAAAGAACTGAGGAAAAACCTGGAGTAACCTGTCGGCCAACTAATAACAACAAGTTCTATACATGAACGGCCCAACCCTGTGACAACCACTTCAAAGAAAGATTTCTTTCCTTTTTGTTTTTGTTTGTTTGTTTTTATTTGCTATCGGCATTTCTCGTTTTATCCTTCTTACATATTGTTTTTTTTTCTGTCCGCATTTTTTTCTTTCCGAGCTTTTTTTTTCCTCATTTTCCCATCCGCAAGTATGTGGTACCCGTTTTACAGACATCCCCTGACTGGCTGGAATTACTTTAACTGGTAAAACAACGACAACAAAAACAAGTACACGACTGAACAAGAAAAACAAGAAGGAAAGGAACCCTTGAAACTTAATATTTCCTTGTTAGCTCTTTATTCGCACGAGTTAAGCTCTCGCGGGATGTTTACACCTCATAGTTAAGCCGATAACATCTTTGAATTTCTAGACGAGGAATACTATACTTGCCCCTAAAAAACAGGTGATATGCCTTTAAATTTTCAAAATATGCTTGCAGTACAATATATTTACAGTTAAAAATTGTTAAACATCAACGAGGCAAGATTTCTCCTCGAAAGCACGTTTTTCAGAGATGAATTACCAGATGGAAAGCAAAGAAAACCAACTCGATCAACGGAAGAGTTGCCTTAATGTTCCTTTCACAGCTTGCCTTACTTCTCTGATCTTCCAACAGTACATCAAGGGGTTTAAAGATGAGTTTAAATAGACTAAAGAAATAGTTAAAGCCAGCGCACGGTAAACGGATAAAGAGATCCCTCTTTGAAATGCTAAAATGGACGCTATACTATACGGCAGATAACAAACAACCAATGTTCCTTGTACCCAGATTGCACTGTACACTGCCTTTCTGTATCGAGCTATGTTCAGTGGAATTGCTTGACTCGGTTGTCCTTGAGCAACATGGTTCTGAACATGAATTTGATTATGACGCAGAGTGAAGGAGATTTTTGTGTAAGCGAAGATTGTGGTGACTAGACACAAAGGTAAACCTATGCGTTCATACCATCTGGTTACAATAAAAAGTAGACTCCAAAAGTTAGTAGATGCTACGACGATGGACAAAATCCAAAAACCAATCACAGTTACACTTGCTTTTTTCAAAGTTACAACTTGTCTGTCTCTGAGCCCCAGCATCAAGGCGAGAAGTCTGTCCAAGCTCATTGCAGTCAATGTTAATAAAGATACTGAACACAAAACACTGGCTGAAAATTTTTGTCCTAGTTTTGCGTAATAGCAAATATCCCATCTTTCTTTCACAACAGAAGTCCAATAAGTCACACACAAAGGCTCAGCAATGATACCAACACAGAGATCAGTTATCGCTAGGTTACGATACAGGAGTTTGGACGGCGGATGAAGTGAAGTTTCCTTGTGTAGAGCAACCAGGATCAGAGTGTTCCCCACAAATGCAGTGACGGAAAAAAAGATATTTAGAGCTGAAAGGAATATAAGCTCGCTCTCTACACCTCTGAGAAATTCAGCCGAGCAGTACAGTCCTTGGTCAGTTTTATGGTTTTCGTATTCACTAAAATTTTCCAGGGCCATTTTCCTCTTCGGCGCAATGACCTGCAAATGAGAGTTTTATTTATATATACTATTTTAATTTGGGTGAATGCTGATATCATGTCGACATCTCTACAGTCAAGGCTATTTACCTAAACGCCGCTATACGAGTTAATTCGTCGCGTAATTAATAAATAATGATCAGAAGTAATTTATGGAGTCATAAACGTGCAAAAACTTTTAACTAAACGTAAAAGAAAGCTCACAGGGCCAAGAAAAGTCGAGCAAAGTTGTCTCGGTACTTTTTCAATCTAACTGACAGAACTGTGATGAGCCAGGCGTTATGTCACAGGTGAAACTCAGTTTAACTCACGGATGATTGTAACTTTTTAGGTCTTATGTTCGCGCGCATTGGAAACTTGACATCGCAACAATTTAAAGGAAATTCCGATAACTCAACATTTTTTAAAAGTTCACTATAAGCTTGAGCCATCACTCCTTCCCAGAAATTAAGCGATATACTGTATATGCACCTAATTGCAATAGCGTTGTCATAGTTAAATCAGCTTAATGGAAATGAAATTAAAAATGCAAAAAACAAATAGAAATTAATTAGCCTTACCGTTAAATCACTATAATGGTGAAATTATTTTCAATATACGCGTACTGTCTTCGCTTCTATGCCCCCAAAACGCCTATTTGGCTATTTCTATTTTCATTTCCCCTTTATAATTTTTCTGAGACATGTTCATTGCAATCAGGTCTATTGCGTTACGTACGGACTACGCGTATGGTTAAGATGGCTGGAAAAGATATCCAACTGACTGACGATTCTAATGAGTTTTCATTAGTAAAGGAAGTGTTGATCACAGTCAGCAAACACATCAAACTGTGTGGGATGCGGTAATTTTGATGTCTGTTATGGATGTACTGATGTGCAATAATGACCTTTGTCAATTCTTCTTGTTTTAATTGTTGTCAACTTTTTCTGCAAAACTTTGAGGAAAAAAAATAATTCTGTTTTCAGTCGTACCACACGAGGAAAAAGGATACAGCAGTTTTTGAAACAAACATTAACTATAATGAGCCAGGTGAAGCTGACTTACGGGCCATTTTAATGACTTTTTAGATCTTAATATGTTGTCGGTGAGACAAGTCTGCATGACGTTTTCTTCATTAACATCGTTGTAAGTTCCAGTAATTTGGCCAATTCAACACAAGCTGCAAGCATGCTTGAGTCATCAGAAGTTTTCCTAGCAGAGCGTAATACATGTGAGTCATTAACCGAATTCAGATGGCTGGAAAAAGAAACTTGGAAAGAGCCTTTAACTATTAACCAATTAAATTGCTAGTTCGTGCGCGGCCAGCTTTGACAGACGTTTGCAAAGAGTTTTCTTGTAGAAAGGAAGTCTTAACAGTACAAACATGCCAAACGGGTTTGTTTATAATTTTTGGGTCGGTTGAGATAGGTTTCGATTGAGTGAGCCCCATAACTATCAATAATAATTAGGTATAAAATAAAGATATCCATTCTAACTTGCAACTAAGAAAAATTTTCTTTAGAATAGTTTTGATTATAGCTCATGTCTTTTTTTCAACGAGCGTTCCTAATCATTTTAAACATCTGACTACTTCTAATATGTTAATATATGTTTTATAGCACAGTATATAAAAATTTACGACACATATAGATTCTTGTTATTCGTATTTTTAATTTTCTTTTCCCTAAATTTCCTGCCAACAGCTCATCCGTTACTAAAGCAAAATAGCAATATGAACACGTTTCGTTGAAGTGAACGAAACCCCATAATCATCAATAATGCTTGGGTATAAAATAAAGATATTCACTATGGCAACAATATTTTTCTACTAATTTTGATTATCACCTCAATTTGTCTTCTTTTAACAAAGCGGCCCTAACCATTTTAAACACCTGCTGACTGCTTTTTATGTTGATATACGTTTTTAGCCCAGTAAATAAATTCTCGACACAAAGATTCTTGTTATTCATACTTTAGATTTTCTTTTCTTTTCTTCCAACAACTCATAGAGGAAGCGAAATATCGACTGTTCGTTGTTTTTTTTTTTTTTCAACCGCTTATTTATAACAATTTATTATTGCTTTTTGCAGCCCGAGACGAAGGATAGTATTGTCTAACCAAAATATCGGGCAATTAAATAATACCCTATATTTTGGCTGCCAGCTTACATTTACGTTTTTTTACCATGCGTTTTATTCTCATTACTGATCCTGATCAACACATTCGGTTTTACTTCGCCGTCGTTTGTCCAAGTATTTAACAGTTAGTACTTACGGATAAAGTTCTTGTACCCTATCATAATAAAGCTAGGTTTTTCGGGTATATTACATAGTACGATAGTAGAACTCTTTTGCAAAACTTTTTAATGTGGCCGTGTGGATTTGCTTTCATGCCAAAAGGAAACAATTTTTCGTAAACAAAAACGAATGCCCTCTGACACATGCTACAATTTAACTTTCTTTTGTGACCTGTTTGGCAAAATGCAAAATGTTATTGTGTAGTCAATACCCACAGAAGTTTATTAAGACAACTATATCTTGCCACATCTTATACACAACAATTACGTGTACATCAGACATTGAATTGCTTACGTCCCAGGCCTTCTTGCTTTGCGTTTCGTTTCCGTTGGCCCCGCAGACTAATGAGCCTGGGGACTAGGCAATCGCATAACCTCGCGGGGCTCTGGGAAGGGCAACCTGTAAGATGTGTTAATCATTAAAGAGATGCTTTTACCAGTATCAGAGAGGCAATTTTATTTATGTTAATATGTTGAATGCTCAGAAAGTGCTGACTTTAAATGTCGATGAGCTTTTAACATCTTTCATTTGCATGCTAATGTTACTTATTCTGAGTTTACACCAAGAAGGAAGTGATAAACATTTAGTAAGGATGAAATTAAGAGTTTCAGTTTTTTTGGAAATGAAATCTCATTATTGAAAACATTAACGCTGATGAAACCATATATAGCCTTTTGTCTTTATCTCATGAACAAAACGCGGGGGAATCTCATTAAGATAAGGTCATGTACTACTTTTAAGTGGCTTAACTAGTTTGAGGGTGCATGACAAAATCATAAATCTCTAGCCTCTAGCCTCGTTTCATAAGGGATTTAATAACATAAGCGACTGTGTTTGGCGAGTACGCTTAATGGTACATCGCTATCACTGTCATTCTAACATTTGGATGCCTGTTTGCGAGGGTTATATTGTCATCATCATCATCCTTGGAAGAATCACTCCCAACTTACTGCACAACATAGTCCTCGCTACTCTCTTCGCTTGCTTCCAAGCTGCTGTTTGCTTTAGAGCCACTTGTGTCAGTTTTCTAGCAGGCTCTGGAAGGGGGGAGGGGGGTCCTGATCCCGCATTCCCGCCCCTTTTTTGCGAGACTCCCGCATCCCGCACGTTTTTCATCAGTTTCCCGAATACCGCTTTTCTTTCCCAGAAAAATACATTAAAAAGTCTAATTTCTACAAAAGCTAATAAATGTAAGATGTAGGTTGATCCTTTCGATTGATATTTTGAATTTACGCGTGTTTTTAAAGGTTTCCGGCATTCCCGACAGACACGCAAACATAAATCCCGCATCCCGTGCCCAATTTTTGGCGAGTCCCGCTTCCCGGGGAACAGTCAAATCCCGGATCCCGTCAATATATTTATCGTTTTCCCGATTCCCGCACCGTATTTTGGTCAAATCCCGAATCCCGAAAATACCCTTCCAGGCCCTGTTCTATTGGAGACACCGTCTTTGTATGGCTGCTGACAACAGAATGTGAGCGGACTCTAAGTTCAGCTTGTCTTTTTTAGACAATTTCTTTTCAGATGCCAGATTGTGGCGTCCTATATACAGGTTGAGGACCTCATAAAGAAGTTTCTGCCACTCCACATCCTCATCGCTCAGATTTCTCTCCCTTTCTGCCTCCTCTCTTCTTTCTCTTTCCCTCTTTTGTTTCATCCTCAGTGAGGTATGCAAGGTGATGAATGTATGTGACCCCAGGTCGAACAAGTCGAGTTTATGGAACAATATATTAACGGTGATTTAATCCTAACAAACGTATTCAAAATACCAGAAACGTTTAAATGGCAGTACCCTTTTACGTGTATAAGTATTTAATAAGATTGTCTTGTTCGTTCGTTTGTTTATTTTTTTCATTTTACAAACCACCGTTCATATATTGTTCCATAAACTCGGCTTGTTCAACCGTCATATATTTTTATGAAAAGAAATAGGACAACGCGTTTCTTTGTTTGCTTCCTTTCAAGAATATATGTAACAACATAGGTAACCACATTAGGGTATCAGAATTTTAAACAACAATGAAATGTAAAAAACAAAAATCGTACATTTTATTAAAATTGCATTTTAAAAAGGACACAACAGATTTGAGAATATTTTTAGCAATAATTTCAGCCGGCTGTGTTTTATATAACAAGACAGTGTGGTCAACTGTCCCGTTAGCATCAAGACTTAAATGTGTGCTACCTATGTTATAAAATGGATGACCCACCCCCTAAGGGTAGCTGCAAATTGCACGACCCACCCCAAGCACAAGGCTCAAACCCTCATGACCCACCCCCTCTCTGCTCCGGTCCACCCCCGCCTATACTTTTTGACCAGTCTCTTATACATTTATATAGCAAAATAAATCGTGTCGCTTTGATCTTTAGATAAACTTAACAAGGTCAATGTCTTTTAAGTTGTTTTCAAAAACTTTAAAGTTTGAACCTGTCCTTACAGAATCTGGAATTGCGTTCCATAATTTTGCGCCCAAGTAGCTCTACGATTTTAGAGAAAGATTATAGTGGCCGCTGTTGCAATAAAACCCGCCCTTCTTTAGTCAAATGGTCGTACTTTTTCCATCTCTTTAAATTCGCCAAATGTTGGCAATTTTTTCCGGAGGTGAATTCTTAACATGACTAGTATCGAAATTCAGAAAAAGAATCTCACTCCTCCAAAAAACGTGAAATCAGGGGCACTTTCACGTAGTAGTCGTGCAACGACGGCAAAAAAAATGTACGAAAAAAGAGTGATGAACGAGCAAAGTTGTTGTTTTGCTAAATATGATCATAAACATATTGACATACTATTTGCTTCTTTGCTATCTATTTATTCGTAACAGTGTCGTAAGGCCGTTAACATTTCATGCCACTAAACAACAACCATAACATCGTTAAACCAAGAGAAATAATATTCGTTTCCATTGAAACCAAAAAAAACTGCTGATATGCCTGGTTTCTTAAAATAAGCTTACATTTACAGTTAACTGCGTTAAATTCAGTTAATTTCACCCTACCTACCTTGAAAACAAGTTTTAGATAGCACGAATCAACGGATGGAAACAGCAAAAACTAACTCGATCTACAGAAGAGTTGCCTTAATGTTTCTTTTACAGCTTGCCTTACTTCTCTGATCTTCCAGCAGTACAGCAACGGGTTTAATGACGAGTTTAAGAGAACCATGCTAAATGCTAAATTCCTAGCAAGGTAGATCGATAAAGGCATCCCTCTCTGAGGTGTCAAAACGACCGCTATATTATACTGCAGATAACAAATAACCAATGTTCCCTGCACCCACAGTGCACTGTACACTGCCTTTCTGTATCGAGCTATGTTCAGTGGAATTGCTTGGCTCGGTTGTCCGTGAGCAGCCTGGCTCTGAACATGAATTTGGTTATGACGCAGAGTACAGAAAATTTTTGCGTAAGCGAAGATTGTGCTGACCAGACACAAAGCAGTACCTATGTATTGATACCATGAAGTTATACGACGATCAAAAAAGAGAGTAGATGTACCGACGATGGAAAAAATCCAAAAACCAGTCACAGTTATACATGTTCTTCTATAACTTACAACTTGTCTGTATCTGAGCCCCAGTAACAAGGCGAAAAGTCTGTCCACGCTTATTGCAGTCACTGTTAATAAAGATACTGCACACAAAATAGAACCTGAGAAACGTGCTGCCCTATATGCGTAATAACAATTAGTATATACACACTCAGTGATCTTGGTGATTTAAGCAATCTGATTGGTTCGCTATCTCGGACTATTCAACAATATTCACCTCCTAGCGAGTGGATAATGTGTGAGCTCGGTGTTTTTCCCGTTTTTTTTAGAGAACGATCTTTTAAAAGTCGACAAAATCCTAGGGCTGACTTTTTTTAAGGCAAGAAAAGACTTGGAAGGATTCAATACGGCGTTTTTCAATTTACTGTAGCAGGAGTTTTGTGCTCGATGGATTGTTTACAACTCCCGTGTATTCGCGTAGAAGAAGCCGTTTCGTGAACTCAGCGTTTTCTAAGAAGAAAATTTTGGCTCAAAAATCGAAGTTTATTTATGACAAACAAATTTAAAAGGAAATGTTTGCAGAAATTCTACATTTCAAGTAAACAGGAAAAAGAATGATACAGGAAGACGACCTCTTACCTCGAGCAACCGAGCCGCCATTTTTGTCAGCACTTCATGCGAAGAACGACACAACATGCCCTTTTGGCTATAAACTTGGCGAGTCAACAGAAAACAACACAGCTCTACTTTTTTTCTCAGGTAAGGAAACAGTTCAAACTTTTAGCGATTCCATTGAAGCCATTACGCTGTTGTTTGCGAAATGAGTAAACTTGTGAATTGCCATGTTTGAAAATTCTGCAAAGATCTATTTTTAAACTTACGCGTGATTTGATCTGTCAATCAAATCTTACTTTTGAATGGTTTCCTTTCTGATTTTGTTGAGATCACTTCGTGTGTATATACTAAAACAATTATTCTTCTCAATCTCGGTGAATAGTGGCTTTGGGAATATTTACCTCGCCGCTTTCGCGGCTCGGTAAATATTTTGCCACTATTCACCTCGATTTCAAAGAATAATTGTTAAATATCCCATCTTTCGTTCACAACAGAAGTTAGCCTGCGAGAACATCCGTTTCTCCTCGCTCTTCGTCGCTGAGGACGTTTCGCGTGGAGGAACGTCTGCGACTCAGTGACAGAAATTCCATACTGATGACGCAATCAATGTTTACTTAATAAATCCGGTAGTCATGGGGTTCCAAATATAAATTTGTCTAATTTTGCGTGTCTTCTGATCGATTTTGGTAAAGTGCTGTGTTGATCTGCCCACAAGCTCCAGCAAAACTCAAATGCTTCTTCTAGAGAAGACTATATTCCACAAATATTGACTGTTTTGTTAGAGATTCTTCGTGTTTACATTTGACCTTTTTGGCCTTTTGTCTTTTGTCTGTCATTCCTAAACAATAGCTAAAACAATGTAACTGCTCCGTCGACCAATCAGCGCTTCTGACCGGATTCTGGACAGATTTTACGTCATCAGTATGGAATTTCTGTCGCTGAGTCGCAGACGTTCCTCCGCGCGAAACGTCCTCAGCGACGAAGAGCGAAGAGAAACGGATGTTTTCGCAGGTTAAACAGAAGTCCAATGAGTCACAAACAAAGGCTCTACAATGATACCAACACAGAGATCAGTTATCGCTAGGTTACGATACAGGAGTTTGGACGGCGGATGAAGTGAAGTTTCCTTGTGCAGAGCAACTAGGATCAGAGTGTTCCCCAGAAATGCAGTGACGGAAAGAAAAATATTTAGAGCTGAAAGGAATATAAGCTCGCTCTTTACACCTTTGACAAATTCAGCCGAGCAAAACAGTTCTTGGACAGTTTTATGGTTTTCGTCTTCAGTAAAATTTTCCAGGGCCATTTTCCTCTTCGGCGCAATGACCTGCAAGTGAGAGTTTTATTTATATACACTATTTTAATTTGGGTGAAAGCTGATATAATGTCGACATCTCTACAGTCAAAACAATTTACCTAAACGGGCTATATACGTTAATTTGTCGCGTATTAATAAATAATGATCAGAAGTAATTTATAGAGTCATAAACGTGCAAAAACTATTAACTAAGCGTAAAAGAAAAAAGCTCTCAGGGCCAAGAAAGGTCGAGCAAACTTGTCTTGGTACTTTTTCAATCTAACTGATCGAACCATGATAAACCAGGCGTTATGTCACAGGTGAAACTTAAACTCACGGACGATTTTAATACATTTTTAGGTCTCTTGTTGGCGGTTTATTGGCAACTTGACATCGCAGTAATTTGAAGGAAATTCCGATAACTCATTAGATTTTTTTAAAGTTTACTATAAGCTTGAGCCATCACTACTCCTTCCCAGAAATTAAGTGGTATACTGTATTATACACCTATAGTTGCTATAGCGTTGTCATAGTTAAATCAGCTAAAAGGAATTGAAATTAAAAATGCAAAAAACAAATCGAAATTAATTAGGCTTGCCGTTAGACCACTAAATATGGTGAATTTGTTTTCAACCTACGCGTACTGTCTTCGCTTCTATGCCCCCAAAAAACGCCTATGCAGCAAGTAAATGCTCCCTTTCTGACTCCTTTCTAGATTTATTAGAAGGCCTAATTTTATACACCTGATTGCAATGAGCATGTCTTAGAAAAATGGTAAAGGGGGAAAGGAAAGAAGAAAAAAACAAATAGGATTTTAATTCCTAGTTTAATAATGACTAAGCGTATGTTTACAACAATTAGCACTCAATTAGGGTATACTAAAGGGAAATCGCACGAAAACCTCATGGCCATCTCATCAGTGCAAGTGCTTTAAATCGGTTATTTTATTTGCTAATTGTTCCGTAATTATCACGCCTGTAATATATAGTTATCACGATCTATTTTTCAAACAAAAACAAAAGAGATGAGTCTTATTTTGTTCTTAAAAGTTGTAGTCAGAGTTTAGCAAAAACAATGAAGTGTTTCAAGCTGACACCGAACTTTAATGAGCCTGTTGAAACTAACTCACTGATGTTTTTAATGTGTTTTCAGTGGTAAAGGAAGTCTTGACAGTCAGCAAACACATCAAACTGTGTGCAGTGGGCTGCGATAATTTTGGTGTCTGTTATTTGTGTTGTTTATAAATATGTTAAATGATAACTTCACCACTAACAATAACACTCGTTCCTTGAACAGCTGCATGTTTTTTCCAGGGTTTATTCCCTGGCTTGCTTCCTACAGCATCTTCCGGTAGTACGCAAGTTTTTTCGCGCGGAATTTACATGGATAGACTTTTTTTCCCCGTTCCCCTTTCTACGTTACTTAATTAACATCCCTAATCTGGCGTATATTACAAAGTGCAATGGTTGCTTTTTTTGCAAAATATTATGAGCTCACTGAGGTGAATTTTTGCTATCGCTTGCATGACACCTGTGTTAGGCAGAATACAAAAGTTAAGGCATGTATTTAATGCCCAGTTCATCTTCTTAGATACTAACATTCCTAAATTTTGAAGCCAATATTTTTGCCCTTCAAAATGGTACTTTTACCTACTGGACTTACGACCGATGTGTTATTAATTTAACTTTAATTCTTACCCAGTATCATGGACACCTGTCATTTCTCTCAATGCTTTTTCGTCTTCATCATGTCTAGTGTATAAACAACAATTGATGTAGAAGGCAGCAATATACCGATTATTTTAAGCTTTTGCTAGCCTTAGTACTCAGTTACAATTTGTACTGGCGCTAGACTTAACCTCAAGTAAAGATACAAAAGCCAAACGAGAGCACGAAAAATGTTAGCGCCACCAAACCGAATACTGATTGTCATGAATAGCGACATGAGTATACAGGGTTGGCCAGAGGGGTAGTAAGATACCAAAATACCCGAAATAAACATTCCAATATTCCAAAAAATAAACTAAAACTCGTGTAAAATACCAAAATTAAGAAAACTACGCTATACTTTATACCCAAAATTAATCGTAAGCGATAAAGTTAGGAGTACGACAATTTAATAATAGATATCATTAGTCATTCAGTGAAAATTTTAATTTATCCAGCCTTAAATTACATAGACATTTCTTTTTATTTTCCTATCAAGAGAAATAAAAGTCATTTGATGGAGCCACCCTTCTTCTTCTCATGTTTATTAAGGTTTTGACTCAACCACGAATTCTGTGGATTTTGATTTCAAGGAGAAACATTCCTCTCCTCCATCTTTGTGAAACTTGGCAAACAGGTTCCTTTCCACGTTTACATTCATTTGATGAGCTTTTCAAGTCTCAGTCACGTGACTCACTTTTGCATTGTAACGGTCAAAACTTGTCACTGAAAATGGGAAATACTTATAGTCAAACTGTATTCGCCTTATTTTATCGTTTTACTATGGCTCCTAGTAAGGGCTTTAGAATGCCGCCTTTTAATCATGTCCATGTGCTATCGGAAACCGTCAGTTAAGTAAAACAGGTCACGTGACTTAACAAATATACTAATAACTGATAAGGCATAGAATGAATTCCGCACAAAAAGGCGGAATCGTGTTGACGGTCTTAAGGCCATTTTGACATCAAAAAGTTTCGAATTTTTAATATACAAATGTACCCCATTTGAAGGAACACGTAAAATGTTAGTTCTTCTCAGTTCCACGATTAAAACGAACTTATTCTTACGAGCTGCAAGCGTGATATCTCAAAACTTTGCTGGGGGTCCTCTATAATAAAAAATCCAAACCTTGACACTCTTGAGTTCTGTTTGGGCCTACAAGAAAGTATAGCCTGAGTACAGACGCCCCTCCCCTAAAAAAAAAATAGGGAGAGATAGATTTGTTTTTTAAAAGAGGGCAGCGGTCGGCTGTACACAGGCTAGGACCTACTGGACATGGCCTCTTCCTGCTCAGTGTAACGGAGAACAATGCCCTCCGACGAATTTTACCGCGGGTATTTAAAGCTGGGAAATTCGATGAAAAGCCGGCCTCTGGACATATTCAAAAGGGTACAGAAGTACTACCGTATGAGAATTTTTATGTTCGCCTCTGTTGATAAAACCCGCCCATCTACTCTTTAGTCAATTGGTCGTGCTTATTCCGTCTCGTCCTCAAATGTTGGTAATTTTCTCTGGAGGTGAATTCTTAAACACTGTATTGTATCGAAATTCAGGAAAACAAAAAAAAAGTCGTTCACGTCCTCCAAAAAAGTGAAATAAGTAACTTTCACGTCGTAGTCGTGCAACGACGGCAAAGAAATTTGTACAAAAAAGCGTGATGAACGTACAAAGTTGTTGCATTGCTAAATGTATTAAACATACTGACATCCTATTTGTTTCTTTGTTACCTGTTTATTCGTAAGGCCATTTACACTTCATGCCACTAAATAAAAACTATAACATCTTTAAACCAGCAGGAACAATACACGTTTCCCTTAAAATAAGCTTACAATACAATACATTACAGTTAACTGCAAAATATCAGAGCACGAATCAACAGATGGAAAGCGTAGAAGGCTAACTCGATCGACAGAAAAGTTGCCTTAATGTTACTTTTACAGCTTGCCTTGCTTCTCTGATCTTCCAGCAGTACAACAACGGGTTTAATGACGAGTTCGAATACAGTAAAGTAGCCGTAAATTGCTGAGCACGGTAAATGGATAAAGACATCCCTCTCTGAGGCTGCAAAGCTACTACTACAACATACGGCAGATAACAAATAACCAATGTTCCCTTCACCCACAGTGCACTGTACACTGCCTTTCTGTATCGAGCTATGTTCAATGGAATTGCTTGGCTCGGTTGTACTTGATCAACATGGTTCTGAACATGAATTTGGTTATGACGCAGAGTACAGAAAATTTTAGTGTAAGCGACGGTTGTGGTGACTAGACACAAAGCTGCAACTTTGTATTGAAACCATGAAGTTATAAGACGATTCCAAAAGAGAGTAGATGCGCCGACGATGGACAAAATCCAAAAACCAGTCACAGTTATACATGTTCTTCTATAAGTTACAACTTGTCTGTATCTGAGCCCCAGCAACAAGGCGAGAAGTCTGTCCACACTTATTGCAGTCATTGTTAATAAAGACACTACACACAAAAATAAACCTGAGAAACTTGCTGCCCAATCTGCGTAATAGCAAATATCCCATCTTTCGTTCACAACAGAAGTAAAATAAGTCACAAGCAAAGGCTCTGCAATGATACCAACACAGAAATCAGTTATCGCTAGGTTACGATACAGGAGTTTAGACGGCGGATGAAGTGAAGTTTCCTTGTGCAGAGCAACTAGGATCAGAGTGTTTCCCAGAAATGCAGTGATGGAAAGAAAAATATTAAGAGCTGAAAGGAAAATAAGTTCGCCATCTACACCTCTGATAAATTCTGCCGAGCAGAACAGTTCTTGGACAGTTTTATGGTTTTCGTCTTGAGTAAAATTTTTGAGGGCCATTTTCCTCTTCGGCGCAGTGATCTGCAAGTGAGAGTTTTATTTACATATACTTTTATAACTTTGGGTGAAAGCTGATATCATTTCGACATCTCTACAGTCAAGACTATTTACCTAAACTGGCTGTATACGTTAATTTATCACGTATTAATAAATAACGATCGGAAGTAATTTATAGAGTCATAAACGTGCAAAAACTATATTAACTAAACGTAAAAGAAAAAAGCTCTCAGGGCCAAGAAAGGTCGAGCAAAGTTGTCTCGGTACTTCTTCAATCTAAGCTAAGATTAATTCAGCTTTAATTGTTATATATGTTTAATTTTTTTGTAATTTTTATAATTTTTTTTAAGGAAGTCTTGACAGTCGGCAAACACATCAAACAGTGTGGGCTGCGGTAATTTTGTTGTCTGTTACGGATGTGCGATAATCACCTTTGTCAATTCTTCTTGCTTTAATTTCTATCAACTTTTTCCACAAAAGTTTGAGGAAAAAAATTAATTACATGTTTAGTCGTACCACACGAGGAAAAAGGATTCAGCAAGGTTGTCTAGTTTTTCATACAGTTAAACATTAGTCGAACTATAATGAGCCAGGTGAAACTGACTTACGAGCCATTTTAATGACTTTTTAGGTCTTAATATGTTGTCGGTGCAACAAGTCTGTATGACGTTTTCTTCATTAACATCGCTGTAAGTTCCAGCAATTCGGCCAATTCAACACATTAAGCTGCATGCAGAATTTTCCTAGCAGAGCGTAATACAAGCGAGTTATTAACGGAATATACCATTTTTAAGAAAAGGGTGCCCCTTTCGTATACCTTCTATTGACAAATGGTGCCCCTTTTACATACCAAGTTTAGAACTTCGCATCCCTTTTAACTGCTTTAAATGCACAGTCTTTTAAATAGGAATCAATTACAAAAATACAACGTTATCTCAACTTTGAGCCATAAAATTCATTTGTTAGCCCTTTTGAACCCTTTCACAGACCCAAATGACAGATGTCCCTACCCTTTCGTATACTTCAACGAGTAAAATCCCTACCTTTCGTATACCTGAAGCCTGAAAAATCGTTTACAGTAGATTTATAAAGATCCCATTGGGCTAATTAATCGTGCTAAGCGACAGGTATAGACATTTTTCAAGGTAAGTAATTCATTTATTTACACGAAACTCCTCTGGACCCTGTGCCCTTTCCGGCGGAGCCTCCCCGTATAGGCTATTATAGGGAGTACCCCCCTCCTCAACACCCCGGGCCCGCAAGTGAGTGTATATTGTCTATTTGTCGCCTCAGTTTTACAATTATTCTTCAGCAACAATTTACAAAAAGCATAAACATGAAAAAATAAATTAAAGGAAAGCTCGCACGGTTAAAAAAGGTTGAGCAAAGTTGTCTCCGTGCTTTTTCAATCTAACTGACCAAACTATGATGAGCCAGGTGTTATGTCACAAGTGAAACTTAAACTCACGGATGATTTAAATTAAACTTTTTAGGTCTTATGTTGGCGGCACATTGGCAACGTGAGATCGCAGTAATTTCAAGGAAACTCCAATAACTCAAGATTTTTTAAAGTTTAATGTAAGCTTGAGCCATCACTCCTTCCCAATTAAATTTTTCTAAGAAAACGTTTATTGCAATTAGGTGTATATGCTTTACGTACTGACCACACGTGTTAAAATGGCTGGGAAAAGATAAGGGTAACTTTTAATTTTGGGTACGTTATGATGAAAAAGAAAACGGACGAAAACATCATGAACATCTTAGTGCAAGCAAACCCTTCATTTAAAAATCACTCTTATATAAAATGCGGGATAAATGAGGAGGAAAAACATTCCCTCATCTTTAAAGTTATTATTTTTATTTTTATTTTTATTTTATTAAGTTAAATGTAATTAGCCAAGGCTAGGTACTGTCGCTGCTAATTCTTCAATCTGTAAGCATCACGATCTTGTTTCTAACGAAAACAAAAGAGCTGAATTTAATTTTGTTCTTTGAAGTTGTCACAAGGGGAAGAGATGTTTAGCATAAGTTGGGACGTTTTTCAAGCTGACGTTAACTTAACTTTTACCACTGGCAGCCTGGTGAGACTAACCAAGTCACCGACGATTTTAATGAGTTTTCAGTAGTAAAGGAAGTCTTAACAGTCGGTAAACGCGTCAAACTGTGTGGGCTGCGGTAATTTTGGTGTCTGTTATTATAATAAGATGTAACATGAATAACACTCTTTACGGATATGTTAATTCCCGCCGATATCAGTACCTGGTATTTTAACCCTGTTCAGACCTAAGGGGTCTTTGGAGAAAATAGGTATTTAATATTCTATTTTCACCAATTGGTTGCATTATCTTGTCAGAGAGCTAAGTAGGTAAACGCACGCTGTTTTTAATTTAAAGTTTTTAATCTTTCTTGTTTCATAACTGTTTATAACCACCCCTTTTAACAAAAACAAGCGGGTCTTATGAACCTGCAACGAGACAGAAAACTATTAGAGGTGTCGTAGATGATCGACATACAGAACAATAGCCCACGTGCGATATATTGAAATTCTAACATATGCATGTCTTCGAGGCTTTCTGGTCATTTTTCCATACTTGGTTTGGTGTTCTTTGTGTTCAAATCTCTTCCGGGAATTGCGGGACAATGGGGTCGTAAAAAACCTGCAGTTTTGGAGTCTCGAAGTCTCGGAGTTTTGGAGTCTCGGAGTCTCGGAGTCATGTTAGAATTTTAATATATCGAACGTGGACTTTTGTTCACTCTTAAAAAAACGAACTATTACTGCCCACCTGCCTATCTCTTACAGAGGGTACCGGAGGGGTTATAGCCTGTTTAGGTGTTCAGATATTGGGACGACGACATGAGGCTAGAAGAGGTTCGTAAAGATCCAAAAAATGATCTACTGTAAACAAATTAAAGGCCTTCTAATGCTTGCTAACGTTTTCTTAGACCAGCTATTAGACCTTCAGTTTTGTCAGGAAAAATGCAAATGTTAGTGACTGTATGCTCAGGAAATTATTTATTAAAACAGGGTGACCCTTCATCTTAAATTAAGCATTTTTCCAAAAAAGTATCGTAATTGCCTCATATTCCTTTTTGAAAAAAAAGCGGTTTTTGCTCCTCAATTATTTCTACTTCACTGATCAGAAGTTTTAACGGATGTCTCAATTTTTATAGCAGCTCAGTACCGGTATAAGCCGCGGGGAAGAGTGTACTTAATCGTTTGATGGGAGAGGCTTCACCAAAAAGGGATACTTTTTTCAGGCTTAAGCTATTAGCCAACGTTGCAGCCGGCCCACGCAATAAAACTTGACCATTGGTAAAGTCAACACAGGAGGTGTAGAATGTCTTGCGTCTTTAATTGAGACTGAAATTTAAATACTTAATTATTCTGAGCTCTTCCCTTGTGGGGCTTTTCAAGAAAAAAAAAAATTAAAAAAAAAATTAGTCTTGAGCGATGAAGTTATTCGACGAGGCCTAGCTTTTAGCACTCCAACACCTGTGGTGCAACGAGCCATGTTTTGATGTTCGAGACAATCAATAGATCTCATTAGTCATTCAGTGAAAATTTTAATTTATCCAACTTTAAATTACACAGTCAGTTGATGGAGCCACCCTTCTTCTTCTCATATGCAATAAGGCTTTGACTCAACCATGAATTCGGTGGATTTTGATTTCAAGGAGAAACATTCCTCTCCGCCATCTTTGTGAAACTTGGCAAACAGGTTCCTTTCCACGTTTACATTCATTTGATGAGCTTTTCAAGTCTCAGTCACCTGACTCATTTTTGCCTCGTAACGGTCAAAACTTGTCACTGAAAATGGGGAATAATACTTAATCAAACTGTATTCGCCTTATTTTATCGTTTTACTATGGCTCTTAGTAAGGGCTTTAGAATGCCGCCTTTTAATCATGTCCATGTGCTATCGGAAACCGTCAGTTAAGTAAAACAGCTCACGTGACTTAACAAATATACGAATAACTGATAAGGCATAGAATGAATTCCGCTTAAAAAGGCGGAAACGTGTTGAGAACGGTCTTAAGGCCATTTTGACATTCGAAGAGTTTCGAAGTTTTAATATACAAATGTACCCCATTGGAGGGCACGTCAAATGTTAATTTTTCTCAGTTCCACGACTGAAACAAACTTATTCTAACGAGCTGCAAGCGTGATATCTTAAAACTTTGCTGGGGGTCCTCTATAATAAAAAATTCAAACCTTAACACTCTTGAGTTCTGTTTGGGCCTACTAGAAAGTATAGCCTGAACACAGACGCCCCTCCCCTAAAAAAATAGGGAGAGATAGATTTGTTTTTTAAAAGAGGGCAGGGGTCGGCTGTACACAGGCTAGGACCTACTGGACATGGCTTCTTCCTTCTCAGTGTAACGGAGAACAATGCTCTCCGACGAATTTTACGAGTATCTAAAGCTGGGAAATTCGATGAAAAGCCGGCCTCTGGACATATTCAAAAGGGTACAGAAGTATCATGAGAAATTTTATATTCGCCGCTGTTGATAAAACCCGCCCATCTACTCTTTAGTCAATTGGTCGCACTTATTCCATCTCGTTGAATATTCGACAAATGTTGGTAATTTTTTCTGGAGGTGAATTCTTATTAAGCACTGTATTGTATCGAAATTCAGGAAAACAAAAAGAAAATCATTTTCTTGTGTTCACGTCCTCCAAAAAAGTGAAATAAGTAACTTTCACGTCGTAGTCGTGCAACGACGGCAAAGAAATTTGTACAAAAAAGCGTGATGAATGTACAAAGTTGTTGTATTACTAAATACAAACATACTGACATCCTATTTGTTTCTTTCTCACCTATTTGTTCGTAAGGCCATTTACACTTCATGCCACTAAATAACAACCATAACATCTTTAAACCAACAGGAATAATATAAGTTTCCCTTGAAAAAACAGTTGATATGCCTTGTTTCTTAAAATAAGCTTACAATGTAATACATTACAATTAACTGCAAAATATCAGAGCACGAATCAACATATGCAAAGCGTAGAAAACTAACTCGATCGACAGAAAAGTTGCCTTAATGTTTCTTTTACAGCTTGCCTCACTTCTCTGATCTTCCAGCAGTACAGCAATGGGTTTAATGACGAGTTCAAATACACTAAAGTAGCCGTAGAATGCAAAGCACGGTAAAGGGATAAAGACATCCCTCTATGAAGTGTCAAAGGTGCTACTATAACATACGGCAGATAACAAACAACCAATGTTCCCTGCACCCACAGTGCACTGTACACCGCCTTTCTGTATCGAGCTATGTTCAGTGGAATTGCTTGGCGCGGTTGTCCTTGAGCAGCATGGTTCTGAACATGAATTTGGTTATGACGCAGAGTAATGAAAATTTTTGCGTAAGCGAAGATTGTGGTGACCAGACACAAAGCTGAAACTATGTATAGACACCATGAAGTTATACGAAGATTAAAAAAGAGAGTAGATGCATCGACGATGGACAAAATCCAAAAACCAGTCACAGTTATACATGTTCTTCTAAAAGTTACAACTTGTCTGTATCTGAGCCCCAGCAACAAGGCGAAAAGTCTGTCCACGCTTATTGCAGTCACTGTTAAAAAAGACACTAAACAGAAAATAATACCTGAGAAAGTTGCTACCCAAATTGTGTGATAGCAAATATTCCACCTTTCGTTCACAACAGAAGTCCAATAAGTCACAAACAAAGGCTCTACAATGATACCAACACAGAGATCAGTTAACGCCAGGTTACGATACAAGAGTCTGGACGGCGGATGAAGTGAAGTTTCCTTGTGCAGAGCAACTAGGATCAGAGTGTTCCCCAGAAATGCAGTGACGAAAAAAAAAATATTTACAGCTGAAAGGAATATGAGCTCGCTCTTTACACCTCTGACAAATTCAGCCGAGCAGGACAATTCTCGGATAGTTCTATGGTTTTCATCTTCAGTAAAATTTTTCAGGGCCATTTTCCTCTTCGGCGCAATGACCTTCAAGTGAGAGTTTTATTTATATATACTATTTTAATTTGGGTGAATGCTGATATCATGTCGACATCTCTACAGTCAAGACTATTTACCTAAACGCCGCTATACGAGTTAATTCGTCGCGTATTAATGAATAATGATCAGAAGGAATTTATAGAGACATAAACGTGCAAAAACTTTTCACTAAACGTAAAAGAAAAAGCTCACAGGGTCAAGAAAAGTCGAGCAAAGTTTTCTCGGTACTTTTTCAATCTAACTGACCGAACTGTGATGAGCCAGGTGTAAGTCATGGTAAAGGTGAAACTTAAACTCACGGATGATTTTAATAACTTTCAGAAACTGTTTAGGTCTTATGTTGGTGGCGTATTGGCAACTTGACATGCGATATATATACACCTAATTGCAATAGCGTTGTCATAGTTGAATTAGCTAAAAGGAACTGTAATTAAAAATGGAAATACAAATCGAAAATAATTAGGCTTACCGTTAAACCACTAAATATGGTGAATTTATTTTCAACATACGCGTACTGTCTTTGCCTCTATGCCCCCAAAACGCCTATGCAGCAAATAAATGCTCCCTTTCTGACTCCTTTCTAGATTCATTAGCAGGCCTAACTTGTAATTCCTATTTGGCTTTTTCTATTTTTATCTCTCCTTTACCATTTTTCTATGACATGTTCACTGCAATCAGGTGTAAATGCGCTACGTACTGACTACGCCTATGGTTAAGATGGCTGAAAAAAGGTATCCACATGAGGACTCAATGAGGGTAAAGGGAAATTGCCCGAAAACGTCATGACCATCTCAGTGCAAGTGCTTTGACGCAGTTATTTTGTTTGCTAATTCTTCTGTAATTTTCACATCGTCCTGTAATTACCACGGTCCGTGTTTCAAACAAAAACAAAAGAGATGAGTTTTATTTTGTTCTTTAAAGAAGTGTTTCAAGCTGACACCGAACTTTAATGAGCCTGTTCAGGAAACTATGACGATTTTAATGAATTTTCAGTAGTAAAGGAAGTCTTGATAGTCGGTAAACACACCAAACTGTGTGGCCTGCGGTAATTTTGTTGTTTTTCCACAAAACTTTGAGGAAAAAAATAAATGTGTGTTTAGTCGTACTACACGAGGAAAAAGAATTCAGCAAAGTTGTCTAGTTTTTCAAACAAACATTAGTCGAACTATAATGAGCCAGGTGAAACTGACTTACTGGCCATTTTAATGACAGTTTTTAGGTCTTAATAAAGTCGTCGGTGAAACAAGTCTGTAAGATGTTTTCTTCATTAACATCGCTGTAAGTTCCAACAATTAAGCTGCATACAAATATGCTTGAGTCATCAGAATTTTCCTAGCAGAGCGTAATACATGTGAGTTATTAAGAACCGAATTCAGATGGCTGGAAAAAGAAACTTGGCAAGAGCCTTTAGTTTTTGGGTCTGTCAGTGTATGAGAAGCAAAACGCGCGCTGTTGAAAACCTTATTATGACATCTCGTTTAGTAAATATTCGACTGGGCGATATTTGTTATGTACACGTATAAACTATTTCAACATCAAAGTTAATCAATTAAATTGCTAATCGTGCACGGCCAGCTTTGACAGACGTTTGCAAAGAGTTCAGTTCTTGTAGAGAGGAAGTCTTAACAGTCCAAACATGCAAAACTGGTTTGTTTTTGGGTCGGTTGAGATAGGTTTCGATTGAGTGAGCCCCATAACTATCAATAATAATTAGGTATAAAATAAAGATATCCATTCTAACTTGCAACTAAGAAAAATTTTCTTTAGAATAGTTTTGATTACAGCTCATGCCTTTTTTAAACGAGCGTCCCTAATCATTTTAAACACCTGACTGCTTTTTATGTTGATATATGTTTTATAGCTCAGTATATAAAAATTCACGACACATATAGATTCTTGTTATTCGCATTTTTAATTTTCTTTTCCCTAGATTTCCTTCCAACAGCTTATCCGTTACTAAAGCAAAATAGCAATATCCATTAGGACACACGTTTCGTTAAAGTGCACGAAACCCCATAACCATCAATAATGCTTGGGTATAAAATAATAAAAGATATTCACGATGGCAACAATACTTTTCTACTAATTTTGATTATCACCTCAATTTGTCTTCTTTTAACAAAGCGGCCCTAACCATTTTGAACACCTGCTGACTGCTTTTTATGTTAATCACAGTATACGTTTTTAGCCCAGTAAATAAATTCTCGACACACAGATTCTTTTTATTCGTACTTTAGATTTCCTTTTTTCTTCTTCCAACAACTCATAGAGGAAGAGAAATATCGTCTGTTCGTTGTTGTTTTTTTTTCAACCGCTTATTTATAAGAATTTGTTATTGCGTTTTGTAGCCCCAAACGAAGGATAGTGATGTCTAACCAAACTATCGGGCAATTAAATAATAAACTATCTTTTGGCTGCCAGCTTGCATTTGCTTTTACGTTTTATTCTCATTACTGATCCTGATCAACACCGTATCAAGATCCGGCTTTACTTCGCGGTCGTTTGTCCAAGTGGTTAAGCATTATTTAACAGTTAGTACTTACCGATAAAGTTCTTGTACCCTATCATAATAAAGCTAGGTTTTTCGGGTATATTACATAGTACGATGGTAGAACTTTTTTACAAAACATTTAAATGTGGTCGTGTGGATTTGCTTTCACGCCAAAGGAAACATTTTTTTGTAAACAAAAACGAATGCCCTCTGACATATGCTACAAACTTTCTTTTGTGACCTGTTTGGCAAAATGCAAAATGTTTTTGTGTATTCAATACCCATAGTAGTTTACTAAAACAACTGTGTTACCACATCTTATACACAACAAATACGTGTACAGCAGAACTTGAATTGCTTACTTCCCAGGCCTTCTTACTAGTATGCGTTTTCGTTTGCGTTGGCCCCGCGGACTAATGAGCCTGGGGACTAGGCAATCACATAACCTCGCGGGGCTCTGGGGAGGGCAACCTGTGAGATGTGTTAATCATAAAAGAGATGCTTTTACCAGTATCAGAGAGGCAATTTTATTTACGTTAATATGTTGAATGTTCAGAAAGTGCTGGCTTTAAACGTCTATGCGCTTTTAACATCTTTCATTTGCATGCTAATGTTACTTATTCTGAGTTTACACAAAGAAAGAACTGATAGAAATTTAGTATAGGGATGAAATTAAGAGATTTTTGGAAATGAAATCTCATTATTGGAAACATTAACACCGATGACGTCATATACAGCCTTTTGTCTTTATCTCATGAACAAAATACGGGGGAATCTCATTAAGATAAGGTCATGTACTACTTTTAAGTGGTTTAACTGGAGGAGGGTGGAAAGCGGGGAGGGGAGGGGGAAGGGCGGCTTCCTGCTTTATATTTATTTTTTTCTTTTTGCGCGCCATTTTCTTTTTCATGTGAAGTTTTCATGATACACTATTTTTTGTGTTTTTCCCCACGCCCCCCACCCCTAGCTTGTTGAGGGGAGGAGGCATCTGTACACAGGCTACCCATCCCCGTTCTCAGTTATTTTTTAACACCTGTTTTTAGGCAAAATGCAAATGTTTTAAAATTTAAAATGCGTATTTAATGCTCAGTTTATTAAAACCATTTAATATACCCTCATCTTCTTGGATACAAGCATTGCTAATTTTTGAAAAGGCAATATTTTTGACGGATGGGTTATCGATGAAACTTCGGCTTTTAAACGATTATAGACACCTGTTATTGCCCTCGAAGAATTTTCATCTCCGTTTATGACCGCAAATAAACAAGTGATGAAGCTACAAGGTAGTATTATACTGATTGTTTTAGGGCCTTTACCAAGAGTTAACCTCAAGTAAAGACACGAATGCTACACGAGAGCACGAAAAATGAGAGCTCGACCAACCGAATACTGATTTGTCACGAGGTGGCCATTTTGTCTCCGGAGATTTAAAAAAGCTTTGTTTATGCACGGCTAGCCTCGTCGAGAGAGCACCAGTAATCGAGTTTATTACACCAGTGATAGGTACAGCAAAAACAAGGAATATATGCTAAAATACAGATACAGAGCCCTAAGAAAGACTGGATTAAGGAAACATCATAAGTGCTGACAAGATTTGCTGAACCAAAAAATTAACAAACTAAAACAGAGTCAGATCATTTTATTAAGCGAAGCGACAACACAAGAGTAAATTGAACTTAGGTAAAACCTATAAAACTCGTACATATGAAAGCGAAAAAAGCAGCCAAGAATAAACTGGTCGGCGTCAAGTGGTGTGAAATTCACAAATAGTGGTTTATAAAGAATCTAATGGACCCAATGGGAACTGAACTAAACAATGTTAACAATAACTGAAAGAAATACATGTTATCGCAGACGCCTTTGGAAAGCTGCGACGATAAAAAACCAGCTAGTTTACAGGTATTCCACTTAAAAAATGAATAAAATACAGCAAAATAAATAAAATTTGTTCATTCATATAAGTATGGTAGCGATACAAGCTTCATACATCTACATTTATAAATTTATATAATTAGCAAAGGAGAAATCGTGTCGCTTTGATCTTTAGATAAACTTAATAAAACAAGGTCAATTTATTTCAAGTTGTTTTTAAAAAACTTCAAAGTTTTCCATAATTTTGCGTCCAAGTAGCTCTACGATTTTAGAGAACACTTATATTGGCCGCTGTTACAATCAAACCAGCCCGTCTTTAGTCGATTCGGTGGTCGCACTTATTCCATCTCGTTCAATTCGGCAAATGTTGACAATTTTTTCTGGAGTTGAATTCTTAAACACTGTTTCCAAATTCAGAAAAAGAAAGAGGAAGTCGTTTTCTTGTGCTTACGTCCTCCAAAAAACGTGAAATCAGAGGCACTTTCACGTCGTAAGTCGTGCAACGACGGCAAAAAAAAATATACAAATTTAAAAAGCGTGATGGACGAGCAAAGTTGTTCTATTGTTAAAATAAATATGATCATAAACACATTGACATCCTTTTTGTTTCTTTGTTATCTATTTATTCGTAAGAGAGTAATTCTACTTCTCATATCTTTCAAACTCATTAAGACTGGCAGTCTTTTGTTTTTTTAAATAAAATAGTTGATAAGATGAAAAAAAGAACAACAGTACGTGTTACCATGGTTACATGTAGTTAGTGAAATCAAGATCCTTCAATAGCACACTTTTCGCATGAATGTTAAAAGTATACAGAATAGCGGTACACTAACTCCAACAAAAGGGCAATTGCTTTAATGTTTCTTTAACAGCTTGCCTTACTTCTCTCATCTTCCAACAGTACAGCAACGGGTTTAATGACGAGTTTAACAAAACTAATGCACCCGTAAATTGCCAAGCAAGGTAAACGGATAAAGAAATGCCTCTTTGAGAAGCCAAAGCGCCAACGATAACAAACGGCAAATAACAAACAACCAATGTTCCCTGCACCCACAGTGCACTGTACACTGCCTTTCTGTATCGAGCTATGTTCAGTGGAATTGCTTGGCTCGGTTGTCTTAGAAAAACATGGCTCTGAACATGGTCAACATGCACATGAGTTTGGTTGTGACGTATAGTGACGAAAATTTTTGTGTAAGCAAAGATTGTGGTGACTAGACACAAAGCTGTACCTATGTATTTATACCATGAAAATATAAGAGGATTCCAAAAATTAGTGCACGCACTAACAATGGAAAAAACCCAAGAAGCAATCACAGTTATAAACGTTCTTCTCAAAGTTACAACTTGTCTGTATCTGAGACCCAGCAACAAGGCGAGAAGTCTGTCCACGCTTATTGCAGTCAATGTTAATAAAGACACTGCACACAAAGTATGACTTGAGAAAACTGCTATCCAGTTTGCGTAATAGCAAATGACCCTTCTTTCCTTCACAACGGAAGACCAATAAATCACAGCCGCTGGCTCCACAATGATACCAACACAGAGATCAGTTATCGCTAGGTTACGATACAGGAGTTTGGACGGCGGATGAAGTGAAGTTGCCTTGTGCAGAGCAGCTAGGATCAGAGTGTTCCCCAGAAATGCAGTGATGGAAAGAAAAATATTTAGAGCTGAAAGGAATATAAGCTCGCTCTCTACACCTCTGAAAAATTCAGCCGAGCAGTACAGTGCTTGGACAGTTTTTATGTTTTCGTCTTCAGTAAAATTTTTCAGGGCCATTTTCCTCTTCGGCGCAATGACCTGCAAATGAGAGTTTTATTTATATATACTATTTTAAGTTGAGTGAAGGGTTATATCATTTCGACACCTCAACAGTCAAAACTATTTACCTAAACGGGCTATATACGTTCATTTGTCGCGTATAAATAAATAATGATCTGCAGGCCCGTAACCAGGATTTTATGTGGTGGGGTGCTAGCGAGGCCAAAGCGGACCCAACTACGGAAATGTATTTTTTATCGTCTGATCCGTTTATTTGGGAAAGTAGCAATACATGAGAAATTGTAACAGCAAAGTACACGGTAGGCTGAATATTACATTTTTCGAATACAACTGTTTGAATTTAGTTATAAAGGAGTAATTTTACGATGTAAAATGATACATCAAAATACTGCGGAACTAATCCGTCAGAACAGTTCCGAGCTCCAGCCTCCGTGGGTGTAGCGACTAAATCTCAGAGCATAATAATGGGATCAAGACTGGTGGACATTTCGAAAATGAGTATGATTTACCGTTTATATCTCGCTGTAAAACTGTAGTTATCTGAGATAGATCTGAAGTCGTGGTTTCAGCTGGGCTGTCATCGCAGACTGCACTGTCATTGTCAGCGTCTGATGGCTCTTGACGGGGTACTTTACTGACCCATTGCACAGGAAAAAATAACGTATTCCCATTTTTGGATATTTTAGGGTATTTAAAGAATACCCATAAAAATCCCAAATTTGGCAAAGTGAGACAAGTCCCAACCGGGGAATTCCCAACTAAGTCCCCAGATTGGGACTTGTCTCACTCTTCCAAATTTGGGATTTTTGTGGGTATTCTTTAAATACCCTAAAATATCCAAAAATGGGAATCCGTTATTTTTTCCTGTGTTGTATCGAGAGACTGGCAAGATTTAGCTGCAGCCTTCCTCTTTCTATTTTCCTGTTTTCTCCTACCCATAACGTATTACACAAAAAACTTATTTTGCATCTTCAGGCGTTCATGCGCTCGTAAAAATAGAGAATACTACCCGACGCGTTAGCGGACGTGTCTGACAAAAATCGTGAGATCGCTCCCTTGTCATTGTCTCGCTCGTCGTAAACTCCCGTGCAAAGCCTGCGCCCCAGGGGCCCGTTTCTCGAAGCTCCCGGTAATTACCGGGCCCGTTAAGCTGTTTTGTTTTCCATTTTAGAAGGGAGTTTTAAATGTTTTGAAAATTATACAGTAGAGTTAATAGCTAACGAAACAAAATGGACTTCATTAGAGGTCAGAACACACCCTACTTTTCTTGAGACTTTGGTTTAAAAATATGATTCCGGGTCCGTTAAGTTACCGGGACTTTCGAGAAACGGGCCCCAGGGCCGGCGCACGTTAATTTCATTATTCATTTACATAAGCTCGGACATCTGTTCGCTCATTGAAATGCTCTGAATGGCTCGGGCTACTAGAATGTAGCTGGCTTTATTTTCCCAGTGAATACACCACTGCTTTTTCCATTCTTTGATTTTGTTTAAATATCACTGTTAAGTTTGAAACTTCAGTTTAACCGACTGCACGCCTTAACTTGGATATTGAGTATCAAAATGCGGACCTTTGGGGCCTGTGGGGGGGGCGAACGCACCCCGTGCATCCCCCTTGGTTACGGGCCTGATCTGGGCCGAGTTGTTCAAAGCTGGGTTAAGATAACCCAGTGATTTGAATTCAGATTTGAAAGCTTAAAAAGCATTTCGGTTTTAATTCTTTTTGTCTACAAGTTGACGATTGGAAGCTCTAAAAATAACAGAGAAAATTAGCCGAGAAAATGCTTTTGAACACAAGAAAAAGAAACCGGGTTATTCATAAACTTAACCCCGGATTAAGCACTAATCGCTTTCGAACAACTCGGCGTAGAGGTATAGAGTCATAAACGTGCAAAAACTATTAACTAAACGTGAAAGAAAAAAGCTCACAGGGCCAAGAAAGGTCAAGCAAAGTTGTCTCCGTCAGTACTTCTTCAATCTAGCTGACCTAACTATGATGAGCCAGGTGCTATGTCACAGGTGAAACGTAAACTCACGGATGATTTTAATAACTTTTTAGGTCTTATGTTGGCGGCGCATTGGCAACTGGCATCGCAGAAATTTGAAGGAAATTCCGATAACTCAAGATTTTTTAAAGTTTATATAAGCTTGAGTCATCACTCCTTCCCAGAAATTGAACGATATATATACACCTAATTAATTGCAATAGCGTTGTCATAGTTAAATCAGCTAAAAGGAACTGAAATTAAAAATGCAAAAAACAAATCGAAATTATATACCATTAAACCACTATGTGGTGGATACATTTTCAAACAACACACACGTACTGCCTTCGCTTCTTAATGCCCCCAAAACGCCTATGCAGCAAATAAATGCTCCGGTTTTTCTAACTCCTTTGTAGATTTATTAGCAGGCCTAATTAATTTCTATTTGGTTTTATCTATTTTTATTTCCTTTTTACCATTTTTCTAAGACAACGTTATTGCAATTAGGTGTATACGCGCTACGTGACCACGCGTGAAGTTAATATGGCTGGAAAAAGATATCCGCACGTTTACAACAATTAGGACTCAATTAGGGTAGGGAAAACGACACGACCAACAAAATCAAGAAAATCAAGAGGAGAGACTTTTTTCAATGAGACAGCATTCCTATTTTGGTGTCACGCACTGAGAAAACTCGGAAAATTAAGTTCAAATTGCTGTATTTTCGAAATGAAACATGCTTCGCGACTGGAATCTTGTACAAAGAGTTATTTTCTATTTATCTTCAAGCTAGTGTAAATTCGTAGAACCTCACTTTTTTGACTTTGCAATTTGATGACGTCACTGTGAAAAGCATCAATTAGGGTCAAGGGAAAACGCACGAAAATGACATGACCATCTCAGTGCAAATGTTTTGACGCAGTTATTTTATTTGCTAATTCTTCTGTAATTATCACCCCTGTAAATATCACGATCCGTGTTTCAAACAAAAACATAAGAGATGAGTTTTATTTTGTTCTTAAAAGTTGTAGTCAGGGTTTAGCAAAAACAATATAGTGTTTCAAGCTGACACTGAACTTAAATGAGCCTGTTGAAATTTACCAACTGACGGTTTTAATGAGTTTTCAGTAGTAAAGGAAGCGTTAACAGTCGGTTGACACGTCAAACTGTGTGGGCTGCCGTAATTTTGTTGTCTGTTATTTATGTTGTTTATAAAGATGTAAAATGATAACTTCACCACTAGACTGTTCACAATCCCCTATTTTCCCGTAAGATCGTCGAGATCGAGCGCTTTGCGTTACGGGCTGCCATCTGGCATGAGTGTCAAAACTACTTAGGGGCCGGAGGGCCATTTGAGAGGAAGCAAGAAAAATATTTCTTTCGCCCCCCTCCCCCTTGAGCTATAATCCCCGACGCCCGCTCCCTAGGTACATTTAAAAATCAAGATGGCCGCCATTAATGGTAAGACGCGCTATATCTCACGATATCACGGAAAAATAGGGGACTGTGAACAGTCTACCTCACCACTAACAACAACAACAATCGTTTCTTATACAGCAGCTATATAACGGATATGTTAATTCTGATACAAATACAGTTGAAGCTCTCCTTGCGACCACTCTCGTTTCACAAGCGACGAGCTCTAGTTACGACCAACTTTCTGAACCCCGTTTGAACTGTGACTGAAAAACTCTGCCATGAAAAGCTGTCGTAAGAAATCACTCCCGCAAGCGACCTTGACCACTTTTGGAATTAGGTACCCAACTAGACCTTTCCTCGTAAGCGGTCACTCAGCGACCACTCAGAGTATTATTCATATAAATCAACACTTAAATGTAACTGTACGCGTATGACTGAGCTAATGGTTCGTTGATAAAGACCTTGTACAGTGCAGTATTGCTTTTGTATAACTTCAAGGTCATTTCGTAGCTACTACTTAGCCAGCCTTTTTTTCTTTACGAATTATTAATGAGTTTCTGAAGCTCTCGTGAGCGCCCGCCCTCTATTGTTTTACCATGCGGTAGCTTACAAAAGCTTCGACTGTATCTACTATTTACGATGATATTGATAGAGGAGCTTAGCTTAAGTAAACACGACGGCGAAGACATCGTTGAAAATTAAAGAATGCATTCGCGCTGTACGTTTAAAGTCCATCGCTCTTGTTCTATCTCGTTCAATTTGTCAATTGTCTAAACAGCGAATTTTTCTGGAGTGGATTTTTTTCTCTAAGTTCGGAAAAAGAGGAAATGTTCTCTATAAATTGTGAAATTAGGAAGTTTTACGTCGTACTCGGGCAGTGAAGGCAAAGAAATGTTCAAAAAAGGGTGACAAAAACTTTTCACGTACAGTGTACCTGCAAAGTTGTTGTTTTCGTAATCTAAACCTATTAATTACTTATTTGCCGTTCTCGTTGCTGTCGTCGTTCTCCCCAAATAAGGGAGCTTAGCTTAGAAGACAGGGTACCCAAAAATCAGTGGCTCCTGGTAGTACGCACTGGATTATCATTATACGAATTCTCCTTACAAGGTTCCTTCCCCTGGTTAGGGAACTGGCCATTATTAGCAAACGGATTTCTTTTTATTGAGCTTAGTCTATAAACAACTGAGTAGTCCTTTGCGAAGGATGAGATGTCATTTTTAGCGGGAAAATGATGATTATTGCTTTAAAAACACGCAAATTACTGATTAAAATCGCTATCGGCGAAGCATGGGGGGTTGGGAGAGTTCTTGCGTAGCATGTATTTTTTTTTTTTTTGCTTCTATTTAGTACGCAAGTTTTTTTTGCTTGGAATTTACATGGATATACTTTTTTTTCCTGTTCCCCTTTCTACGTTAATTAATTAACATCCCTTCTGGCGTATATTACAAAGTACAATGCTTGCTTTTGTTGCAAAATATTATGTGCTCATGAGGTGAATTTTTGCTATCGCTTGCATGACACCTGTGTTAGGCAAAATACAAAAGTTAAGGCATGTATTTAATGCCCAGTTCATCTTCTTAGATACAAGCATTCCTAATTTTTGAAGCCAATATGTTTGACCTTCAAAATGGTACTTTTACCAACTGGACTGAAGACCGATGTGTTATTAAATATAACCTTAATTCTTACCCAGTATCATGGACACCGATTTCTCTCGATGCTTTTTCGTCTCCATCACATCTGGTGTATAACAACAACTGATATAGAACGCAGCAATATACCGATTATTTTAAGCTTTTGCTAGCCTTACTACTCAGTAACAATTTATACTGGCGCTAGACGTAACCTCAAGTAAAGATACAAAAGCCAAACGAGAGCACGAAAAACGAGAGCGCCAACAACCGAGTACTGATTGTTATGAATAGCGACATGAGTAAACAGGGTCGACCAGAGGGGTAGTAAGATACCAAATTACCCGAAATAAACCTTCCAATATACCAAAAAATAAACTACAACTCGTGTAAAATACCGAAATTAAGAAAACTACGCTATACTTTATACCCAAACTTAGTTGCAAGCGATGAAGTTACACCTGTGGTGCAACGAGCCATATTTTGGGGTTCGAGACAATCAATAGAGCTCATCAGTCATTCAGTGAAAATTTTAATTTATCCAACTTTAAATTACTCAGTCAGTTGATGGAGCCACCCTTCTCCTTCTCATGTGTATTAAGGTTTTGACTCAACCACGAATTCGGTGGATTTTGATTTCAAGGAGAAACATTCCTCTCCTTCATCTTTGTGAAACTTGGCAAACAGGTTCCCTTCCACGTTTACACTCATTTGATGAGCTTTTCAAGTCTCAGTCACGTGACTCATTTTGCCTCGTAACGGTCAAAACCTGTCACTGAAAATGGGTAATACTTAGTCAAACTGTATTCGCCTTATTTTTATCGTTTTACTATGGCTCCTAGTAACGGGATTTAGAATGCCGCCTTTTAATCATGTCCATGTGCTATCGGAAACCGTCAATTAAGTAAAACAGCTCACGTGACTTAACAAATATACTAATAACTGATAAGGCATGGAATGAATTCCGCTTAAAAAGGTGGAAACGTGTTGAGAACGGTCTTAAGGCCATTTTGACATTCGAAGAGTTTCGAATTTTTAATATACAAATGTACGCCATTGGAAGGCACATCGAATGTTAATTTTTCTCAGTTCCACGACTGAAACAAACTTATTCTCACGAGCTGCAAGCGTGATATCTTAAAACTTTGCTGGGGGTCCTCTATAATAAAAAATCCAAACCTTAACACACTTGAGTTCTGTTTGGGCCTACTAGAAAGCATAGCCCGAGTACAGACGCCCCTCCCCTAAAAAAAAATTATTCCATCTCGTTCAATTCGTCAAACGTTGGTAATTTTTTCTGGACGTGAATTCTTAAACACTGTATTGTATCAAAATTCAGGAAAACAAAAAGAAAGTCGTTCACGTCCTCCAAAAAAGTGAAATAAGTAACTTTCACGTCGTAGTCGTGCAACGAGGGCAAAGAAATATGTACAAAAAAGCGTGATGAACGTACAAAGTTGTTGTATTACTAAATATAAAGTAACATATTGACATCCTATTTGTTTCTTTGTTATCTATTTATTCGTAAGGACATTTACACTTCATGCCACTAAATAAAAACTATAACATCTTTAAACCTGTAGGAACAATATAAGTTTCCCTTGAAAAAACAGTTGATATGCCTTGTTTCTTAAAATAAGCTCACAATACAATACATTACAGTTAACTGCAAAATATCAGAGCAGGAATCAACAGATAACAAGCGTAGAAAACCGCTAGCTCGATCGACAGAAAATTTGCTTTAATGTTACTTTTACGGCTTGCCTGACTTCTCTGATCCTCCAGCAATACAACAACGGGTTTAATGACGAGTTCAAACACACTAAAGTAGCCGTAAATTGCCAAACATGGTAAAGGGATGAAGGCATCCCTCTATCAGAAATCAAAGCTACTACTGTACCATACGGCAGATAACAAATAACCAATGTTCCCTGCACCCACAGTGCACTGTACACTGCCTTTCTGTATCGAGCTATGTTCAGTGGAATTGCTTGGCTCGGTTGTCCTCGAGCAGCATCGTTCTGAACATGAATTTGGTTATGACGCAGAGTAACGAAAAGTTTTGCGTAAGCGAAGATTGTGGTGACCAGACACAAAGCTGAAACTATGTGTAGACACCATAAAGTTATACGACGATTCAAAAAGAGACCAGATGCACCGACGTACGACGATGGACAAAATCCAAAAACCAGTAACAGTTATACATGTTCTTCTAAAAGTTACAACTTGTCTGTATCTGAGCCCCAGCAACAAGGCGAGAAGTCTGTCCACGCTTGATGCAGTCACTGTTAATAAAGACACTAAACAGAAAATAAAGCTTGGGAAAGTTGCTGCCCGAATTGCGTAATAGCAAATATCCCATCTTTCTTTCACAACAGAAGTCCAATAAGTCACAAACAAAGGCTCCACAATGATACCAACACAGAGATCAGTTATCGCTAGGTTACGATACAGGAGTTTGGACGGCGGATGAAGTAAAGTTTCCTTGTGCAGAGCAACTAGGATCAGAGTGTTCCCCAGAAGTGCAGTGACGGAAAAAAAGATACTTAGAGCTGAAAGGACTATAAGCTCGCTCTCTACACCTCTGACAAATTCAGCCGAGCAGAACAATTCTTGGACATTATTATGGTTTCCGTCTTCAGTAAAATTTTTCAGGGCCATTTTCCTCTTCGGCGCAATGACCTACAAGTGAGAGTTTTATTTATATATACTATTTCAATTTGGGTGAATGCTGATATCATGTCGACATCTCTACAGTCAAGACTATTTACTTAAACGCCGCTGTACGAGTTAATTCGTCGCGTATTAATAAACAATGATCAGAAGTAATTTATAGAGTCATAAACGTGCAAAAACGTTTAACTAAACGTAAAAGAAAGCTCACAGGGCCAAGAAAAGTCGAGCAAAGTTGTCTCGGTACTTTTTCAATCTAACTGACCGAACTGTGATGAACCAGGCGTTATGTCACAGGTGAAACTTAAACTCACGTATGATTTTAATAACTTTTTAGGTCTCATGTTGGTGGCGTATTGGCAACTTGACATGCAATCAGCTAAAAGGAACTGAAATTAAAAATGGAAATACAAATCGAAAGAAATTAGGCTTTACTATTTTTCTAAGACATGTTCATTGCAATCAGGTGTAGATGCGCTACGTACTGACTACGGGTATGATTAAGATGGCTGAAAAAAGGTATCCACATGTTTACAACAATTAGGACTCATTTAGGGTAAAGGGAAATTGCACCAAAACGTCATGACCATCTCAGTGCAAGTGCTTTGACGCGGTTATTTTGTTTGCTAATTCTTCTGTAATTTTCACACCGTCCTGTAATTATCACGGCCCGTGTTTCAAACAAAAATAAAAGAGATGAGTGTTATATTTTGTTTTTTAAAGTTGTAGTCAGGGTTTAGCAAAAACAATGAAGTTTTTCAAGCTGACACCGAACTTTAATGAGCCTGTTGAAACTAACTCACTGACGATTTTAATGAGTTTTCAGTAGTAAAGGAAGTTAAAAACAGTAGGTAAACACATCAAATTCTGTGGGCTGCGGTAATTTTGTTGTCTTTTATGGATGTGAGATAATGACCTTATTTTGTAAATTCTTCTTGTTTCAATTTTTATCAACTTTTTCCTCAAAACTTTGAGGAAAAAAATTAATTCTGTTTTTAGTCGTACCAGACGAAGAAAAAGGATTCAGCAAAGTTGTCTAATGTTTCAAAGAAACATTAGTCGAACTATAATGAGCCACGTGAAACCGACTTACGGGCCATTTTAATGATTTTTTAGGTCTTAATATGTTGTCGGTGCAACAAGTCTGTATGACGTTGTCCTCATTAACATCGCTGTAAGTTCCAATAATTCGGCAAATTCAACACATTAAGCTGGATGCAAATATGCTTGAGTCATCAAAATTTTCCTAGCAGAGCGTAATACATGTGAGTTATTAATAACCGAATTCAGATGGGTGGAAAAAGAAACTTGGCAAGGGCCTTTAATTTTTAATCAATTAAATTGCTAATCGTCACCATGAGCGGCCAGCTTTGACAGGCATTTGCATAGAGTTTACTTGTAGAAAGGAAGTCTTAACAGTCCAAGCATGTCAAACTGGTTTGTTTTTAATTTTTGGGTTGGTTGAGATAGGTTTCGATTGAGTGAGCCCCATAAATATCAATGATAATTAGGTATAAAATAAAGATATCCATTCTAACTTGCAACTAAGAAAAAATTTCTTTAGAATAGTTTTGATTATAGCTCATGTCTTTTTTAAACAAGCGTCCGTGATCACTTTAAACACCTGACTGATTTTTATGTTGATATATGTTTTATAGCCCAGTATATAAAAACTCACGACACACATAGATTCTTGTTATTCGTATTTTTGATTTTCTTTTCCCTAGATTTCCTGCCAACAGCTCATCCGTTACTAAAGCAAAATAGCAATTTCCATTAGGACACCCGTTTCGTTAAAGTGAACGAAACCCCATAACCATCAATAATGCTTGGGTATAAAATAAAGATATTCACTATGGCAACAATATTTTTCTACTAATTTTGATTATCACCTCACTTTGTCTTCTTTTAACAAAGCGGCCCTAACCATTTTAAACACCTGCTGACTGTTTTTTATGTTGATATACGTTTTTAGCTCAGTAAATAAATTCTCGACACACAGATTCTTGTTATTCCTACTTTATGACTTTCTTTTCTTTTCTGCAAACAACTCATGGAAGAAGCAAAATATCGACTGTTCGTTGTTGTTTTTTTCAACCGCTTATTTATAACAATTTATTATTGCTTTTTGCAGCCCCAGACGAAGGAGGTCACGAAGGATAGTAATGTCTACCCAAAATATTGGGCAATCAACCCTATCTTTTGGCTGCCAGCTTACATTTACTTTTAGGTTTTATTCTCCTTACCGATTCTGATCTTAAACCAAGATCCAGCTTTACTTCCCGGCCGTTTGCCTTTCATCATTCAGTAACAGTTAGTACTTACCGATTAAAGTTCTTGTACCCCTAAATAAATAATAAAGCTAGGTCTTTCGGGTATATTACATAGTACGATGGTAGAACATTTTTTTTTTCAAAACATTTAAATGTGGTGGTGTGGATTTTCTTTCACGCCAAAACGAAACATTTTTTCGTAAAACACTGAAACGAATGCCCTCTGACACATGCTTCAAATTTTTATTTTGTGACCTGTTTTATTTGGCAAAATGCAAAATGTTATTGTGTAGTCAATACCCACGGAAGTTTACTAAAACAAACATCTTGCCACATCTTATACACAACAAATACGAGTACAGCAGAACTTGAATTGCTTACGTCCCAGGCCTTCTTGCTATGCGTTTCGTTTACCGGCGTTGGCCCCGCGGACCAATGAGCCTGGGGACTAGGCAATCGCATAATCTCGCGTGGCTCTGGGGAAGGCAACCTGTAGGATGTGTTAATCATTAAAGAGATGCTTTTACCAGTATCAGTATCAATTTTATTTGTGTTAATATGTTGAATGCTCAAAAAAGTGCTGGCTTTAAACGTCGACGCGCTTTTAATATCTTTCATTTGCATGCTAATGTTACTTATTCTGAGTTTACACCAAGAAAGAAGTGATAAAAATTTAGTAGGGATGAAATTAAGAGTTTCAGTTTTTTTGAAATGAAATCTCATTATTGAAAACGTTAACGCTGATGGCATCATAGATAGCCTTTTATATCATGAATAAAAATGCGTGGGAATCTCATTAAGATAAGGTCATGTACTGCTTTTAAGTGGTTTAACTGGTTTGACGGGCTTTGTATCGAGTTATTCAAGTTCTATGAGGAGGAGGAGGAGGAGGAGGAGGAGAAGGAGAAGCAGAAGAAGAAGATTGAAGAAGAAGAACAAGAAGAAGAAGAAGAAGAGGAAAAGGAAAAGGAATGAAGCCCTTAAACTCTATTTCTTTATTAGTTCTTTATTCTTGTTTGTTATTTACACCTCAAGACACTAAATAATAAAGATAACATCTTTGGATTTCTAGATCAGGAATATTTATAATATGCTTTCCCATAAAAAACAGATGACATGCCTTCATAAAATATACTTGCAGTACAATATATTTACAGTTAATATCAACGAGGATTCAAGCATGAATTAAGAGCTGACAAGAGAGAGCTGGAAAGCCCAGAAATCTAACTCGATCAACAGCAGAGTTGCGTTAATGTTTCTTTTACAGCTTGCCTCACTTCTCTGATCTTCCAGCAGTACAGCAACGGGTTTAATGACGAGTTTAAGAGAAGCATGCTAGCTGTGAAGTTCCTGGCAAGGTAGATCGATAAAGACATCCCTCTCTGAGGTGTCAAAAAGATCGCTATATTATATGGAAGATAACAAATACCTACCGTTCCTTGCACCCACAGTGCACTGTTTACCGCCTTTCTGTATCGAGCTATGTTCAGTGGAATTGGTTGGCTCAGTTGTCCTTGAGCAGCATGGCTCTGAACATGAATTTGGTTATGACGCAGAGTAACGAAAATTTTTGCGTAAGCGAAGATTGTGGTGACCAGACACAAAGCTGTACCTATGTATTGATACCATGAAGTTATACGAGGATTCAAAAAGATAGTAGATGCACTGACTATGGACAAAATCCAAAAACCAGTCACAGTTATACATGTTCTTCTCAAAGTTACAACTTGTCTGTATCTGAGCCCCAGCAACAAGGCGAGAAGTCTGTCTACGCTTATTGCAGTCAATGTAAATAAAGACACTGCACACAAAATAAAACCTGTGTAACTTACTGCCCAATGTGCGTAATGGCAAATATCCCATCTTTCTTTCATAACAGAAGTTAAGTAAGTCACAAACAAAGGCTCTGTAATTATACCAACACAGAGATCAGTTATCGCCAGGTTACGATACAGGAGTTTGGACGGCGCATGAAGTGAAGTTTCCTTGTGCAGAGCAACTAGGATCAGAGTGTTCCCCAGAAATGCAGTGACGGAAAAAAAGATATTTAGAGCCGAAAGGAATATAAGCTCGCTCTCTACACCTCTAAATTCAGCCGAGCAGTACAGTTCTTGGACAGTTTTATGGTTTTCGTCTTCAGTAAAATTTTCCGGGGCCATTTTCCACTTCGGCGCAATGACCTGCAAGTGATCGAGTTTTATTTATACATAGTATTTGAATTTGGGTCAAAGCTGATATCATTTCGACATCTTTACAGTCAAAACTATTTACCTAAACTGGCTATATACGTTAATTTGTCGCGTATTAATAAATAATGATCAGAAGTAATTTATAGAGTCATAAACGTGCAAAAACTATTAACTAAACGTAAAAGAAAAAAGCTCACAGGGCCAAGAAAGGTCGAGCAAAGTTGTCTCGGTACTTCTTCAATCTAAGCTAAGATCAATTCAGCCGTAATTTTCATATTTTTTATTTCTTTTTTTTTTTGTAATTTTTGTAATTTTTTATATTCATGTATACATAGATGATAGATGATATATTTATTTTTTATATATATACCAGATATTGTTATTATACATGAGGATTTAATGCACGTTCGTCTTTTGAACGAGCACTTGTGCTCTTAGACGATAACGTGGTTAAATAAATTATTTTATTATATAGATCATGATGAAATATCAGGATTTTTCCTTTTACTAAAAAATCATATCTTCATCGCGCGCAGTGAAGATAAAGATTTATCTTTCACGTGTGTGGATATTGGTGTCACCATGGTTACTAACATGATTAATTATTGTCTTTATTTCTCCTTTATAACTTTATATCCGAGTTTCATAACATTTTTGTGACGGGCATTTTGCGATAGGTGACCACTTTAATTGCACTATTTTGCTGTTTCGAAAATAAACAAAAAAAAGGTTGTGTTTTATGTAGGAATTTCATCAGTATCTATAAAATAAACAGAACATTACATGGCCGCTTGGGGATACGAATTTTATCTTCTCGTGCTGAAAGCGAAGCGAACGAGTGAGAGATACTTTCAGCACTCGAAGACAAAATTCGAATCCCCGCGCGGCCATGTAATATCCTCTATGTTGTCGTTATCGTTATTATTTGCTAATTCTTCTGTAAATATCACGCCTGTAATTATCACGATCCGCGTTTCAAATAACAACAAAGGACATGAGTTTTATTTTGTTCTAACTTAAAAGTTGTAGTCAGGGTTTAGCAAAAACAATGAAGAAGTGTTTCAAGCTGACACCGAACTTTAATGAGCCTCACTGACGATTTTAATGAGTTTTCCGTAGTAGAGGAAGTCTTGTCAGTCGGCAAACACATCAAACTGAATGGGCTGCGGTAATTTTGTTGTCTGTTATGGATGCGCGATAATGACCTTTGTCAATCCTTTTTGTTTTAATTTTTATCAAGTTTTTCTACAAAACTTTGAGGAAAAAACTGAATTAATTCTGTTTCTAGATACCCACATGGTTATAACAATTAGAACGCAATAAGTGCAACTTTTAATTTTGGGTCCGTTATGATGAAAAAGAAAACGGACGAAAACATCATGAACATCTTAGTGCAAGCAAACCCTTCATTTATATATCACTCTTATATAAAATGCGGGATAAATGAGGAGGAAAAACATTCCCTCATCTTTAAAGTTATTTTCTTACAGAGGGTACCGGAGGGGTTATAGCGTATGTGTTCAGATATTGGGACGACGACATGAGGCTTGATATCTAGTAAAGGTTCGTATAGATCCAAAAAATGATCCACTGTAAACAAAGGTCTTCTAATGCTTATTAGCGTTCTCTAAGACCCTCAGTTTTGTTAGGAAAAATGCAAATGTTAGTGACTGTGTAATTGATGCTCAGGAAATTGGTTAATAAACAGGGTGACCCTTCATCTTAAATTAAAATTTTTTTAAAAGAAAAAGTAATTGCCTCATATTACGTTTGGAAAAAAAGCGGTTTTTGCGCCTCAATTATTTTTACTTTACTGATCAGACGTTTTGACGGATGTCTCAGTTTTTTATAGCAGCTTAGTACCGGTATAAGCCGCGGGGAAGAGAGGTGTACTTCCTTTGATGGGGGATGCTCTCGAAGCATTTTCATCTCCGTTTAGACCCGTAAATAAACAACTGAGGAAGCCAGAAGGCAGCATTCGATTATACCGACTGTTAGGGCCTTTACCAGGAGGGGGATGTAAGGGTTTGCGGTGATGCGATTTGCGGAAATTGTTATTTTTAAGTTGCGGTATTGCCGTTTTACAAAACCAAGCGGTTTGCGGTATTTAGAAATTTTGGGTAATTTCAGTTCGGTTTTCCGTTTTCTTATGTTCTTCTGTGCGGTGTTTATACGTTTTTCTGTGCGGTGTTGCGGTGTTAGCACCTCCCTCAAGATTACCCCCTCCCCACCCATCCACGAAAAATGAGAGCGCGACCAATCGAATACTGATTGTGAAGAAAAAACACGCCCGTCTTTTTCGGGTCGGTTGAGATAGGTTTCGATTGAGTGAGCCCCATAACTATCAGTAATAATTAGGTATAAAATAAAGATATCCATTCTAACTTGCAACTCGCGGCCGTTTGCCTTTCATTATTCAGTTACAGTTAGTACTTACCGATAAAGTTCTTGTACCCCTATCATAATAAAGCTAGGTTTTTCGGGTATATTACATAGTACGATGGTGGCACTTTCTTGCAAAACATTTAAGTGTGGTCGTGTGGATTTGCTTTCACGCCAAAAGGAAACATTTTTCGTAAACAAATGCGAAAAACGAATGCCCTCTGACACATGCCACAGTTTTCCTTTTGTGACCGTAAAGTGATTTTTGGGGAGTTATGACTCCAAAAATGGAGTAAAAATTTTAGGTACAGGATAACCCCTTTTTGGGGTTACTTTATATTAACTCCTAATTTATCTCCGAATTTGGGGTCCGTCATTTTTATAGGCTCGATTTCCACCGTCTCCCGGGTCCGGTCTTTGATCCTCCCCGAAGAGAGATGAGAGGGATGAGTGCGGGCTCATTTTCCCGAACAGCGGCTGGTAATCAAGCCTATCATTTTCACTCCTGACAAAGAGTTCTTTTTACTCCCAGTCTGGAGTTAAAATAACTCTGCAGTGGGGTTATTTTTACTCCTTACATGGGTTGTTTTTACTCCTTTTGGAGTTAATTTAACTCTGAAAGTGGATTAAAAATGTTAGGTACAGGATAACTCCTTTTTTGGGGTTATTTTAACTCCTCAATATCTGGGGTCACTTTTACTCCTGAAAAAGAGTTCTTTAAACTCCTTTTTGGAGTTAAAATAATTCCCCCCAAAATAACTCCACTGTAAGGAGTTAAATTAGCCCCACTAGAGGAGTTATTGGCCTTGAAAATTACTGTGCGTGTTTGGGCAAAATGTAAAATGTTATTGTGTAGTCAATACCCACAGTAGTTTACTTAGGGCACAACTATCTTCCCCACCTCCAAAGCTAGAGAAAAGCGCCCTGGGGACGAGGTTGCCATGTACGGCGTCTTCCTAGGCGTTCTTGATCAATGCATTTCGGTGACGTAGGCCCCGCGGACTAATGAGCCTGAGAACTAGGGTAACCCGTAGGTGTTAATCATTAAACAGATGCCTTTATCAGTATCAGACAGGAAATTTCATTTATGTTAATATGTGCGCTTTCGGTATCTTTCATTTGCATCCTAATGTTACTTATTTTGAGTTTGCACCAAGAAAGAACAGATAGAAATGTAGTTGGGATGAAATTAAGAGGTTTTTGGAAATGGAATATCATTATTGGAAACAATGAAGCCGAGAAGAGACAAAGGAATGGAGCCCTCGAACACTATTTCTTTACTAGCTCTTTATTCGTAAATGAACAAGCTCTTGCGTGTTGTTTACACGTCATGTCACTAAACAATAAAGATAACACCTTTGGATTTTTAGTCCAAGATTAATATACTTGCCCCTAAAGAACAGGTGACATGCCTTCATAAAATATGCTTTCAGTATAATATACTTACAGTTAAAAATCGCTTAATATCAACGAGGATTCAAGTAGAATTAAGAGCTGGCAAGAGAGAGCTGGAATTAGAAGCCTAGAAAACTAACTCGATCAACAGGAGAGTTGCCTTAATGTTTCTTTTACAGCTTGCCTTATTTCTCTGACCTTCCAACAGTACTGCAACAATACAATACAATACAATACATTTACAGTTAACGTTAACTGCGTTAAATTCAGATAATTTTACCTTGAAAGCAAGTTTTAAATAGAGCAAGAATCAACGGATGGAAATCGTAGAAACTAACTCGATCTACAGAAGAGTTGCCTTAATGTTTCTTTTACAGCTTGCCTTACTTCTCTGATCTTCCAGCAGTACAGTAACGGGTTTAATGACGAGTTAAAGAAAACCATGCTAAGTGTGAAATTCCTGGCAAGGTAAATCGATAAAGGCATCCCTCTCTGAGGTGTCAAAAAGACCGCTATAGTATATGGAAGATAACAAATACCCAATGTTCCTTGCACCCACAGTACACTGTACACTGCCTTTCTGTATCGAGCTATGTTCAGTGGAATTGCTTGGCTCGGTTGTCCTTGAGCAACATGGTTCTGAACATGAATTTGGTTATGACGCAGAGTACAGAAAATTTTTGTGTAAGCGAAGATTGTGGTGACCAGACACAAAGGAGTACCTATGTATTGATACCATGAAGTTATACGACGATTCAAAAAGAGAGTAGATGCACCGACGATGGACAAAATCCAAAAACCAGTCACAGTTATACATGTTCTTCTATAGGTTACAACTTGTCTGTATTTGAGCCCCAGCAACAAGGCGAGAAGTCTGTCCACGCTTATTGCAGTCACTGTTAATAAAGATACTGCACACAAAATAAAACCTGAGTAAGATACTGCCCAAAATGCGTAATAGCAAATATCCCATCTTTCGTTCACAACAGAAGTCCAGTAAGTCACAGCCAAAGGCTCTGTAATGATACCAACACAGAGATCAGCTATCGCTAGGTTACGATACAGGAGTTTGGAAGGCGAATGAAGTAAAGTTTCCTTGTGCAGAGCAATTAGGATCAGAAAGTTCCCCAGAAATGCAGTGATAGAAAAAGAAATAGTTAAGGCCTGTGCAAGAAAAATAAGCTCGCTATGCAGCCTTTCCGTAAACTCCGCCGAGCAGTACAGTTCTCTGACAGTTTCCTGGTTTTCTTCTTCTGTAAAATTTGTTACAGCCATTACTCTGTACTGCGCGTGCTTTACATAAAGTGATTTTTATCATTCATCCTTGAATTAGATAGTACACGAACTACTACGCACTATTATGCACTTATTCCGTTGTCTTCTTTTGTTTACTTGTAGCTGTTTGGCGCTCTATCAATATCATCCCAGCTTTTGTTGATATCCATTGTAAGTGAACTATATTAGCCACGCGCGAGGTAATCGTCTCTGTTAGCTCTTCCTGTTTTCCTGAATCGTTAATACATTGTTTAACAAAATTAAAGCAAAGCAGTTGATATTTCATATTTTAGTTACAGCTTCAAATAGACAGACACCCTCTCTAGACAGGCGAAAATTTTAAGCGTTAGTCAGTGCACTTTAACCCGGACCCTAAAAACATGTGGATAATGGCTCGTTAATCATATTTAGTAAAATGCAACTAGTGGTCTATTCTCAATGCTGCGTTCTGATTGGTTGAGCGACTTCTTTAAGGCTATATGTTATGGCCCACGAGTAGCGAAAAGCGCCGGCTTTGAAAACCAAAAGAATGGCGGCTGAATCGCGTTTTTGTCTCGATATTTTTGACCAACAAGTTGGATTTTACTAAAACAATTATTCCTCTCGTCCTCATGGCCTCTGAGTCAAACCTTCAACCTCATGGGCTATTTACTCAGATCCCATTCGGGCTCAAGGAATAATTGTTAAATAGCAAGTGTTCTTATAAGAACTCTAATCAATCCGTCCAGACATCTTAAATTGCCCCTGAGCTCAATTTTCCGCTGCATTACGAGCGAACAAACATTTTCAGAGTACTTATAATAATATGCTTTCTGGCTCAATCCCAAAGTAATTTTTTCCATCATTTTTCTGCCTTTTTACGTCATCCAATTTTTCCCCCTAGTACTAAATTATCCTGATTATTTCTGTCACACAACTTCCGTCGTTTTTCCATTTTTTAATTAAAGAAAAAAAAAATTCTCTATACTTATCTCCGACAATTGTAGTATCTTTTCATCACCCAAATTTAAAAGTATAAAAAAGACGGGAAATAATGTTAAAACCTAATAATGACAATTAATCCTAGTCATTAAAAAAACTTATGAGCTCGCTTCGCTCGCGGAAAAAAGCAGAAAAATGATGGAAATAAGTACTTTGGGATTCAGCCAGAAAGTATATTATCATAACTACTACATATACAAACACTTTTACATCACAAGGGGGTTGCAAACACCTGATAGTTTGTTTTGGCGATGTTTAATATTTAATGATTTACAGTATAATTTTGACATCAATTTTACACATTCATTTCATCTAGCTGAAATCATACGGGAGTTGACAAAAGGGAAAGATTTTTCAGCTTATGTGATGAAGCTTTTTCCCTTAACTTATTGTCACAAGAAACAGACCAAGAAATGAAAAGGAGAAATTTATAACAAAAAATTGACGACATGGAGTAGGAGATTTCAGCTAAATTCAAAAGGAAGCAGAAACAGCGAAAAAAGAAAAAGAAACAAACTGACAAACAAGTTGAACCTTTACGAATTGGTAAACAAGACTCTCAAGATGATTCGCAAGAACATAAAAAAGATGACTCAGCAGTAAAAATGGAAATTAATCAACCTCAAGCGCAATGATTTGTATTTTAAAGGAAAACCTTTCCTCTTAATAAACAATGTTATAACCTGCTATTATCAGTCGCATTTGTTTTATTTTTCTTCTATTTAAGCCTCAATGTCATAATTTTGGTATGTTTTTTTTTCATGTCGTTCGGACCAACTTTATCTATTATGGATAACGATAACAAAAAGAAGAAAGATACATTTATTGTTAACTATGAAAGTGGTGAAAACAAAGAAGAAAGCATAGTTGAAACAAATTCCAAAAATCTTGTTGAAGGTGAAGATTTTAAGAAACTACAAAAAAATGCAATAAAATTAGGATTCAAACCGTTAGATTATTCTAAACGAAAGAATTCAAAATATTTTGTAACACTAGAGAGTGGAAAGAAAGTTCATTTTGGATTACCAAAGTATGAAGACTATTAATCCATAAAGATGAAGAGAGACGAAAGAAATATCTTGCGTTTGCTAACGAAAGAAATTGAAATTCCAGTAGGTAAGGCTACAGTTGGCGGAATTTGTAAAAATAGCGATAACTTTAAGACCAACTTCCGATACAGGTATCCAAACCGCTAGTTGTGTAGTAACTAAGTTTTCCTAAGATTCTGTCAAACAGATTCCAATTTACAGTTGGAAAAGTAAGTGACATTTGGCTGAAGATGGTACAACTGAGAACAAAGAACTTGAAAGGTGTTGGACACGTCTAGCTTAAACAAGATGTCCACACGTATCCGTTTTCATTTGAAAACGCAACGTTTTCTTTACCGATACGGCTTCCGTCCACACGGATCCGACGAAAACGATTAAGGAAAACAAAACTTTTCGAAAACGCTCTCCAGAGTGGAACTTTTTGAAAACGCTGTTTTCGCGTGTACATGTGGAAAGACGAAAACGAAACTTTTCGAAAACGCTGAGGACACGCTATCAGTTCCAATCCACTCTGCGCAAAATTAGAAACTTATTCAAGATGGCGGACGAGCGCTTCCTATGGAGGGGAATACTGGACAAAAATGGAATTGAATAAATTTATATCAAACCGCGTGATGCATTATATCGTACCATGTGGTGACATACCCAGCAAAACAACAAACTTCTCGGTGGACAGATATACCATACCCGATACATCGTGTTATTGTATCGGACATGCCCCTACATCGTACCGTATGCTGCTATATCGTACCTGGTGCTGCCAAATTGTCATCAATGCGCGGCGATAGAGTGCAAGTCATCCCATAAAATTGTTCCCTATGCTGCTATATCGTACTCGATGAAACTATATTTTGAGCGGAGTGCGATGTTACCGTAACCAACAGGCTATTACATCGTCCCTTATGCTGCTATATCGCCTTCAGTGATGCTACATTGTGAGCAGTGTGCCAAGATATGCTAATAGCCATGCCACTACATCGTCCCCTATGCTGCTATATTGTAGGAAGCTATAGGAATAAGAATATCGTATGCAGTAGTATGTAGTGAAGATTAAAGGTTTAACTGGTCAGCGGCTTAGTTTAAAAAGGCGCGAAACTGCACCGTCTGTCGTATCACACTTCGTGTCGTCGATTCGTCGTCGAGTCAGACCGACGAAACAACGGAAGTTGACCCGTGTCGTAGCAGTCACTACTTATGAGCAGCGGTTTCGCTATTTCCCGCGCTTTGCTTTGCGCCTTTGTCGTCCATGTGAGATCAATTCAGAAACCAACATGGCAGGTTCCTCAGATCCGACGAAACGGGCTGTTTCTGTTTTAAAGGAAGCTATTACCAAACTTGAAGAAAGTTATCACCTGGCTTCATCATCAACGTCAGATAATTCGAGTGATGCTGTAGGAATGGCATCGACATCGGCTTCCACATCGAGCACCTCCAGAGAAGATGCACGGAGAGATTTTCGGTAAGCTTCCCGATTTTCATGAAAAGTTTTTGTCAACTATTTGGCCTCTGTTTTCCTGACTTAGCGATACTTTATTAGTTAGATTCCAACACACAAGAATTATCTAGTTAAGCCCAAAGTTATACGTAATAATAATTCACGATGTAAACTTCTAACAGTTGCCGTCGGGGGAGAAAATTGGCAAAATAGGTTCTTGTATTTCGGGGTACTTATTAGCAATTTAGGCTAACTAGGTTCTTAACAAGGTTCTTAATTTTTATGAAGAAAAAACTTAGTAGATTGTTGATTACCAGAAAAATTTACACCTCTAACGAAACAGATTACCGAACTTATAATACGGTTAGCTCCAGTATGTCCTTATTTGACTTACTTTTAGTACTCCACCAAAAGCCTGCTTGATCTTGCTTGGCTTAACAGGTTGTTGTATTTTTGGGTATTAAAGTGGCAAATTACTGCCAGGAGTTTCTTGATCCACAGTTTCTTATTAGTGGGTGTTTCAGGTTCCAGTACGAACATCTTTCGTTCAATCTTGAAAAGGTATTGAATTTTACTAGTCGTCTGGAAAAGTCTTTGAATTCGGAAAGTACTTGATTTCTTCATCAGGTCTTGAAAAGTCCTTGAAATTCACAACCTTGTCTACGCCAGACACCTTTTTCTGTATAATTACATTATTTTGCTGAGGAAAATTAAGGCTCATCCTTGGTGTAATAACCTGTAAAACTCACAGGTAACATCAAAACATTTTTGTGCATGAACAATATATTTTTTTTCCTTATTTCATATGCTATTTCTGTACCTCAGATGCAATTGCAAGTCATTTTGCAAAGTCTTGCTATGGAAAGTGGTATAAAATAATATGATGAACAATGGCCGAAGAATTACAAATCGTAAATGACTCCATGATGAGTTTGTTTTTTCAGTCTTCTGTTTTTAGTCTTTATTAAATGCTAAAAAAATACAAGTTGCCAGTTCCTGTTAATCATATAGGTGTATGAGCACTTTATCATGTGACTTGTGATCACTGAAATACTTTGCATATCATATCAAATAATCTGTAAAATATAATGTGCAAGACTAAAGTATAAATATTTCTGCTAAAAATTAATTTTTTTAACTTCACAATAATTCAAGTGGAAACCACTTTGAAGTACAAGTTGAATGAACTCTCTGCATCAGTAATTTTCCATGGGATTGTTAAAATTGAAGACTTAAGTACTGATATTTAATCTTCTGTCATTTAGAGTTTATTGAACTCACATTGCAATGTGGTATCTGTTTGAATTTAATTTGAAGACAAACAATAATTTATGCCATCACAGGGTCAGTGCAAGTGAATAAGACCTGACCTTTTGTTTTCAACAGAAGATTATTTCCAGGTCTTTGTTCAAGAAATGTGACCAGAAGGCCTATGTCTACAGCTAAACCAAGTGCAACGATTGTAAGGCCTGCGGCAAATAATCCTCCTCAATCCAAGAAGCCAAAACTAAAGGGGTATGAACCTGTTCGCTTTACACCCTTGGAAACGTGGACCCATGACATTTGTGTCTTGGGAAGGTGTGATGAAAACGTAACACCAGATAGACAAAGAATGGACGTCCTCATGCAAGCTGGTTTGGGAAAGATGAAACTTGTTTTCCCAAATAAAAAGGCAAGTCACATTGAAGTGGAGAATTTCCTTGAGGAAAAGTTTCCTAGACTTAGAGATGGTGGAGGAATTGAGGTCTTCAGAGCTGTTGGAGGAGGGGGAGGCCAAAGGCCTCTCCATTATGTGCCCCCTGGAAGGGAGGGGTACACAGTGGCCCACTTGAGAGAACGCTTTTCTCAGGCTGCTGTTTACATCCGGCCCTTACAAAGCGACCTAGATGAATCACCTTTTTCCTATGAGGTAAACTGTTGAATTTTTGTTGAAGGAAACGAAACATAATAATTATTATATTGAAGTCAAAATAACAATGAAGTCAGTGAAATGGGATGCTATATGCGTTTATTATGCTATGAAAGTTCAAGGCAAATACTACGTATGAATTGAAAGAACACTTTCCTAACTTTAACTTTTCACTTAAACACTATTTCGTAAATCTTAGATTCTAAATCATGTAAGACAGACTTCATGGTGGCATAAGCAGTAAAAAGTCGATACACTTTCATTTATAAGTGACCCATTATGTACTGTCAAAATCTCCATTTAATTCACAAGGAAGTACAAGGAAAATTCAAAGATCAATATAGCAGTTTATCAGTAGTCAGTTTTATTTTAGACACCCTTTCATTGGAGGCATTGCAAGAGATGCACAATATGTGTATTTTCTCTCACAGGATTCTGATGATGGCTACCCAGATGTGACATGCATGTTTTGTGGAGTAAACGTTCCATTTAGTACGTTTAAATCACACAAAGAAAAATGTCAGGACCCAAAGAATGAGTAAGTGATGGTAATGTGCTCCACAAAGAACAAAATATCGAGGGTAACGGGGACTGTGCAGTGTGTTCTTTTTTTTATTTTTAGTGCAGTCAGTAGATTGCCTCTGGTTTTGATAAAAATGCAAGTGGCACTGTCAGTACTGGGTTGGTGCACACATGGACTTTGGTGCATTAATGATATGTACAGTATAGCAAATTTGAATTCATATACATGTACTTTTATTCTTATAGAAAACTTGATTTGCCTTCAAATTGTGTGATTGGTAAGTGGATCTGACAAATGTGACACAGCACTTCTTTAACAAGTTTATTTGCAATATGAAAATATAACCATACAACATGTGCAGTTTTAAGCATTTCCTTAGCCTTCGTGTCTTGAGGTGGTAAGCACTCTTCTACTGTCATCTTTGTAGAGTCATTCACTGATGAGTCAAAACAACAAGTGCACTCACAGCTTGGTAGCCCTCAGCTTGGTAGTCTTGACCAGTTGATACAGATGTTTCCTTCACATGAAGTTACATTTCTCAAAGACGTCCTTGACAAGAATGGAACAATTAGTGATGCTGTTGCTGATATTGTTGGAGATCAAGACACATGCAATGATAGTATGTACTAAGACCCTAAAACAATGTAACATCACACCGTTTAACTTAATTCAAATTTTAAATGATATTATTGAAGTTTCTATTAATTATGATTGCAGATACCATTTTCTGCTTTAACATGTAACTTAATGACAACATAATCATTATAACGAACTTTGATCCTTAGATTTACCAATCAGTGATGTCACAAGTACTCTGAAAGGCCCAAATTGTGCCAGCACTCTGAAAGAAGCACTAAAAGAATCTGCCAGGGAAGTGTATGGTTCCTGTAACAGCAAGAACAAAAATAAGCTGCGCATTAATGTCAGGAGAGGAAAAGTGTGGAGCGACACTTTCGAAATTGTTAGAGGCCAGGATAAGTCAGATTTTTACTTACCTCTTAATGTTCGATTCACTGGTGAGGAAGCAGTAGATCTGGGAGGTCCAACAAGAGAATTCTTTAGTGTACTTTTTCAAGGTCTAGAACAACAGAGAATTGTTGCAGGTAGTTCTCCATTTTTAACTTTTTCCCATGATATCCTTGCCTATGAAAGAAAAGAGTATGAAATATTTGGGGTTTTGGTGGCTTTGAGTTTGCTAAATGGGTGTAGTGGGCCCCATAACTTAAGTCCATCTCTGGTCCATTACCTTTTAAATCAAGAAAAGCAGTGTTGTAAGTTTAAAATTGAGGAAATACCCAACCCAGATATAAGGGCTAAGTGTCTAAAAATTCAAGAAACATCTGGGGAAAAGGATTTCAGTGACAACGTTCAAGCTCTAGATGAGAGATTTGATGCAGGCTTCAACAAGGCCTCTGTTTCCCTTAATGATAAAGAGAAACTTCTCCAAACCATGGCTTACCACTATGTAATTAATATATGTCATGATGAAATACTGCAGTTTAAACAGGGTCTTTCATTTGGTGGGGTACTAAATGTTCTTCGGAGATTTCCAAAAGAGTCATTTACAGAGCTGACAGATAGTACAGAATCTGTGATCACCCCTGAAGATCTTACAAATATTTTTGAAGCAAACCTTTCTACTCGTGGTTCAAACCTGAGAATTGCGGAAGAAGACATACTGTATAACTGGGAAAATTTTCTAAGCAATGTGTTTAGAGGAAAGGTTTCCCAAACAACTATCTCAATTGAGATAAACGAGGATGTTGATACTGGTAATGATAATGATAAAGTTGTGGAGACCCAGAGTACTAAGGTAGTTACTCTTAATGACATTGTGATGTTTTCCACTGGGTCATATCACTTACCAGCTACGGGATTTGAACGGAAGGTAGAGATTGATTTTGAGCATGATCCCCCAGAAGGGAAGAGGGTAACAGCAAACACCTGTGGACCAAGTATTAGTTTTCCAGTGTCGCCAAGATACACCAGTGATCTGGAAACATTCTGTACAAACGTGGCAGAAGACATATTCTCGTCGCCAGGCTTTGGATGTGTGTAATGCAATATTGTTGTCATTTGATGTTGCTTTTTAAAATTGGGAAAGTCTTCCATTTAGAACGGATTACTAGAACCTATTCGTAAAGAATATTTTTCAATGGAACTGAGTGATTGACTCTGCAAATAAACTAACTAAATATATGGCTACAGTATACCGATGGTAGAAGGAAAAAAATCATCCAACTTTTCACTGCTGTTTGGTATGGTCATAATAAGTTTACAGCTTTACAGACCAGAGTCACACCTTTGTGAATAGGTTCTATATTCACTTGTCATGTTAATAGTTATTACTTCAAGTTGAAAAACGTTGTTTCAGTTACAGTGTAAGCAAGTTCCTAATGCAACAACTGCATGGTACTTTAACTTCAGTCTTAATGGGCATCGTATACACTGTATTTTAACTCATTTAGCACAGTGTTACACAAGTCCTTTATTTCAGATTTAATAAAGTTCTGGTTGTATTTATCTGCCTTGTATTATTACATGAAAGACTATTGACTTTCACCTTGCATCTGGGGCACAGTAATAGTTACACTTAACTTTAGTCAAGCCACCCACGTGCCACAAAATTGAAAGTAATTCTTAAGCTCATGGACATGAAGAAATGCTTAGAGGAAAAAAGTCTACCCGGAATCAAACACAGAACCTTGCAATTAATGTTTGCACGCTCTCACAGCTAAGTCTAAAGGTGCTTCTTATTAGTGCCCAGTGTACTCAAAAGATGTGAATTCCTGTGACCAACACAAAACTGCAACTTGCTGACCACGAGTCACTCATAGCATCTTGAGTAAAGCATCTAACAAGTTACTGTAAGGTTGTGGATTGGATTTCTGCCTGAGAATTAACTTTTGTTCTCATCGTTCTCATCTGATTATTAATTTCGATTCCTTCTTGTGCTTAATATCCTTTAATTAATATTTCAATATTATAACATGAATTAAACATGGCCTATAATCTACAGTTGCCTCTCAATAACTCGAACCTTTAAGGGAAATCGTTAACAGTTCAAGTTATTGGGAGTTCGAAGCAAGTTACCCGAAAAAAAGGAAATAGGCAACAAAGCCTCATTAATACACACAATGCGCAGGGCTTGACACCGGAGTTGAACTGGCTATGGACTGACTACCAAAAAGTGGAGATAAAAAATACATTGTTTTGAAGTATTACTTTCAATGTTTCGAACTGCAGTACACACTTTTCTTCTTCTTTGATTGACTTGTCAAGCGCTTAAAACATGTCCGAGTTATCGAGGATAAAATGATATGAAATCATCTGAAGGGAAGCAAAAATTACTTTCAGTTAGCGGGAAGTTCGAGTTATCGAGGGTTCGATTTACCGAGGGTAAATTACAGTGAATGTATGATCTAAATCCAGGGGAAATCAATTTTGGTTCAAGTTAGCGGGAGGTTCGAGTTATCAGAAGTCGACTGTACCTGTCTCTCTACATAGGAAATCAGCCGTAGCTGTAACAACCACTGCATGCTCCTGGTCATCTATCTTTTGAAAGTATATGAAAAAGTTTTACAGTCAGTTCGTTGCAAGGTTTAGATCGTTCCAAGCCAGGTCGTTCTTCTTGATAGTCAGATCGTTCCACAGATTTACAGTGGAACCTCGATTTAACGATGTGTCAAGGGACTATGGAAATTCAGTTTGTTCATAAATCGAGGGTTCGTCATATCGAACACCTCCAGTTAACGAATTTCGGGAAAAGTACCAAAATGTTCGTTATATCAGTATAGTTAATAATTAATTTACAAAACCCAGCATTATTACTGTTATAACATTCCACTACCGAGCTGTACATAGCAACGGTACTAAATTTTATCCTTGTTGGTCTGTTTGGCATTCACCTTTTATCACATGCTGACATTTATTCGTTATATCATTATATCGAGGTAAATTTTACGTTTGCGCTTATGGATTGTGTTCGTTCTAACAAGGATTTCTTTAAATCGAGGTTCCTTTCCACGCATTTTACTGTAATTTTGGCCGGGCTGCAGAAAATCGTTCATTATACCGAGGACTTCGTTAAATCCAGGTTCCATTGTAGTATAAAACTCGCCTGTTTGCTTTTCTGGCTTACGGTTTAAAGAACGAGGTATACGCATGAGTAGCGCCCTTGTTTTTGCTCGTGGCTTAAAGACTCGTGAAAAGTTCTGACCATATTGTGGAGCAATATGACTATTAAGTGGAACGATCTGACCATGGAATGAAGTGACTGGATACCATGAAAAAGACCTGTAAACCAGCAGTTGGCAATGACTACAGTTTATTTTTCTTTCTTTCTTTTTATTTTTTTTTTTTTTTACAGTCAAACCAGGTCAAGCGTTCCCGTCGCTAACGAACTAATGAATTCACTCACGGAAAAATGATTTCGTTTGTTGATTCAATAATCCATTCATAAAATGAACAATCCAATAGTCATATTTAGCCTCGATTCCATAATCGAATGTTGATTCGATTACTGTTTTTTGAAAAATTACACTTTCCACAAGTTGACCTCAGAATTTTGTTTTTTCCTCTTTTTTTTTCTGAGAGTCGAGTGCTGGCGAGTTCTGAAGTTCAAACCCAAACAAACTGTTACATGTACGCCAGTTTGCTGCCAATAATCAGTGCAACAGACCTAGGCCTGACCTCTTAGAAAACACGACGGTCAAACTGAGGTCAGTGTATGTGCGGTGATTGGTGGATTTCGATCCTCGGCCTTTGTCAGTTTCTTTGCGTTTGCGGTCTGTCTATTCTAGCTGTTATTTTGATTAAAGGCAATGAAAAACGCAATCGTAAACGGCAGGAAAAGGGAAGCAAATACGATTGAACACAACAGACAAGAATAAAGAACAGGTAGATTTTGTTCATAAACCAAATCAACATTTGATTATTGAATCGAGGTACAATTTGACCGTTGGATTATTCATTTTAGGAATGGATTATTGAATCAACAAACGAAATCATTTTTCCATTAATGAATTCATTAGTTTGTTAGCGACGGGAACGCTTGACCTGGTTTGACTGTAACAACACCTTTTAAAAGTATCCTAACAAAGTACCATCCTGTATGGGATTTAAGGCTGGATTCGTTCCGTCACAAACGTACACGTCTGTACATAGAGATCTATCCCGTAACTTTCATCATGGGCAAGTGGGTTGACTTGTTGTGACAGGTCACAGAAATCTCTGTCTGAGAGTGGATTTGGGATATCATCAACAGCAACTTCTACACCTGTCTCTGTTTGTGGTAGAGGTCCTTCAAAATCTATCCCATAGTGACTCCAGTCCTAACAGAGCAGATACTGCGAAATATAACTTTTATCTTTCCACAAAACTTGCTAGCAGAAGGCGGCTAATATAGCAATACTCACGCTGAAGACACCTATTGATATTGTACAAGCCAAAAGTGCAGTGGTTCTTTGATCAAAGTATTCTTTGGTTTCACTTGATACAAATTTGAAGAAATAAATCCCATTTTTCTGAATGTAATGTTATTTTTACTTCTTTATTTAAGTTTTGTACCCTTCCTAGCAAGACAGTCACTTTGTTAAAATAGTTAGCAAATCATGTGCATCAAGCTGTTTGGTTTTACCTCAAAAAATATTAATAAAATTGTAAACTTACTGTATGTGAATACAGATGCAGGCTGTGGACATAAACCCAAATACACTGTTACTTTACCTGAGTTAACTGTTCTTGCAACTCAACTGCAGCATAATCAGAGCTTCCTGTTACTTGTATGAGTCCACCTATCCACAGTTGGTTTGGTGTCCTATTTCCAGCTGTCCGTATAGGATGATTGTTCCATGAGCTCGAAAAATTCTGAAGGTGTGCATTAATTCGTGGCTTAAACACATAATGTAAACAGAATAGCTGGAGATTATCTGACAAATCTAAATAGCCAGATTCTTCAAGATACTGAAAAACAGAATAGTAAATGTAGAGACATGAAACAAATACATCTCGCCATAAGCGTTCAATGCGCTGATTATGCACACTTGGTCCTGTAATGTAGCTGCCTCTACCTGGTCCTCTAGTAGGGTGAGTCAACATATACCATGCCACTTCCACATTCTCAACACCATGGTCCCCTCTTACTCTGGAAGGAAGCCCATGGTCAGAAACGGCTTGCAAAAATGCTGTTAGCACTGTATTTGCTTTGTTATTTCCACTGCATGATAAGTACATTACTTTCCTTGAGTAGCCATCAACACATCCATGCACAACAAATTTCCACCTAGTGGACATTAATGATACATTCACCTGTGATCAAAGCTATTATAGGAAAGGAAATAAATTGATATTTCTTATTTTGTAAAAAAAGCAGCAGAAATCTAACCATGCATTAAGTTTACCCATCAGTGGCCATTACTAAATTATGTGTGTGTGTGTGAGGGAGAGAGGGGAGGTTAGGTATACCATTGACCTTTAGCAATTTGCACAACATCTTGAAATCCCCCAGCTCCCTGGCAATAAACTAGTATGGGGAATTCTCAGCATGTAAGGTGACAAATTCAACGTACTTGGCACATAACTGATTGGAAATAATAAAACAGACAATATGTTGCTGCTAAATCCTAGCTGGTCTCTAACAATGGTCACTGCCTTTCCTCCTTCCTCACCCCTGAGATGACCATTGATAGGTGAATATTCATAAGACTACACAGGATGAAAACAACTCCAAAACAACTTGCTCCTAATATTTTGAAAAGTAACTTAAGAAATCTAAAGAGAAAGAAATGATAAGTTGTTTCTATTTGAAAACCATTCTCAAAACTTGAATTGGACTATACATTATTTCTCTTTAGATTCATTATGGTACATAAATATTAAGGAGCAACATGTTCTTCAGAATTGTTTTTTCCATCCCACCTTTTCTCTTCTTACAGAGGGGTACACCTTGGCTTCCATTCTTAAAATACTCACCTGATAAGTTTATGATTACCATCCATGTGCCACAATGACAGAGGTGATCTGACACTATAAGATCTCCGGTGAGTTACACGTATTTGAAGTGCTCTCACTACAGTACCATCTGGATCAGCCCTTCTCATGGACTCCCGTATGCGGTTTTCCTGTACTTTGTACCCAGCAGATAAGAGGTGACCACGCATGCTTTTGTAGCCACAGTTTGGAAATTCCACTAATACATTTTTAATGATCTCGTCCAATTCTTGCTCGGTTAAAACGGCATATGTATCACGCATCGATAGACCATTTTCCTCCAACCTTCTATAGACTGTTTTGACACTAACGCAGAGCATTTTCGCTATATCAGTGGCCTTAAAACCATTTTCAAGGAAGTACTCAAGCTGTTCACAAGAAATGTCAAATTTCGGCCTACCTCTGAAACCTGATTTTACTTCTGTAGGCGAACATATTGAACTCTCGTCATTCTCTTGATCAATAACAGCTAGCATCCATGCTGCTTCTAGTAAATACGGAAGAACTGATTCTTCTAAAGTGCCTCCAAGCCTGACTAGCAGAGTGCAAATCCAGTCGATCTTGTATCTCACATAGTCGATGTTGCTGGAGTAGTGTCTACTTTCTAACTTATTTATCACGTCATTTAACACGGCTCTAAGGTTGGAACTGACAAGCTCAAGAGGTGACTGATGCTGGCCTTCCATAATTTTGCACTAAAATTTTAGAAACAGATCGATGGATAATAAACATGATAAACGGGCCGCTAATCGGCCGATAACAGGGGGGGGTGATGAACTCGTCAATCGCTCCTATAGGGATCGCGCGGCGGATGATCTTGGCCATCGTGACGTCACGAGAAATTTATCCCGGGAACTTTGAATGGATTCAGCGAGCGAAATTGTTTCGTGGTTTCAAGAGGTAAAAGTCGAGACGTTGCGATGAAACGACCGAAGGTATGTGTTTATCTATTAATGCTATATAGTAAAATTGCAATATATTCTAGGAAAGAGCATTTCCATCGTAAAAAAATCAAGAACTTCCCGAGATCGACCAGACGGTACAACTCATACCGGCGCGTCTTTAGAGACGCATAACTAAAGAGCCCAGCAGAATTTAGTCTCGAGAAAAACAAATGACGTTAATATGGTATGGGTCTCTCAATTAGTGATAGAAGTGAGTCATCTAATAAGTAAGCAAAAATGATCAGTGGGATAAAAGTCGCAAACCTCAGGGATGTTTACAAAAATTGCGAAAGTGGCGTGGACAGGTCACGAAACATAGCGTCATGATGTTCATACTACACTATCAAATTGTGTAAACAATTCATTAAAACTAAACAAATGTAAGAAGCAAGCGTTTTTTTTTTATAGAATATGGGCTATAATCTTCAAGGGTTTTGAAAGGATTTCCTGTTTGAGTCAAACGTATCAAAATGTTAATAAAGCGTATTGAATCAAATGGTCGGGCGATAACCAAGGATATTATTATATATAGCTTATTGTATTGCAACTTTTCACTATAAATTACGATCTTTTTGTCGAAACATTCATTGCTCATGATGGAGATAAGTTCACATTGCCTTTCTCTTTGCTTCTTCGCCCCACAAACAAAGGAAAACATGGTTTTTATCCTGTAAATAGTCAAACAGAATCTATCACTGGGGTAAAGTGCCGTGAGCTAAACTTTTTGATCAACATAAACATTTTTAGGGCTTTGTGCAGAGAGTCCAGGAGGAGAATCCGCAGAAAGGATGGGTATGTAGCTTTGCCTTAATCTCTTTACAGAGTTAATAGAAAAAAAAACTAGAAAAAGCCAAGAAAACGGACGCTGGTAAGCGTTTCAATGGTGTAATATTGAAAATGTGTTTCCTCGGGCGTCCGCATATTAAAAATGAGGTGGGAGGAAAACTTCTAAGGATATAAAAAATTGCAGGATTTTTATGCGATGAATATCATCATCCTTCTCACACTTTTACAATATAAAAAGAGACTTCTTTAAAGATACATTTTTTCGGTTTTCCTTTTTGTGTAGTTCAATAAAGACACCAAAGTTCAAGAATGACAATATAGTTCAATAACTACGCGAGTTCAGAAAATGACACGAGTATCAATCTATGTTTATTAGGTAATGTCAAAGCAGGGGATCTACTGGGAGTGGGAGTGCAGGGGCATCAGTTTAATTTTCAATCATTGATGCTTTTTAACTTACTTGGACTCCATGCTATTGTCAGTTACATCAAGTGACACTGTCCAGTTCCAACAATCTTCGGGGCCTGCTCGTACAGTTTTATCACCCAGCTTGTACAGTTTTATCACCCAGCTGATGTAGCTTTGTGGTAATTTCTCAGTAGGCGTAACTTAGTAAAGACCCAATCATTCCATGACTATAGGTGGTCCATTATAATAGCTCTAAAGCCCCTCTTTTTAAAATTTGCTGTTGTACTGCCTCTGCTGATATATTTCACATAGCCTTGCCTTTTAGCTATTGGTTTAAGATTAGAAATCAGTCTTTGGATTATCCTGATAGGTTGCTTGAAGTTACAAAATTTTTAATTCAAGGGAGATATTTTTTTTTACCATTGCTTGGGGGCAGGGGCGGGGGTGGTGTTTGTGGTTTAACTCACCTATATTAATGTGAAGTTTAGGGAGTAGGTGAGGAAAACCATTATAACATCTGATTTACAGATGCTTAACAAATAATTAGGGATTTTAAGTGATAATATTGCCTTTATTTATTTTGTTTTGACTTTTGTATATGTTGCAGTTAATTTTTAATTTCAGTTAATTTTTGTTTTTCCTTTGTTTTAAATTCATTAGCATACATTACCATACCCCAAAACAATGGAAAAATAAAAATTAACTGAAATAAAAAATTAACTACAACATATATATAAATAATCTCTTTTTATCTGACTGATTTTATAATTAGGTGCTTCCTTAGTTGGGAATACTCTGTAGATGATGAGAAAAAACAAGCAGTGTATGATGGAGGAGGTGCTGCTTACTGGATGTCTGTAAAGATCTAGTATAATAGATTCCACGAAGAGAGTCGTGCGGTGTGGGAAGTGGAGATGTTAGATGGAGTGGATTCCATGGAGCAAGAAGAGACCATACAGGATACAAGAAATTAGAAGAACCAGTTTCCTTTTATTTTTTATATACTGAACAAATGTGTTTTCTTTCTTGCATAACAGGTCTAACTTAGACTTGTTTACATTTAAAAACTTTGCACATTGACTTTGATTAAAAGAAACGGTTTGTTATCAATAAAATTTTCTTACACTGGTGTTTTTCTTTTACTTCTTCGTTAATTTTTGGTCTCTTCTAGAATTTGGTTAGCCAAGCAGTCTAGCTGCCCTGCCATTCGTTGCAGTTGGGCAGCTACCCGGCGCTTCGCCTCTATTACTGTGTTTTTAATTTCTTTTGCTTTTTGTTTTAACCTTTCTTCTTTTCTTTTCAACTCTTTCTCTTCTCTTTCAATTTCCTTTCTCCTCAGCTCAATCTCAGTGGCTGCCAGTCAGCTCCTTACTTCCATTTCGTCTTCCAGGGATAGCTGTAAAAATGAGTAACCCATCTATAATAATCTGTCTATTATTGTTAACTTATCTTACCCCCATCTCTACGATAATAAAATATGGTGAGCTCATCCTTTAAAACAAAAAGCATCCTATCTCAACAAACTGTTGAAAGCCTTGTTTCATCAGGTATGGGGAGGGGAGGTGAGGTAGGGTAAACGCAAATAAAAATAGCTATAGGGGATTGGGACAGGTTTCGGAGAAAAGGCCTGTTTCCATACGTGTTGACGTCATTATGGTACCATTCGGCTGAGCCCTATGTGCCTTTTGTTATTTTAAGATGCCTTTTGCTTTCCCAGAAAACCATGAGATTGGGAGTCTTGCCCTATCAGCTCTTGGCTGGTGTCACCGGGGGACTTCTGTAACTTATATAAATGAGTTACAGTACTTTCTCATTTCATTTTTGTTTGTATAAAGCTTGTTTCACTCATTTGATATCTTAAAATTTGAGGTACAATCTAGGTTTAATTAATTGCTCCACACAAATAAAGATATTAATGCAAATGTATATCATCATATCTCTGGAAGTATTCCAAATGTTTCGGCCTTTTATTTGAATGGTACTTAGCTCCCCATACAGACCTGCCAACCCCTAATAAGGAAAATCTGTAGACTCATGAAAAAAAATCGGGAGATTCTACAAAAAGTAGTGAGATTCTATTTTTTCCCGATCAAAATTAAACTACCCATTTTCCATTAGTGGAATCAACTGTTTATTTTAATATAACCTTGCTTTAGTGTGGTCCCTTATGTAACAAATTAGATGCCGCTTTTTCTTTGATGACTTGAAGAGGCCAGAAAATAGGTTATCACTGTGACGAAACATACAGCAGAGTCATTTCTTTGGGCTAAGACAACTTCATGGCTAAAATAGTCAAAGCTTCTCCAGGCACAAGAATTTCCCCACAAAATTTATGTTTTTATTCAACAAGGTAATATTTCAATTTAGAATATTTCCCAAAAAACCATGAGATTGGGAGTCTTGTCGTGAGACCGTGAGAAAAGTTAAAAAATCGTGAGACTCACGGCAGAATTGTGAGAGTTGGCAGGTCTGCCTCATATGGCATTTTCCATCGAAACCTGTATGTAGTAGGAAGAAACTTTGTATTAAGTGGGCACTACAGCATTCTCTGCGGTGTCCGCTTACATTATACAAGTTTCGCTGTACATGTTTGACTCCATTCACACTAACTATTGATATGGAACGATATGAAATTGCTTCATGCATAACAGATGTACATGTTTGGAGTTGTATGTAAATCTTATTAATTTTTTTTGCTATTTATGAAAACTTAATGTAAGCTTATAGGTATTACAGAGAAATATCCTTTGCTTCAACAATATGGTACAACCTTCAAGTGTTAAAAATATATATATTCCTGGTGTAATTATTATAGATACATAGTGTTGAGGGAAGTCTTTGGTTTACTTTTTCTTAAAACCGAAAAATAATTGACTTACATTGTGCCGGGGTAACCGAGTCGAGGTCATCTCTTTATATCAACATTAAGCGCACTCGAATGGACTGATCATTTTTACTGCTAATTTCTCCCATTAAACATCAAGAACAATGTTTTCCACTATTGCTGATCTACCTTTCTGCCAAGTTTCGAATTTCCACACCAAACCGATTTTCTAAGACATGCGATGTTAATATGCGATCCTGCAAATTTCTGCGACAAATATTCCACTTGAAAAAATTGGCTTAAACTGTTTAGACTGTTTACGAGGTAATTATCAGCAGAATATAATACAATTAACTCTCCTTCTCGGAAAGAGCTGTTGCAACTATACTTTCCCTCTATCAGAAGCTACTTTAAAATTTACTTATCCCGAAAAGACAGCTTGAATAGGTGATACTATTGGCATTATTGGAGATAACAGCAAAGTAATGAATACCATTGCATCAGCTTAGAGGCTACGCTGGCACACTCGAATGGACTGATCATTTTTTCTGCAAGTTTATCTCAATTAACTTCAGAGACAATGTTTTCCAATAGAAGTAACCCACCCTTATGCCAAGTTTCGATGTTCAACACCCAACCGATTTCGAGAAAATGCGATATTACTGTGCGAACATGCAAACTTTTGCGGCACATTATTCCACTCGAGGAAATTGACCGAAACTGTTTACAGCTCTCATACGCGTTATATTTCGGATTAATACACATTTCACTCACCTTTTCGGAAAGAGATGTTGGAACTGCACTATCCTACCGTGACAAAAACCATTTTGGAGCGTCAATATCCAGGAAAACCAACTTTAAAAGTAGCATTTGGAAATGACAACGGCGCCATTTTCGAAAACTCCTCGAAGTTGCGCGCTTCTGTCTTCGTGACGTCACGATGGCCAAGATCGTCCGGACAAACAAACTACCAAGTTCACCACCCCCCCCTGGCCGATAAAACGACAGAGGGAAATAGCGAAACCGCTGGTCATAAGTAGTGACTGCTACGACACGGGTCAACTTCCGTTGTTTCGTCGGTCTGACTCGACGACGAATCGACGACACGAAGTGTGATACGACAGACGTGCAGTTTCGCGCCTTTTTAAACTAAGCCGCTGACCAGTTAAACCTTTAATCTTCACTACATACTACTGCATACGATATTCTTATTCCTATAGCTTCCTACAATATAGCAGCATAGGGGACGATGTAGTGGCATGGCTATTAGCATATCTTGGCACACCGCTCACAATGTAGCATCACTGAAGGCGATATAGCAGCATAAGGGACGATGTAATAGCCTGTTGGTTACGGTAACATCGCACTCCGCTCAAAATATAGTTTCATCGAGTACGATATAGCAGCATAGGGAACAATTTTATGGGATGACTTGCACTCTATCGCCGCGCATTGATGACAATTTGGCAGCACCAGGTACGATATAGCAGCATACGGTACGATGTAGGGGCATGTCCGATACAATAACACGATGTATCGGGTATGGTATATCTGTCCACCGAGAGGTTTGTTGTTTTGCTGGGTATGTCACCACATGGTACGATATAATGCATCACGCGGTTTGATATAAATTTATTCAATTCCATTTTTGTCCAGTATTCCCCTCCATAGCTTCCCTTTCTTGTCTTTTATACCTGGGTTTATTTCTAACCTAACTGCTTGTTTTCAAGCAAATTTAGCTGATTATTCCAGGAGGCGGCAGAACATTATCAGGTTACTTTCGCTACCGGTGTCAAGAGGCGGAAGGTTGGATCTCCCTTTAGTTTGACTTTGTTTTTGCCCTGATTTTGACATTTTAAACTGTTTCTGCGACTTTGAAGAACGTCACAACAATACAAACCCACACCAAAGAAATTCAAAGATGGCGCCAATTTAAAATTTCGCGGGCTCATAATAGCGAACAGGTATGCGTCAAGCATGCGCAGTCGGGTAAGCTATCGTTTTCAAATCGATTCATGGTATACGTGAGGATGGGCGAAAACGATGCGAAAACGCAACGAGTGGACGCGAATTTTTTTGGAAACGGATTTAAAAAGTTGCGTTTTCAAACGAATATGGATACGTGAGGACAGTGCCTTAATGAGATCAGGAAGACTAATCATTATGCAAACTTCGGAGTGGACGTGTGAGCGAACGTGCCACAAAGACAAAGAAAGCACCTTACTCAAAAGAACTATATTATTTCGATATCGCAGCTGCAAACACCTGTTAAGGGGGTAATGACTTTTCTAAAACAAACATCTATTCTTAAACCAAAATTAGTTTCTTAAGATGTTTCCTAACTTTAGCTAAAACCCAGTTGCGAAAGATTGAAACCATAGTCGTCACGTTTCCTGCACTAAACCGAGCGTACCACCTTTTTTTTATTTAATTAACCTTTTCTTTAATTCATTTAATGACTCTCAGTTGAACCGGGTCTTCTGTTGCACCTCGCTCTGACATTTTGGTCATCCTTCGTTCGAAGTGGTCTTCAATGCGACTATAGCTCTACCCAACAACCCGACGTCGTTTTTGTGTTTTCATTTTGAGAGCGCGATGAAATAAAAATAAAATGAAAGAGAATTGAGAAAGTTGAAATAAAAACTTAAAAATGTCCGAAAATCTCGTACTCGTAGTCGTCCTCGTCTCAGAATCTAAAGCTCTCTGATTAGTAGGAGCGAGCACAGGAACTCCCTGAGACGGAAAAAAATATTCAGGAGTGATGACTGGAATTTAGCGCACCCTCTCTCGTCCGGGCCGGTACGATGTTCGATGTGTGTGAACGACTTTGCCATCCCGTGTCGGCACGAAAAGCTATCCAGTATAGCGTAAACATAGCCTTTTTATTCACATCAACATCAGTGAGTAATTGCATATGCTTAATCGTGTACGCTTCAATTGCCCGCCAAGGGTTTTCCGTTTATCGCCGCTTTTGAATTTCTTTCGCACCCGGGTGGTATCACTAGGGAGCTTTTAACTTCCTTCGCGCAATTTACAGGTGAATTTATAGCTCTTATTTATACTATAGCCCTTAATTTCTTTCTGTCTCCTTTAGAAGACAACATAAATTAAAAACAAATTAAAAACATTCAATTGCATCTTTTGCATCAGATAGTTGAGGAGATCTTGACAAATATATAAGCGAAGAAAACCTTGCTATTGCTTGTTAGAAAAGAGGAGTTTCAAATTCGTTTTGCATGAATCCGATAGCCTAAAAGCATTGTAAACTGTCTCGATCAACAGCGGAGTTGCCTTAATGTTTCTTTTACGGCTTGCCTTACTTCTCTGACCTTCCAACAGTACAGCAACGGGTTTAACGACGAGTTTAGGTAAATTAAAGACCCCGTAAATTGTCTAGTAAGGTAATCAGACATACTCATCCCTCTCTGAGGTGTCAAAGCGACCGCTACAGCAAACGGCAGATAACAAACAACCATTGTTATTTGCACCCACAGTGCACTGTATACTGCCTTTCTGTATCGAGGTTCGTTCCGTAGCTGCCCGTCAGAAACGTGGCTCTCAACATGAACTTGCGACTGGTTATGACGCAAGATGAAGAAGATTTTGGTGTAGGAGAAGAGTGCGATAACTAGACTCAGAGCTGTACCTATGTATTGATACCACTTGTGCATAAGAGCATTCCAAAAGAAAGTAGATGAACCAACAATGGACAAAAACCAAAAACCAAGAGCAGATACACTTGTTCTTTTTAAAGTTACAACTTGTCTGTATCTGAGTCGCAGCAACAAGGCGAGAAGTCTGTCCACGCTTATTGCAGTCAAGGTAAATAAAGATACTGAACACAATAAAAAACCGGAGAAAACTCGCAGCAAATCCGTATAATAGCAAATCATCCATCTTTTGTTCACCACAGAAATCAAATAAGCAGCATACAGAGGCTCCGCGGCGATACCAACACAGAGATCAGTTATCGCTAGATTACGATACAGGAGTTTGGACGGCGGGTGAAGTGTATTTTCCTTGTGCAGAGCAATTAGGATCAGAAAGTTCCCCAGAAATGCACTGATGGAAAGAGGAATATTTACAGCTGTAAGAAAAATAAGCTCGCTATGTAGCCTTTCCGTAAACTCCGCCGAGCAGTACAGTTGTCTGATATTTTTCTGGTTTTCTTCTTCTGTTAAATTTGTTACAGCCATTACTCTGTACAGCGCGCGCTTGAAATAAAGTGATTTTTATCATTCACCCGCGAAATAGATAGTAGACGAACTACTACGCACTGTTATGCACGTATTCCAAAGTCTTCTTTTGTTTCCCTGTTTACCTATGCTGTTTGGCATTAGTTGTGACCATGTTTTATGGGTTAAGTAAAATCACTCTATTAATGTCATCCCAGCTTTTTTTCATATCCATTGAACTATAAATTAGCTAAGCACGTGGTAATCGCCTCTAAGGAGGGAGGGGGGGGGGGGGTCGGGGCTGGGTAACGTGATAACGCAAACAACCTACCAGAATGCCAAAAACCAGCATTTCTGATGTTCAGAAAGTTTAGGTTTTCCCCGGAAGCATACCCCCCGACCCTCTACTTTATTTATGCACAAAAAAGCAATTCTATCCCACTAAAAAAAAAAAAAAAAGAAACATACCAACTCGAAAGGGACATCATTGCGAAAAAATAATCTCTCCTACCATAACAAAAAATGGAATGTCTCCCGCCGTTGATGAAACTTAAGCTATCACCACATAACTACTGTTGCAGTTTGACTTGGTTACTCAGGTAACGTTGTTTAGTGTTACCTATCGTATTGCATAGCAATGATGTTTGAGTAGTGTAGGGGGTGTTGTATTGTAAGTGTGTTGTTAACGTTTGAAAGCGTTTGCCTAGTGCTGTGTATTTTTAAAGCAAGTAATGATGTTTTGAGACTGTCGTAGTACTAAAGTGATTTGCCGGTCATTCACTGCCCGGGAAAGGCATAGATCGTTTTAAAGTAAAAGAGCTAAAAAATTCTGGCATTAGGGCTCACTGTTCCGCCACTTATCATACATTTGCCCGCCATAATTTTACAAACAACATGTCCTCATTTGGTATACTATCAAATACAGTATATTTTGTATATATGAATAACTAAGTTTACTAGCTTTTGAAGCACCAAAATTGAAGTTTCTCTCGATGTTCTCATTGTTGATCACAGACCCCTTGGCAACGTCAGCTATATTTACCATTTCTGTTCTCTGCTTATGGCCATTTAAAACTTAATTTAAATTTAATTTTTTCGTTTTTTTTTTCTTTTTTTCTCTTTATTGGGGGAGGACGGTCATGTCAATTATTTTGGGATACAAGGGGGGCCACCCAAAACAATTTCTGATGAAGGGGGGGGGTCGTCATATTCTACAGGAGCTTCCCATCAAATCCAACCAGCCCCCACTACCCCATAAAAAAAAAAAAACGGACCCTTAGTTCTTCCTGTTTTCCAGAATCGTTAATACATTGTTTGACAAAATTAAAGCAAAGCAGGTGATATTTCATTATTTAGTTACATATACAGCTTCAGATAGACAGAAACCCTCTCTAATCTGGCGAAAAAAGCGATAGTCAGCACACTTTAACCCGGACCCTAAAAATATATCTCTGGATAATGACTCATTAATCATGTATAGCAAGTGTTCTTATAAGAAGTCTAATCAATCCGTCCAGACATTGCCCCTGAGCTCAATTTTCGGCTGTATTACGAGCGACCAAACATTTCCAGAAAAACTCAAGGAACAAATGTTTTAATTGCCCTGCTAACTGAGGTGGCACTGAGATCTATAAACTTTCTCTCTCTTTTCTACCCCCCCCCCCCAGTAGGTGCTGTACGTATAGTTGCTTTCCATCCCTCTGACATCATCATATTTATGTCAATTAAGGTGGCTGGATGAGGTTTTTCAGGGGGGGGGGGGACATCTGCCAGGTTTGGGCATTAACTACGTTGCCATTAACAAAGATATGGAAAAATGACCACCACAGCTGTATTACGGTAGATAAAGATGAAAATTTGTTACGATCAATGTTCCAATGGCATCAGAGATTGTCATAACAACAAAATTACGTCATTACATAGTTAACTTGCAGCCATATTTCTCGACACTGGAAAGTTTTTTTTCCAAAATCATTTAAGGGAGCTTTTTCCTTCGATAGCTGCTTCAATGTTTGTGCAGTTTGAGCAAAATCTGTGAGAGCGCTATCGAGGGGATGAAGTTTTTATGGTAAGAAATTCAGCAAAAAACAGCCGACAATCTGGACGTTCGGCCGTTTAATCTTTAGACAACAAAGTACTCTAAAAATGCAATTTTACCTCATAGTAGTTTCATTCTTTGTAAAAACTTTCAGTCCTCACCCTCTTTTACTCAACAGCTGGGCAGCAACCCCACGGTTTGAACGTGTTTGCGGTTCAGACGTTACACATGTAGTGTTAATGATGTGCCACACTGAGGATATGATGGTGCATATTTTTGTCTCTTTGTGTCGCTCATTTCACCATCGTCCATGACCATTATCATCATCACCTTTAATTTGTCATTTAGCATGGCATGCCTTTTGCCTGCAAACCAATAAAAAAATTTAGTATATTAAACATAACAATATACAATGTAAATTATAAAAGTTAAGTTAACTCAAACTGCAGGTAAGGTGGATAACGCCACCCACCGCATAAACCTGACTATCCACTGGATGACGCAATTGGTTTTGTAACACTTGTCCACTAGATAGTAATTAACCCAATGCAATATTAATTGCGGATCCAGGGGAGACGGCCCCCCCCCCCACCATTAGTTTTAGACCAAACTGAGACCTGAAGGGCCAAATAATAATAATCATCATCATTTCAAGGAATGAGATTTATTAACACTGTTAAGAGATATTAGACTTATCAAATCAGAGATACATGTAACACTTCTACTCATATTTTAAGAAAATAATTTCACAGTAAGTAAAACATTCTTTATTAAATTGTCAAAGTTTAGTCTTCCACATAACTTTTTTTAACTTGGTAGGTTTCATAATTTAATTATTTGCTTTTATTTTACAGTAATACTTTAGCCTTTTGAGTTGTCAGTCTATTATACATTTTGCTGTTATTTTTTTTTTTGTTTTGAGGGCGACAAGTTTATTAGTGTTACAACAGCTATCATGTATCACCCTCTTTAAATAGAATTTTTTACTTAATTTACTTGATCAAAGGTCGCAAACAAAAGCCAGTGTAGTGCTTGACTATCTTCAAATGGCTTTTTTGGCAAAATGAGAAGGGATGAATGGGTAGGACATAACTGAACATCTTGTACTTTCTTTTTGTTTTACACCACAACTATATTTGTTGAATGGCTATTATAATAATTATAATATGTCACCCACTTTTATAACTGGAGTTTATTTTTACCTCAATCTAAGATCACAAACAAAGGCCAGTGCAGTGGAGTGCTTGACTAGCTTTGGCTGGATTTTTGGCAAAATAATTGCCAGTCGTGAATGTGATGAACAGAACGCCTCTTGGTTGAGGATCAGGTTAACCCCGTGTTTCGGCATTGTTATAAAATCACGTGTGAAGAATCTCTTTTAAACTGAGGATGCATTTCAAATACCAATTTCTGTTACTCTTTTCTGCTGATTCAAAACAATCTTGTTCTTGATAAAAAGTGACATTTTTATGTGGGGGACAAAAAGGTGATAAAATAGATCCAGCCAACAGGTACAAAAGCTAAAGGCACACATATTGTATGGGGAATGGACAGAAAATCCTGTTCCCTTTTCAATATTTTGCTTTAATATCTCGGCTTGCAGGCGTTTTATATCTAACATCAAGGAGTCCAGGTTCCTTTCACACCTGCTGCCGCAGCCCACGAATGTCGCTCATGGGTACGGGTTGAGGTCGGGTTTTTCTCGTTCTGAATTCCGCTTTGTCAGAACGGACCGCCTTAGTATTTTGTTACCCACAGTTACAATAGGATTTAATTGTTTTTGCCTTCTGTGCCATGTGTAATTATGTGTTCTGTGTATTCTTGACCTCCCTTGTAATTTAGTGTTATACACTACCAGAAGGCTTTAATAAACTGATTATTCTAATATCATTAATGCACTTCCACTTGGGAGGATTAAGGCAAATTTCAAGATACTAACATGAATGACTGAGCTATAGTGATTCTTGAATGAAAAGAGTAATTACCCAAAACCTTCAAGCCTGGAAACTGCCGGTTTTTCTTACCTAGCCTTTTTACTTTTTACGGCAACACTACAGTCAGCGGTCAGGCAAGATGGCAGACATGGTACCTGACCCTTAATATAATCATCTATTAAAAACCTAAGTAAGGTTGCCCTATCTTTTTAGAACTCAGTGGTTATTATGGGCAGCTTGTACTCTCTCCATATTTATAGTAATTTTTCTGTATCATATAAAATAATCAATGTAGGGTACAAATTAACATTGTTGTTGTTATTCTAAGGTGGTTTTGAGTCCCATAACCTCTGAAAATGAATATGGTCAACATTCTCTTAAAAACACCTCTATGATATCTAGAGCTCCTTAAATAAATGAGTTGGTAACATAAGCTTTCTCCAGTCAATTTCCTTGGATCTCCATAAGACAGGTACCTGTCTCAGAGAGAGTTAACTGTGATAATGAACACAAGACAGGCTGTATATATAGCCATCCTGGCTGAACATTTAGCTCAGCCAATAAAAGAGTTATCACATGGTCAAGAAAACATTTTTCTTATAGGACAAAGACGGGTACCTTGATCTTCCTAGATAAGTCTAGGAAGATTGAAGGACCTGGGCTTGGAGGTAGCCAATCAGAACACAGGATTTGCTACAGCTTGCCAACTAGCTTGCAAAAGCAGAATATACATGTACTTATGTAACAATTACTGAATGAGGATGAGTATCTTATGAAGAATTATGGAGATCGGCCATACGGCCTATGGCTTCGACAGATAACACCCTCCGAGATCTCTATAATTCTTCATATGATACGAAAGCCAAATTCAATAATTGTTTTATTATTCATTCAAAATAATTCCTAGTTTAAAAACGCAGCTAAAACATGCTTACCTCCATCGATCCATCAATCGATAGTGCGTGTTTAGGATTTGTTCAGCTCTGCAAATATTCTCCAAATAGGAGATGTCGCCCCTCAAGTTGTCTTCTTGCTGTTTTTGCCATGTTTTTAGCTATTATTTTGCTTAGTTCTTACTCTTGAAATGAGTGAACTGTCCGCCATTTTCGTTCTCACAACCAAAACAACTCAACCTCATCCCCAGGTCTTCTTGGTTAACAGTGCATTAACCTGCAAAAAAGCTGCACTTTTGATGTCATCGGTTCATTAAATGCAAAATTCTTCCAAATTTGGTCATCAATAGCTGGTTATGGTGAATTATGCGTGTGCTTTTAGCCAATCAGAATCGGGGAAATGTTTTGAATGAACAATTTAAAAATCATTAAACTATTAGTTTAACTTGCTAAGAAACTTCTCCACGTTGTCATGGAATTCATCACTATTCTTCAAATAGCAGGCATGCCCAGCATCTTTGATGATATGGATTATATGTCCACGGATATTACTTAGCCTTTGCAAGGACGAAAGTCCCAATGTTTCGTCGTTTCCACCATACACAATGAGAGTCGGTAACTCAAGGTTTTCATAATCATCTTTAGTGTATTTCTCTGTGCCCACTGGAGCTACAGGGACGTATCCCCGCAGATTTCGGCCTTTTTCACCTTGAAAAATAAAAGGCAACGAGTATGAACCGCTCATAGAAGGCGACACGATCACAGGCCGTTCAATATGAAGCTTCTCGATGACCTCGTTCAGAAACTTTGCTCGTTCTTCAGATGTCTTCGGGATATTTGCATATTCCATCGATTTCATGTAACCAGGCAGGTCTAGAGCCACCACGTCGTAATTTTTGGCTCGTAGAAACTTTAAAGTACCGAGATCATCCCAGGTTTGGGAAGAGAAAGCTTGACCATGAAGCAACAAGACTGTGAAGCGTCCCCCATTTTTGGGAGTTTCTCTTCGATAGTAAATTCTGTTTGCTTCTCCTTCTAATTCGAGGTACCCTTCGGCTGGGAACTCCATAATATTTTCAGTTGGCGAAAGGAGAAAGTAAAGTAAAAGTATACCTAACGCTAGAGATATACCAATAATTACTCTCCAATTGATTGTGAAAGGAGAAATGCGACCGACTTTCATGTAATCTGCAGATTTCGCAGCTATAGGTGCCACAAAAACACTTGACATAGTCACGCGAGCGTGATTGTTCGCATATAACCTTCGCCGCACTTCCCTCCGTGTTTTAACGAGAAGGGCCTGGGGACGAGGTGGGAAGCGCGATTTGATTGGTCAACAACCTGTTTTTTTTGTTTTTTGATTTACATGTAATTCTTCGTGAAAATTAGATTAATTACATGAATGTTTTACAAATCTTTAAAATAACCTTGGTTACAATTAAAGTCCAATAAATGGGAAGCTGTTATGCAAAAAACAAAACAAAAAAAACAAATCCAGATGGGAAGAGAGCCTGTATTGTAATCAAAAAGAAAAATATACATGTAGGCACATGTAGGCCAAGTTTCCCTGTTTAAGTCATAATCCCATGAGGACAGAAATACCGGTAAGGTCAACGAAGATGACAAATTTTAATTTTTTCCAGTACTGCCCTTGTGCAGCTCCCGAACCTACCCCGGAACAACAACCCACCCCCACTCCCCCCGCCTAGCCTGCGTGGCAGGCGCGCGAAAGGGCTTGGGAAGGGTCAATGGGAAGTAGACTACGAGCAGCCTCTCTTTTTTCTGTAGTCCGTCGAGCAAAACGCGAGAAACACAAATGGCCACGCGCGTGACTGATGGCGCGAGACGGGAGAGGCACGAAAAAAGAGAGACTACCCGCAAAGCCAGGGAGAATGGTCCTTCACGGTCTAGTGATTTTTTGGCGTCAAAACTGAAGTGCTGACAGGCCAGGCACGTGAAACGTGACCTTAGAGTTTGCTTGAACAACAGATGTTTTTTTTACTTTTCTTTTCAAAGTGCAGCTTATGCAGTGCATAGAGTTACAGTCGATTCTAAGCTAATTGACTGAGCAAATCTTAATTTTGGCCGCTGGTCTCACATTTAGAGGTCATGAAGCTGGTCTGTTTCTCTTATATTAATAATTCATTTCCTGTGCTTTATGTTTTGAATGAGATCACCCGTGGCCTAGTTCTTGTTTGCAGGATGTTGAATTTTCACGGGACAGTGTTCTACATATCCTAATTGTAGCTTAACTAAAGCTAAGCCAATGCTGCAAGTCACTCAAGATCATTCTTTGGGCGCCGATTTGTTTTTTTGTTTTTTCTTTCTTTCTTGAGAATCTTTGTTCTATAGCGGGATGTCCTGTAGTGCATCCGTTGGTAATTACTATTGTTTTAGCTTTATAAAATAAACAGTCTAAGAGTCTTCCAGTCTATGCTACTTTCTGTTTTAAGTTCTAAAGTAAGACTACCGTTTTGGAACTAAAGCCTTCCTTGACAGTGAAGAGAGGCTTTGAGCATTTAATTGCGAGATCACGTCACGTACCCGGAGAGATGAGACTTTCTTATGCTTCTCTCTGCTCCGTATCTAATGTTTTTTTTTTTCGGGAAACGTGACAAACTTTCCTGCAGTGCTTCAGACATCATCAACTTGTCAATGGTTTCGATTGTTGACAGTTTGTTGTCAACGCTTCACAAATCAGCCAATCGTATTTTGCGTTGTGAGGCCAACGCTTAATTCATTGGCTCTGGCTAAGCGGGCAGTCTCTCTTTTTTCTTCTCGGGCTGCCGCCCTCGTTTCGCGCGTCTCGCGGCTTCGCCGCTCCCGCGCGCGTGCATTGCTCTCACTAAATCTGAAGAAAAAGAGAGACTGCTCGCAGTCTAAATGGGAAGGGACCCATCAGGCTGGATGTATTTACAAACAACTGAACATGGCGAATTTAGCACTCAGTGTTACGGTTAAATGGAAATTTGTCATCGCTTTGGTTGTTGTTCTAGGGCTGGCTGTCTTGTTTTTGTATTCCTCTTTTTGGAAGAATTGGGGGACTACATCTTCGGCTGAAATTCCCGAGAATGCCGAAAGCATTCACACAAAGGACGAAAACGTGCAGCAGAAATATCTGGATTGGAACGGCGTCGACAAAGGGATATTTTATCGGAAGATTGTTCCCGAAAACTCTAAATTTCCGGTTTTGTTCTTGCATGGGGCAAGGTTTACGTCTAAAGTTTGGCAGGAAATTGGAACATTGAAGGCACTGAGCTCTCAGGGGTACACAGTAGTCGCGGTGGATTTGCCAAAACATGGCGATTCTGAAAAAGTTAAAGAACCTTCTGACGATAATGGGAGAATTGAGTTTTTAGGACAGTTAATAAAGAGGCTAGAGTTAGAAAGGCCAGTACTTGTTGCTCCATCTATGAGTGGGTCGTATGCATTGCCTTTTGTAATGAACGAAAAAGACAAAGAAGAAGTACGTGGCTTTGTTCCAATTGCCCCCGCTGCAGTTGCAAAATACACTGATGAAGATCTAAAGGGACTTAAACTTCCCACTTTGATAGTATACGGGGAGAAAGACATTACCTTTACGGGGTATGTGGATAAAATGAAAGAGATCCCAGGCAGTGAAGTTTTCATGATGAAAGATGCTAGTCACCCTTGTTACCTTGACAACCCAGCGGAATTTCATAAAAGAGTGGTAGAGTTCCTTGACAAGTTACTGGAAAAATGAATGTTACCTTGACTAACCTGCATAACAGGCACTTTATGAGCCAAGAAAGGCTAATGCGGCATTTCGCAGGCGGCCCGAGTCATTAAGCACCTGCTATGCAGGCTATACCTTGACTACTTAGCCTGTGCAGCTGATGGAATTAGTCCTTTTGTGAGTGAGGTTTTGGGGGCATAGCCTCATTCAATACACAACTCTATGTAAAACAGTTATGCAGGCCATTGACGACTTTGAAGTCCAAGGGCAGATGTCAAAACTTACCGGGATGTCCTCAGCATAGTTACTTATTTGCTAGTACTTCAACTTCATGTACAGTACAATAATGGTAAGGGCTCCTTTTCAGGAAACGAGCGTAGTATTTTGCAATGAGGGGAGTTATTGGTTTCATGAAACAATGTATAATGCCCCTAACCGTAATAATAAACACTAAGTGTTATCAGCCTCAGTCTTTGGCCTCAGTTGGTAACACTTGATTATTTGCCTGGGTACACTAAACGGACCGAGGTGTGCCGCTGAGGCCTTGATCCAAGTTAAGACAAGAATTGCTCATTATTTACTACCCATTAAAGGACAAGGGAACTTATTTTATGACACTGATTCATTCCATACAGAATTAAGTCATCTTTCATGTGAATTTTTGGAAAGAAATTGTTTTAACCACACATGTAGAATACCTGCTCATCACTAGCCTTCACACTCTTGAAAAGGCTTCTTTTCCAAGAAGGTACCATGATCTAGATGCTAAATAGTGAAATTGTTGGCCTGCAATAACTGCTGTAGTCTCTCCTTTCTCCTTGCTGCTATGGACCTTTCATGGGAAAGATATTTAGTGATTCAGCCCCCAAAAACTCCATACTGATGATGTGAATCAATGTTTACATCATTAATCTGGTAGTCATGGGGTTCCAGATATAAACTTAATCGAGTTTGTTTCTCCTGGTGTATTAGTGTAAAGCTTTGAGTTCTTCTGCCAAGGGGCAGAAGCAAAACTCAAAGCTTCTTGTAAAGAAGAAAGAGGAGAGAGCATCAGCTGGGGGCACCCAACTCATAGAGGTGGTAATAATTGGGTTTGATCATCATAATAAATTAACTGATTGCGTTCGGAAGGCTAAGGCCCAGTTCAAACGTAAAACCTTTCATGTACCAAACTAATCCCTTCGGTCTGATTTGGGTTGACCCATGAATTTAGTTCGAGTGGCCCACGTGGGAATTTCGACTATGGAGCAATTTCGTTTCATACGTCAAACTTTGCATGTGCCAAATCTAATGCATAAATTACTTTGATAATATTAAATTATTATTATTATTATTATTATTTCGACTGGTAAGCATTGTAGATCATTGTACCTCCTGAAAATGAATCAGGTCTGACTAATGAGGTTCAACCTTTGAATCAACCGTCAAACTTACGGTATATCATTTGTGTCACCATTAAAGGTATTAAGTTCTGTAAATGAAAAGTTTGAATTTTGAACTGGGTCTAATATCCAGCAGATAGCAAGCATGCTGTCGTATTTAATTTCCATTTCTAGAGTGTTAAATTAAAGTGGTGCCTGAATGGTCTCAAATATGGCCAATATCTGCAGATAAGTTTTTTGGCAAAAATTCATTTTTGAATGAGAAGTGTTAGCAAAAAAAGAATTATACATGTCATAGCAAGCACACAGCAACACTCTTATTGTTCTCTGACTAACTGTAAGCAAAATTTTGAAGAAGTTAAGGTGGCCATGAGCAAATCTTTGTTTAAATTTTAGATCTTCATCTTTCACTTTGGAACAAATTTCAAATCAGCATAAACACATTCTTTTTGCTTTCCCCCACCTATCCTCTTTGCCTTTTCGTGGTCGTACATAAGGCCTCTCCTTTTGCTGTACTTAGTATGAAAAAGATAATCCACATTTTTATTGCATAATTATTTTTAGTAATAAATTAAGTTTATTGTACACAAAAGTAAAAGCAATAATTATTATTACAAACTATTCAAGTCTTTAAAAATAAGTCATCATTGTTGTGAGTAGCAGGCCTGTAAAGTTTGTAAAAACAAACAACGTTTCTAATTGCTAAAAAAACTAGTTCCATAGGCGAATCATAGCATAATATTATTTTAAGGTTACCAGTCAGTATCAGTAATGTGTATTATCACTGTATTTGAACTGTAAAAAATTAACCAGTTTGTGTGCTAGGAAATGTTCTACTATTCACCATTCAAAAGGTTTTGATTGCAAAATTTGACTTTGGATCCGAAAAATTACTGGACTTTTCAAGAAACGGGCACCATGTGTCTGCCAATAAACTGGGAGTCAGGGAAAAAACTGACAAAAATCAAGGACGTCATGAGCACTATGTTTCGTCTGACTTATAAAGGTGACTGTTGAGAGAGCTGACTGTATGGTGTTTAATGACAAACAGTCCCTAACAAAAATAACAATGCTACATGTACATACATGTTCTACTAAGTCTTATAGTTGCAACATCATTCAACAGAATTTAATACTGAATGATGTTTAACCAAGTTACATGATTGTACTCACTTTGGAATCTCATTAGACACAAAGTTCTAAAATGATGTTTCCCCATAAGGATACCACTTTATGTTAAAACTGACTTTGCACCCATTTGGCAGACAAATTTACATTTAACTGCCAGTATTATTTTATTCTTATTTAAAGGTAATTTGTCAGAAAGAAGTTGTAGCTATGGATATCCAAATAGGTGAATAAATGGCTCTCCTGTGGTGAGAATTACTTTGCAGGATGAAGTGGTTCTGATTGTCCAGATTCTCCCTTAACCACCACTGAATTTGAAAAAAAATTTCAGTGCCTTTAAGCCACACAGTAAATTTTTCAGTTTTCTCACTGCCATCAAGTTTGGAGTAAAACTATCAATTACTTGAGGATTTGCTCTTGTTTAATAGTGAAAAGAGTTCATCAGCGTCTTCCGCAGTCTTCACTCGAATTAAATATGTTGCTGGTTTGCTGTTGTCACCCTCGCTGGGTTTGGAATACAAGGGAGGGTTTGGAACACACATCAAGATCACGTTGTTCTTTCCTGAACGTGTGATAGGTGTGCTTTCAGCCAGATAAATATTTAAAAGAATCTTCCCCAGTGTTGTGTCATTTCGTACCAGCACTTGTGTTTTTCCCTCCAGTTTCTTCAGGTTAAGCATGCCAATTCCCAATTCAGACCATGATGAATCACGCTTAAAAAACATCTTGCACTTTATGGAATGAAATGCCCCTTCCTCGGCAACTACAACACTAAAGCACAATAAAACAAATTCAGTAGCTGTGAGCAAGAAGAAAGAGTAGACATGGGTGAGGAGAAGAGTGGGGGACTCTTTGACAGAGAAGAAGATAGAAGGAAAAGGAGATGAAACTTGGGGAAAAGAGGAGTGAAAATGACACTTGTGAACAAGTGGGAGCAGGGAAACTGAAGGAAAAAAATTCATAATCATGTCACATGTAAATGTGGGTGAAGCTGTCCTCCAAGAACAACGAAAAAAACGTGGGATGGAGAGAAAGGATAGAAGGAATGGGAAACAGGAAAGAAGGACAAGGGGACAGCTGTGAGAAGACAAGGGCAGGAGCTTGGAGAAGAAAGGGTTAAGATCCAAGAGCAAAACCAAATAAACTAGTCCAGAGTGAAAGAAGTGCTTGCATTGGAACAGAGAGTGATGTGTGTGGGAAATAATAGACTTGAGGGGCGGGCAGGGGGGGGGATTGAAGCACAAGGGTGGGAACTGGAAGACAAAAAGCAGGGTTTATCTTAGAAATTGGCCAACGAGGGTCAAATGGGCCCCCTTCTGTAATTTTAAGGAGAACTTTTTTTAAAAAAGGGGGGGTCTTAGAAAGGGGGTCCCCTAAAAAGGTATTTGAACTTATTGGTACAGACTGTTCCATGAGAAAACTGTGAAATGAAATTATAATTTACAGACTGAAACATGAGGTTAAAGTTACATACTGAACATGAGGTTAAAATGACTAAATGCTTTAACGTAAACGAAAAGCTTCTTTGCTACATATACATGTATTCAGTGCTTTCATCCAACATTAGGATGAATAATTTTGTCCCTTTAAGGCCACAAGTTTTAAGGAAAAAAGTCACTGTGATTCATGATTCACATTGTGGCTTTTCTACTCTCCTGTTCTCTTTTGTATGCCATACATGACAGACCTCATGAAAATCAAATCTCAACTCTCAAATCTCAACTCAAAGATCAACTCTCCTAACCTGTTCCTTAGGGCCGTTTTTGTTTAATTCTGGTCACTGAAACCACGCTAACACCAGTAGAGTTGTGAGTTAGGGAATTCTGGCGCATGGTGCTCCCGTATTATTCTTCAAGTGGGGAGGTCTCCAGTTGGGTATTGCTGAATTTTCACAAGGATTCTTAGATGGCTCTCCTTGGGTCAATTTTTTTTGTGTGCCCCATTTGATGCGGCAATGTAAATTTTATGCAGCATGCCGCATTTTTATCCAAATTGCAGAAATCCCGGAAGGCCACGCTCTAGAATATACCCTGCAAAGGTAAGATATGGCAGTGGGAACTGGGAGAAATGGGGGTGGGAAATTAATACATGAACAGCTGTAGGAGAGAAGAGCTGAGAATGATTGGAATGAAAAATGGGAAAACAAGAGGGTAACACATGCAGAACCTAGGAGAGATACATGTAATATTATTATATGATAGAAATGGTGTACACGGAGCAGAAGGAGATGAGGTGGTCAGTGGAGAATCAGATAATTTTGTGGATCATGTGGAAGAGCTGGTGTTGGGATTTGGAAGAAATAGAGATTTGGCAGAGACATCTGGCAAAGAAAGTACATGCGCATGTATACAAGAGCTTCACATTATTTTTAACTTTTCTGCTGCAAATTTTCACAACCATACATGTACAGTGTATGTTCTTCAAGAAATGTACCTTCGTGGTTTGGGAACTTCATCTTCATTAGTCTCTTCTCCTGAAGTTCCAGCCACAGCTTCCTGTCCAGTACTTTGTGTTTCTACGAACAAAACATTTTTGTCAATACTTAAATTAGCATAACTTTCGAGGGATTTAATTAGCTTTTAATGTCAAAACCCAAAGATAATCATAGATTTGCCACGACATTTAGTCAAGAAAAAATTTGAAGGAACACACGGAAAAAATTCCTAAGTAATTTTCTGAGAAATTGCCACATTCTTGTGTTCCAAATTACCTTCCCTAAAGCATAGGGGGAATTGATATCTGACAAAAGTCTTGCTCCATACTCCCTTTCAATTTATCATCATGATAATTTCATTACTATTTTATACAATAATAATATGATATGTCAACAAGTGTGGAAAGCTTCTATTTGTTAAAACTGTTAGAAGTCCTTACTAAAGTGTAGTATTAAAACCCTATTATTACAAAAAGCAGAGAATAATAAGCTACAGCCTGCATTAGTTACGGGGTAGCTCTCTTATAATAAATGCCCCCTTTCTAATAGACACCCCCTATATGACAATTACTCCAAAATACTATGAATCAGCAAAAAAGGAAAAAAAATCCTTCAATTCATTCAGTTTTTGGCTTGATTAGCAAGGGTTTGGATAATTATTGTCTTGTTCAATGTCTAGTTCAAAGTAACGATAGCCTAACAAAAACAACAATCTCTCGACAGCTTAGACATATCAAAAACATTGACAGAGTGGATATTCTATTATTTTTAAACCCTCTTGATATTTTGACCAAAAGCATTATCATTAGTTTTGTTGAGCTTCTTACAGTTATGAGAATGAACATTTCTCTCTTTTAAATGCCCGCTATGTATCAAACACCCCCTCTTGGACCCCTAAAGTAAAATAAAAACCCTGGGAGTCTATTAGATCATTAATTTTTGGTAGAACCATAAAGAACCTTTTAGCCAATCGATAATAAATTGGCCAAATAATAAATAATTGGCTGAAAGCCCTGCTGCTGTTTAAATTCATATACATGTAGTTTTCAAAACAAGTTTGTCATGCTCACCTGAATTGTTTGCATCTGATTTGTTTTCCTCTGATGTGTGTGGTGGCTGAGATGGAGCAGTGAAGAGCGAAGGTGTTGTTACAAGTTGTGTTGATGAGCTTGTTTCTGCAGGTGATGGATTGGACATTGTAACTATCTCTTTTGCTGCAAGGGTGTCTGTCTGCTTCCCAGTTCCAGAAAACTTCTGGTCAATGTTCTTCATGTGTTCCTTATAGTCATTAAATATTGGTGTTAAGTCCACATATGGGTTCAATTTTATGTGTTTCTGGATCCATGAAGAAACACTTTCATTTAAAGCCTTGATGTTGTCATTATAAGAACTGCTAAATTCTTTAGCTGCTTGTGAGTTTTCTGTAGAGATAGCTTTGAACCCATTTTGATTGTTACTACTGCCAAAGGAAAGGCTAGGTGTGGTATTAGTAGATGTAGATGTTGCACTGCTGAACATATTTGATGAGCTTGAAGAAAGACTTGATATTCCAGTTAAAGGCTTGAAGGCGAGAGAGCTGGAGCCAAAACCCTTGGTGTTGCTGTTCAAGCCAGCAAATCCTGAGAAGCCTTGAAAAATGCCACCACCCTAGCAGTGAAGAAAAAAACACAACAAAAACTCACTTACACAGATCACGCATATTAACATGTTGAACTTTACTAGGGAGTGCTCCGAGCTCATAAATAAATGTTGTTGACAAAATTAATACAAATGTACACATTTAGGAATGTAAAACCTTTGGTGTTTTCTTTTCAATGGACTCATGTGAGGCTCTAAAAAACTGATAATCCTTTTCTAATATATTTTGTACATGTCTGTTGTGTTCTAAGAGACAGCACCACATCTGTCCTTAATTCTGTCTATTGGTTTGTGGGAGTTTTGTTTCATTCACCAGGGTTCATACAAAACATTGCCCCCCCCAGTTTTCAAGTACTTTTCAAGTACCACATCAAATTTTCAAGGACCAACTACCAGGAATGTAATTTTGACAGATGGTACATAAATGCACATTTCCCAGTCTGAGATAAGAGAATTTTAGGCCCTCAAGTGTTCGCCCCATCTCCTTCTCGAAATATTTCTGTCTTTGTTCAATATAAACGAGCATTAATTTGATTATTCCTGATGATTAATTTTGAAATCTTGGCTGATAGCCTATACATTTCTATTTAAAGGTAGTCCTTCTGATTGGTTGTGCTGTGAGGGAATTTGTTTCAACCAATCAGAAGCACTATGTCAGCAGCTTGAAGTTTTGCTTAGTTGTTCCTCAGCAGCGTGCAAAGAAAGTCGTGTCTGATAGCCCGTGATTTATCCGGTGGATAGCGCTATCCAACGTTTGAACAACCTGGGCCAGATAAATCATTATCCAGCGGATAACGCAATGGTTTCCCTAACATTTATCCGGTGGATAGCACTATCCAGCGTTTGAACAACCAGAGCCTGATGGATAACGCTATCCAACTTTTGAACAATTGGGACCAGGACTGAAAAACAATGAGGGATTACTCTTAACAATGTACAGATGTACTGTGATCACATTGTCCTAGCCCATCTTAACATACCTGTTTATCTGGGTTTACCGGTACTCGTCTTTTAGCCTTGATAATCCTTCAATATGAAAATAACAGAGAGCTCTCATGTGGTATCGAATACATTAGTAAAGGGCAAGTAGACTAACTGTTCTAGTCAACTGCATCCTCAATTCATCAAAAGTTGACTTTGAAGTGATTTATCAAAAAAAATGACCTACAAAATTCTGTTGTTCACTCACTTTCTTTTGCTTAAATCTTCACTGGATGCGACCTTGAAATGTCCGGCCTGCGGAGATATTGTCATCAGAAATTAGCTAATTAATAACAAAATCTGCGCGCCGGCCATGCTGTCGACCACACCAGAAACATTCAGATTTGCGACTGTCTCGCGAAAAAGGCAGAGTACTAATTTCAAATGAAGGAAAAATAAGCATAGAAATTTTTAAGCTTAAAACGTTTAACCACCTCTTCTTCTTCGTCTTCCTGATCCCAGTTTTCTTGCGTTAGCTCTCTCTCTGCAACTCTCTTCGCCATTTTGATCTGCAACTGACCACCTCGCTTTGGACATGCGCCACCGGTTGTAGGGGCATAGAATATTCCGTAGGAAAATTTAGCATATCCGGTTATCTTTATAAACAAAAACAAAGCAGATCAGCGTTTTAAAACTACCCCTCCGCGCAAGTAAGGGATTATTTTACCAGCTTTCAAATTTTCTTGCTTGCGCAAGAAAACCAAACAGTTATTCACCTGATTCACTTGCCTGCGATAAACGAGAAGAAATTTTGCGGTCCCCATCACAATAATACCCTCAGGGTTATTCAAGTTCGTGGCGGCTGCGAGCCCCTTCATCCGGGCATTTGCAAGTGCTGCTCTCTCGTTGGCTGAGCGTATTTGGCCATTTCATTGCATTTCTCTTGAGAGAGCGTATACATGGTACCCCTCAGAAGTTTAACCTTTTAGAAAGAACGAAAATCCCCGGAAAGAAGCAGCGTTTATCGGTCATGGAGTTGGAAAAATTGCGAGCGCAGTTGAAAAGCCAACTTCAACAACATCAGGTAGGGAATTTTCTCCTTCGCACTGCTCTGACAAACTATCTCCACAACTGTTATTTGCATGCTGATGAGCCAAGGTTTTTGCGATATTCTAACTACTGAATGTTCATTTATATCGCGCTGTTGTCGTTCTTAACTTTGTTGAACAATTATATTGGTACTCTACACCACAACATGTAAGCTTGTAAATTCTAGGACGGCTTTTTCGTCGCCATAAATAACTCTAGGAATTCTTCGAACTCAAGCGAACCGGCTACATATTTAATCAATTCAACTTGAGCGGCAGACAGCCTCCTCTATTCGACTTTACTTGAACTTGTTTCGAATGGCGTTATTTTCTACGAACAGCTTTATTTCGTTCAAGACTTAATTTTCTCGTCATTTTGTTCTCATTTTTTGTAGGTTCTTATTCAACAGATCAAAACAGACCCACAGGTAAACATATTTCGCTTCTTTTATAATCAGAATGTTTCAGTGTGTTGGGTTTCAATTGTTTTGCCCTGGCGTAGTTTTTATGAAATATTTTTCTAACCCAAATATCTCTCTTCTACAGAATCCAGACCTTCAGAAAAAGTTGCAGAGTCTACAGGCACATATAACCAGCTTAAGCGAGCAGCAGGTAGCACTTTGCGTTCCAACATATATTTTTGGGAACAAAATATTAGTGGGTACATGAAAAATCACATGCAAATATAGGGAAAGAGTTTTGGTCTCCCCATGCAAAGAGGGTGGTAAAAAATTAAAATTCAGGGTATTCATTTCTTTGAACAACCAATCAGAAAACGCCAAAATCCCGTGAGACTTGTTACAGGTGTGACATGGCGGAAAGAAAGAGCTTCTTTGCCGCGAAATCTCGCCAAGTTTTAGCGTATATTTTCCGGTAAAAAGAAAAATCTTACTTCGAGTGATAATTTCGAAAGTTTGAACTTAAGTCAAGGTTGAAGATATTTGTTTTCGTTTTCTTTTTTTCGCCGAGGTCGCTTTTGTCGGCGGAAGTGATATCATAGTTTTTTTGGTTTTCGTTTTTTTATCGTCAAATTATTTCCGTGTCAAGGATTTAAATGATGTTTGGGTTTAAAGAAGTTTTTTAAAGTGGAGACCAGTGATTTTCAGTGATGCGTGTAAAGTGGGTTTTTTTTAGCTTCCTCGCAAACAATTCTGGTTGTGTTACTTTTTCTTTGGATCATTTGCATATTTTCACAGCAAACATGCCAGAATTTAATAGTGTTATTAGTTCTTCCTTTTCAGGAGTGAAAAAAAAAAAGAATAAATAATTTTTTAAAAAATTTCTCTCCTCCTGCTAAATTAGAGCATCACACTTGTGTGCAGCAAAATTAAAAAATACCAAATGATCATCACATTGGGTATAAAAGCCCATTGCATTTTCCCAATGGCATTTTTTTTGTTTTTTTGTTTTTTATATTGCTAATTGCAACAGCTATTTTACGCTGCAAAGGAATCCACCCAGTAATATTATTATTTTTTGTAAGTTAGTACTGATGAAAGAAAATTGTAGGCCCCTTGGAAAATTCATCTTGAGGTTACGTGCATGTGAATCTGGATGTATTTGAACTGCATGTAATAATTGTATGAACCTTTCATCCACACAAAACTAGTCAATCTCGTTGGTCTTTGTTACTTTGAGTTGCACAGATCTAAAATACATAATAGATTTAAAGTAAAAAGATTTTCCGCGCGGATTATAACGGATCATCGATCGGTTGGGTAAATTCTATCATTTCTGGTGATTGATTTTAAATTATTAGCTGATTCCCAGCACTAGGCTTGAGTGCAGTTTATTGACACACTGTAGACTTATTTTTTATTGACATGTGATATAAAGAAAGCTATGCCTTTTTGGTCTTTATTTGTCAGTTACCTGCTCTAAGTTATTTGTTAGTTTATTATTATATTTATATGGTACATGTGCATTTGTATGCAACTACTGTCAACATGAATATGTATCTCAAAGAAATGGTTATTATCATGGTGAAATGTCTTGTAATGTTTAATTTCAGAGTCATGTTGTAAAGCAGCTGAGGCAAGAACTAATCAATAAAACTGAACTCAGAACTGAGGTATGCCACTGGGCATGGCACAGGTTACAATATAAAATAATTTTATTTTTGCCGTTAATCCTGGGGGCGGGGTGGAGGGCTTATTTTAGAGTGTGAGGCAGGTTAAGCTTAACAAAGATGAAATAAAAAGTGGAAACGCTCATTAGCATGCACATGAAATTGGAGGTTATGCAGCAGAAGATCACAAATAAATCTGAACTTTGAGCATATGAATAAACCATACCAGATCAGTCCATATAAAGTGTTATCGTCATGATTAAATTCTGTTATTTAAGAGTAAGGGGGAAGGGTGGGGGGCTTGAAAGATAAGGAGGCTTAATAACTTTCTTCCCCTGAAAATGGGGATGTATTGTAGTGGGGATGGCCTAATTTTGCGAGGGAGGACTTAATAGAGGGTTTAATATAGTATATTCTTGTTATAATGTTGAAGGCTTGTTTGTGCAGTGCTTATAATGCTTCAGATGCTTTTCATTCACATACATGTAGGCTTTTACTTGCAACAGTACCCAGCTTACACCTTTGAGGAAACTCTTGAATTTTATTTTGTAAAGTACTGAAAAATAGACATTGTCTATAACAGTATGAAATTACTACTCAAGGGGTTTTATTTGAATAGCTTCACCAAAGGATTTTTGCCCATTTGTGTAGAAAGGTCTAGGATTTTCTGCACCATAATGTATTAGTAAATTCGATTCTCCTGATATTGCAGCCTGGTATACTGTAGTTTGTTGTTTTGTGATTGTCCGTGGCTGAGGATTGTGCTGGATACCCAGTTACATTAAAGTTAGATTCTGCTTTATTCTAATAGGCTAATCTCTGTAGTTGTCATCAAAAGAAGTCAGGAAATTATGAAACGAAACTTGGGGTAGTCCTGCCTGGTAGTCAGTTGTTTATAAAAAAATATTACTTTAAGTTTAAAACATTTTCCCAAAATTTAATGTTTTATACTCATCAAAACTGATCAATATACTGTAAAATTCTCCTGACAAACTTCTGTGGTGTTGGAACAAAGTGAGAATTTGGAATTCATGAATTACATGAAAACTTAAGTTAAGGGCATTATGCCATCCACCAACCCTCCAATTTAAAGTTTTTGCTTGGTCGCCATTTGGCAACCAACTCTTTTGGTTTAGGGAGACTTTTACAAATCAAGGTGCAAGCTCCAAAATTTTAGGCACCATGGCGACCAAAATGGTTGCAACTTGGAGGGTATGTCCACCCCTATATTTTTTCTTTGAATGCTAGTACTGTAACGTTGTGGCTTTGTACAGCAACAATCGGGTCTTGTAAACATAAACAAACGATACTTTTAATCCATAAGTTGGTTCACTAAAGACTCCTGTACAAGATCGCGAGCACATGTAAAATCTGGCATCCTATTGGATAACAACTATCATGTGACGTTACAAGTACTTGTGAAGTAATATATTTTGTCCGCTTCATTTTAAACACTCCAATAATTTACTGTCATTCTGCTTTATTTTATTTCAGGAAAATACTATGAAGTCACCACTTGGTGACAACAACTCAAGTAACATCACATCCCTTGAGAGCAAAGAATCCACATTTCCTGTGAATAAGCCTCTCATCAAATTAGAACCTTCAACCAAAATGGAACTTCCAATAAAAACTGAACCTGTGGATGTTAAACCGGTTAAACTGGTCCAACCGCAGAAGCCACTTCCAATCCAGCTTCCGCGAATTAAACCCAAGCCTCCTCCAGTTGTGATTGTATCCTCGCAGGTATAATTAACTGTTACAAAACATTAAACTAGGCAACAAAAACATGCAAATTGTTCTGTCACATTGCTGCAAAGTGATTTGAATACCTGTAGCTAATTGTTGCACTTATAGCCACCCAAGAATCAAACCTGTCTTGCACAAAAATCAGGTTGTTGAAGTTTGCCAAGGTCCACATCAGCCTATGGCTACCTTTCTAAACCTCCTCAAATAAAGTATGTTTGTATTGTATGTTGTTGCTGAAAGTACTGTATGACTAGAGAGTAGTTCTACTTTTTTGCAACCAAATCTCAGTGTACAGGTTGCATGTATTACTGGCCCAAGGCAAGCTTGTTTTGCAGCAAGTTATGCAATTTGCAACACCCTAATTTGTTGCAAGACAACTTAGATTTCATATGGTTGGTAAAATGCACAACATAGCTTTTTGACTCATTTCTCAGCAATGACTTTTTTGCAAAACAAGTTGCATGTTTCCGTTGCCTGCTTTACTGTAGCTTTAAAGAAAATCTTTATTATGTCAAGCCAAGTAATATGCATAGAACAGGGTTCGCACAGTCTTGAAAAGTCCTTGAATTTTAGGGGAAGTCCTTGAAAAGTCCTTGAATTCCATTTGTCCTTGAAAAGTCCTTAAATTTCTGTGCAAGTCCTTGAAAAGAGCTTGAATTTTCTTCAACTTTGAATGTAGTAGCCTGGAAAGAATTTTTTGATGCTTTTTGGTTGTCCAAGACAGAATATAAATCGTAGCTCAGTGAATGTAAAGGTCATTTACATAAAGTGCTCCATGTTTTATGCAATAATTAACTATCAGTTTAAGACAAGTGAACTGAAAAATGTAGAGAATTTGGTGAAGCAAACAGTTAAAACCTTAAAGTCTTGTTAGAATATACTGGGAATATATGCATTTTTGTATAATCTGTGAAATTATATTCCTAGTAGGTTGTCCTTGAAAATCTAACGTGGTCCTTGAAAAGTCCTTGAAAAGTCCTTGAAAAATGGTTGCAATTTTTTGTATGAACCCTGTAGAAAAGAAAAGAAACAATAAATTGTACCTTGTATATTGTTGTTGTTACTTGGGTGAATCTGCATGTGTGCCAAACTCAGCCATATCTGGAGATTTGGGTAAGAAGGGAAATTTGGGTTGCCATATTACCTCCTTATTCGAAAGGTGGATAGCACTATCCACTGGTTAAATTGCCAATCCACTGGATAGCGCAATTGGTTTTCATAATATCCAGCTTTTGAATAACCAGGGCCAGGATTGCAGTGGCTTTTATGCTCTATCCTGTACTCTCCTCGGCTGGAATTTAGCCCCTGCCTTTCCTAAAATTCAAAGAAATTGAAGTGCATGTCGTAATGTACAGTATTGAGAAGCTGATGTTCAAGTTCTAGCTCTTTGTCAGTAACAAAAATTTTGTTATTTTATTTATTGTTCAGCATGGAAACATTGAGTTCTCTGGTCAAAGTGTGTCACCAGTGCATATGGGTTCAGCAGTGTTCACTACTGTAAAGTCAGTTCAGTCGCAGGTTGGAAACCCAATCAGAGTACCTACTCATTACCAGCCGAATAATAAAGCCAGACCTGGTGCTATTAGGTATAGCGGAAGACCTTTTACTTCACATCATCTTCAACCAATTCTTCCTCGTCCTGCCATAGAAAACAAATTTACTCCACCACAGAATTTCAACAAACAACCCGAAAAGCCTCTTGAACCTAAGGTAAGGAGATATACAACAAAATATCATGTAGTGAGTTTGTACATTGAAAACCTTATTATAACCTTCTAAGCCCCAAGAGTGGTCAACAACAATTTTCTCCTAACTATATGAAAAGTCATATTGAAGAGAAAAGGTTTTGAGAATCATGAGAATGATCACCAACAATTAATAGTTTTCATCCTTTTGCAAACTCTCGTAACTAATTCTTTGAGAAAATATATGGAGCTGACCAACGGGCTATAAGGTTATGAACTATAAGGTTATAAGGTTATGAACTGCTCAACAGTATATGCATTTTGCCTCTGACTCTAAAGCTCACGGGGTGTACACTATAGCAATCAACCTTTATTGGTGTGATTACATGTACAAATCTAGATGCATTGTGTGTAGAAGTCGAAAATATTGCCCCTGTCTGGATTAGATATACATGTATGATGCTTTGCTTGGTCACGCGGCAGCAATTAAATGAATACATTTGAAATCCTTTGTTATCAGAAAATAATTGATTATTGTCCACTATAGTAATAGGATCATGTACAGCTGTACATTGTACAGCTGTAGTTCAAGAGTTGAAAAAACTACAAGGTAGTTCCTATAATACAGTTGCTGTAGTCATTACCCCTGGTATTCTTTTTCCTTGTGTTCCTTTTGTTTAGAAAATGGAATTCATGGCTGCTTTAGGACTTATAACGCCACAGACACTTATTGGTGAGCAAGCATTTATTGTTCTTGTCATACCGGTAATTAATTTACAGGGCTCAAACTAATTTTTGGAAGGTGGTGGAACATGTCTGACCAGCCAAAGAAGTTTTTGCTTTGTCAAAAAAAAGTTCACTAATAACAGCCTATAACCCCAGTAATTTATCATTTACTTATTCTAGTCATCAACAATCTGTTTAAAAAGTGCCTTAATAGACAAAACAATTTGGCCAAGATAGACAATTTTGTTTCTCTAAATATGTTCAACAGAGTTTAGAGGATGATATAATTAAAATAATGGAATTTTTGACATAAGATTGGAATATTGTGTTCTATACACTTGTTGTCCATTGTCTTACAAATCCTTTTTCATTTTTTTGTTTATTTTTGCCTCCTACAGTGTACATGTTACACATACCTATCTTTACAATGTACATTATTGTATCTTAAGGAAAGGGAGTCAGTCCTGAATGAGGCATAATATATTCAGTTCTCCCTTATTGACACCCTTGCATATATTTGCATCTATTTTTTGTTGCAAATGAAGTTGTTGTAAATAAAGAAATCTGCTACATATAATACTTTGTCTTGGTAACGTGTAAATGTCATTGAATTCTGAAGTGCCTACTACACAAATTTGCTATTACAATGTACAAGAAGGGCTTTCTGATCATTGGTTATTGCGATATTAAATAACCACAAAGAATATCAGCATAAATTATTAAGTAAGTTTGAAGCCCATTATTGGCTAGTGTAAGGGTCATTAAGATTCCTTATTGGAGGTGAGGCATGAAAACTATTTAATACCAGTAGTCAGCTCAACATAAAACAGTGAGATTCAAGAGTTGAATTTTGGCAAGAATTGGGAAGTTTCCGTCCTGTGAGATCTTAACACATAGTAAGAAGGTCATTCAATAGATAAATATTGTAAACAAGTTTTTTTTTTGTTTTAAGATGCTAAGTTACATGTTGGATTTTATATTAATTTTATTCATTAGCAGAAATTTCATATGTCAAAGATGTGAAAGTGTTTGATATTTATATTTGCTTCACTATGAGTCATTATTGTCTGAATTTCAAAAATGTCTCCTAACCTTCATCAAACTGTAAATCATCTTCCTCTGATCTTTGAATCAAGCTAACAGATGCTTTTATGAATGTAGGAATCAATTGTTGTTAATACTGTGTTACTGCTGTAAAATTATCCTCTTTCACTTTGCTTTGTTGTTGATACGAGCAACTGAGTTCATTATTTTTGTACTATTTTGTACTCTAATTGCGTGCTCCAAGAGGGCTTGCATTTTCTTAATTGTTTTGTAAACTTTATTGAATGTTGTTTTGGGTTAATGATGGTGAAGATGATAGAACAATGTTTAGGTTATTGTGGAAATTATATTTTATATTTAATATTACGCTCTTCTGTGTACCCTAGACTTTTCTGGGTTCTGGGTAATAGAACAATAACAGGAATGTTTTTGAGTGGATGAATATTTTTATTTAACAGGGTTGTTTTCTTGGTTTTTCTTTACTTTGCTTTAACATGATCGAGATTTCAGTAACTTGTGGGGGATCTTGTTTATTTAGTAAATGGAGCAAATGTGAAAATTTTGTGAAAGCAATATCATGGTTGTCTTAATACATTGTAGGTGTTATGTCTGTGTAAAACCATACAAAACCGTACAGTCTAGGTAGACTCAAACTGTTGACTTCAAAGTTATCTTTAATCCATAGTATTCAATTTCGTATGGTGATTCAATTCAAGTGAATTACCCACAGTGACTTCTAATCATTAGGATCCTTGTTGCTTATAGAAGTTACATGTGCACGTATTTGACTTTCTCAACAGAACTTCAACTGAAGAGGCAAGAAAGAAAAAGAAGGAGTAATTGTATTTCTCCACAAAATGCACTGGAAATTGACCCAGAGGTATATATTATTGATCAACACTCATGTGTTGATATTATTTAATTTACATGTGCTGGTTATAATTTATAGATCAAAATATCTGCATTGAGGGCTCATAGGATAATAAACTGCATCTCTCAATTCAAATCTATTCTAATCAGTATTGTCTAATATTATTATATTATTAGTTTGTCTAATAATATTACTAAGACAATACTGATATTATTAGTTAACTTTAGTTTTTAAATGGTTTTTACTCTCTGAGCAAGTACAGTGTAAAAATAATAGACATGAGTCTTCATCTCAAGTGCTTGATTCATTCAATAGTTATTTTTTCACTCTATAATGATATTTAGTGTAAATTAAGTGGACCATAAATATTATTATTGATTGTATTATCCCTACTGTGTATTTGCCATACTGGGCTGTTGGTTAGAGTAGAGGGAACTTAGTTAATGAGGTTGCACTGAAATCCTGTTGAAAGTGAATTCAGCAGAGGGTGGCCCAGTGTGCTTATTAAATGTTGACCTCAGTCTCTCTTTTTCCTTGGTCTGTCGAGCAAATGCATGAGACATGCAATTGACCACGTGCATCATGACTGAAGGTGGGAAACGGGAGAGGCACGTAACGCGTATTTCTTTGCTCTGGCTATGCGGGCAGTCCCTTTTTTTTCTTCTAGGTCTGCGGCCCTCGTTTTTTGCATCTCACGGCTTTACCACTAGCTGCTGGTGCTTTCCCCTGACTCACTAAATCTGAAGAAAAAGAAAGACTGCGTGCAGTCTAACCTAAGTGGAGTCCAAGTGCAAAACAAGATACAATGTACTTTTCACACCTGAAGCTACTTTCAGGTGTCACCACTGAAAGTGCCAGACATTCCCGTAGGGTCTTCCATGGGCATCCCCACAAAATTAAGTCTTCTTATAATAATATTTTATAATTTTGCCAAAAAAGTTGGGGTTGGACAGGGCCACTTTCTCCCACCTCCTTTTATGGTCATGCACCCCATACTATTTCTAACTTCTACTTTCACTACCTCTTCCTCTACCACTTACTTTACAGTAGCTGGTTTGATATGAGTTCAAAGTTGAGCTTTTGTTTCTTGGTAAAACCACAACTCTGGGTATTCTTCTTTAAAAAAACTTATTGAACTAACTAGGTTAAGCATTTTCTAGACTTGCCCTCAAAAAGTTTAAGTTTTCTCTTCATAACATTTTTATTGCTTCTTGAGGGGTTTTGTAAGGGCAGTATCTGCCCCAAATAATGTGTGAGTTAAATAATTATTTATTTTAATAAGAGGTTTTTTCCTTGCTTTGAAGCCTAAGAGAATAAAGAAAATAACAATGTTACCAGTAAAGAGAGGTCGAGGACGCCCACCTAAGTTCAGTAGCAGCAGTGCTCCCAACTCCCCCAATCCTTCATCTCCTGTTCCTAATGGATACACAGAAAATGGCAAACATAAGAAATTCAAGTATAAACGATTCATCACTGGAGATTCTCCTGCCGATGAGGTATGTAGGTTTAGAATACATCATCATCATCATCATCATCATTTGCCCCTTTCAGTCTGGATGCTTTGTTCAAACAATGATCTCATTCCACACATTCCGGTCTGACATCGCATTTGCAAGATCCTCCCTGTCAATTTAGATCAATTATATGGGATTGTCATTAAATTCCTTGTATGAACAGGGCAACTACCCCACTACCCTAGCACTTGTGAATTGTTGTACCAGCGAACACACGAGTGATTAACAAAATTTTTTATTGTAGACTGAATTGAACTCCACTCAGTCCTAAATTGTGATTTATTTTTATTGTTAAATGCTAGATAAACAATAGAGGATTTTTCTCTCTTCTCTATTCCAACTCTCTGTTTGGAGTTTCCAAAATCCATGCAAATCTCCTGGTGTCACATAAGTAACTATATATCTGAAATAAAACAATTTGAGACGGTATTCTTGTTGTTACTCACTTGATTGCTATAGATACCTAAAACTTTGCTGGAATTTACAGGGCTCCAAGTCACCTGCCCTAACGTCATGTATTGAACAGAGACCTTATTATATTTGACGAAGAAGACGACTTCGAGGACGAGATTTAAAATATACATCCCAGAAAGCCGACTAAGCAAAGTTATTTTTATTGAAGGAGATTGTTATTTATAAAGCCCTCTTCCAATCGCAAAATAGTAAATTTTCAAACAGTTGATAACTTGTTTCCGCTATTACGTACGACATTCCCGCTAAAACTCGTAGTAGAATGGAGACAGTTACCACGTTTTCCCGCCAAAATGATGCTGGTTCACTGCCACGTACACGTATTACTAAGGACCTCGTGCGTTCGATTGATCGTATTCTGGAATACGAATCTTCAAAAGTTTTGTACGAATCTTTTGTACTATGATTTTTGGACCACTTATTTCAAGCAGATTTCTAGATAGTCACCATTAATTGCAAATCCCCTATAATACACCTTGTTTACCCCCCTGCGCCCCACCCAAACATTTTGCGTAACCTTTGTTTGTAATTTCTCTTGGGTATTAAAGTTGTACCCAGAGAAATTGAAGACAATACAGTGAAGTCACAACTGACTTGTTACTGTTTCACAGGATGATAATCATGATGAGGTATGCGAGATATGCAGGGAAAGTGGAGAGCTGCTACTCTGTGACACTTGTAATTTGGTTTATCACATGAGCTGTCTGGACCCGCCGCTTACAGCAGTGCCTCCTGGCATGTGGCTTTGTCCTAAATGCAAGGTAAGCACTATTCCAGGCTCCAAGATAGCAGTACATTCGTGCAGTAAAGCCCCGTGCAAACGGACACAACATTGTAGGATGTTACATGTTGCACACTCTGTTGTGTGTTGTTGCGTGTTTTTTGGAGTTGTTGCGGAAAGATTGAAACCGGTCAAACTTTGTGCCAACAACTCCCAACATTTCTTTTGTTCCGTGATCGCCGAAGCGTAGCGCAACAATGTTGGATCCGTTTGCATAGCTCCTCTAAGCTTGTTGGGGCCAGGCACGCGCGTTAAACATGGTCTCCTTAGAGACAGGAAGTCTTATAGGTTGTATCCTTCCCACAGTGCACTGCAGGTTCCAACATTGTTGTGAGTTGTTGCATCCGTTTGTACACCACTGCCAACAAGAGCGCAACAACTTCCAACATTGTTGTCCCAACATTGTTTTGAGTTGTTGCCTCCGTTTGGACACCACTGCCAACAAGAACGTAACAACTTCCAATGTTGCTTTGAGTTGTTGCATCCGTTTGCACACCACTGCCAACACGGGCGCAACAACTTCCAACATTGTTGTCGCAACAATGGTTTAAGAAATACTAACAGGCTCTCTCTTCTATTTTTAGGAGAAAGTAAAAGACGATGAACCAATGCCGTGGCCTGGAACTTTAGCTGTGGTACATTCATACTTGGCTCACAAGACAGGTGACTACAACACAGAATCACTAATTTCTTGACTGCTTAAACGAATGTGTGATATACTTGGTATGAACTCGCTTCCTAAGTCTGTTAGGCTGCATAGCGGGCATCGGTGTGTTTTTTAGGGTGAAGAGAGAAATCGCGAGGACGCGCGCGCGAGGGGAGAAAAGAAGAATTTGGCCTCCTCTTTCTTTCCTCGAAAAGGGGGCTCTTATTAGAGAGGGGGGGGGGGCTAAATAGAGGATTTATGTTTTTTGGTATGGTATATTAAAATTTATATGTAGAGATCTAGGGATGGCATGATAGCATAATACCTTAAAACTACTAGTAATACCCAAAGGTTACGGAGTGCGCGCGAGAATGATCGAAGGTCCAAACGCATGTGATCAAATTGCGTTCTGTGCATTCCATTCATTCTTAGTGGAAGTCCAAACGAACGCTGGCTACATACATGCGACGCATGCGTAATAACAACCTGGAGATTAGGATTGCGGGCTCCCCTTGTCGCCCGCAGTAACTGCCTGCTATTTTAAACGAATTTGCGAAAAGTTAATATTCAAAACCATCAGTGCCATTGAGTAAGTGTTAATCACTGGGTTATCTCTGGAAAATGCTCAGTTCTCTCAGTTTCTGGCATATTCAGAACAGAACAGTTTCTTCACTTTAACTCAAAGTTAGTATCCTGGGCACCAGTGGGTTTTTTTGCTCGTGTGCGGCGATTGAATGCAGCGGAGATGCTTCGGGGTCGGTCACAGGCCGATGCGTCTTAGGCCAAAGGGTGAAGCTATACCGAAGTCGGAAACTGCGCATGAAAAGTCTCTGGTACACAGGGTACAAATTTATAGTGGCATGGCACCCGAAATACTCGAGCGGCGAAGCCTATTTCCCTTTCGTAAACGGTCTTTGCCATTTTTAACGGTCGGTGTCACAACTAGTAACCAAGCCTTTCTATCAAGTCATGATAGATGTAATATATTCCCTGGATTAAGTTACAAAAAGGCAAAAAATATGTTTTCGAATAGTGTTAAAAAGAACGACGTTGGAGCCCAAGTTGAATTTTCGTTAAAATGTACGAAAAGGGCTAGGGTCACCTGTTATTGATGCAACAGTCAAAAAACTAGTGTATTAACTTAAATAATTCGGAATTTTGGCGGGTCCTTGTGGTAGTGTAGTGGTAAGGGAGAGAACGATACGAAGGGTTCGGATTCGAGGCCTAGTTTGACCCTAGGTTGCAATTTTCTTTCTTTTTCATGGAAACACTCTCAATAACAGGTGAAAAATTGTCCAAGTGTCGTAAAAATGGCAGCGACCGTTTACGAAAGGGACAACTGCAGCGGCGAAGATGCGAGAGGCAAGGGCGAAGTCTCTTTTTTCGCGCCTTTCGTGTCTCCGCGCCGCAAGTCACACGGGTGGCTAGTTTCTTCCCTCGCGCGTTTAAAACGAGGGATTTAGAAACGCCTCTTAGTCTAGGAATATTTACATACATATAATGTTACTTTATTTTATTTCGTTTATTTACGTTTAATACTTTTTTTTTGCCTTTTTTAGCAAAAGAAGAGGAAAAAAACAAACTTCTCAAAAGAAGTGAAGAATTAAAAGCCGAGAGAGTGGAGTTAGAAGCCAAAGCGAAAGAACTCAGTAATGCAATAATGGTAAGTAAACATTTTTGTCCTTTGCTACACGTAAATCTAAAATCTGATATATTACCCTTCAAGCGCACGAAAACCCCTGCTGCGTGCCTTACAAAAAGAGTTCAAATAGCGTTTGTCTCGCGTAAGAAGTAATTTGTTTGAACTAAAAGTCGATTGCTCTTACAGTAAATGGTAAACAATCGCCCCCGCTGCAAAACAGACCTCACCCATTTATACTAAAAAGAGGGAGGTGGCTGCGTTTGTGTGAGAGGTGTTGAGGGCTTTGGTCAGTAGAAGGGAGAGTAAATAAAGGGGGGTGGTGCTTATTTGCTGCATTGGCAGCAATGAAAGAGGAGTAACCATTGAGTTGGGGAAAGTGGTAGTGATAGGCCACCCCGAAGGGAGCAAGGGATGGCGCGGTGGTGAGAGCGGTAGCCTCCCACCAATGTGGCTCGGGTTCAAATCCCGGCGTCAACGCCACATGTGGGTTGAGTTTGTTGTTGGTTCTCTCCTGTGCTCCGAGAGGTTTTTTTTTCCGGGTGCTCCGGTTTTCCCCTCTCTTCAAAAACCAACATTTTCAAATTCAAATTCTACCAGGAATCAGGTAGACGAAGAAGCACTCTGTGGATGTGCTACCTCCAAATCATTATTAATTATTTATTTATTCATTCATTCATTCATTTGTTATAATCGGTCATTGATCGAAAACCGTTAGTAAACGCAACGATAATCGATTATGGAAAACTTTCAATCGATTATGGCGGAAAACATTTAAAAATATATTTTGTTGACATGAACATTTTTAAAATTTGTGTTGTCTTTTAAATGGACAGCACAAATAGTCCACTAATGATCTTTTCTATCACATCTGGTATGTTGTCGTGTTCTTAAACACAACACAACGACCTTGCTTTATTCAGGCTGTGGATGTTTAAGAGTTTTCCTTGTCGTTCACATTTCGTTATGCCTTTTATGGGAAGACTTACCTTGTTAATGGTACAAATTATTCTAAAACCTTAATAGTTAGCTGTCTAATGGCTGAACTGAGCCAGTAAAAGAAATGCGGCGCGGGTAAATCGGCTCGAAGTAAAACGCAACTTCGATCCCACGGCCCTCTCTCCGCATTGCCTCGTTTACATGTACCCAGGCGGCTGATACAAGCTAGCAAAAGTTAAATCCTCTTAGAGAGATTTTCGCTGTCATAATCGATTGTGGATCGGTTTGGTCAAGCCGATTGTTTTTGATTATGGATTATGAAATCTCTGCCAATTCCCAACATTTGAAGGTGGATATCTTAATAATTTTCTTCCTCTAAGAATGGAGAAAGGGAATCCCTAGAGGATTTCATGGTGGGCGCTCAGGTTGACATTGGATACATTATTATTTCCAGAAATAATAATATTCCATAAGTTTTCTTTTGTCGTTTTTTTTACTTCAGGAACAGATGCAAGCCAAGAGCGAGCTTTCTGCCAGCAACAAATCCGCACAGAATTCTGTTGATAGATTAATCAAATTTATTGAGCTGGTACAGAGTTTATGACAGCCAATGATATTATATCCCCCTTTATCGGGTCCACAGAATATTTATTGAGATTGCTAGTTTTGTTTATCCAAAATCTGCTGTCAAATGGACTATTTTTTTTGAGTGCACAGGGAAATTTGTTTGGTGCATTTTGTAAGCGTTGTAGATAACTAACGGTGAAACCAGAGTAAGGTGTTTTTGTTATAGAAAATTACAGAAAAATTGCCAATGGCAGAAGGGATAAAGTGAAAAGAATAAAAAAATCAGTTGACTTTGCATCCAAACGTGTATCTAAAGGCTATAGCAAGCAGTGTGGGTAATTATCACGACCACTGCGACCCAACTCAAAAGCGCGGGCTTTCGTTGAATGTTTCTGCTACGTTGTAGAAGGCGTCCTCGATCATGTACATGTAGTAGTTTTGTAGCGGTTGTGCTGCTGGGGTTTTGTAGCGGTGGTTTTTAGAAGTCTTTTTCTATTGCGCCCAACCGTCTATTTTTCTTTGCATTAATTCATCCAGTCTAACAAGTGCTGGGACTAAGGGCTGAACTCGGTCAGCATGGATACCACTTAGCAACGGCTCGCTTGATGGCAAGCCATCCAAGCTTACATTTTAATTGTGATCGAGCGGAGCCTTCCTAGGTTAATTCAAACGTCCGTTGAGTAGTCTAGTCCAGTCATGTCGATTAATTTTCAACAGGATAATTAAACTAGGAATGCTCCGCTCGATCGCACTTAAAGCTTTGTGATCAGAATGAACGGTTGGATGGTTTGCCTTCCAGTGAGCCTTTGCTAAGTGGCATCTAAGCACGTGACCAAGTTGTGTAAAGGGCCTATTTAGGACCAAGTTGCCAGTTATGGGCTACTGATCTGTCATAATCAATGGGCTTGCTGGAAATCCCTGGATACGTTAAGAATTATATACCGAGGGGCAAACATTTTGCCAGAGTGTGTATTCAGAGCTCGTAGCGTATACCCCGTAACTCGTATCTTTAACGTTACGTTTAGTTACACCTGACGGAACGAGCAATTCCGAGTGACGTTGCAGAAATGCAAATTGAAGGTCTTCGAAGATATTCGGCCGCTTTCGAATATGTTCGGCTTGTATTCCGAAAAGCTAGTCTCAGGGGCTGAAAGTGTCTCTTTTGTGACTCAAACAAGAAGGAATTGAAGTTGATCGAGTGTTTGGGTCGGGTTTCTGATCCATTTGATAAATAAATATCGTCGCCCAATAGGTTCGAGCTTCTTACGGGTTTTAGTCGCATGAAGCACCTACAGGGACATTGTGGGAGATGGAGGGGGAGGGGGCGGGGGATGGTTGAAGGTATAGAGCCCTAATTCGCCACTTTACAAACGAGAAAGGGATTGGAGCCCAAATGTGTCCCGCAATGTTTTCTGGGATCGCTACTGGGGACACGTCAGTCAGCTATCGGCCAAATTTTTCTCTATCCCTAGTAACAGTCCCAGGTGTCTTTGCGGCCAATGTACCACCATTATGGGTATCTTGCTCAGTCTGTGATGGGGTTACTAAATTGGGTGTAGCATTTCTGTCCCTGACAGGTGTTGAATATCTTGTTGCTTTATACCTAAATCAGAACTTATGTAGTACTGCGGGGAAAACGTAAAGAAATAAAACATACTTGTTCCTTTCGGAATGATATAGGGTATGCAATTTAACTCTTGATTCCGATATGGGAGAGCAAATTTAATCTGTCCTCGTTTGAGACTTGATAGTGGTTGCAGTGCGCTAGCCGGACACCTCTAAAGACAAAATTTATTCAAATAAGCCCTCCCCACTTTTGGACCTACCGGAAGAGGTTTTAGTGAGAGTGGAGGGCGGAATCCACCCATCCTTGTACCGGATGCCCCGGAAAAAAGCCTTTGATAAAATCGAGAAACTGTGAGGATCGTCAAGGAGATAGAAAGCAACTGAATAAACACTGTGGGTAGGAGTGAGGAGATTATAGATCTGAGCTCTGTGCCTCATTTTTGCGGGGATAGTAATGCATTAAAACTTTGAAAACGTTAGCCCACAATTTCAAGTGTTAATCCATGTTCATCCTTGCCATCTGTTACAATAGACGCCAGGAAACAGTTTCAGTGGCTAAATATAGTCTTCAATCACAAAACTGGAGCATTATTTTTTATTCATTCGTTCATTTATTTTGCCATTAACCACATAAAATAAATTTACAATACACAATAAATTGATAATACTATTCTAAATAAATTGTTACAAACGTTCAAAATGGTAATGACAAGGACGCCTATATAAAAGCTACTTTATCAAGCCCTCCTCGGACTTTCAGTTTGTTGAATATTCAGGAGGGTTGTACGTTAAATAAGGGTTGTTGAATAACAAAAGAAATGGTGCGAATCATGAAATAACATCTAATAAATATCACTTGATTTATATTATTAGAGAGATTAAGATTCACGTTTACGCCAAACGGCTCTCGTGAATTTGTACCACGTGACCAAGTTTTTCCCTTGATTGTCGTGTACTGTTTATTACTTCTATTAAAAAAATAAGTAGTTTCACGCCAGTGTTATCCGTAAGAATTGTTCTGCACAGTTTTTCTCTGCCTTTTTTCTATTCTGAGAAACTCTAAACTTAAATCTGACGTTTGTCGTTTGCCGTAAACGAGAATCTTAATCTCTCTATTGCCAAAATAAATGTGTTATAATTAAACCTGAATTTAACAAGGGCAATCCTTTGTACCCTAAAGCGATTACGAATAATGAATAACCAACAAGAACTTAATAAGAATAATGAATAATTGGAAGAAACACCCAAATAATACTGAATAAACGAGGCCAAATTATTCAGCTTCTACCCCCGATCCAGAAGTTCTTTCTTCTTCAAAGGCCTGACACGATTCATGCAGAGAGATCGAGAGAGTCCCCTTTTCTTCTCGATCAAGAAGAAGAAAAGCGGAGGCTCTACGCGCAGGGTGCCAAAGCCGTTGTTAAAGTCGAGAAAATATAAGAACTATCAGGGGGATAAAACCCAACTAATAAAATACGGACACGAGAAAGGAAGAGAGCGTAAATTGATCTCGGTGCTTTTATAGTATTTATCTAGTGCAACACAAATGGTAGTTGCCTGGGTTTTTCTAGAAATGTTTATTTGCTCATAAAGCCGAAAATTGAGCTCAGGGGCATTTTAACATGTCTGGGTGGATTGGTTAGACCCAGGGGTTAGACTTTCTGCCTTTAAAATTAGGGATACAAAATTAATACACGAGTCATAATAATTTAACAGTTAATGAATTCGGCTTTCGTATCATATGAAGAATTATGGAGATCTCGGAGGGTGTTCACCGCCGAAATAGCAGATGTCGCCCATCGAGTTGTCTTCTTGCTGTTCTTGCCGTGATTTTAGCTATTATTTCGCGTAGTTCCTACTCTTGAAACGAGTGAAATGTTGGCCATTTTTGTTTTCAGAACCAGAACAACTCAACCTCGTCCCCAGGTCTTCTCGGTTAACGGTGCATTAATCTGCAAGGAAGCTGCACTTTTGACGTCATCGATTGATTAATCGCAAAATTCTTCCAAATTTGGCATCAGTAGTGAATTATGCGTGTGCTTTTAGCCAATCAGAATCGTGGAAATATTTTGAATGAGTAATAAGGGTTGTTTTCTGTCTATTTGAAGTTTTAAATTCTAACCAAAGACATCACCTGCTTTGTTTTCTGTTAACGGTGCCAATAATTCAGGAAAACAGATAATTAGTTCACTCAATATAGCTGCTCTTGGGAAATACTGATCAGGTTATTATAAATTTGTAAAGCGCGTACTTGCGAGTAGTTGCAGGGCAGTGAAATGGCAGTCAGTGGAAAAATTTTAATGTGCCGTACTACTAACCGAGTTTCTTTCCGGTATGGTTACGAAGTTTTTTAGTTTTTGCCTCCCATTACAGACACGAAAATTAAAACCGTTATTGCTATCACTGATTATACCCTTTTACAGCCATCTGACGTCAAGTTGGTTATTAACACTTGTAACGCTCGCCTGGGAAAATGGTGATTGCTCAAGCTTGTAAACTTCGCAGCTTGTGTTCTCTCTTCAATTATTAAAAATTTCTGCCAAATTAATTCAATATAATTTACTTTTTTGCAATGGATACTGGCAACATAATAATTCATGAAAATCGTCCGTCGAGTCGAGTTTGTTTCACCTGAGCGTGGCCGATAGACTGCATCTTAGTTTTAGTTGTAAGCTTGAACAACTACAAAACTTTTCTGAACCCCCGGCACCGTATGGCCCGACGAAGGCGTGCGTACTGTTTTCTACAGACTGAATGCAGCTTTTGCGAACAACTGACGAGAAACACGATGATGTTATTAAAAATACCAGAAAAATTACCACGTCTCCAGACATACGTTATTAGTGGTAAACACCGGTTTGCGAATCCTTAAACACTTTCCACCCAAATGAAATGAGCGATGTCTAAAAAGAGCCCTCAGTTACCCCTCATTGTATCGCGGAGAAATATGGCTCAGACAAACTTAACTGATGATGAAAACCAAAAACCATTAAGAGAGCTGTGGTGCTCGGCGGAATTTATCAGAGGTGTAGATTGCGAGCTTATTTTTCTTTCCGCTGTAAATATATTTCTTTCCTTCACTGCATTTCTGGGGAACACTCTGATCCTAGTTGCCCTTCACAAGGAAACTTCACTTCATCCGCCGTCCAAACTCCTGTATCGTAACCTAGCGATAACTGATCTCTGTGGTGGCATCACTGGACAGCCTTTGAATGTGACTTATTGGATTTCTGTGGTGACGGAAAGATGGAATTCGAATATTTGCTATAATTACGGACTTCGGGGATCACGTTTCTCAGGTTATACTTTGTGTTCAGTGTCTTTATTAACATCTACTGCAATAAGCGTGGACAGACTTCTCGCGTTGTTGCTGGGGCTCAGATACAGACAAGTTGTAACTTTGAAACGAACATTTATAGCCGCAATCGGTTTTTGGATTGTGTCCATTGTCGCTTCGTCAACTTCATTTTGGAACCCTCTTATAACTTCATGGTATCAATACATAGGTACAGCTCTGTGTCTGGTCACCACAATCTTCGCTTACACCAAAATTTTCTTTTCTCTACTTCATAATCAAATTCATGTTCAGAACTATGTCGCTCAAGGACAACCGAGCCAAGCAATTCCATTGAACATAGCTCGATACAAAAAGGCGGTGTACAGTGCAATGTGGGTGCAGGGAACATTGGTTGCATGTTATGTGCCGTTTGGTATAGTGGTAGCTTTGACACCTCAACAAGGGATGGCTTTATCGGTATACCTCTCTAGACAATTTACGGCTACCTTAGTGTATTTAAACTCGTCATTAAACCCGTTGCTGTACTGTTTGAAGATCAGAGAAGTAAGGCGAGCTGTAAAAGAAACATTAAGGCAACTATTCTGTCGATCGAGTTAGTTTATTTATTATGCTTTTCAACTTAAGATTCATGCCAAAAACACTCTAAGGATCTGAAAACGAACCATACTCATGTAATACATTGTGTCTATTGCACCTCAAAAGGATCATTCTTTAGCGGAAAGAGCGGCATATATTATAAATCCATGCGAACAATAGTGAAATGAACTTTTGATTGTAACTTAGTGGACTTCTGTTGTTAAAAAAAATAGTGGACATTTGCTATCGCGCTTATCATGTTGGCATAAAACGTTTTAGGTTATACTTTATGTTCAGTGTCTTTATTAACTGTACACTGACCGCAATAAGCGTGGACAGACTTGTTACATTGTTTCTAAGGCTCAGATACAGACAAGTTGTAACTTTGAGAGGAACGTAACTAGTAGTATACCTAGCTATACCTTGTTGATGGCGTAATTCCCTTGGCTTTCATGTGCCTTCTCTTTATTAATGCATAAGTGCCTTCCGTGTGCCTCCCTTCATACTTATAAGTGTCTAGTCAGATCTTTTCATATGATAATAAATTGTCTAGTCCTTGCTGGATACTAACAGTTTTAGTTTCATAAGGTTTTTTACCACCCAGTTTTTAATACTATTAACCACAGGGCGCTCGAACGCTGTATTAGCTAATAGAAAAAAATAGATGCATTTAAGCTGTATTAGCTAATAAAATAATAAGATCCATTTTCCTTTGTTCCTGTGTCTTTATGAGTCGTTTTAGAAGGGATTTGAATCCGATCAGAGATTGCTGGTTATCAAGCGTTTACTTGTCTGGCGTGTCGTAAATACGACCCTCAAGTTTTGTCTCGCGTTTCTAATATTGTCATGTTAACTATTAACTCTCGATCTCCTTGGCCGTTAGTGGAAAGTCAATAGTTAACAATATTAGAAACGTGAGACAAAACTTGAGCGTCTTATTTACGACGCGCTAGACAAGCAAACACATTTGATAACCAGCAATGTTAACCATCTCTGATCGGATTCAAGTCCCTGCCAAAACGACTCATAAAGACACACAGGAACAAAGGTAAATGCATCTTATTGTTTTTTAGCTAATACAGCGTAAATACATCTAATTTTTTCTATTAGCTAATACAGCGTTCGGGCTCCCTGTGTATTAACCTCACTGGAAGAGTAATCTTGATCTCAGGGCTGCTGACACGGGCACACTAGGCTAAAAAGATCATCAGCATATTTCACCAGTAGATTGCGCTCTGGGTAGACCGATGTAATGTCGTTTACCATAATAGAGAACAATACAATCAAGCGCTCCCCGGACTTTCAGTTTGTATAAGAGGGATGTGCATTAAACTGAAAGGTTGTTGATTGACAAAAGAAAAGGTGCGAATATATCTTGAAATAACATTTAATGGATATCAGTTGAGTTATATTGTTATCAAATGTGTTATAATTAAACCTGACTTTAACAAGGGTAATCCTTTGTACCCTAAAGTGATTATGAATAATTAATAACCAACAAGAACTTAATAAAAATAATAAATTATTGGAAGAAACACCCAAAGAAGAATGAATAAACGAGGTCAAATTATTCAGCTTCTACCCCCGATCCAGAAGTTCTTTCTTCGTCGACTTCAAAGGCCTGACATGATTGATGCAGAGAGATCGAGAGAGTCTCCTTTTCTTCTCGATCAAGAAGAAGAAAATGGAGGTTCCGCTCTTGGGGTGTCAAAGCCATAAATAAAGCCGAGAAAATATAGCAACTATCAGGGGGATAAAACGCAACTATTTAATATAATTATACAATTATACGCAGCTACAGGAGATTAAGGAAGAGAGCGTTAATTGATCTCAGTGCTTTTAGAAATATTTATTCGCTCATAAAGCCGAAAATTGAGCTCAGGGGCATTTTAACATGTCTGGGTGGATTCGTTAAACTAGGGGCATACTGTATTTCGCGGACTGGACTGGACTGGACTGGACTGGACTAGTAAAACGCGGACTTGTAAAACGCGGACTCAAAATTTGTAAAACGCGGACTCAAAATTTGTAAAACGCGGACTCAAAATTTGTAAAACGCGGACTCAAAATTTGTAAAACGCGGACTCAAAATTTGTAAAACGCGGACTCAAAAATTTGTAAAACGCGGACTCAAAATTTGTAAAAAAATTCCGGGAGTCCACATTTCTAACCCCACATTTCTAATCCCCCCCCCCCTAAAAAAAATAAAATAAAAGAAATAAAGTCAGACCCCCGTCATGAACGTTTCGAGTACACATCCCCCCGCTGGGTTGTAGCTCGGGGGGTCGTAGCTTGCAAACCAGTCTATTTTGTTTCGGGACTAGGTTATAGTTTGTTGTGTTACTTTCAAAACTAACACACCATCGATATCTTAAATGCAATTGAGCAAGCCCAAAACAGTTTTACAGGCCCGAAAAGGTACCGAAGGAGCCCCAGTTAAGGGAAGGCCAAAATTTGTCACGCATTATTACACGCACCAAGAGCCTATTATTTATGGGCTCCTGACGCACGCAGCATTCACTCCTTCATATTATATTTTATTTTAGCCTTTTTCCCAGCCTCCACACCTGAAGCATAAGATTTTGAATTTTTATTGTCATTACGTGACACTGGATTAAGTGACATCGACAACGGAAACGAGGCTGTTGACCTTTGTTGACCTTTGAGCAGTAAAATCGCGCCAAAATTCGGAATATATTTTCACGTGGCGGCGCGAAGATGGCGGCTTGTTTTAAGCTTCCATCGCTCGCTAAGGGATGCACCATTAGAAATGTGAAGGGGGGGGGAGTCCAAAAACAAAAAAAAAAATCCTGCAAAACAAAATTTTAAGAAAAAAAAATCCTGCATTGCAACGAAACCAGAAAAAAATATCCTGCTTGGATAACCAATGTGACTGCGACAATATATTACACAGTCTGAAAAATAAATCTGTGATCTGTAACAGGAAATCCCCTTCCCCCAACTTCCTAAATTCATGTCAAACTACATTTCAGGCAGAAAAAACAATTTCTACTGGCTAAATAGAGATTTCAATTTGAACCAACTCTGATGCCCTTGATCTCGGACGTTTGAACGTATAGATTACTTCATGGGCAGCGCGGGCGTACGGTATTTACGCACGAGTTGGTTCGCATCAGAAATTGAACGAGCAAGGCTTTGCGAGTGAGATCCAGAAAGCGAGAGAGATTTATCTGACATACAATGCGAAAAAAGTCCATGTCTAACACTGCACGTGTTTAGGTGTCCTATTACATTATGTACTAAACATCTGTGACTGGACGAAACGCTTTTTTTCACGTGTGTGAAAGTCGTTTCGCCATTCTGATTGGCTGCGAACCCTGAACAGGGTTTTCACACGCCAAATTTCAATAGAAAATCTCAATTAGTATGAAAAAAATATACTTAAAACAAACGTGTTCTGTTGGAACACTACAACAAAAAACATTTGCGCGGTTGAAACAGTCTAGTAAAACAAGACCAAAAGAGGGCATAGTCATTTTGGAAAAAAAAAAAAAAATGCAAGGGTTTGAAGGTTGAAAAAAAAATCCTGCACTCCTGCTGGTTGTGAAAAAAATAACATGCCTTTCCAGAAAGTCCTACCCCCCCCCTTCACATTTCTAATGGTGCATCCCTAAAAGGCCAAAACCAAAAACACAGTTTCCTGAGTTCGAATGGAGTGAGGTAACTGTAGAGAAGGAGCTCGGAAGCGGTACGTTTGGTTCAGTTTACCTTGTCAAATACGAGAAAGAACACCGTCGAAATGTTATTGTGAAAAATATGAAAGGTGAATCGGCTGAAGCAAGACGTCGATTCGAGAAGGAAGCGGCGATCCTAAAAACCGTGAAAGGCCATAGAAATGTGACTGAGTTTTTAAGATTTTGCCGAGAACCCTACGCCATAATGATGGAGCATGCTTGTTTTGACTTCAATCCGTTGGGAGTTAAAAAACAGGTAAATTCGCTTGAAGATTTTTACATTTCGTTGATGCGGAATTCGACTTTACGTCGTTCGCAGATGTCTTGTTACTGTGTGCGCGGGACGTTGTTTCCGGATTGGACTTTCTCCACAAGAACAATATCGCGCACAGAGATCTAAAGCCAGGGAACACCTTGGTCTGCAATCAACATTACAGCAAACAGAATGATGTGGATCTGGCCAAATCCTATGCTGAATGCCCCATTGTCTGCAAACTTGCAGATTTTGGTTTGAGTCGTTCCCCTGACATGCAGACAAGCACATTTTTAAAGCCGAAGACGGAATCACCTTGCCGTGGCACACCTGTATTTATGGCACCAGAGATCCTATTAGAAGATCTAAAGTTCGCTGGTCAGGAGGACCTTAAAAAGGCTGATATTTGGGCTTTAGGCCTCATGATGTTCTCGATGATAAATCCAAATCTTTCTAATCCATATCGTGCTGAATCTTTATTCAGCCGTAATAAACAGAGGTCAAAGGATATAAAACACTTTACAACTGCATCTGAAATCAAATCCTATCAGGGACACCTACTGAAGCATAAACCACGGGAAATGATTACTCAGTATGCATGTAACAAATCTGCTTCATGACCTCTAAATATAAGATTTAGTGCGGCAAAAACAAGATTTACTCAGTCGAAGTTTAGAATGCTACACCTCTTGCACTGTGTAGTGCTAGTAACCTTCGCGCGAGAGAAAAAAGCAAGAGAACCACTGTTCAAGCAGACTCTCAAGGTCACGTTTCACATTATCACGAGCTTATGAGTCGTGCTTGGCCTGTCAACGCTTATTTCCTACAAATTTTGAGTCCGCGTTTTACAAATTTTGAGTCCGCGTTTTACAAATTTTGAGTCCGCGTTTTACAAATTTTGAGTCCGCGTTTTACAAATTTTGAGTCCGCGTTTTACAAATTTTGAGTCCGCGTTTTACAAATTTTGAGTCCGCGTTTTACAAATTTTGAGTCCGCGTTTTACAAATTTTGAGTCCGCGTTTTACAAGTCCGCGTTTTACTAGTCCAGTCCAGTCCAGTCCAGTCCGCGAAATACAGTATGCCTAAACTAGGGGGTTAGACGGCTCCCTGTCTTAAAGTAGCGCGTGAGAACAACTGAATGATACAAATTAATACACGAGCATAATCCCACATTAGGGTTGCTTTCGGTCTAGTTGAAGCTTTTAGATATAACTAAACAAAGACATCACCTGCTTTGCTTTTGGCTAACAGTGTAATAATTTAGGAAAATAGGAAGAACGTAACTGAGAATGCTAGTAATTTGTAAAGCGCTTACTTGTGAGTGAACAAATTTTACTACTAGCCGAGGTTTCTTCCCGGTATGGTTTTAAGCATTTACGAAGTTTTTCAGTTTTTGCCTCCCATAACAGACACAAAAATTAAAACCTTTGAGGCTATCACTGATTATACCCTTTTACAGCCATCTGGCGACAGGTTGGTCATTAACGCAAATAACGCTCGCCTGGGAAAATGGTGATTGCTCAAGCTTGCAAACTTCGCAGCTTGTGTTTTCTTCTCAATCATTAAAATTACCTGCCAAATTAATACAATTTAATTAAGTTGTCGAACGTCATGGGCAGACAACATGAAAGGTCATTAAAATCGTCTGTCGAGTCGACTGTTAGTTTCACCAGAGCCTAGCCGATAGGCTGCATCATAGTTCTAGGTTAGCTAGAACAACAAAAAAAACGTTTCTGAACCCGCGGTCCCTTATGGCCCTACGAAAAGGTGCGTACTGTTTTCCGACTGACTGCAGCTTTTGCGAACAACTAAGGAGAAACACGATGATATTAATAAAACACGAGAAGAATTACTGCGTACCCAGCCTTAGGTTATTAGTGATAGACACTGGTGTGCGAATCATAACATTTTCCACCTAAATTAAATTAGCAATGTATAAATAAAGCCCTCACTTGCCTCTCATTGCGTCGCAGAGAAGTATGGCTCAGACAAACTTTACTGAAGATGAAAACCAGAAAACATTTACAGAACTGTGGTGCTCAGCGGAATTTTTAAGAAGTGTAGATGGCGAGCTTATTTTCCTTTCAGCTCTAAATATTTTTCTTTCCATCACTGCATTTCTGGGGAACACTCTGATCCTAGTTGCCCTACACAAGGAAACTTCACTTCATCCGCCGTCCAAACTCCTGTATCGTAACCTAGCGATAACTGATCTCTGTGTTGGTATCATTACAGAGCCTTTGGCTGTGACTTATTTGACTTCTGTTGTAAACAGAAGATGGGATATTTGCTATTACGCGACTCGCGCAGCAGCTTTCTTCGGTAATACTTTGGGCGCAGTGTCTTTATTAACATTGACTGCAATAAGCTTAGACAGACTTCTCGCCTTGTTGCTGGGGCTCAGATACAGACAAGTTGTAACTTTGAAACGGATGTATATAACTGTCATTGGTTTTTGGATTTTGTCTATTGCCGGTGCATCTACTTACTTTTGGAATCGTTATATATCTTCATGGTGTCGATACATAGTTGCAACTCTGTTTCTAGTCACTTCAATCTTCGCTTACACAAAAATTTCCTGTAGTCTACGTCGTAATCAAGTACATGTTCAAAACCATGTTGCTCAAGGACAACCGAACCAAGCAATTCCACTGAACACAGCCCCATACAGAAAGGCAGTGTACAGTGCACTGTGGGTGCAGTTAACATTAATTGTTTGTTATCTGCCGTATGGTATAGCGGTCGCTTTGACCCCTCCAAAAGATATTTCCTTAGCCATTTACCGTGTTAACGAATTTACTGTTATGTTAGTGTATTTAAACTCGTCATTAAACCCGTTACTGTACTGCTGGAAGATCAGAGAAGTGAGGCAAGCTGTAAAAGAAACATTAAGGCAAATATTCCGCTGTTCAAGTTAGGGTACTACATATGCTTCCGCTGTATAGTAATACTGACTAAAATTCATGCGAAAACTGCCGTTTAACCATATACATTTAATACTGTTGTGAAGTATTTTCAAAGTTATTTTCAAAGTTTTGTTTGGGTCAAGGTTAGTCTTGATTTAGTCCACACAGGCGTATTTCTGTTTTGACCTTTTGTTTTTACTTGTACTTGCATTTTTGCTTAGCACGCGGATTTACTTAATGCCATCTTAGTAATATTCTTCGCTTGCCATTGTCATCTGTTAGTTGTTCTTAGGTGGTAGTGTTTGTGATGTTAGTGCTGACCTTGGTTCTTAAGTCCCGTTTAAGTTCCTGTTTGGGTTTATTAACTAGCGTTTTAGATTTTAATTGGTTTGTAGCTTCTTACCGATCGAATCTAGACTACGAGTAGTCCCCATTTTTCCTTAGTGATAGTATAGCGAGCGAAAAGCGAGTGCGCGTGAAAATCACCCCACGCCGCGTCTCGCCTTTCTCGCGTGGGGTGGTTGTAACGCGCGCTCGCGTTTCGCTCGCTCTACTATCCCTGAGGAAAAATGGGGACTACTCGTATTCTAGACCGAAACCATATAGGTTCAATAATACCGAAACATTACCTACACTAAGTTCACCACGATTTTATTCCCACGGTCAGCTAACCCAAGCATGTCGAACTTTGGCTATAAAAACCGTTGTTATTGACTTGTTAGAGAAGAAGATTGTAGTAGGAGTCGAATAAGAGTATTGAGAGTATAGTTGCTATAGAAGTCAGGAAGGATAAAGATCAAGATCTAAGAAGTAGACTCTCAGTACTTCATCGATTAGCGAGCGAGTTGCTCGAACGGTACTTACTGGACACAATACTTACTGGACAGGTGTTCTTTTCCATAAACTGTTTTTCCGAGAGAAAAGAAAAGAGACGTGTAGTCTTAATGACCGGTTTAAAAGTTACAGGAAGTATAATTACTCTCTTAGCCGTGGAAATCATTGTTGAAACCGGGTTGTGGAGACTTTATGGTACCTCGTAAAAGATCGACGGGAAAAGAGCTTCAATTAGCTATCCTGTGCTCAATACTAAATTCACGTGACATGTAGACCATATGAACATGAAAATTTGGCCAGTTGACCAGTTCATCAGTTCATCTACATCAGTTCTGTACAGGTTGAAGCTCAGAATAAGTAGCAAAGATGAAAATAAGGAAATGGAAAACTCATTCACGTTTCAAGCAAATACCTTCTGAACATTAGGCATACAAACATTGTGCTCAATTCTGGTGAGAAAATCTATTTTATTCTACGGTCTTCCCTCCTATGATCCTTGCAAGGTTCTGCATGAAACACGAATTTGTGGTATATAACATGGCGAGGGCTACTGAAGGCAGTAGGTACTGAATGCACATTAGTCGTTGCATTTTGCCCACAACAAGATCGGACTCGAGCACGAATGCGTCCGTTTCAGTTTAACCAAAATGTTTACCCAAGTGAAAGCAAATTGATCCACACGGCCACGTAATATTTTGCAAAAAAGTGCTTCCATTGTACAGTGTAACTTATATATTTTACTGCTTGGTCTCTGTGCGCACGTCAGTGAAAGCTGGCGGCGCTTGACTTATAGCAATATGATGTTGAAATAGTGGATACTAAATAGTTTTACAACAATTTCAGAGGTATAGATCGACCAATCGAACGTTAACTAAACGCGCGCAAGTCCAACAAACATGTCAAGCATGTAAAAGCCTCCTACATCGCACCTATTAAGTGAGCGGGGTAGGAGTGCACGGATTGAAGTATTTGAAAAGATGCTTACAGGCTCTGCCCTTCTCTCTTCCCGCCATTATTCGCTGGTTCGGTATTTCACCGCCCGCTCACTTCTTCGCTCGTTCGCGCTGACCGAAACCTGGCAATGGTTATGCCAGAGTCGATATTGAGCGCCCGTAACGTACGTATGCCCCGTGACTCATTCCTTTAATCTTACGTTTAGCAATTCCGAGCGACATTACAAAAATTCAAATTTAAACGTAAAAAACCGAATTATCTGCGTCATCATAACGCCATTATTGAGACTAAGTAACAAATTTTGCGTCTTTACAGATCTTTAAAACGCAACTATCCCCACGCCCTTACAAATCTGAACGTCTTCAATGATTTTTATTCGGACGCCTTCGGATATGTTCGGGTTTTATTCCGAAATGCTAACCCTCCATAGATAAAAATGTCACTTGTCACTCAAACAAAGTAAGCAGGGGTAGCCTGGGACTAGGCTCCGCAGTCATGAAGCACCTACAGGGATGGGTGGAAGATAGAGGGAGAGGGCTAAAGAAGGTATAGATCCACCAAAACCGGAATTTAGAAACGAGAAGAAGACTGGGGCTGAAATATGTCTCTCAATATTTTCCGGCATCGTCATTGGCGACCGCTCGAGTCAGCGATTGGTCAATTTTTTTTCGCTGTCTCTAGTAACAGTTCCAGAAGTCTTTGCGAAACTAAAGTCTTCACAGTTTCCTCTCGTTTCTAAAGTGGCGAATTGCGGCGCAGCAAATGAAATGCAATGATTGAATTATTTATATATTTTTGATATAACCCTTTCAATTAAAGTGGACTGACGGGTTATGGTTTATTCAGGCTGGAAATTCCTATTGCTTTTGGTCTTCGACCGCATGACCTCCAACTTCATGTGCTGAACGTTTTCAACTTTATGCTCTAGTTCTCTGTGGAGAATTGTTACCATTTTCTTATTGTTAGAAAAAGCAGTATAGCGCCCGATAACCACAAGTGCGTCCTCGAGAAACCTTGCTCCCGTTGATGCATTTCGCTAAATTAAATAAGCCCCCCCCTCGCTATTAAGCCCCCCTCAAAAATGTTACCAAATGTGTTATAAATGAAACCTGAATTTAACAAGGGCAATCCTTTGTACCCTAAAGCGATTACGAATAATGAATAACCAACAAGAACTTAATAAGAATAATGAATAATTGGAAGAAACGCCCAAAGAATAATTAATAAACGAGGTTAAATTAGTATTCACCTTGACCACCTGAAAAAAGGAGGCTCTGAAGCCGTAAATAATTAAAGCCGATAAAATATAGCAACTATCAGTGGGATATAACGTAAGCGATGAAAAAAGCACCTACAGAGAAAGGAAGAGAGCGTTTATTGATCTTAGTGCTTTTAACTGAATATTTATTCAGTGCAACACCATTAGTAGCCAGCGACCACCGGAAATACGACTGCTGTTCGCAGGCTACATAAATATTAGTTGCGTGGGTTTTTTCTAAAAATATTAATTCGCTCATAACGCCGAAAACGGAGCTCCTTTTAACACGTCCGGGTGGATTGATAAGACCCGAGGGTTAGACTCCTGTCTTTTAAGTAGCGCGTGAGAACAACTGAAACAAACTTAACGCCCCGGCACGAGTCCTAACAAGGGTTGTTTTCTGTCTATTTCAAGCTTTAAGTTTTCACCAAACAAAGAAATTACAGTCGACTCCCGATAACTGGAACCTTCAAGGAAAATCGAAAAAAGTTCGAGTTATCGGGAGCTTGAAGAAAATAGCCGGGAGTAAGGAAAAAAACAGTTTTCAGTACTGCACAGTGAACATTTTGATCACAGTTCATGAAATTTTAAGTAAAAATTGATACTTCTAGATTATAAATCAGGATGTAAGTAACAAAACATTGCCTAAATAGACTGAATAGAGCATGCGTTTTACTGTTTTGAGAAGAAAAGATGCCTACAACACGTCAAATTCGATGTTTCGGACGCCAGTAGACTGTTTTTTTTTTTTTTTGCCCGAGTTTTCAAGTTAAGGGCTTAAAACATGGTTCGGGTTATCGGGAGTCAACTGTACGTGCCTTGGCTTTGGTTAACAGTGTAATAATTTGCGAAAACAGGAAGAACTAAGAATGAAGTTACCATGCGCTTAGATAATTACAGTTTACACAATAAAGATGCTGTGGGGAAATACTGATGTTACTGTAATTTGTAACGCGCTTACTTGTGAGTAGTTGCACTCACTGGGCACTGTGAAATGGCAGTCAGTGGACAAATTTTGATATACCGTACTTCTAGCCGAGGTTTCTTTCCGGTATGGTTTTGCAAATTTTTTTTCACTTTTTGCCTCCCATAAAAGATAAGAAAATTATAACCGTTACTGCTATCACTGATTAGACCTTTTTACAACCATCTGACGTCAAGTTGGTTATTAACCCACATAATGCTCGCCCGAGGAAACGATGATTCCGCAAGCTTGTAAACTTCGCAGCTTGTGTTCTCTTCTCAGTTATTAAAATTTTCTGCCAAATTAATTCAATATAATTTAATTTTTTGCAATGGACACTGGCAACACAATAGTTCATTAAAATCGTCCGTCGAGTCCAGTTTGTTTCACCTGCGAGCCTGGCCGATAGGCTACATCATAGTTCTAGGTTAGCTTGAGCAAGAACGAAACTTTTCTGAACCCCCCTGCATTGTTTGGCCCGACGAAGACGTGCGTACTGTTTTCTCACTCACTGCAACTTGTGCGCGCAATTTACAGAAACACGATGATATTAATTAAACAACGGAGAAGAATTAGCGCGTATCCAGCCTCACGTTATTAGTGATAAACACCGGTGTGCGAATAATAACAATTTCCACCCAAATTAAATGAGCGATATATAAATAAAGCCCTCACTTGTCTCTCATTGCATCGCAGAGAAATATGGCTCAGACAAACTTTACTGAAAATGAAAACCAGAAAACACTCACAGAACTGTGGTGCTCAGCGGAATCTATTAGAAGTGTAGATGGCGAGCTTATTTTGATTTCAGCTCTAAATATTTTTCTTTCCATTACTGCTGTTCTGGGGAACACTCTGGTCCTACTTGCCCTAAACAAGGAAACTTCACTTCATCCACCGTCCAAACTCCTGTATCGTAACCTAGCGATAACTGATCTCTGTGTTGGTGTCATTGCGGAGCCAGTGGCTGTGAGTTACTGGACGTCTGTCGTGAAAAGAAGATGGGATATTTGCCATTACACAAAATTGACGGGGAGATTTTTTGGCTTATACTTCGTGTTTAGTGTCTTTATTAACAGTGACTGCAATAAGCGTGGACAGACTTCTCGCCTTGTTACTGGGGCTCAGATACAGACAAGTTGTAACTTTAAAAAGAACCTGTATAACTGTAATAGTTTTTTGGATTTTTTCTACTGTGGGTGCATCTGCTGCTTGGTTTTGGAATCCCCTAATAAATTCAATGTCTCGATACATAGTTGTAGCTCTGTGTCTAGTCACCACAATCATTGCTTACACAAAAATTTTCTTCTCTCTGCGTCACAATCAGACTCATAACCATGTTGCTCAAGGACAACCGAGCCAAGCAATTCCACTGAACATAGATCGTTACAGAAAGGCAGTGTACAGTGCACTGTGGGTGCAAGTAACATTGGTTATTTGTTATCTTCCGTATGTTTTAGCGTTAGCTTTGACGCCTCAAAGAGGGATGCATTTATCGATCTACATTGCTCGGAGTTTTACGGCTACCATCCTTTACTTAAACTCGTCATTAAACCCGTTGCTGTACTGTTTGAAGATCAAAGAAGTAAGGCAAGCTGTAAAAGAAACATTAAGGCATTTCTTTTGTTGATCGACTGCAGTCGTTTTCTGTGCTTTCCAGTATTCATGCTATATAAAAACCGTTCTTCCAAGGAGAAATCCTCTTTGAACTTGAATGATTTTTAACTGTAATTTTTACAAACGGATCAACTGTGACGTTTAATGTGTTCATCTGAGAGCGTTAATAGATCTCAGTGTTTTTCATAATATTTATTTAGTGCAACACAAATGGTAGTTGCGTGGGTTTTTGCTAGGAATCATCAAATGTTTATTCGCTCATAAAGCCGAACATTGAGCTCAGACTGGGGCATTTTAACATGTCTGGGTTGATTGGTTAGACCCGGGAGTTAGACGACTCCTTCAAAGTCTTTTAAGTAGCGCGTGGGAACAACTGATACAAAACTAATGCACGAGTCATAATAAGGGAATTTCTGTTTATTTGATGCGCTAAGTTGTAACCAGAGACATCACCTGCTTTGGTTTTCGTTAACAGTAATTATTTAGGAAAACAGGAAGAACTAAAGATTAAGTTACCGTGCGTTTCAAGTTGTTTCAATAATTAGTTCACACAAAATTAATAGATGCTGTGAAAATACTGATGTTAGTAATTTGTAAAGCGCTTACTTGTGAGTAGTTGCAGGGCAGTGAAATAGCCGTCACTGGACAAATAGTAGCCGAGGTTTCTTCCCGGTATGGTTTTAAGCATTTACAAAGTTTTTCACTTTTTGCCTCCCATAACAGACACACAAATTAAAACCGTTTTGGCAATCACCAATTATTCCCTTTAACAGCCATCTGACGTTGGTTTTTAACGCATATACCGTATTTATTCGAATAAGCCCCCAACCTCGACTTAGCGTCCACCTCGAATAAGCGCCCATCTTAAAGGCAGAAAAAGTTAATAAGCGCCCAGCCTTGAACAAGTGCCCACCCACCTTTCCCCTCCCACCCCAAAAAGTTAAGTGCACGAGAGTAGTACTGTTTATTATTTTTTCGCTGGCTTGCCATCTGTACTGAGATTCATTGTCTAAGAAAATTTTGGAATTTTCCTCAAATTTTCTACTCCAATGTCCATGTGGGCGCAAAGTTCTTTCAGCCGCAATATATCTAGCCTATAGAGTGCAGGCGTATTTTGGGCGGACGAAAGCTGCTTGTTTATGTTCGTACTGTTGTGACCGCCATCTTTGATGTTATGACGGAGGAAGATTTGGGAGAGTGAAAATAGTAACCCTTAGGGTAGGTGCTAGGGCGAAAGAAGGAAAGGGGGGAGGGGGAGGCCCCATTTTCTCCTGTCTCTTTGAGTTTCAACATGGCGCTTTCGCGAGCAAAACATTCGCGCGTCCGAAGAAAACGTTTGCACTGCAGGCTACAATATATCTCGCTCAAACCTCAAGGCAATAGCTCTGCTCGGCGTTCGCGCTTTGCTCCCGGCTGGGACAACGATTCCATTCTCAAGCCTTCTCAATCGTGAAACTTTTACAGTAAACTTTTTGTTGCAAAATAAACATACTACACTTGCTGAAAATGATGAAAGTTTAATAAGCGCCCACTCTCAAGGTCCAAAAATTTAATAAGCACCCTGGGTGGTTATCGAATAAATACAGTAACGCTCGCCTGGGAGAATGGTGACTGCTCAAGCTTGCAAACTTCGCAGCTTGTTAGTGTTCTCTCCTCAGTTCTTAAAACTTTTATGCCAAATTAATACAATATAAGTTGTCGAACGTCAAGCTTGCAATGGACAGGCAACGTAAAAAGTCATTAAAATCATCCGTCGAGTCGAGTTAGTTTCACTGACTTGAGCCTGGCAGTTAGGCTACAACATAGTTCTAGCAAGGTTAGTTTGAACAACAACAAAACCTTTCTGAACCAACGGCACCGTATGGCCTCGACGAAGACGCGCGTACTATTTTCTGACTGACTGCAGCTTTTGCGAACAACTGACGAGAAACACGATGATATGAATGAAAACACCAGAGAATTACCGCGTATCCAGCCTTAGGTTATTAGTGATAAACACCGGTGTGCGAATCATAACACTTTCCATCCAAATAACTTAAGGGATGAATGAATAAAGCCCTCACTTGCGTCTCATTAGATCGCAGATGAATATGGCTCAGACAAACGTTACTGAAGATGAAAACCAGAAAACATTCACAGAACTGTTCTGCTCAGCGTATTTTGTCAGAGGTGTAGACGACGAGCTTATCTTTCTTTCAGCTCTTAATATTTTTCTTTCCATTGCTCCATTTCTGGGGAACACTCTGATCCTAGTTGCCCTACACAAGGAAACTTCACTTCATCCGCCGTCCAAACTCCTGTATCGTAACCTAGCGATAACTGATCTCTGTGTTGGCATCATTGTGGAGCTTTTGTATGTAACTTCTTGTACTTCTGTTGTGAAATAAAGGTGGGATATTTGCTATTAGGCAAATTTGGCAGCAGGTATCGGACAGCAACTTTCTCAGGTTATACGTTGTGTCTAGTATCTATGTTAACATTGACTGCAATTAGCGTGGACAGACTTCTCGCGTTGATGCTGGGGCTCAGATACAGACAGGTTGTAACATTACTTTAAAAAGAACATTTATAGCCGCAATTGGTTTCTGGGTTTTGTCCATCTTCGGTGGATCTACTTTCTTTTGGGATCCTCTTATAACTTCATGGTATCAATACATAGTTTCAACTTATTTGTCTAATCAACCGACAATCTTCGCTTACACAAAAATTTTCTTTTCTCTGCGTCATAATCAAATTCATGTTCAGAACCATGTTGCTCAAGGACAACCGAGCCAAGCAATCAGGCATTGAGCATAGCTCGATACAAAAAGGCGGTGTACAGTGCAATGTGGGTGCAGGTAACATTGGTTGCATGGTATGTGCCGTCTGGTATAGCCGCGGTCGCTTTGACACCTCAACGAGGGATGACTTTATCGTCTGACAATTTACTGTTACTTTACTCTATTTAAACTCGTCATTAAACCCGTTCCTGTACTATTGGAAGATCAGGGAAGTAAGGCAAGCTGTAAAAGAAACGTTAAGGCAACTATTCTGTCGATAGAGTTAGTTTACTATGGTTTTCAACTTAAAATTCTTCAGTGCTAAAAACACTCCAAGAGTGATCTTAAAACGAATAATACAAACTAATACTTATTTTCTATTGCGCCTCCAAAGGATCTTCAGTCTCTGTCGGAAAGAGTCTCCCCCTCCCCCCCCCTCCCCATCGCCCCCTCTTTGCACATCCTAGGGTTAAGTCATATGTTAATAACTGACTTCAAATGCATTCGCTTGAGTTTGTACGTAAAAATGAAAATAAAACAAAATTTAACCAACGTGATCAGTACAAAAATTGCAGTACAGTTTTTTTTTTTTGATGGGATGTTACTGGCTCAGTTCACTTAACGAAGAGTCATTTTTACCTGATAAATTTAGGGAGATGACAAAACATTCAAACTCCGCTTTACGGACACCCGCTTAATACAGACACCTCGTTCTGATTACGGACAGTTTCCTTTGTCCCTGATTACAGCCTTAACCATGTTAACATTTTCTACAAATTCAACCCGCTTACGAACACCCATCCATGTAGACAACTGTGAAATGCACTGTTTGTGACCTTTGCGTTGTGACTTATTTGACGTCTTTTGTGAAAGAAAGATGGGATATTTGCTATTATTCACCTCGGACAAGTACTTCTAAACATCCATTTTTCAACTGCACTGAAAGCCCTTGTATATACTTGGTAATTTATTCAAGCTTTTTAGACTTGTCATCACATTCGCACGTCATACGGATGAAAAAATATGACAATCGTCTTATTGTTCTTATTAGGGAACTTAAGCAGAGACGTTTTTGGGCGACGTACGTCAAACTGAAGTGAGGCATTTTCTCATTCAATCCCTAAATTCTACTAAAATTGTACTGCTAAGTGTTCTTTCGTTATAAAGAAGATTTGCCGAAAGCCCACTTTCGGTTGACGCGCGTCGCTCAAAAACGTCTTTGCTTATACTCCCCATTAGCATAGTGAAAATGATGTGCGACTCATCATCAATATCACATTCCACTCAATTTAAAAGAGCGATATATAAATAAAGCCCTCACTTGCATCTCATTTCATCCCAGAGAAATATGGAACTGGCAAACTTTACTGAAGATGAAAACCAGAAAACATTCGGAGAACTGTTCAGCTCTGCAGAATTTATCAGAGGTGTAGATGGCGAGCTCATCTTTCTTTCAGCTCTAAATATTTTTCTTTCCATTACTGCGTTTCTGGGGAACACTCTGACCCTACTTGCCCTACACAAGGAAACATCACTTCATCCGCCGTCCAAACTCCTGTATCGTAACCTAGCGATAACTGATCTCTGTGTTGGTATCATTGTGCAACCTTTGAATCTGGCCCATTGGATTTCTGTGGTGACGGAAAGATGGAGTATTTGCTATTACGCACTTCAGGGAACACGTTTCTCAGGTTATACTTTGTGTGCAGTGTCTTTACTAACATCGACTGCAATAAGCGTAGACAGACTTCTCGCGTTGTTGCTGGGGCTCAGATACAGACAAGTTGTAACTTTGAGAAGAACATGTATAACTGCAATCGGTTTTTGGATTTTGCCCATGGTCGCCTCATCAACTTTATTTTGGAATTCTCCTATAAGATCATGGTGTCAATACATGGGTACAGTTCTGTGTCTAGTCACCACAATCTTCGCTTACACAAAAATTTTCTTTTCTCTGCGTCATAATCAAATTCATGTTCAGAACCATGTTGATCAAATAGAACCGAGCCAAGCAATTTCATTGAACATAGCTCGATACAAGAAGGCGGTGTACAGTGCAATGTGGGTACAGGGAACATTGGTTGCATGTTATGTGCCGTATGTTATCACGGTAGCTTTGACACCTCAACGAAGGATGACTTTATCGGTATACCTCTCTAGACAATTTACGGCTACCTTATTGTATTTAAACTCGTCATTAAACCCGTTGCTGTACTGTTTGAAGATCAGAGAAGTAAGGCAAGCTGTAAAAGAAACATTAAGACAACTATTATGTCGATCGAGGTAGGTTATAATGCACTTCAACTTAAAATTCATGCTAAAACCACGAATCTTAAAACGAACCATACACAGTGAAATACTTTGAGTCCATTGCACCCCAAAAGGATCAATGAGGGAAATAGCGGCGTCCTCCCCCCTCCCCGTCGCCCCCTCTTTGTACATCCTAGGGTTAAGTCATATGTTAATAAATGAATTCAAATGCATTCGCTTGAGTTTGTACGTAAAAATGAAAATAAAACAAAATTTAACCAACGTGATCAGTACAAAATTGCAGTACAGTTTTTTTTTTTGATGGGATGTTACTGGCTCAGTTCACTTAACGAAGAGTCATTTTTACCTGAAAAATTTAGAGAGATGACAACACATTCAAACTCCGCTTTACGGACACCAGTTTAAGACAAACACCTCGTTCTGATTACGGACAGTTTGCTTTGTCCCTGATTACAGTCTTAACATTTTCTACAAATTCAACCCGCTTACGAACACACTGTTTATGAACTTTTGGTTTTGACTTATTAGTCCTCTGTTGTGAAAGAAAGATGGGATAAATTTCTATCACGCCAATTTGGCAGAAAACGTTTTAGGTTATACTTTATGCTCAGTGTCTTTATTAACACTGACCGCAATAAGCGTGGACAGACTTGTTACATTGTTTTTAGGGCTCAGATACAGACATGTTGTTTCTTTGAGTGGAAATACAAGTACGCATCATTCCGTACAGGGGAGAGGGAGAGGAAGTTAATAGATATCAGTTCAGAAATATGAGCATCAGCGAGCATCGGCATTGTTGCGTAGAGAAACGATAGGTTTTTTCTCCCATACAAATCCTTATATTTTGAATGTTACTTAACAATGTCGATGCCCACCGGTGCTCATATTTCGAGCTTGGGCTACCTGTGATATATAGTGCTACAAAAATAAAAATTAGTTCCGTGGGTTTTTCTAGAAATGTTAGTTGTTCGCTCATAGTAGAGCCGAAAATTGAGCTCAGCCGTAATTACAACATGTCAGGCGGATTGATTGGACTCCCTGTCTTAAAAGTAGTGCGTGGGAACAACTGATACAGAGATCAATACACGTGTCATAATCCAACCTAATTTTAAGGTTGTTTTCTGTCTATTTGAAGCTTTTAGTTATAACCAAACACTGAGTCATCACCTGACAGTGCAATAATTCAGGAAAACTGGAACAACTAAGAATTACTGAGTCACCATGCACTTTGAAGATTAGTTTACACAATATTGATACGGGAAAAAACTGGTAAAATAAATATTAATATGGAAATGCAGTGCGCTGCAGTGAAATGGCAGTCAGCGCACAAATTTTTATATACCCTACTACTAGCCGAGGTTTCTTTCCGGTATGGTTTTAAGAATTTAAGACGTTTTTTACTTAGTTGCCTCCCATAACGGACACGAAACTTAAAACCATTGTTGCTATCACTAATTAAACCCTTTTTCGGCCATGTGACTTCAAGTTGGTTAATAATACATATAGCACTAGCCTGTAATGTACACTAAGTTGTTATACGTCAAGCTTGCAATGGACAGCTAACATGCGGGGGCACCCAACGAGAATATAGTTCAAAACCACTTTAGCATAGCATTGTTAAAGAAGCTGTGTCACGAAAGATCAGCCAAATTAGGTAATCACAAAATGCCCGTTAAATTAAGAGAAACCTAAAAATAACCGCCTTAAACATTAAAGGAAGGTGAAAAATAACATAACAGAAACAACAGATGCCACGGATGGGCAAAACTAAAGAAGATGAAACAGATTGAAATTAGGGTTTTTGAAAACTGTTCAGCCTAACAGTTTTTTAAAGTTTATCTCTGTTGTTTGCAACTTCAAAAACGATGCTTAGGAGACATATTTGATTCTCTCGAATCTCTGATTTTGTCATTTACATGTAATCTTCTTTGCTTACTTTAAGTTCCATACCGATTGAGAGCTAGACTGAGACGAAACTGAGTTAGACAAAATAAACTGGACTGCCGTGACACAGCTCCTTTAAACGTATTTTAGTATTTAAACCGTAGATATAGGCATATTTTCATCTGTTCGGATCTCCTAGCTGAAAGTCTAGTGATCCGAAAATTATAGGGATTAGAACTTACCTTTTCCAAAATTTCAGCCAAAAAAAAGGCTCCCGAAAATTCTAGGTGACCTTTTCAGGGTAAAAATCCGTTAAAAATGGGCAATTATACCATTTTTTAGATGTTCGAAAGTCCTAGGAGAGGCAGGAAAGCAAGAAATTTTACAACAAATGCTCCGAAAATTGTAGATCTCAAATCGTCTTCCGAACAGATATTTTTACAGGTACCCCAAGCTCGAAATATGAGCGTCGGCGAGCATCGGCGAGCATATATAAGGATTTGCATGGAAAAAAACCTATCGTTTCTGTAACCTACGAAAATGAAAGGATTTCAGTAAACAGCTTACCTTACTTAAAATGTGTGTTACGTCTCTCCTGTGTGGTCCACGGGCCGATTTATGGCCGTTTTATGGGTTTTTATGTAAACGGTTTTCTCTCTGTATAAAACCTTTATATAGAGAGAAAACCGTTTACAGGAAAGACGTAACACACATTTTTAGTAAGGTAAGCTGTTTTTTATTGATATCCCTTTCATTTTCTTAGGTTAACAATGCCGATGCTCTTATTTCGAGCTTGGGCTACCTGTGATATTTTCCGAAAATTGACGTTGGGTGCCCCTGAACATGAAAAGTCATTAAAATCACTGATCAGTCGAGTTCGTTTCACCTGGGCCTGGCACAGGGCACATCATAGTTCAAAGTTAGCTTGAACAACTACAAAACTTTTCTGAATCCCCGGCGCCGTGTTGCCCCGGACGAAGACGTGCTTACTGTTTTCTGACTGACTGCAGCTTTTGCAAACAACTGACAGAAACACAAAGATTTAAAGACCAGACTAGAATTACCGCGTATTCAGGCTTGAGTTACACTCTTTTTTTTATAAGAATGTTGTTTTCCCTGGCCAGGCTGAGTATTCTTATTTTTCCGCCGATTTTAGGCTGTAAATATTCTTCAGGATTATTCTTAATAATAGCTTATGACATTTCCGTTTTAGAATATATTGGGGTATCAATTATAGTTTTGTTTAATATAATTAGCTAGTTTTGCGGTTTAAAGAAAGGAATAAATTGAAAAGGTATATTTGTATTGTATTTACACATTTTCACCTCACAAAATTATATCCTTCTCAAAATCTCAGCCTGAGGTTTATTCTTAAAGTATTCTTAAGATTTCGCAAATTTCAGCCTCGATATTCTCATAAAATATATTCTTATGGAGAAAACGAGTGTATTTATTTAGCGTATTGAAAATGATGTGCGAATCGACATCAATATCACTTTCCACTCAATCTAAAAGAGCGATACGTAAATGACATGGTAAAGCCCGGACGTACACCGGAAACCTCGTTTCATCCATCACAGAGAAATATGGCACTGACAAACTGTCTAGTAATGATATAAACAGCCTTAAGTTAATAGTGATAAACTTGTGCGAATCATATCACTTTCCGCCAAATCAAAAGAGCGATATTTATAAAATAAAGCCCTCACTTGTACCTCATTTCATCGCAGATGAATATGGCTCAGATAAACGTTACTGAAGATGAAAACCAGAAAACATTCATAGAACTGTTCTGCTCGGCGGAGTTTATTAGAGGTGTAGATAGCGAGCTTATATTTCTTTCAGCTCTTAATATTTTTCTTTCCATTACTGCATTTCTGGCGAACACTCTGATCCTAGTTGCTCTACACAAGGAAACGTCACTTCGTCCGTCGTCCAAACTCCTGTATCGTAACCTAGCGTTAACTGATCTCTGTGTTGGTATCATCGTGGAGCCTTTGTATGTGACAAATTGGACTTCTATCGTGAAAGAAAGATGGGATATTTGCTATTATTCACTTCGGACAGCAACTTTCTCAGGTTATACTTTGTGTGTAGTGTCTGCATTAACATTGACGGCAATAAGCGTGGACAGACTTCTCGCGTTGTTGCTGGGGCTCAGATACAGACAAGTTGTAACTTTGAGAAGAACGAGAATAACTGTGATAGGTTTTTGGATTTTGTCCATCGTTGGTGCATCTACCATTATTTGGAATCTACTTATTTTCACATGGTATCAATACATAGTTGCAGCTTTGTGTCCAGTCACCACAATCTTCGCTTACACAAAAATTTTCTTTACTCTGCGTCATAACCAAATTCATGTTCAGAACCATGTTGCTCAAGGACAACCGCGCCAAGCAATTCCCCTGAACATAGCTCGATACAGAAAGGCAGTGTACAGTACACTGTGGGTGCAGGGAACAATGGTTGTTTGTTATCTGCCGTTTACTATAGCGGTCGCTTTGATGCCTCAAAGAGGGATACCTATATCCGCATATCGTGCTTGGCATCTTACAGCTACTTTAGTGTACTTAAACTCGTCTTTAAATCCCTTGCTGTACTGTTGGAAGATCAGTGAAGTAAGACAAGCTGTGAAAGAAACATTAAGGCAACTCTTCTGTAGATCAAGTTAGTTTATTATGCTTTCAGCTCATGAAAAATCATACTGATAAATAACTACAAGTACCGATCGTTTCCTTTATTCATGTCTTATCAACTGCCGTTTAATTGGTCGAGCTTGCTTTAGCAGAGCGAGAATCTAAAACTTCAGCCGTTTTAATTTTTTTTCCGTCGGTCTTCCCCAAATGGTCGGCCATGGTCCCAGAGGTTCCTAGCGGAGACCGAGGAAACTGGGGATAATAATCGTGACGACTTCCCTTGTAATAATAATAATAATAATAATAATTATTATTATTATTATTAATATTATTATTATTAATATTATTATTATTGTAATATTGAAACGAGTGTCAGCGGTTCTTAAAGCATCTCGCAGACAAGATAGCTCAGAAAGACACCGAGCCTTATCGTGTTGTAATCACTTGGCTCAGGACACAGATCTCGTTTGAACTCTTAAGATCGGTACATGCATGCGTCAGAGGTTCGCGAACGCCGTTTCCTAGCAAGATAGAGCAATCATTAGACTGTAAAATAAAAGTCGCTAGTGCGGATATCTAAAATACGTGTCTATATGCTTTTATACTTAGGGTTTTTTATGGACACTGGTTTAGCCGTCATTAGTATAATTCGATTGTATGATCTTGATATCTCTGCATAATGGAATTCTTTATTTTATAGAATTTTGAGCTTTGTTATTAATTATATCTATTTCCTCTTCTTTTATGTAAGGTTAAGTTACTTCTATTTTTTAGAATTTGTAAATGAATAGTTTCTTTCTTCACTTATTATATAATAGGATTGTTATTGCTCTCTAATGAAGGCCGAGGGGTTTCTTTGTAACGGATGGAATTGTAGATAGTGTTTTAATGAATTAGATTTTTTGTAACAGCAGGTTGATTGTAAAAAGGATTTTAATTGAGGTTTTGTAATAAAGATTTTACAATAATAATTATTGTTATTAATAATAAATAATAATTTTATTCAACTTTAAAAAATATGTACATAATTTACAGAAATATTTGAAGTAAGAATTAAGCACTTTGTAACATTAACAATAGTATAAATTGATAAAAATAGCAATCACTGTGTCAATAATGATTTCACAAATACGTTCCTTGCGGTTCAGATGTGGTCACTAGCTCAGTTGCAGGCCAGAGTCCAGAGTATTAAATTAAGTCATTACAAATCCGTCTCTGATATTAAAAGGAAAGATAAGTTAAAAAGAATAAAAAAATAATAATAGTAATAATGATAATAATAATAATATTCATTAACCAATCTTTATTTAAGTATTAGAACAATAAGTAATATTTACAATTTTAAACTATATTGTATTGTTTACAAATTAAAAACTAAATATATGTCCACGATAGATAAACTATTTACAATTGTGAATAATTTAAATGTGGGAAAACGAAAATTAAGCATTACTAAGAAAAAAACTATCAAAAATCTAGGCCTAGAATTATGAGAGCAGATGTAGACCAGCTACAGCGAAAGTGAAGTCTTCTGAGACCTCACGCGATTTCGATCGATATCTAGAACCTCTGACGCATCAGTGTACAGTTCATAATATAGGAAATGAGAGCTGTATTCGAAGCCAGGAAATAACGCTGGCGTAGGGTTCATTGTTCTTAGTCAAAAGCTTATTTGCGAGAGTTTCTAAAAAGTGCTGAGAGTCGACAGTCATTGCTTTTATTACGCATTTTAACATTGAAAAATATGATCAAATGCGCATAACTCTCGAATCTCTTTATACTAAAGCTTAATCATTTGTTACATTTCCTTTCTAATAGGTAATTTAACATAACTCATAACAAGTAACAAGTAGAAAGAGAAGATAAAAGTAGAAAATAAAAACCTTAGATAGCTCAAGACAGGTTGCATTAGACCTCTTTAAAATAGTGCGTCTTAATGAGTCTCTTAAACATATCCAAAATCATTCTCTTTCCTAATATAGTCCGTTAAACCGTTCCATATCTTTGGAGCAGCTGCAGTAAATGATCTGTCCCTAAGAGTGCATTTAACCTTAGCGGTAGGGTCTTGCAAAATAATGCCCAGATTACTCCGCAGGCTATAGCAAGAACATCGTTTAATATTTATAAGATTTATACTTAAATACGCAAGCCCCAGATTGTAAATAGCCTTGAAAGAGATCACAGTGATTTTATAGCAAATTCGGAATTTCACCAGTAACCAATGCAGTGCAAGCAGCACTGGGTTAATATGACCGTACCTGGGTGTATGGGTGATAAGGTCGCGCTGCGGAATTCTTAATCGAAGACGTTGCAATTTGGAAAGATGCAAAGCTGTTACACCATAGAGAAGACCGTTGCAATAATAAATGCATGCCATGATCACGCCTTGTACAAGCCGTTTGGTGGAAGCAGGAGTCAAGAACTTCCTAGTTTATCTGATATTATGCAGGTGATAGTAGATTGATTGAAAAGTCACGAAACCCGGGAGTCGGAACACGTTCGTGTTTTGGACCTCGGAATCATTGCTAATCATTCCTAGCCTGAATAGCAGGCGCTTGGAAGTAGTGGGCGAAAGAAAGAAAGGGCGCGCGCGAGGGAGACACGCGCGGGGTGAGGGAGCAGTGAAATGGCAGCCGTAATTAAACATGTCAGGCGGATTGATTGGACTCCCTGTTCTAAAAGTCGTACGTGGGAAAAACTGATACATAGATCAATACACGTGTAATAACCCAACCTAATTTTAAGGTTGTTTTCTGTCTATTTGAAGCTTTTAGTAGTAACCAAACAAAGACATCTCCTGACAGTGCAATAATTCAGGAAAACTGGAAGAACTAAGAATTAAGTAGCCATGCGCTTTGAAGATTAGTTTACGCAACATAGATATGGGGAAAAACTAGTAAAATAAATATTGATATGGAAAGCCTGTAATTACGAGAATAGCTTGCGAGTAAATGCAATGCAGTGAAATGGCAGTCAGCACACAAATTTTTATATACCCTAATACTAGCCGAGGTTTCTTTCAGGTATCGTTTTTCAGCATTTAAGAAGTTTTCCACTTAGTTGCCGCCCATAACGGACACAAAAATTAAAACCATTGTTGTTCAAGTTGGTCAATAATGCATATAACACTCGCCTGTAATGTACACTAAGTTGTCACACGTGAAGCTTGAAATGGACAGGTAACATAAAAAGTCATTAAAATCACTGATCATTTCGCAGTTCATTTCACCTGAGCCTGGCACAGGGCACATCATAGTTCGAAGTTAGCTTGAACAACTACAATACTTTTCTGAACTCCCAGCACCGTATCAGCCCGACGAAGACGTGCGTACTGTTTTCTGACTGACTGCAGCTTTTGCAAACAACCGACAGAAACACAAAGCTTTAAAGACCAGACTAGAATTACCGCGTATTCAGCCTTGAGCTACACTCTCTGCTTTTTTATGAGAATGTTGTCAGTTCCCGGGCAGGACGAATATTCTTATTTTTCCGCCGATTTTACGCTGTAAATATTCTTTTATTATTCTTAATAATAGCTTATGACATTTCCGTTTTAGAATATATTGGGGTATCAATTATAGTTTTGTTAAATATAATTAGCTAGTTTTGCCGTTTAAAGAAAGGAATAAATTGAAAAGGTATATTTGTATTGTATTTACACATTTTCACTACACAAAATTATATCTTTCTCAAAATCTCAGCCTGGGGTTTATTCTTAAAGTATTCTTAAGATTTCGCAAATTTCAGCCTCGATATTCTCATAAAATATATTCTTAGAGAAAAAAAGAGTGTATTTGCATATTGAAAATGATGTGCGAATCATCAATAACACACCACTCAATCTAAAAGAGTGATACTAATTAAAGCCCTTTCGTACACCTCGTTTCATCACAGAGAAATATGGCACTGACAAACTTTACTAAAGATGAAAACCAGAAAACATTCAAAGAACTGGTCTGCTCGGCGGAGTTTTTTAGAGGTGTAGATAGCGAGCTCATCTTTCTCTCAGCCATAAATATTTTTCTTTCCATTACTGCATTTTTGGGGAACACTCTGATCCTAGTTGCCCTACACATGGAAACTTCACTTCATCCGCCGTCCAAACTCCTGTATCGTAACCTGGCGATAACTGATCTCTGTGTTGGTATCATTGTGGAGCCTTTGCATGTAACTTATTGGACTTCTGTTGTGAAAGAAAGATGGGATATTTGCTATTATTCACTTCGGACAGGAGCTTTCTCAGGTTATACTTTGTGTGTAGTGTCTGCATTAACATTGACGGCAATAAGCGTGGACAGACTTCTCGCCTTGTTGCTGGGGCTCAGATACAGACAAGTTGTAACTTTGAGAAGAACGAGAATAACTGTGATAGGTTTTTGGATTTTGTCCGTCGTTGGTGCATCTACCATTATTTGGAGTCTATTTATAACCACATGGTATCTACATATAGTTGCAGCTTTTTGTGTAGTCACTATAATCTTCTCTTACACAAAAATTTTCTGTACTCTGCGTCATAACCAAATTCATGTTCAGAACCATGTTGCTCAAGGACAACCGAGCCAAGCAATTCCACTGAACATAGCTCGATACAGAAAGGCAGTCTACAGTGCACTGTGGGTGCAGGGAACATTTGTTGTTTGTTATCTGCCGTTTACTATAGCGGTCGCTTTGATGCCTCAAAGAGGGATACCTATATCCGCATATCGTGCTTGGCATTTTACGGCTACCTTAGTTTACTTAAACTCGTCTTTAAATCCCTTGCTGTACTGTTGGAAGATCAGTGAAGTAAGAGAAGCTGTAAAAGAAACATTAAGGCAACTCTTCTGTCGATCGAGTTAGTTTATTATGCTTTTCAGCTGAAAAATCATACTGATAAAAGTACCGATCGTTTCCTTTATTCATGTCTTATCAACTGCCGTTTAATTAGTCGAGCTAGCTTTAGCAGAGCAAGAATCTAAAACTTCAGCCGTTTTTTTTTTTTCCGTCGGTCTTCCCTAAATGGTCGGCCATGGTCCCAGAGGTTCCTAGCGGAGACCGAGGAAACTAGGGATAACAATCGTAACGACTTCCGTTGTAATAAGAATAATAGTAATAATAATAATAATAATAATAATAATAATTATTATTATTATTATTATTATTATCATTATTATTATTAATAATAAATAATAATTTTATTCAACTTTAAAAAATATGTACATAATTTACAGAAATATTTGGAGTAAGAATTAAGCACTATATAATATTAAGAATAGTATAAATTGATAAAAATAGCAATCACTGTGTCAATAACGATTTCACAAATACATTCCTTGCGGCTCAGATGCGGTTCGCACTAGCTCTTGCAGGCAGTCCAGAGTTTTAAATTAAGTCATTACCAATCCGTCTCTGATATTAAAAGGAAAAACAAGTTAAAAGAAAAATAATAATAATAATAATAATAAGTATGTGTAATCAAATGGTGACGAGTGAAATTAGGGAATAATTTCATGCGCGTTTTGTCCAATCCTTATAATTTCCCGAGCCTTTAGGCGAATCCTTCTTGATGTGCTCTTTTGTGTGTTCAGGTTTTCTAAAGCGTCTTTTTATGCCCTGACATCTTCATTCATGACATTTTAAAACTTCGCTGCCATCTTGAAACGGAGACGTACGGCTGGTTGCCATGGCAATTTAGTAATTTCGCATGTGAAATTACAAATTAACGCTGAAATTTCGCGCCAAAATTAAGGAGTAATTCGTTCCCTATGATATTAGTATAGGTAATAGCATGATTTGTAGTGATATTTGGCATAAATACCACGAGTGATATTTCGAAATTGTTATACGTAATTTTTCGTAATTTGAGACAATTTTGAAACATCACGAGTGGTATTTATGCCACATATCACGTACAAATCATGCTATTATTTGTTTATACTACTACCCACAAAAGGTTTGTAATTTCCACATGTAGGTATTTCAAATTAAGCTGAAATACCACTGCTCTAAGCCAATCAAATTAAAGAAATTTCTGATGTAGTAGTATACTAATAATAATATGCATTAACCAACCTTTATTTAAGTATCAGAACAATAAGTAATATTTACAATTTTAAACTATATCGTATTGTTTACAAATTAAAAACTAAATATATGTCCACGATAGATAAACTATTTACAATTGTGAATAATTCAAAAGTGGGAAAAGGAAAATTAAGCATTACTAAGAAAAAAACTATCAAAAATCTAGGCCTAGAATTATGAGAGCAGATGTAGACCAGCTACAGCGAAAGTGAAGTCTTCTGAGACCTCGCGCGATTTGGATCGATATCTAGAACCTCTGACGCATCTGTGTATAATTCATAATATAGCAAATGAGAGCTGTATTCGAAGCCAGGAAATAACGCTGGCGTAGGGTTCATTGTTCTTAGTCAAAAGCTTATTTGCGAGAGTTTCTAAAAATTGCTGAGAGTCGACAGTCATGGCTTTTATTGCGCATTTTAACATTGAAAAATATGATCAAATGCGCATAACTCTTAAATCTCTATATACTAAAGCTTAATCATATGTTACATTTCCATCCTAAACTAACTCATAACATTAAGAAGTAAAAATAGAAGATAAAAGTAGAAAATAAAAACCTTAGATAGCTCAAGACAAGTCGCATTAGGCCTCTTTAAAATAGTTCGTCTTAATCAGTCTCTTAAACATATCAAAATCATTCTCTTTTTTATATAGTCCGGTAAACTGTTCCACATCTTTGGAGCAGCTGCAGTAAATGATCTGTCCCTAAGAGCGCATTTAAACTTAGCGGTAGGGTCTTGCAAAATAACGCCCACATTACTCCGCAGGCTATAGCGAGAACATCGTTTAATATTTATGAGATTGCTTAAATACGCAAGCCCCAGATTGTAAATAGCCTTGAAAGAGATCACAGCGATTTTATAGCAAATTCGGAACTTCACCGGTAACCAATGCAGTGCAAGCAGCACTGGGTTAATATGACCGTACCTGGGTGTATGGGTGATAAGGTCGCGCTGCGGAATTCTGAATCGAAGACGTTGCAATTTGGAAAGATGCAAAGCTGGTACACCATAGAGAAGACCGTTGCAATAATAAATGCATGCCATGATCACGCCTTGTACAAGCCGTTTGGTGGAAGCAGGCGTCAAGAACTTCCTGATTTATCTGATATTATGCAGGTGATAGAGTCGGAACACGTTCGTGTTTTGGACCTCGGAATCATTCCTAATCATTCCTAGCCTGCGTAGCAGGCGCTTGGAAGTAGTGGGCCAAAGAAAGAAAGGACGCGCGCGAGGGAGACACGCGAGGGTTGAGGGAGCAGTGAAATGGCAGCCGTAATTAAACATGTCAGGCGGATTGATTGGACTCCCTGTCCTAAAAGTAGTGCGTGGGAAGAACTGATACAGAGATCAATACACGTGTAATAACCCAAACTAATTTTAAGGTTGTTTTCTGTCTATTTGAAGCTTTTTGTTGTAACCAAACAAAGACATCTCCTGACAGTGCAATAATTCAGGAAAACTGGAAGAACTAAAAATTAAGTTACCATGCGCTTTGAAGATTAGTTTACACAACATAGATATGGGGAAAAACTAGTAAAATAAATATTGATATGGAAAGCCTGTAATTACGAGAATAGCTTGCGAGTAAATGCAATGCAGTGAAATGGCAGTCAGCGCACAAATATTTATATACCCTACTACTAGCCGAGGTTTCTTTCCGGTATCGTTTTTAGCATTTAAGAAGCTTTTCACTTAGTCGCCTCCCATAACGGACACAAAAATTAAAACCATTGTTGCTATCACTAATTATACCTTTTTTCGGCCATCTGACTTCAAGTTCGTTAATAATGCATATAACAATCGCCTGTAATGTACACTAAGTTGTTATACGTCAAGCTTGCAATCGACAGGTAACATGAAAAATCATTAAAATCACTAATTAGTCCAGTTCGTTTCACCTGAGCCTGGCACAGGGCACATCATAGTTCGAAGTTAGCTTAAACAACTACAAAACTTTTCTGAACTCCCGGCACCGTATCAGCCCGACGAAGACGTGCGTAATGTTTTCTGACTGACTGCAGCTTTTGCAAACAACCGACAGAAACACAAAGCTTTAAAGACCGGGCATTCAGCCTTGAGTTACACTCTTTTTTTATAAGAATGTTGTTTTCCCTGGCCAGGCTGAATATTCTTATTTTCCCACCGATTTTAGGCTGTAAATATTCTTGTATTATTCTTAATAATAGCTTATGACATTTCCGTTTTAGAATACATTGGGGTATCAATTATAGCTTTGTTAAATATAATTAGCTAGTTTTGCCGTTTAAAGAAAGGAATAAATTGAAAACGTATATTTGTGTTGTATTTACAGTTTTTCACCTCACAAAATTATATCCTTTTCAAAATTTCATCCTGGGGTTTATTCTTAAAGTATTTCTTAAGATTTCGCAAATTTCAGCCTCGATATTCTCATAAAATATATCCTTAGAGAAAAAAAAAAGTGTATTTGCATATTGAAAGTGATGTGCGAATCATCAATAATACACCACTCAATCCAAAAGAGCGATACTAAATAAAGCCCTTTCGTACACCTCGTTTCATCACAGAGAAGTATGGCTCAGACAAACGTTACTGAAGATGAAAACCAGAAAACATTTACAGAACTGTGGTGCTCAGCGGAATTTTTAAGAAGTGTAGATGGCGAGCTTATTTTCCTTTCAGCTCTAAATATTTTTCTTTCCATCACTGCATTTTTGGGGAACACTCTGATCCTAGTTGCCCTACACGGAGAAACTTCACTTCATCCGCCGTCCAAACTCCTGTATCGTAACCTGGCGATAACTGATCTCTGTGTTGGTATCATTGTGGAGCCTTTGCATGTAACTTATTGGACTTCTGTTGTGAAAGAAAGATGGGATATTTGCTATTATTCACTTCGGACAGGAGCTTTCTTAGCTTATACTTTGTGTGTAGTGTCTGCCTTAACATTGACGGCAATAAGCGTGGACAGACTTCTCGCCTTGTTACTGGGGCTCAGATACAGACAAGTTGTAACTTTAAGAAGAACGAGTATAACTGTGATAGGTTTTTGGATTTTGTCCATCGTTGGTGCATCTACCATGATTTGGAGTCTATTTATAAACACATGGTATCTACGCATAGTTACAGCTTTTTGTGTAGTCACTATAATCTTCGCTTACACAAAAATTTTCTGTACTCTGCGTCATAACCAAATTCATGTTCAGAACCATGTTGCTCAAGGACAACCGAGCCAAGCAATTCCACTGAACATAGCTCGATACAGAAAGGCAGTCTACAGTGCACTGTGGGTGCAGGGAACATTTGTTGTTTGTTATCTGCCGTTTTCTACAGCGGTCGCTTTGATGCCTCAAAGAGGGATACCTATATCTGCATATCGTGCTTGGCAGTTTACGGCTACTTTAGTTTATTTAAACTCGTCTTTAAATCCCTTGCTGTACTGTTGGAAGATCAGTGAAGTAAGAGAAGCTGTAAAAGAAACATTAAGGCAACTCTTCGGTCGATCGAGTTAGTTTATTATGCTTTTCAGCTGAAAAATCATACTGTTAAATAACTACAAGTACTCGTTTTCTTTTTGCATGTCTTATCAACTGACGTTTAATTAGTCGAACTTGCTTTAGCAAAGCGAGAACCTAAAACTTTAGCCGTTTTTTTTTTCCGTCGGTCTTCCCCAAATGGTCGGCCATGGTCCCAGAGGTTCCTAGCTGAGACCGGGGAAACTGGGGATAACAATCGTGACGACTTCCGTTGTAATGATAATAATAATAATAATAATAATAAGAAGAATTAATAATAATAATTAATAATAAATTTATTCAACTTTAAAAAGTATGTACATAATTTACAGAAATATTTGGAGTTAGAATTAAGCACTATATAACATTAAGAATAGTATAAATTGATAAAAATAGCAATCACTGAGTCAATAACGTTTTCACAAATACATTCCTTGCGGCTCGGATGCGGTCACTAACTCTTGCAGGCAGTCCAGAGTTTTAAATTAAGTCATTACCAATCAGTCTCTGATATCAAAAGGAAAAACAAGTTAAAAAGAATAATAATAATAATAATAATAATAATATTCATTGCTTTTATTGCGCATTTTACCATTGAAAAATATGATCAAATGCGCATAACATTCGAATATGACTAAAACAAAAGATATATTACATACTCTCTATATACTAAAGCTTAATAATTTGTTACATTTCCTTCCTAATAGTTAATTTAGCATAACTCATAACAAGTAAGAAGTAAAAATAGAAGATAAAAGTAGAAAATAAAAACCATAGATAGCTCAAGACAGGGCGCTATAGGCCTCTTTAAAATAGTGCGTCTTAATGAGCCTCTTAAACATATCCAAAATCATTCTCTTTCCCAAAGTAGTCCAGTAAACCGTTCCATATCTTTGGAGCAGCTGCAGTAAATTTTCTCTGTCCCTAAGAGTGCATTTGAACTTAGCGATAGGGTCTTGCAAAATAACGCCCACATTACTCTGCAGGTTAGAGCAAGAACATCGTTTAATATTTACGAGATTACTTAAATACGCAGGCCCCAGATTGTGAATAGCCTTGAAAGAGATCCCAGCGATTTTATAGCAAATTCGGAACTTCACCGGTAACCAATGCAGTGCAAGCAGCACTGGGGTAATGTGCAAGTATCTGGGTGTATGGGTGATAAGTCGCGCTGCGGAATTCTGAAGACGTTACAATTTAGAAAGATACACAGCTGGTACACCATAGAGAAGACCGTTGCAATTATAAATGCGTGCTATGATCACGCCTTGTACAATGAGCCGTTTGGTGGAAGCAGGCGTCAAGAACTTCCTTATTTGTCTGATATTATGTAGGTGATAGTAGATGGATTGTCAAGTTGTGAAACCCGGGAGTGGAGCACGTTCGTGTTTTGGACCTCGAAATCATTCCTAATCTTTCCCAGCCTGCGTAGCAGGCGCTTGGAAGTAGTGGGCGAAAGAAAGAAGGGGCGCGCGCGACGGAGACACGCGAGGGTTGAGGGAGCAGTCGAAAAGCAGTCAGCGGACAAATTTTCATATACCCTACTACTAGGCGAAGTTTCTTTCCGCTATGGTTTTAAGCATTTACGAAGTTTTTCACTTAGTTGTTTCCCATAACAGGCACAAAAATTAAAACCATTGTTGCTGTTATTAATTATACCTTTTTTCGGCCATCTTACCTCAAGTTGGTTAATAATGCATATAACACTCGCCTTGGCGGGAAAATGGTTCGATGGTGACTCAAGCTTATAAACCTAACAGTTTGTGTTATTGGAATTTTCTGCCAAATTACTCATACGTCAAGCTTTTAATGTACAGGCAATATGAAAAGCCATTAATTAAAAATCTTCCGTCCAGTTCGTTTCACCTGAGCCTGCATGGCACTTGCAGGCTGCATCATAGTTTGAAGTTAGCTTGAACAACTACAAAACTTCTCTGAACCCCCGTCTGGCCCGACAAAGAAGTGCGTACTGTTTTCTGACTGACTGCATCTTTTTAACATCAGATGACAGAAACACGATGATAATGATATAAACAGCCTTAAGTTATTAGTGATAAACTTGTGCGAATCATATCAAAGTAAAAGAGCGATATCTATAAAATAAAGCCCTCACTTGCGCCTCATTTGATGATGATGATGATGATGATGATAAACATTTTCAGTGTCAGGTTTTCTAGCTGGCCATGTAAGGCCTACTAACATGGGACACTAAATTAAAATACTATCAGCTCCAACTAATTAATATAAAAAAAATATTTACAAAGAATAAAATTTACAAAAATATACATCCTAAAAAAAATGTCGAGAAAACGTATTCGGATTTATCATATAAAATAATACTCATTGATTAAGAGGTGTCCTTTTTCATTTATGTACAACATAGAAAGCAGTTTTTACAGCCCTCTGTGATTACTTGTTCAAGATCTACCTTAAGAGTTTTCTTTTTAAAGCTGTAAATTGATTTTGCGTTTTGCTTAGTTTAGACCATATTACTGAGCCCACGTATCTTAGGTTATGTCTCCCGTAAGTTGTTGTGTTGTATCGAGGAATAAAAAAGTCACTAGAATTTCTGAGCCCGTAGCGAGGTTTATCGAGCTTAAAAATGTCCTTTTTGTACGGAGGGCATATATTGTACTTTGCCTTATACGTAATTATGGCTATGTCCTGCAATCGGCGACAGCCTAATGTCGTGAGTTTAGCCTTTTTCAAGAGCTCATCGTATGAACTTCTCGTATCGCAGTAGACGGCTCTTAACGCTCGCTCTTGTACTCGCTTCATCTTTCTGCTATCCGACGCCCTACAGAAATGCCACACTGTATGACAGTATGTAATTTGAGGCATTATGAAAGAAATGAAAATCTTAAGTTTGGCTGATAGTGTTAACATGTTTCTAAGCCTCATCAAAACTGCAACCTTCCTAGATGTGTTTTTACATACCTCTCCAATATGCCTACTAAAATTCAAATGTTCGTCAATGGTCACTCCCAGTAATTTCATTTCAGAGTGACTCTCAATATCAATATACATGTATATTTATACTGGCAAAAATCATCGTTCAATGTTCTGGGTGTAAATTTCCTGAAAGAGTTCTCCTCACTGGTGCAATATCAATATGTAAAAGGTCTCAAAAGTTTCACATTGGTGTGAAGCTAAACCGAATGTGCGGCATGTCTCTCCTTGCAATCACTTTTTGAGTATTTACACTCCTTTTGTATTCCAAACGAAAAAGTAGCATGACAGCACCACCGCCTGTGACAACAAAACTTATCACCAAGCCCCATGGGCTCCAAGCAAGCGAAACTCAACGCTACTAAGAGCGTTCTTGTTTATCCAAATACTGTTGCGAATCTGCGTGCGTCAGTTGAGGGAAATAGAAAGGTAACAAAAGAGGCCAAAAGGAAGGAACATATATCTCGAAAGAGAGAGGTGGGAAAACTGTTTCGACCTCTGTGCTTAGTTATTTGGGTTTTATGTAGAAATACAGGAACCCGTTAATTTGGCCAGTTGATCATTGCTTAATCATAAGAAATATCATATTTTCTTAAATCGTCTGTTCTTGTTGATCTCACTTTCCTGCATGTATTTAGCTAATCGTGTGTTGTTAGTATACAGTAGTATATACATCAGAGAGTGCACTGTTTTATAATAATGTCATAGTGAACACTTGTATACAGTTATGACAGTTTGAGGCGTTAATTTCTTTAATCAAAACGAGTGTCATGATGACGTTTTCATTCTGTCAATCATTACAAACCCGAAATTAAGACGGGGGAGGGGGGTGGGGGCACTCAAGAGAAGTTTGGTAGAGGTGTGCCGCCGAGGCCTTCAAACCCTTGACTCTGTTTAAGACGAAAATGGTTCAGGTACCACATATATAGACCGCTCACCGTCAACTCCATCCACACTCTGTGCACCCCCCGGTGTAAACCAAACAAGTTGGTATGTTTAGACTGTTAAGGCTTCTTGTCTTCATACTTGGCAGGACTAGCTCTTTCTCGATCAAGAAGAAGTGAAAAGAGGCTCTGCTCACAGGATGGCAGAGCCGATGATTATTAAGTTCGAGGAAATATAAGAGCTGTCAGGGGTCTAGAACGTAACTATGTACGCATCTACAGGGGAGAGGGAGAGGAAATTAATAGATCTCAGTTCCTTATTTATATAGTTCTACAAAAATGGCGTTTATTTCCTTAGGTTTTTCTAGAAGTGTTTGTTATTCGCTTATAACAAAGCCGAAAACAGGGCTCAGGTAAATGAACATATCTGGGCAGATTGATTGGACTCCATGTCTTAAAAGTAGGGCGTGGGAACAACCGATACAAAATTAATGCACGAGTCATATTATAATAAGGTTTGTTTTCTGTCCATTTGAAGCTTTAAGTTATAAGCAAACAATAACATCACCTGCTTTGCTTTTGCTTAGTAGTGCAATAATTCAGTAAAACGGGAAGAGAATTAAATTGCCATGCGCTTAGATAATTAGTTTACACAGTATAGATATGGGGAATAACTCTTGAGAGTAGATGCAGTGCAGTGAAATGGCAGTGAGCAGACAAATCTTAATATACCCTACTACTAGCCGAGGATTCTTTCTGTTATGCATTTTAAGCATTTACGAAGTTTTTCAATTAGTTGCCTCACATAACAGGCACAAAACTTAAAACCATTGTTGCTATCACTAATTATGCCTTTTTTCGGCCATCTGACCGCAAGTTGTTTAATAATGCATATAACGCCTGGGAAAATGGTTCGATGACGACTCAAGCTTATAAACTTAACAGTTTGTGTTAATGGAATTTTCTGTCAAATTACTCATACGTCAAGCTTTTAATGGACAGACAACATGAAAAGCCATTAAAATCTTCCGTCCAGTTCGTTTCACCTGAGCCTATAACATGCAGGCTGCATCATAGTCAAAGCTGGCTTGAACAACTGCAAATTAAACTTTTCTGAAACCCCGTCTAGCCCGACAAAAACGTGCGTACTGTCTTCTGACTGACTGCAGCTTTTTACCATAAGCTGACAGAAACAAGATGATATTTATATAAACAGCCTTAAGTTATTAGTGATAAACTTGTGAGAATCATATCACTTTCCCCCAAAATTAAAAGAGTGATATTCAAATAAAGCCCTCACTTGCACCTCATTTCATCGCAGATGAATATGGCTCAGACAAACGTTACTGAAGATGAAAACCAGAAAACATTCATGGAACTGTTCTGCTTGGCGGAATTTATCAGAGGTGTAGATGGCGAGCTTACATTTCTTTCAGCTCTTAATATTTTTCTTTCCATTACTGCATTTCTGGGGAACACTCTGATCCTAGTTGCCCTACACAAGGAAACTTCACTTCATCCGCCGTCCAAACTCCTGTATCGTAACCTAGCGATAACTGATCTCTGTGTTGGTATCATTTTGGATCCTTTGGCTGTGACTTATTTGACTTCTGTTTTAAAGGAAAGATGGGATATTTGCTATTACTCACATTTTGCTGAAGTTTTCTCAGGTTATATTTTGTGTGTAGTGTCTTTAGTAACACTGACTGCAATAAGTGTGGACAGACTTCTCACCTTGTTGCTGGGGCTCAGATACAAACAAGTTGTAACTTATAGAAAAACATGTATAACTGTAATTAATTTATGGATTTTTTCCATCGTCGGTGCATCTACTATCTTTTGGAATCGTCTTATAACTTCATGGTGGCAATACATAATTACAGCTCTGTGTCTAATCACCACAATCTTCGCTTACGCAAAAATTTTCCTTTCTCTGCATCATAATCAAATTCATGTTCAGAACCACGTTGCTCAAGGACAACCGAGCCAAGCAATCACACTGAACATAGCTCGATACAGAAAGGCGGTGTACAGCACACTGTGGGTGCAGGGTACATTGGTTGCATGTTATTTGCCGTTTGGTATAGTGGTAGCTTTGACACCTCAACAAGGGATGACTTTATCGGTATACCTCGTTAGACGATTTACTGTTTCTTTACTTTATTTAAACTCGTCATTAAACCCATTCCTGTACTGTTGGAAGATCAGGGAAGTAAGGCAAGCTGTAAAAAAAACGTTAAGGCAACTATTCTGTCGATCGAGTTAGTTTACTATGGTTTTCAACTTAAAATTCCTCAGTGCCAAAAACACTAGACGGTCCTTAAAACAAATCATACACATGTATAATATTTAATGTCTATTGTGCCTCAAAAGGTTCAGTCTTTGACGGAAAGAGCGGTATTTATTAACCATTCATATGTATTTGCTTGAGTTTATTGTACGTAAAATTAACAACAAAACAAATTTTAACCAACGCGATCAGTACAAAAATTAAAGTACATTTTTGTTGTTTCATGGGATTTTACTGGCTCAGTTCACTTAACGAAGAATCATTTTTACCTGATAAATTTAGAGAGATGACAGAACATTCAAACCCCGCTTTTTTTAATAATGATAGCATTAAGCAATTGACCACACTTTCTATGGGTTTACCGGCGTAATAACCCACGCGGGATGTTGGAAAAGCACGAGAAAAGTTTGTAAATCACGAGCCGAAGGCGAGTGATTTACAAGCTTTTCGAATGTTCTCCCATTATCCCAAGTGGGCTATCACGCCGATAAACCCATAGAAATTGTGGTCTATTGCTTTTATAAAATAACTTTAAGTAAAACTGTGAGTTTACCGGCACAATAAACCATAGGTTTTTGACCAATCAGAACGCGCGTACTATCTTTTATAAAATAATGATAATATTGAATAATCTTTATAGAGGAAGCTCTAGTCACATTTAGTGGTTTTCAGGGAGGTCCACACCAAGATTAAAAAATGTGAGAAGTACTAATTACAATAAATCAGTCTTAAAAATTTAACTATTACTCAAATATAAAAAGCTAAGGGATGAAAAGTTAAAGGGCAAGAAGGCTAAAAGACTAAAAAAAGGCCGTAAGTGAAAAAATATACAATCAAACTAAAAGATTTAACTATGATTCGAATATAAAGGCTATCGACTGAAATGTTTGGCTTTTAAGTGCCGCTTAAAAATTTTGCATTGCATTGGTTTCCTTAAAAGATTGGGGAGACTTGCCCAGTCACTAATGCAACTGTATAACTCGTTCTTTAGATCATAACCCCCTCCACATTGTGGACTGTGCCTTTGACCTTTGCGTTTACCTGAAACCTTTCCATGTTCTCTTATGCGCCTGGTTATGAGGCAGGAAAATGTGTGTAGTGAAAGCAGACAATCACTAAAGAGAAGGTACTTTTCGTGAGCAATATAATACCGTTCGGGTAAAAAAAGGAGAACTGGGATCTACTCATTCTTGTATCCCCAAAGACGCATCCTACCAGCAGAGTCTTTCTTTCTCTTGCTTGATTTTAGCGTACTCGAGAAAGACTGCACCATTCGAGTCGGCGATCTTTTTTACCATGCGCTGCATGTTGCTAGGATACAGTTCCGAACACAGGCCTAAAGCCGTGCGCTGGGTACAACAGGCTCAGTTATCATCAGAGGTTTATAAACTGAAACGGATGCTCGCATTAGAGAAACCAGTTTGACGAGGGAAAACGTGATTGACTTGTTCACAAGTTCTTTGATGCGACTCATGCAAAGCCTCCTTTTCTCTAGCTCTTCCTCGATCAAGTAGAAGCGAAAAAGAGGCTCTGCTCACAGGATGGCAAAGCTGTTGATTATTAAGTTCGAGGAAATATAAGAACTGTCAGGGGTTTAGAACGAAACTAAGTACGCATCTACAGGGGAGAGGGAGAGGAAGCTAATAGATCTCAGTTCCCTATTTATATAGTGCTTCCAAAATCGTATTTAGTTCCGTTGGTTTTTCTAGAAATGTTAGTTATTCAAGCCAGTAGCAAGCATAAAATGACTGGGGGGACTGAGCGAGTAGCCCACATTAACCCCCCCCGCTTCGGTCCCTCGGTTAAAGCATACTTCTTGGTACATGTCAAATCACTACATTTGTCTACAATACCTTTTGTTCTTGTCTCTAATTTTCCGTTTGTGTTGACTTTGACGAAATAGAGAACTTGTTTGGGATATCTTTCGCGGAAAGTTGTTCTTTGATTCGGATTGTTTCTTCGACTACACCAGGCTCTGTGTCACTAGAGCATGGTTTTACCCGCGATAAGAGTGTTCCCTGCTTATTTTCGACTTGTTTCGATTTCTTTTACGGCGGCTCTTGCGAAGACATTGTAAGACTTTCAATATCATGTAAACGCGCAAAAACCTAAGTTTTACTCTAGTACAGAGGTATATTTTACACTGACGGACCTCTTAGGAAACCAATAAAGTTCAAGAGGTCAAGTTCAGGGATTGTCATTGGTGCATTTCCATCTATTTTGCTTCTGACTATTTTGATGCTCAATAAGGAGATATTCTAAAGCTGTTGGTTGTTTTTGGCAGAGCAAAAATACGATTTCGTTCATTTACACAATTCCAAATTGCACAGAGGAACAACAGTACATAATGTTACTATGATCGACAATACTTTGAAACTTTAGCCTCCATTGACAGCTGTCCATTTTAGTACCAAAATTCCACTTTTATAGCAAAAATTAATTCAATTCTGAAAATTTCTCGGGGGGGCTTGAGCCCCCCCTGCCCCTCCCCCTGCTATGGGCCTGTTATTCGCTTATAGTAAAGACGAAAATTGAGCTCAGGTAATTGAAAATGTGTGGGCGGATTCAATGGACTCCCTGTCTTGAAAGTAGCGCGTGGGAACAACTGATACAAGATCAATACAAATGTCATAATCCAGCCTAATTAAAGTTTTTACGTTGATTTCTGTCTATTTGAAGCTTTGAAACAAAGACATCACCTCCTTTGCTTTTGGTTAACAGTGCAATGATTCAGGAAAACGGGAAGAACTAAGAATTAAGTCACCATGCGCTCAGATAATTATATATATTAGTACAATATAGATATGGGGAAAAACTGGTAATACGGTCGATTGACTCCCGATAATTGGAACCTTCAAGGGAAATAGGAAGAAATTCGAGTTATCGGGAGTTCGAGTTATTGTGGGTGAAATTATATAGAAAACGATCTGAAGGGAAATGAACATTTCCCCGAGTTAGCGGAAAGTTCGAGTTATAGAGGGTTTGAGTTGCCGGGAGTTGACTGTATTAAAACAGCTGTGTATTAATATGCAAAGCACGTACTTGCGAGAATACCTTGCGAGTAAATGCAGTGCAGTGAAATGACAGTCAGGGGACAAATTTTAATATACCCTACTACTAGCCGAGGTTGTTTTCCGGTATAGTTTTTAGCATTTAAAACGTTTTTCACTTAGTTGCCTCCCATATCAGGCACAAAAATCAAAACCATTGTTGCTCTAATTAATTATACCTAATGCAAATAAGGCTCGCCTAAAATGTACACTAAGTTGTCATACGTCAAGCTTGAAATGGACGGATACTGAAAAGTTAACATCACTGATCCGTCCAGTTCGTTTCAACCGAACCTGGCACAGAGCACATCATAGTTCGAAGTTAGCTTGAACAACTACAAAACTTTTCTGAACCCCTGGCACCGTATGACCCGACGAAGACGTGCTTACTGTTTTCTGCAGACTGACTGCAGCTTTTAGAAATTAAAACAATTGACAGAAACACGTTAAAGACCAGACTAGAATTACCGCGTATTCAGCTTTGAGTTACCCTTTTTTTTATAACGATGTTATTTTTCCGGCCCAGGCTGAATATTTTTACATTTCCGCCGATTTTAAGCTGAAATTATTCTTTCATGATTCATGAATATAAATTGAAAACATATTAATATTGGTTATTGCATTTACCGATTGTCACCTGCACACAAAATTATATCTTCAAAATCTCAGCCTGTGGTTTATTCTTGAAGTATTCTTAAAATTCCTCAAATTTAAGCCTCGATACTCTTATAAAATATATTCTTATATAAAAAAAAAGAAGAGTGTATTAGCGTATTGAAAATGATGTGCGAATCATCAATATCACTTTCCACTCAATCTAAAAAGCGATATGTAAATGACATGATAAATAAAGCCCTGTCGTACCCCGGAAACCTCGTTTGATCGATCACAGAGAAATATGGCGCTGACAAACTTTACTGAAGATGAAAACCAGAAAACATTCATAGAACTGTTCTGCTCGGCGGAGTTTATTAGAGGTGTAGATAGCGAGCTTATCTTTCTCTCAGCCATAAATATTTTCCTGTCCATTACTGCATTTCTGGGGAACACTTTGATCCTAGTTGCCCTACACAAGGAAACTTCACTTCATCCGCCGTTCAAACTCCTGTATCGTAACCTAGCGATAACTGATCTCTGTGTTGGTATCATTGTGGAGCCTTTGTATGTGACAAATTGGACTTCTGTCTTGAAAGAAAGATGGGATATTTGCTATTATTCTTTTCGGACAGCAGCTTTCTCAGGTTATACTTTGTGTGCAGTATCTTTATTAACAGTGACGGCAATAAGCGTGGACAGACTTCTCGCCTTGTTGCTGGGGCTCAGATACAGACAAGTTGTAACTTTGAGAAGAACGAGTATAACTGTGATAGGTTTTTGGATTTTGTCCATCGTTGGTGCATCTACTATTATTTGGAATCTATTTATAACCACATGGTATCAACACATAGTTGCAGCTTTGTGTCTAGTCACTATAATCTTCGCTTACACAAAAATTTTCTGTACCCTGCGTCATCACCAAATTCATTTTCAGAACGATGTTGCTCAAGGGCAACCGAGCCAAGCAATTCCACTGAACATAGCTCGATACAGAAAGGCAGTCTGTAGTGCACTGTGGGTGCAGGGAACATTTGTTGTTTGTTATCTGCCGTTTACTATAGCGGTCGCTTTGACGCCTCAAAGAGGGGTACGTATATCCGCATACCGTGCTCGGCATTTTACAGCTACTTTAGTGCACTTAAACTCGTCTTTAAATCCCTTGCTGTACTGTTGGAAGATCAGTGAAGTAAGACAAGCTGTGAAAGAAACATTAAGGCAACTCTTCTGTCGATCGAGTTAGTTTACTATGCTTTTCAGCTGAAAAATCATACTGATAAATAACTACATCGTACTCGTTTTCTTTTGTCATGTCTTATCAACTGCCTTTTAATTAGTCGAGCTTGCTTTAGCAGAGCGAGAATCTAAAACTTCAGCTTTTTTTTTTTCCGTCGGTCTTCCTCAAGTGGTCAGCCATGGTCCCAGAGGTTCCTAGCGGAGACCGAGGAAACTGGGGATAACAATCGTGACGACTTCTGTTGTAATAATAATAATAATAATAATAATAATAATAATAATAATAATAATATTCATTCCTTTTATTGCGCACTTTAACATTGAAAAATATGATCAAATGCGCTTAACACTTGAATAAGACTAGACAAAAGATATATTACATACTCTCTATACACTGAAGTTTAAGCAGTTGTTACATTTCCCTCCTAATAGGTAATTTAGCATAACTCATAACAAGTAAGAAGTAGAAAGAGAAGATAAAAGTAGAAAATAAAAACCATATATAGCTCAAGAGACGTCGCATTAGGCCTCTTTAAAATAGTGCCTCTTAATAATATCCAAAATCATTCTCTTTCCTAATACAGTCCGTTTAACTGTTCCATATCTTTGGAGCAGCTGCAGTAAATGATCTGTCCCTCAGAGTGCATTTAAACTTAGCGATAGGGTCTTGCAAAATAACGCCCACATTACTCCGCAGGCTATAGCGAGAACATCGTTTAATATTTATGAGATTACTTAAATACGGAGGCCCCAGATTGTAAATAGCCTTGAAAGAGATCACAGCGATTTTATAGCAAATTCGGAACTTCACCAGTAACCAATGCAGTGCAAGCAGCACTGGGTTAATATGACCGTACCTGGGTGTATCGGTGATAAGGTCGCGCTGCGGAATTCTGAATCGAAGACGTTGCAATTTGGAAAGATGCAAAGCTGGTACACCATAGAAAAGACCGTTGCAATAATAAATGCGTGCCATGATCACGCCTTGTACAATAAGCCGTTTGGTGGAAGCAAGCGTCAAGAACTTCCTTATTTGTCTGATATTATGTAGGTGATAGTAGATGCATTGTCAAGTTGTGAAACCCGGGAGTGGAGCACGTTCGTGTTTTGGACCTCGGAATCATTCCTTATCATTCCTAGCCTGCGTAGCAGGCACTTGGAAATAGTGGGCGAAAAACGAACGGGCGCGCGCGAGGGAGACACGCGAGGGGTGAGGGAGCTGTGGAAAAGCAGTCAGTGGACAAATTTTAATATACCCATTACTAGCCGAAGTTTCTTTCCGATATGGTTTTAAGCATTTACAAAGTTTTTCACTTAGTTGCTCCCCATAACAGGCACAAAAATTAAAACCATTGTTGCTATTAATAATTATTCCTTTTCTCGGCCATCTGAACTCAGGTTGGTTAATAATGCATATAACGCTCGCCTGGGCGGGAAAATGGTTCGATGACGACTCAAGCTTTTAAACCTAATAACAGTTTGTGTTATTGGAATTTTCTGCCAAATTACTCATACGTCAAGCTTTTAATGTACAGGCAACATGAAAAGCCATTAATTAAAAATCTTCCGTCCAGTTCGTTTCACCTGATCGTGCATGGCACTTGCAGGCTGCATCATAGTTTGAAGTTAGCTTGAACACAAAAAAAAACTTCTCTGAACCCCCGTCTGGCCCGACAAAGAAGTGCGTACTGTTTTCTGACTGACTGCATCTTTTTAACATCAGATGACAGAAACACGATGATAATGATATAAATAGCCTTAAGTTATTAGTGATAAACTTGTGCGAATCATATCAAAGTAAAAGAGCGATATTTATAAAATAAAGCCCTCACTTGCGCCTCATTTGATGATGATGATGATGATGATGATGATGATGATGATGATGATGATAAACATTATTTCAGTGTCAGGTCTTCTAGCTGGCCATGTAAAGCCTACTAACAGGGGACACTAAATTAAAATACTATCAGCTCCAACTAATTAATATAAAAAAATATTTACAAAGAATAAAATTTACAAAAATATACATCCTAAAAAAAAATGTCGAGTAAACGTATTCGGATTTATCATATAAAATAATACTCATTGATTAAGAGGTGTCCTTTTTCATTTATGTACAACATAGAAAGCAGTTTTTACAGCCCTCTCTGATTACTTGTTCAAGATCTACCTTAAGAGTTTTCTTTTTAAAGCTGTAAATTGATTTTGCGTTTTGCTTAGTTTAGACCATATTACTGAGCCCACGTATCTTAGGCTCTGTCTCCCGCAAGTTGTTGTGTTGTATCGAGGAATAAAAAAGTCTCCAGAATTTCTGAGCCCATAGCGAGGTTTATCGAGCTTAAAAATGTCCTCTATGTACGGAGGGCATATATTGTACTTTGCCTTATACGTAGTTATGGCTATATCCTGCAATCGGCGACAGCCTAATGTCGTGAGTTTAGCCTTTCTCAAGAGCTCATCGTATGAACTTCTCTTATCGCAGTAGACGGCTCTTAACGCTCGCTCTTGTACTCGCTTCATCTTTCTGCTATCCGACGCCCGACAGAAATGCCACACTGTATGACAGTATGTAATTTGAGGCATTATGAAAGAAATGAAAATCTTAAGTTTGGCTGATAGTGTTAACATGTTTCTAAGCCTCATCAAAACTCCCACCTTCCTAGATGTGTTTTTACATACCTCTCCATTATGCCTACTAAAATTCAAATGTTCGTCACTCCCAGTAATTTCAGTTCAGAGTGACTTTCAATATCAATATACATGTAAATTTATACTGGCAAAAATCATCGTTCAATGTTCTGGGTGTAAATTTCCTGAAAGAGTTCTCCTCACTGGTGCAATATCAATATGTAAAAGGTTTCAAAAGTTTCACATTGGTGTGAAGCTAAACCGAATGTGCGGCATGTCTCTCCTTGCAATCACGTTTTGAGTATTTACACTCCTTTTGTATTCCAAACGAAAAAGTAGCATAACAGCACCACCGCCTGTGACAACAAAACTTATCACCAAGCCCCATGGGCTCCAAGCAAGCGAAACTCAACGCTACTAAGAGCGTTTTTGTTTATCCAAAGACTGTTGCGAATCTAGAAGTAGCAAGAGAGACGTCCTTTTGCGTGCGTCAGTTGAGGGGCATAGAAAGGTAACAAAAGAGGCCAAAAGGAAGGAACATATATCTCGAAAGAGAGAGGTGGGAAAACTGTTTCGACCTCTGTGCTTAGTTATTTGGGTTTTATGTAGAAATACAGGAACCCGTTAATTTGGCCAGTTGATCATTGCTTAATCATAAGAAATATCATATTTTCTTAAATCGTCTGTTCTTGTTGATCTCACTTTCCTGCATGTATTTAGCTAATCGTGTGTTGTTAGTATACAGTAGTATATACATCAGAGAGTGCACTGTTTTATAATAATGTCATAGTGAACACTTGTATACAGTTATGACAGTTTGGGGCGTTAATTTCTTTAATCAAAACGAGTGTCATGATGACGTTTTCATTCTGTCAATCATTACAAACCCGAAATTAAGACGGGGGAGGGGGGTGGGGGCACTCAAGAGAAGTTTGGTAGAGGTGTGCCGCCGAGGCCTTCAAACCCTTGACTCTGTTTAAGACGAAAATGGTTCATTTCGCTACCCCATCTAAGGGCCTGTTTAAATGGAGTGGGGGACCCGGTCTAGTGGGGTTGGTTTCTTTTGTTTTCAAGCTCTGGGGGACACAAAACAAAAGAAACCTACCCCACTAGACCTGGGTCCCCCACTCCATGTAAACAGGCCCTAAGACAAGAGACTTTATTTGATGACTCTGATTCATTTCGTTTTGCATACAGAATTGAGTAATTTTCTCAAACTGAAATCATGGAGCTACAACTTTTGGTGGAAGAAATTGTTGGCACCACATATATAGACCGCTCACCGTCAACTCCATCCACACTCTTTTAAAGGCTTCGGATACAAAAAAACACCCTGTCCAAGACGTTAAATAGTGAAATTGGGTACCATGTTTAAGACTAAAGACCCTGATAACTATACCCTGTTCAGGGGCACATACCCCTCTAGGCCAAATAAGGGAGTGCACCCCCCGGTGTAAACCAAAGAAGTTGGTATGTTTAGACTGTTAAGGCTTTTTGTCTTCATACTTGGCAGGACTAGCTCTTTCTCGATCAAGAAGAAGGGAAAAGAGGCTCTGCTCACAGGATGGCAGAGCCGATGATTATTAAGTTCGAGGAAACATAAGACCTGTCAGGGGTCTAGAACGTAACTAAGTACGCATCTACAGGGGAGAGGGAGAGGAAATTAATAGATCTCAGTTCCTTATTTATATAGTTCTACAAAAATGGCGTTTATTTCCTTAGGTTTTTCTAGAAATGTTTGTTATTCGCTTATAACAAAGCCGAAAACAGGGCTCAGGCAATTGAACATATCTGGGCGGATTGATTGGACTCCATGTCTTAAAAGTAGCGCGTGGGAACAACCGATACAAATTTAATGCACGAGTCATATTATAATAATGTTTGTTTTCTGTCCATTTGAAGCTTTAAGTTATAAGCAAACAATAACATCACCTGCTTTGCTTTTACTTAGTAGTGCAATAATTCAGTAAAACAGGAAGAGAATTAAATTGCCATGCGCTTAGATAATTAGTTTACACAGTATAGATATGGGGAATAACTCTTGAGAGTAGATGCAGTGCAGTGAAATGGCAGTGAGCGGACAAATCTTAATATACCCTACTACTAGCCGAGGATTCTTTCTGTTATGCATTTTAAGCATTTACGAAGTTTTTCAATTAGTTGCCTCACATAACAGGCACAAAACTTAAAACCATTGTTGCTATCACTAATTATGCCTTTTTTCGGCCATCTGACCGCAAGTTGTTTAATAATGCATATAACGCCTGGGAAAATGGTTCCATGACGACTCAAGCTTATAAACTTAACAGTTTGTGTTAATGGAATTTTTTGCCAAATTACTCATACGTCAAGCTTTTAATGGACAGACAACATAAAAAGCCATTAAAATCTTCCGTCCAGTTCGTTTCACCTGAGCCTGGCACATGCAGGCTGCATCATAGTTCGAAGTTAGCTTGAACAACTACAAAACGTTTCTGAAACCCCGTCTAGCCCGACAAAAAAGTGCGTACTGTCTTCTGACTGACTGCAGCTTTTTACCATAAGCTGACAGAAACACGATGATATTTATATAAACAGCCTTAAGTTATTAGTGATAAACTTGTGAGAATCATATCACTTTCCTCCAAAATTAAAAGAGCGATATTTAAATAAAGCCCTCACTTGCACCTCATTTCATCGCAGATGAATATGGCTCAGACAAACGTTACTGAAGATGAAAACCAGAAAACATTCATGGAACTGTTCTGCTTGGCGGAATTTATCAGAGGTGTAGATGGCGAGCTTATATTTCTTTCAGCTCTTAATATTTTTCTTTCCATTACTGCATTTCTGGGGAACACTCTGATCCTAGTTGCTCTACACAAGGAAACTTCACTTCATCCGCCGTCCAAACTCCTGTATCGTAACCTAGCGATAACTGATCTCTGTGTTGGCATTATTGTGGAGCCTTTGGCTGTGACATATTTGACTTCTGCTGTTAAAGAAAGATGGGATGTTTGTTATTACTCACATTTGGCAGAAGTTTTCTAAGGTCATATTTTGTGTGTAGTGTCTTTAGTAACACTGACTGCAATAAGTGTGGACAGACTTCTCACCTTGTTGCTGGGGCTCAGATACAGACAAGTTGTAACTTATAGAAGAACATGTATAACTAATTAATTTATGGATTTTTTCCATCGTCAGTGCATCTACTATCTTTTGGAATCGTCTTATAACTTCATGGTGGCAATACATAATTACAGCTCTGTGTCTAATCACCACAATCTTCGCTTACGCAAAAATCTTCTTTTCTCTGCGTCATAATCAAATTCATGTTCAGAACCATGTTGCTCAAGGACAACCGAGCCAAGCAATCACACTGAACATAGCTCGATACAGAAAGGCGGTGTACAGTGCAATGTGGGTGCAGGGAACATTGGTTGCATGTTATTTGCCGTTTGGTATAGTGGTAGCTTTGACACCTCAACAAGGGATGTCTTTATCGGTATACCTCGTTAGACGATTCACTGTTTCTTTACTTTATTTAAACTCGTCATTAAACCCGTTCCTGTACTGTTGGAAGATCAGGGAAGTAAGACAAGCTGTAAAAAAAACGTTAAGGCAACTATTCTGTCGATCGAATTAGTTTACTATGGTTTTCAACTTAAAATTCCTCAGTGCCAAAAACACTAGACTGTCCTTAAAACGAATCATACACATGTATAATATTTAATGTCTATTGCGCCTCAAAAGGTTCAGTCTTTGGCGGAAAGAGCGGTATACATCTCAGGGAAAAGTAATCGAAATAAATGAATTCATATGTATTTGCTTGAGTTTATTGTACGTAAAATTAACAATAAAACAAATTTTAACCAACGTGATCAGTACAAAAATTAAAGTACATTTTTGTTGTTTCATGGCATGTTACTGACTCAGTTCACTTAATGAAGAGTCATTTTTACCTGATAAGTAGAGAGATGACAAAACATTCAAACCCCGCTTTTTTAATAATGATAGCATTAAGCACACTTTCTATGGGTTTACCAGCGTAATAAACCACGCGGGATGTTGGAAAAACACGAGAAAAGTTTGTAAATCATGAGCCGTAGGCGAGTGATTTACAAGCCTTTCGAATGTTCTCCCAACATCCCAAGTGGGTTATCACGCAGGTAAACCCATAGAAAGTGTGATCTATTGCTTTTATAAAATAACTTTAAGTAAAACTATGAGTTTACCGGCACAATAAACCATAGGTTTTTGGCCAATCAGAACGCGCGTACTATTTTAGTTATTTTATAAAATAATATTAATATTAAATAATCTTTATAGAGGAAGCTCTGGTCATATTTAGTGGTTTTCAGGGAGGTCCACACCAAGATTAAAAAATATGAGAACTACTAATTGCAATCAGTCTTAAAAATTTAACTATTACTCAAATATAAAAAGCTAACGGATAAAAAGTTAAAAGGGCAAGAAGGCTAAAGGACTAAAAAAAGGGCTCAGTGAAAAATATACAACCAAACTAAAAGATTTAACTATGATTCGAATATAAAGGCTATCGACTGAAATGTTTGGTTTTTAAGTGCCGCTTAAAAATTTTGCATTGCATTGGTTTCCTTAAAAGATTAGGGAGACTTGCCCAGTCTAATGCAACTGTATAACTCGTTCTTTAGATCATAACCCCTTCCACATTGTGGACTGTGCCTTTGACCTTTGCGTTTACCTGAAACCTTTCCATGTTCCCTTATGCGCCTGGTTATGAGGCAGGAAAATGTGTGTAGTGAAAGCAGACAATCACTAAAGAGAAGGTACTTTTCGTGAGCAATATAATACCGTTCGGGTAAAAAAAGGAGAACTGGGATCTACTCATTCTTGTATCCCCAAAGACGCATCCTACCAGCAGAGTCTTTCTTTCTCTTGCTTGATTTTAGCGCGTTGGAGAAAGACTGCACCATTCGAGTCGGCGATCTTTTTACCTTGCGCTGATTGTTGCTAGGATACAGCTCCGAACACAGGCCTAAAGCCGTGCGCTGAGTACAGCAGGCTCAGTTATGATCAGAGGTTTATCAACTGAAATGAATGCTCGCATTAGAAAAACCAGTTTGACCAGGGAAAACGTGATTGACTGGTCCAAACGTTCTTTGACGCGATTCATGCAAAGCCTCTTTTTCTCTAGCTCTTCCTCGATCAAGTAGAAGCGAAAAAGAGGTTCTTCTCACAGGATGGCAAAGCTGTTGATTATTAAGTTCGAGGAAATATAAGAACCGTCAGGGGTCTAGAACGTAACTAAGTACGCATCTACAGGGGAGAGGGAGAGGAAGCTAATAGATCTCAGTTCCCTATTTATATAGACAAAAATGGTATTTAGTTCCGTGGGTTTTTGTAGAAATGTTTGTTATTCACTTATAATAAAGCCGAAAACTGTGCTCAGGCAATTGAACACGTGTGAGCGGATTGATTGGACTCCCTGTCTTAAAAGTAGCGCGTGGGAACAACTGATACAAGATCAATACAAATGTCATAATCCAGCCTAATTAAAGTTTTTACGTTGATTTCTGTCTATTTGAAGCTTTAAGTTATAACCAAACAAAGACATCACCTCCTTTGTTTTTGGTTAACAGTGCAATGATTCAGGAAAACGGGAAGAACTAAGAATTAAGTCACCATGCGCTCAGATAATTATATATATTAGTACAATATAGATATGGGGAAAAACTGGTAATACAGTCGATTGACTCCCGATAATTGGAACCTTCAAGGGAAATAGAAAGAAATTCGAGTTATCGGGAGTTCGAGTTATTGTGGGTAAAATTATATAGAAAACGATCTGAAGGGAAATGAACATTTCCCCGAGTCTTAGCGGAAAGTTCGAGTTATAGAGGGTTTGAGTTGCCGGGAGTTGACTGTATTAAAACAGCTGTGTATTAATATGCAAAGCACGTACTTGCGAGAATACCTTGCGAGTAAATGCAGTGCAGTGAAATGACAGTCAGGGGACAAATTTTAATATACCCGAGGTTTTTTTCCGGTATGGTTTTCAGCATTTAAAACGTTTTTCACTTAGTTGTCTCCCATATCAGGCACAAAAATCAAAACCATTGTTGCTCTAATTAATTATACCTAATGCATATAACGCTCGCCTGAAATGTACACTAAGTTGTCATATGTCAAGCTTGAAATGGACGGATACTGAAAAGTCAACATCACTGATCCGTCCAGTTCGTTTCAACCGAACCTGGCACAGGGCACATCATAGTTCGAAGTTAGCTTGAACAACTACAAAACTTTTCTGAACCCCTGGCACCGTATCAGCCCGACGAAGACGTGTGTACTGTTTTCTGCAGACTGACTGCAGCTTTTAGAAATTAAAACAATTGACAGAAACACGTTAAAGACCAGACTAGAATTACCGCGTATTCAGCTTTGAGTTACCCTTTTTTTTTAATAACGATGTTATTTTTCCGGCCCAGGCTGAATATTTTTACATTTCCGCCGATTTTAAGCTGAAATTATTCTTTCATGATTCATGAATATAAATTGAAAACATATTAATATTGGTTATTGTATTTACCGATTTTCACCTGCACACAAAATTATATCTTCAAAATCTCAGCCTGTGGTTTATTCTTGAAGTGTTCTTAAAATTCCTCAAATTTAAGCCTCGATGCTCTTATAAAATATATTCTTATATATAAAAAAAGAAGAGTGTATTAGCGTATTGAAAATGATGTGCGAATCATCAATATCACTTTCCACTCAATCGAAAAAGCGATATGTAAATGACATGAGAAATAAAGCCCTGTCGTACCCCGGAAACCTCGTTTGATCGATCACAGAGAAATATGGCGCTGACAAACTTTACTGAAGATGAAAACAAGAAAACATTCATAGAACTGTTCTGCTCGGCGGAGTTTATTAGAGGTGTAGATAGCGAGCTTATCTTTCTCTCAGCCATAAATATTTTCCTGTCCATTACTGCATTTCTGGGGAACACTTTGATCCTAGTTGCCCTACACAAGGAAACTTCACTTCATCCGCCGTCCAAACTCCTGTATCGTAACCTAGCGATAACTGATCTCTGTGTTGGTATCATTGTGGAGCCTTTGTATGTGACGAATTGGACTTCTGTCGTGAAAGAAAGATGGGATGTTTGCTATTATTCAATTCGGACAGCAGCTTTCTCAGGTTATACTTTGTGTGTAGTGTCTGCATTAACATTGACGGCAATAAGCGTGGACAGACTTCTCGCCTTGTTGCTGGGGCTCAGATACAGACAAGTTGTAACTTTGAGAAGAACGAGTATAACTGTGATAGGTTTTTGGATTTTGTCCATCGTTGGTGCATCTACTATTATTTGGAATCTATTCATTTTCACATGGTATCAATACATAGTTGCAGCTTTGTGTCCAGTCACCACAATCTTCGCTTACACAAAAATTTTCTGTACTCTGCGTCATCACCAAATTCATTTTCAGAACCACGTTGCTCAAGGACAACCGAGCCAAGCAATTCCACTGAACATAGCTCAATACAGAAAGGCAGTCTACAGTGCACTGTGGGTGCAGGGAACAATGGTTGTTTGTTATCTGCCGTTTACTATAGTGGTCGCTTTGATGCCTCAAAGAGGGATACCTATATCCGCATATCGTGCTTGGCATTTTACGGCTACCTTAGTTTACTTGAACTCGTCTTTAAATCCCTTGCTGTACTGTTGGAAGATCAGTGAAGTAAGAGAAGCTGTGAAAGAAACATTAAGGCAACTCTTCTGTTGATCGAGTTAGTTTACTATGCTTTTCAGCTGAAAAATCATACTGATAAATACTAACTACAAATACTCGCCTTTTTGTCATGTCTTATAAACTGCCGTTTAATTAGTCGAGCTTGCTTTAGCAGAGCGACAATCTAAAAATGCAGCCGTTTTTTTTTTTCGTCAGTCTTCCCCAAATGGTCGGCCATGGTCCCAGGGGTCCCTAGCGGAGACCTTGGAAAATAGGGATAACAATCGTGACGACTTCCGTTGTAATAATAATAATAATATGTATTGCTTTTATTGCGCACTTTAACATTGAAAAATATGATCAAATGCCCATAACGCTTGAATAAGACTAAAAACAAAAGATATATTACATACTCTCTATATACTAAAGCTTAATCAGTTGTTACATTTCCTTATTCCTAATAGGTAATTTAGCATAACTCATAACAAGTAAGAAGTACTGAAGAGAAGATAAAAGTAGACAATAAAAACCATAGATAGCTCAAGACAGGTCCAATTAGGCCTCTTTAAAATAGTGCCTCTTAATGAGTCTCTTAAACATATCCAAAATCACTCTCTTTCCTAATATAGTCCGGTAAACCGTTCCATATCTTTTTGAGCAGCTGTAGTAAATGATCTGTCCCCAAGAGTGCATTTGAACTTAGTGGAAGGGTCTTGCAAAATAACGCCATAATATTTATGAGATTACTTAAATACGCAGGCCCCAGATTGTAAATAGCCTTGAAAGAGATCACAGCGATTTTATAGCAAATGTGGAACTTCACCGGTAACCAATGCAGTGCAAGCAGCACTGGGGTAATATGACAGTATTCTGGGTGTATGGGTGATAAGTCGCGCTGCGGAATTCTGAAGACGTTGCAACAGATTTGAAAAGACGCACAGCTGGTACACTATTTAATAGAGAACACCGTTGCAATAATAAATGCGTGCCATGATCACGCCTTGTACAAGCCGTTTGGTGGAAGCAGGCGTCAAGAGCTTCCTTATTTGTCTGATATTATGCAGGTGATAGTAGACTGTTTGACAAGTCTTGTTAATCTGTTCTGTCGTCAAACCACAAGCCAAGGTGAGTCTCGTCATGAGCATGCGGTTTATTTTCGGCGATGACTGAAATGACGCATGTAAGTTGATCGCGACTAAATGCAGTGCAGTGAAATGGCAGTCAGCAGACAAATTTTCATATACCCTACCACTAGCCGAGGTTTCTTTCCAGTATGGTCTTAAGCATTTACGAAGTTTTTCACTTAGTTGCCTCCCATACCAGACACAAAAATTAAAACCATTGTTGCTATCACTAATTATACCTTTTTTCGGCCATCTGACTTCAAGCTGGTTAATAATGCTTATAACGCTCGCCTGGGGAAATGGTTCTGTGATGAGTCAAGCTTATAACTTAATCGTTTGTGTTATTGGAATTTTCTGCCAAATTACTGCAATGTAAGTTGTCATACGTCAAGCTTGTCATTATTAATAATCTTCCTTTCACCTGAGCATGGGACAGGCTACATCATGACCATTATAGTTCGAAATTCGCTTAAACAATTAACAACAAAATTCGTGGCGAGGGCTACTGTATAGGCATTGAATACACATTAACCGTTCTATTTTGCCCAAAACAAGGTGTAAAGAGAAACACGAGCACGTACTAGAAAGCGTCCGGTTTTAGTTTTACCCGTTTACCCAGATGAAAACAAATTGACCCATACGACCACATAATATTTTGCAAAAATAGTGCTAATACCATCGTACTATGTGAATACACCCGAAAAACGGACCTTTATTATAATAGGGGTACATATAACGTAAACGGCCTGGAACTAACGTGAAGCCGGATCTTGGTGTAGATCGGGATCAGTAATGTAGAATAAAACTTTACAGCAAATGCAAGCTGACAGCTGAAAGATAGGGTAATTTAATAGCCCGATATTCTGGTTAGACAATACTATCCTTCGTCCGGGGCTACGAAAAGTATATAGTAAATTGTGAAATCTGATAAATAGGTTGAAAAAGGCTACGAACAGTCGATATTTCGCTTTCTATATGTGTTTTTGGGAGGAAAGGAAAGAAAATTAAAAATACGAATAACAAGAATCTACGTGTTGTGAATTTTCATTTGCTGGGCTATAAACATGAATTAACATAAATAGCAGTCAGGTGTTTATAAAAAAAGACCTGAGCTATAATCAAAATTAGTCCAGAAAAATGTTGTTACCATATTGCGAATATCTTTACTATATACCTAAGTACTATTGATAGTTTTGGGGTACGTTCAATCGAAATGAGTGTCCTTGGTAATTATAATGGCTTCGTCTTTTTACCTATCTAAACAGAGCCGAAAATCAGAAACTAAACATGATTGATTGACGTTGATTGACATGTTTGGACTGTTGATACTGAAGATCGACTCCCTTTCTACAAGGGAATTATATATTTTACTGCTGGTCTCTATGCGTACGCCAGTCAAATCTGGCCACGCACGATTGGTAATATAACTAATTAATTTGTTAATGACGCACATGTATTACGCTCTTCTAGCTAGGAAAATGGTGACGGCTTAAGCTTATTAGCAGCTTCTGTTACTGGAATTTTTTGCCAAATCTTTGCAAGTTTAATGGAAAATTGACGTCAAGGTTGAACTGTAACGAAAACATATTTAGATCTAAAAAGTCATTAATTAAATTGTTCCTCGAGGTTTAACCTGGCTCATCATATGGTTCGACTAGGGTTAGTTTAAAAAACTACAACTTTAGTAAATCCTTCATCCCCGTCAGGGGTCTGGCCCGACTAAGAATACGCACTGTTTCCTATATACGGACTCCAGCTTTTACGAACAAAACAGAATTCGTTTTTTTTTTCTCTCTTTTTGTAGAACAAGATAATAAAAATTAAATAAACACAAGAAGGATTAACAATGGTAATCATCGCATATCCAGCCCACTTAGGTCAACAGTTGATTTAAGAGATACAGAATATCATTACAGTTCCAGCCAAATTAAAAAAGCGACATGTAAATAAAGACTCATTTGCACCTCAATTCATCGCAGACAAAGATGGCACTGACAAATTGTACTGAAGATGAAAACCGCCTTAAACCTTTCAGAGAACTGTTCTGCTCGGCCGAATATATCAGAGATGTAGATGGCGAGTTTATTATTCTTTCAACTTTAAGTATTTTTCTGTCCATTACTGCATTTCTGGGGAACACTCTGATCCTCGTTGCCCTACACAAGGAAACTTCACTTCATCCACCTTCCAAACTCCTGTATCGTAACCTAGCGATAACTGATCTCTGTGTTGGTATCATTGTGGATCCTTTGGCTGTGACTTATTTGACTTCTGTTGTAAAGGAAAGATGGGATATTTGCTATCACGCAAATTGGGCGGCAAATTTCTTAAGTTATACTTTGTGCACAGTGTCTTTACTAACATTGACTGCAATAAGCGTGGACAGACTTCTCGCCTTGTTGCTGGGGCTCAGATACAAACAAGTTGTAACTTTGAGAAGAACATACATAACTGTAATAGTTTTTTGGATTTTTTCTGCTGTCGGTGCATCTGCTTGGTTTTGGAATCCCCTAATAAATTCCATGTCTCGATATTTAGTTGGAGCTCTGTGTCTAGTCACCACAATCGTTGCTTACACAAAAATTTTCTTCTCTCTGCGTCATAATCAGATTCATAACCATGTTGCTCAAGGACAACCGAGCGAAACAATTCCACTGAACATAGATCGTTACCGAAAGGCAGTGTACGCGGCACTGTGGTTGCAAGGAACATTGGTTATTTGTTATCTTCCGTATGTTATAGCGGTAGCTTTGACACCTCAAAGAAGGATGCCTTTATCGATCTACCTTGCTCGGAGTTTTACGCTTAACATCATTTACTTGAACTCGTCATTAAACCCGTTGCTGTACTGTTGGCAGATCAGAGAAGTGAGGCAAGCTGTGAAAGAAACATTAAGGCATTTCTTTCGTTGATCGACTGTAGTCGTTTTCGATCTGTGCTTTCCAGCATTCATGCTATATCAAAACCGTTCTTCCAAGGAGAAATTGAACTTGAATGATTTTTAACTGTAATTTTTATTTTCGTATGGCAAGCTTTGGGGCCAACCATTCGCAGTAGGATATTCACTTAACAGATGATGACAAATTCGTTAAGGAACCGTCGAGTATATTTTCCAGCTTCTTCTCCACTCCAATCCTGGATCAGTCTGCCCTGATGCTTAAAGGGACTGTGACACGCTTTTGCGCATGTGTGGCGTCTTGATTTCTGGGTCTGGCGAACTTTTTTCAAGATTGGATTTTGGTGAAGAAATCCTCTTCCATCGGCCCTGAGAAGCCCGAGAAAACTATTATATCAGCATTCAAGAGTTATTTGGTCCATTCTGGAAGTTTTAAACGTATATTTTGTATCTTTGTGCAAGCATTGTCGAGAAAATTCGAAGTCATTGAGGAGAATGTTAGGGTACATTGTTGCTCAGTCTGCTTCATTGTATGCGCTTCTCTTCGTAATCCTTACTATTTATTCAGTCTATTCTGTCTACTTCCGTGTAACTAACTGTATTCAGGGATATATATTATATAGATAAATTTGTTTTCAGGTAGGTTCGGAAATCAAAAGTTCCACCATATCTCAAATATCTTTTGTTAAGGGTCAAAGGATGGTGTTTACAAGCTGTCAGAACAGCTGAACACACTTTAGTTTTTACTAGCAAACCTTTGCTGGTCAGTTAAGTCCTTTGCTAAAAGATTTTTGCACCCATCTCTTTGGTGTTGGGATCAATCCAAAATAGAAGTTGGACGCACGGTAATTGTAGGAAACATCATAAGTGTAGTTTCAGTCTTTCACAACTAAAGGTTTAACTGAGGTTAAGAAACACCTCTTCAAGCTTATGTAAGAAACACAGAAACAAGATCAAAAGATAGAAATAGGTAGATGTATTCAGCTGTGGAATAGGAAAACAAGCGTTTCCTCTTAACGAAGTTTGTTTACTTAAACCTGGAGTTGGTTCTCACTTTCGCTTCCAAACTTGAATCATAATCAGATTTCCTTATCTCATTAAAATCTAACCTAAGGCCACGTGTCCTTACACCTTTCGAGTTCTTTGTTCTCTGTTGAACCAGTTTTAGCCAAATTTCACTTACTTTTCTGACCTCAAACTAGAATATTTTTCGACACAATCTTAGGAAAATTTAGTTTCTTCCAAACTATCGTTTTGGTTCCCTGTAAAGGAATTTGGGTATAGAGATATTTCTAGTTTTGCAAATTTCTTGCACGCGTAGCGGGAATCAACTCAAATTCAGTTCCTTTTGTTTTCTAAACTCTGACACTTACTAACACCCTTTCCTTGGATATAAATGCCATGTAAAACTGTAGCTGTAACTTAATTGTTTAATATAAATAGAACCTCTTGTGAGTAGCTTCACAGTTACGCCTTGAGATCTGGGATAGCTAAGAGGAGTTTGTAACTTCAACGGAAAGATTAAAACCATCGTCAACTGCTAAACTCTGGTTGTGTCACCTCTCTTCACGTAATCCTAAAGTCTGTAGAAGTCCCCCTCTAGAAGAAGTGCACCGGAAGCCATATTCTTTGTTGTCAGTGTTCCTACAAACGGATCAAATGTGGCGTTTAATGTGTTCATCTGGCTTTCATTTGTGTCTATTAAGTTCTCCATTCAACGATCTACCATTTCCGGATAGTTTTTAAACGTTAAATATGTAAAGAAAGTTGAAAAGGGTTTCCTCGATATAGACGTTGACTACAAATGGGAGGCAGCGGCGAGGAAAGCTGATCTGCGACATGACTTCCGATTGTCTGCAACAATTTACTCTCTCGAGTGCCTGGAATCAGAAGGAGAAAACCGAGTAATCTTTTGTTGTACAGGAACCCGTGTGTGGTTTGAAGAAAGAATCCATCGAACATGAAACGTTTTAACAAGCATTCGATGTCGCGCGATCTTTACCGATCGAGGTGGTTCACTTAGAATGTTCCTTGTATCTTTCCTGCATGAGCGTAGATGTTTAAGAATTGATCTTTTTAAAATAAATTGTTACCTGAATGTTCTGTTAATTATCTGGTTTCTTTATGTTTTGAACTCGATAACGTTTGTTTTGCGAACACCCGACGGAACGACTCAGAACGAATTCAGTCGGATTAAAACTGTTTTCTATTTGAATGCAGCTGCCATTTTTAGTGATTCAGTCGGCCCTCGTCTACTTACCTTACTAGCTAATTTACGGGGTCTTTAAAAAATTAGCTTAACTGGTTATTAGACTGTTCCCTCTTGTTGAAAGATCAGAGAAGTAAGGCAAGCTGTAAAATCAACTTTAAGGCAACTATGCTGTTGATCGAGATAGTTTACAATGCTTTCAGCTATAGATTCATGAAAGTTTTGAAAATTCTCCTTATTCTAATATTTTTTGCCATCGCAAGGTTTGTCCCTTTCTCATTTTTCAAGATCGTTTAAATTATCTGATGCAAAAAAAAAAGCGATGCATTGCTTTTGTGAACTTTCGGTAGGATGTGTTTTTAATTTTCTTGATCTGTAAAATTGAGACAGAAAGCAATTAAGGGCTGTAGTATAAATGAGAGCTATAAATCCACTTGCAAATTGCGCAAAAGATGTTTTTGTGTATTTGAATACTGTCTTCAAAATTACGGCGTTTGGTTTTCTCTTTACATTTTTCTAATTTCACACTATCGTACGCGATATTTCTATGGGTAAAATGGTTTGCTTTTCCTCCCAAACACCAAAGTGAGACCACCCGGGTGCGAGGGTAATTCAACTGAAACCCTAGGCGAGAGCAATTGAAGCGAACACGATTAAGTATATGCAAACTGACTGATCTGAACATATTAAAGAGGAACTTTATAGTTTCTAGAGAAGCTGAGGTGTTGCGTCGATCGGAAAGTAAAACACAAACGTTTGGTTTTATCAACTAGATGGCCACCGTATTAAACTACGGCCGTGGCCATTTTCTGTTACCAACTGGCTCAGTTAACAAGCCAAATTTTTATACAAACACCTGCTTTGCTGGGCAATGATAAATGGCGGAATTACTCGCTGGATTATTAAAGCTCGAGTTTAGAAATATGTTTAAAACTAAACTCAAAATCTATGCCTCAACGCTTTCTGATACCAGTTGTATTTGTATTTAGTTTAGTTGATGTACTGAGTATGGTATGAGGGCCACTCTCCCAGAGATTTGGGGGAATAAGGCAACACGAGTTATTTACTTTCATGGAAGAAGTTATATCTTGAGATGACTTTTAGGGAACAGGGGAATTTTTGAGTTTTTCAGGTAACCGGGGAACATTGAATCTCTACCTTTAATTGAAAGAGGATCCAACAGCATACTTTTACTAATCGGGCCCTTAACGAGGCGAATTTCTCAGTTAGTTGCGACTTGTTTGTGAGTGTACCAAGGCCTCATTTCAATATGTCTGGTGAAGAGTTTGTTTCGCGTGTTAAGCTTTAATTTATAGTTCAAATACCATTGGCTTGACTCGAACACCATCACGATTTTACTGTTCCGGAAGCTTTGGAAACTTGGCAAAATTGACTGTTGAGGACCATGTGGAATTACTTTATGGCCGGAACGAGGGAGAAACTTCAAATTATTGAAGGGACAGCAAGGGATGACATTGAATTTTAATGCCATAATTAAGACACATTAAAAATGACGATACTTTTTAATGTTTGTTTTAGTTGTCTTAATTCAGGCATCCGTTTTCACTAAATAAGGATGAAGTTGAAATAGTGGATACGTAGCTAGAACTCAGTTTCAAGAGAAAAGTACGTCATGAGCTTTTCGCGCGCTTTGCTTCTTATAACAAACCCAAAAGTTATAAAACCGACCTTGTTGCGAACATATTTACATTTTTTCCAGACATTGAGGCTGACCTCAAGCTTGGTCAATTATGCATACATGTATAAACGGTGATGGCTCAAGCTTGTAAACTTAACAGCATGTGTTATTGAAATTTTCTGTCAAATTGAATTACGGTATAATATAAGCTCTCATAGGTAAAGCTTGCAAAGCACCGAAAACACCTGAAAAATCATTGAATAGACCACCGAGTTAGTTTTACCTGGTTCATCACATGCACAGTTCGACTATATGGTTTGAAAAACTACAAAACTCAGTGCTAAACCCCCATCCCATTTCTTCTCTGTCTGCTGGCCCGACGAAACGAGCCCATATTGTTTTCTTTGACGTCAGCTTTAACGAACAATTGACAAAACTCGCAGATGGGCTTTAAGTTATTAGTGAAAGACTTGAAAGACCCACGAGTCATATCACTTTCCACCCAAATTAACTAAAAGCGAAATATTAATAAAGCAATCACTTGGATCTCAATGCATTGCTGACAAAAATGTTACCAGGGACAAACTTCACTGAAGATGAAAACCAGAAAACGTACGAAGAACTGGTCTGCTCGGCGGAATTTATCAGACGTGTAGACGGCGAGCTTATTTTTATTTCAGCTCTAAATATTTTTCTTTCCATCACTGCATTTCTGGGGAACACTCTGATCCTAGTTGCTCTGCACAAGGACACTTCACTTCATCCAACGTCCAAACTCCTGTATCGTAACCTGGCGATAACTGATCTCTGTGTTGGTATCATTGTGGAGCCTCTGTTTGTGACTTATTGGACTTCTGTCGTGAAAGAAAGATGGGATATTTGCTATCACGCATATTTGGCAGGAGTTTTCTCAAGTTATACTTTGTGTGGAGTGTCTTTAACAACTTCGACTGCAATAAGTGTGGACAGACTTCTCGCCTTGTTGCTGGGTCTCAGATACAGACAAGTTGTAACTTTGAGAAGAACATGTATAATTTTTTTTGGTTTTTGGATTTTGGCGATCGTTGGTTCATCTTCTATATTTTGGAATCCTCAGATACTTCTTTGGCATCAATACATAGGTACAGCTCTGTGTTTAGTCACCACAATCTTCGCCTACACAAAAATTTCCTATACTCTGCGTCATAATCAAATACATGTTCAGAACCATGTTGCTCAAGGACAACCGAGCCAAGCAATTCCCGCACTGAACATAGCTCGATACAGAAAGGCGGTGTACAGTGCACTGTGGGTGCAGGGAACATTGGTTGTTTGTTATCTGCCGTTTTGCATCGTGGAGGCTTTGAGACCTCAAAGAGGCATTTCTTTATCCGTTTACCTTCCACGGCAATTTGCGTTTACCTTAGTGTATTTGAACTCATCATTAAACCCATTGTTGTACTGCTGGAAGATCAGAGAAGTGAGGCAAGCTGTAAAAGAAACATTAAGGCAAATGTTCCGTTGTTAGAGTTAGTGTACTATACTTTTCCGCTGTATTATTATATTTATCAGTAACTATTAAAATTCATCCGAAAATTGCCGTTAAGCTGTTGTAACTACATTTAATACTTTTGTGAAGTATTTTGAACGTTATTTTCAAAGTTTCGATTGGGTCAAGGTTAGTCTTGATGTTGTCCACATAATTAGGTCTTTTTCTGTTTTGACCTTTTGTTTCTTCTTGTACTTGAATTTTTGCTTAGCTCGCCAGTTTGCTTAATGCCATGTTAGGAATATTCTTCGCTTGCCATTTTCAAGTGTTAGTTGTTTTTAGGTGGTAGTGTTTGTGATGTTAGTGCTGACCTTCGTCCTTAAGTCCCGTTAAAGTTTCTATTTCGGTTTTTTCACCAGCGTTTTAGTTTTTCATTGGGTTGTGACGATCGCAACCATGTAGGTTCAGTAATACCAAAACCTTACCCATACCGAGTTTAACTTGTTTTTATTCCCACGGTCAGCTAACCCAAACATGTCCAGCTTTGGCTATAAAAACCGTTCTCATTTGAATTGCTAGAGAAGAAGATTGAAGTAGGAGACGATATAAGAGTGTTAAGAGTATAGTTGCTGTAGAAGTCAAGAAGAATAAAAACCACGATATAAGAGGTAGACTCTCGGTACCTCATCGATTAGCGAGTGACTTGCTCAAACACGCCCCCACAATACTTACTGGAGTTCTTTTTCATCAACTATTTTTCCGAACAAAATTAAAAGACGCCAGGCGTTTTAAAAGTTCGGTTTAAAAGCTATAGGAGGTATAATTACTCTCTTAGCCGTGGAAATTATAGTTAAGTCGCAAAAAGTGAGACCGGGTTTGGGAGACATTATGGTACCTCGTAAAACATCAACGAGAAAAGAGCTTCGATTAGCTATCCTATGCTCAATGCTAAATTCACGAGACATGTAGACCACATGAACAAAACCTACATCAGTTCTTTATAGGTGGAAGCTCAGAATAAGTAACAAAAACGAAAATAAATATATTGAAAACGCATCCACGTTGCAAGCAAATATACTCTTGAATTCTGAACATTTAGCATACGTTTATATAAATAACAGTGCTTATATTGGTAAGAGCATCTACTTTTTGTCCTGTGGTCTCCTCATAACTAAGAGCTTCGCACGATTCTGCATGATACACGTATTTGGGGTGCCTCACGTCTCTGATCTTCCAGCAGTACAGTAACGGGTTTAATGACGAGTTTAAGAACAGTATTGTACCCGCAAATTGCCGTGCAAGGTAAACGGATGAAGAAATGCCCCTTTGAGGTGACAAAGCGTCCACGATGCAAAACGGCAGATAACAAACAATCAATGTTCCCTGCACCCACAGTGCACTGTACACTGCCTTTCTGTATCGAGCAATATTCAGTGCACGAATTGCTTGGCTCGGTTGTCCTTGAGCAACATGGTTCTGAACATCATGTATTTGATTATGACGCAGAGTATAGGAAATTTTTGTGTAAGCGAAGATTGCGGTGACTAAACACAGAGCTGTACCTATGTATTGATACCAAAGAAGTATCTGAGGATTCCAAAATATAGTAGATGAACCAACGATGGACAAAATCCAAAAACCAAAAGCAATTATACATGTTCTTCTCAAGGTTACAAGTTGTCTGTATCTGAGCCCCATCAACAAGGCTAGAAGTCTGTCCACACTTATTGCAGCAGCTGTTACTAAAGACACTGAACACAAAGTATAACCTGAGAAATTTCCTGCCGAATGTGCAAAATAACAAATATTCTTACTTTCGTTCAGAACAGAGGTATAATGAGTCACAGCCACCATTGATAAATTCCGCCGAGCAGACCAGTTCTTCGTACGTTTTCTGGTTTTCATCTTCAGTGAAGTTTGTCGCTGGTACCATTTTTGTCAGCAATGCATTTAGAGATCCAAGTGATTGCTTTATTTATATTTCGCTTTCAGTTAATTTGAGTGGAAAGTGATATGATTCTAACTATTATTAATGTTAATGTGTCATAATTATGGCATTAAAATTTATCCCTTGCTGTCCCTTCAATAATTTGACATAAATCCCTTGTTCCGGCCATAAAGTAATTCCACATGGTCCTCAAAAGTCAATTTTGCCAAGTTTCCAAAGCTTCCGGAACAGTAAAATCGTAATGGTGTTTGACGGTCAAGTCAATGGTATTTATGAACCACAAATTAAAGCTTAACACGCGAAACAAATTCCTCACCACACATACTGACATGAGGCCTCGGTCCACTCGCAAACAAACCGTAACTTACTGAAAAATTCGTCTCGTTAAGGGCCCGATAGTAAAAGTATGCTGATGGGATACTCTTTCAATTAAAGATAGAGATTCAATGTTCCCCGGTTTCCTGAAAAACTCAACTATTCCACTGTTTCGTAAGAGTCATTTCAAAGAAAATTTAAAAATTATTCATGTTGCCTTATTCCCCCAAACCTCTGGGAGTGTGGCCCTCAAAAAATACTCAGTACATCAACTAAACTAAATACTTATAAATAAAACTGGTATCAGAAAGCCTCGAAGCATAGATTTTGCGTTTAGTTTGAAACATAATTCTAAACTCTAGGCTTTAATCTTGCCAGCGAGTAATTCCGCCATTTATTGCCCAGCAAAGCAGGTGTTTGTGCAAACATTTGGCCTGTTAACTGAGCCAGTTGTTAAAGGAAAATAGCCACGGCCGTAGATAGACTAAGCCAAGTTCTTAATACGGTGGCGATCTAGTTGACAAAACCAAACGTTTGCGTTTTACTTTCCCATCTGCAACACCTCAGCTTCTGTAGAACTATAATTAAAAGTTCCTCTTTAATTTATTCAGATCAGACAGCTTGCATATTCTTAACCGTGTTCGCTTCAGTTGCTCTCGCCAAGGGTTTCTGTTGAATTACCCTCGCACCCGGGTCGTCTCACTTTGGTGTTTGGGAGGAAAACCAAACCATTTTACCCATACAAATATCGCGTGCGATAGTGTGTAATTAGAAATATGTAAAGGGAAAACCAAACGCCGTCATGTTGAAGACAGTATTAAAATACACAAAAACATCTTTCGCGCAATTTACAAGTGGATTTATTATTTTATAACTCTTATTTATACTATAGCCCTTAATTGCTTTCTGTCTCAATTTTACAGATCAAGAAAATGAAAAACACAATTCGTCAAATAACTACGGGCATCCTACTGAAAGTTCACAAGAGCAAACTGCATCGCTGTTTTTGCATCAGATAAGTTAAAAGATCTGGAAAAATGGCAAAGGGACAAACCTTGCGATGGCAAAAAATATTAGAATAAGGAGAATTTTCAAAACTTTCATGAATCTGTAACTGGAAAGAATTTAAACTATCTCGATCAACAGCATAGTTGTTTTAAAGTTGATTTCACAGCTTGCCTCACTTCTCTGATCTTCCAACAAGAGGGTCAGTCTAATGACCAGTTAAGCTTATTTTTAAAAAACGAAAAAAAAAAAAGAAAATTCAGACAAATTATGCTTTTAAGAAATACTAGCTTGCTATGATGAGCCAGGTGAAACTTGTTCATACACGCGGTCGAATTTAATGATTTTTCATGTCTTAAAATGTTGTCGGTGCAGTTCAACCTTGATGTATTTCTTCATTAACATTCTACAGTAATTTGGCATAAACTTTCCAGTAACACAAGCTGTTGACAAGGTTGATCCATCGCTATCTTACTAGCAGAACATAATATGTTTGTGTTATTAACTTACTTGAGGTCAGATGGCTGAAAAGGAATTTAATTTTTGGGGTCTGTTATGGGAGACAAAACGCGCGAAAACCTCATAATGACATCTCGTTTAGTTAACGTACATTTGGGCGATCTATACCTCTTAAATTGTCGTGAAACTATTTAGTATCCACTATTTATTATATAGATACTGATGAAATACCAGGATTTTTCCTTTTACTAAAAAATCATATCTTCATCGCGCCCAGCAAAGATGCTATTTTTATCTTTCACGTGTAAAGATATTGGTGTCGCCATGGTTACAAACATTAATTTCGACTTTTTGGAACAGAAAATCATAAGTATTATTGTCTTTATTTCTTCCTTATAACTTTATATCCGAGTTTCATAAAATTTTTGTAACAGGCATTTTGCGATAGGTGACCACTTTAATTGCACTATTTTGCTGTTTCGAAAATGAATAAACAAAGTTGTGTTTTATGTAAAAATTTCATCAGCATCTGTAAAATAAACAGAACATTACATGGCCGCTTGGGGATTCGAATTTTACCTTCTCGTGCTGAAAGTATCTCTTTCAGCACTCGTAGATAAAATTCGTATCCCCGCGCTGCCATGTAATATTCTCTATTTCAACATCATATTGCTATTAATCGTGCGCTGCCAGCTTTGACTGCCTTCCGCAAAGAGACCAGCTGTGAAATATACAATATACATAGAGCGATTATTGAACTTTTTTGCAAAATATTATGTGGTCGTGTGCATTAATTTGCTTTCATGTGAGTAAACGTTGAAACTGAAACAGACACCTTCTAATTAGTGCTCGAATTTTCTTTACACCTTATTTTGTGCAAAATGGAAACTAAGATTAAATATTCAATGCCAAGCTGTAAAAGAAACATTAAGGCAAATAATCCGTTGTGCGAGTTAGTGTACTATGCTTTTCCGCTGTATACTATTAAAATTCATGCGAAAATTGCCGTTTAACTATTGTAACTACATTTAAAACTTTTGTGAAGTATTTTGAGCGTTATTTTCAAAGTTTCGAGGTTAGTCTTGATTTTGTCCACATAATTAGGTCTTTTTCTGTTTTGACCTTTTGTTTCTACTTGTACTTGAATTTTTTCTTAGCTCGCCAATTTGCTTAATGCCATGTTAGGAATACTCTTCGTTTGCCATTGTCAAATGGTAGTTGTTGTTAGGTGGTAGTGTTTGTGATGTTAGTGCCGACCTTGGTTCTTAAGTCTCGTTAAAGTTTCTGTTTGCGTTTGTTCACCAGCATTAAATTAGTTTTTCATTGGGTTGTGACGATCGCAACCATGTAGGTTCAGTAATACCAAAACCTTCCCCATACCGAGTTTAACTTGTTTTTATTCCCACGGTCAGCTAACCCAAACATGTCCAGCTTTGGCTATAAAAACTGTTGTTATTTGAATTGCTAGAGAAGAAGATTGAAGTAGAAGACGATATAAGAGTGTTAAGAGTATAGTTGCTGTAGAAGTCAAGAAGAATAAAGATCAAGATGTAAGAAGAAGACTCTCGGTACCTCATCGATAAGCGAGTGACTTGCTCAAACAAGCCCCCACAATACTTACTGGAGTTCTTTTTCATCAACTATTTTTCCGAACAAAAAGACGCCCAGCGTTTTAAAAGTTCGGTTTAAAAGCTATGGGAGGTATAATTACTCTCTTAGCCGTGGAAATTATAGTTAAGTCGCAAAAAGTGAGACCGGGTTTGGGAGGCATTATGGTACCTCGTAAAACATCAACGAGAAAAGAGCTTCGATTAGCTATCCTATGCTCAATGCTAAATTCAAGAGACATGTAGACCACATGAACAAAACCTACATTAGTTCTTTATAGGTGGAAGCTCAGAATAAGTAACAAAAACGAGAATAAAGATATTGAAAACGCATCCACGTTGCAAGCAAATATACTCCTGAATTCTGAACATTTAGCATACGTTTATATAAATAACAGTGCTTATATTGGCAAGAGCATCTACTTTTTGTCCTGTGGTCTCCTCATAGTTAAGAGCTTCGCACGGTTCTGCATGATACACGTATTTGGGGTGCATAAAATAGCGAGAGTTACTACAGGCAGTAGGCATTGAAAATTTAATCTTAGTTTCCGTTTTCCTCAAAATAAGGTGTAAAGAAAATTCGAGCACTAATTAGAAGGTTTCTGTTTCAGTTTCACCAAAACGTTTACTCACATGAAAGCAAATTAATGCACACGACCACATAATATTTTGCAAAAAAGTTCAACAATCGCACTATGTATATTATATATTTTACAGCTGGTCTCTTTGCGGAAGGCAGTCAAAGCTGGCAGCGCACGATTAATAGCAATATGATGTTGAAAACAGCGGATACTAAATAGTTTCACGACAATTTAAGAGGTATAGATCGCCCAAATGTACGTTAACTAAACGAGATGTCATTATGAGATTTTCGCGCGTTTTGTCTCCCCATAACAAACCAAAAAATTAAATTCCTTTCCAGCCATCTGACCTCAAGTAAGTTAATAACACAAATATATTACGTTCTGCTAGGAAGATATCGATGGCTCAAGCTTGTCAACAGCTTGTGTTACGGGAAAGTTTATGCCAAATTACTGCAGAATGTTAATGAAGAAATCCATCAAGGTTGAACTGCACCGACAACATTTTAATACATGAAAAATCATTAAATTCGGCCGTGTATGAACAAGTTTCGCCTGGCTCATCATAGCATCTCAATCTCTTAAACTTAAAACGGATATTTATTAGTTTAGTTTTCTGCCAAATTACTTCAGTACGTACGAAAACAAAGGCTATCAAGGAGCAACGAAAGACCTAAAAAGTTATTAAAATAGTCAGTGAGCTATACATAGTTCAAGTTCGTGACACTGTATTTGGTCTGCTTGGGCTTCAGTTAGAAAAACTTATAGTCTGTGCCAGGCTCTCAAATAGTAGAGATGTCGCAAAAACCATAACTATGCGAAAATAAGACGCTCTTGATCTGAGATAGTATGCTCTCTCCCCAGTCCCCGCTTGTTTTGCCATTCACGACCTCTGCGCAACACTATCTTGGAGCCTGGAAGAGACTTAAAAAAAAAATAAACAATTTGTGCTCGACCTTAAACTATTTTATGTCTTACTTCAACTTTTCAAAACAAATATATCTCGGCATTTTTGTTTTTGTTGAAAAGGTTCATGATAATTATAAAAACAAGAAGACTAGTTTGTGTAATCAAATGGTGACGAATAATTCAATTCCAGGCAAAACTTTTAATGGTTTCCCTACCATCTAGAGATGTTGTGCTCTTTAGTGTGTTAGGACTTGTAACATGGTCTTTTATTCCCCTGGTGTCTTCATTCATAACATCTCACCTAGACATCATTAAACTTGGACGCCATCTCGGGCATTCAGAGTACAAAAGCTGCCATAGCTGAATTTATGAATTAGTATAGGTAATAGCATGATTTGTAGTGATATTTGGCATAAATACCACGAGTGATATTTTAAAATTGTTATACGTAATTTGAGACAATTGTGAAATATCGCAAGTGGTATTTATGCCAAATATCACGTGCAAATCATGCTATTATTTGTTTATACTACTACCCGCAAAGGTTTTGTAATTTTCACATGTAGGTAATTCAAATTAAGCTGAAATACCACTGCTCTTAGCCAATCAAATTAAAGAAATTTCTCATGTAGTAGTAGAAACGCCGAAATTTCGCGCCAAATTAAGAGGTAACTAGTACCCGAGAAATAACCGCTCAGCTAGCCTTAGTTAATTAGGTTATTTAAAAGATAGAATGACACACTTCCCCCCCTTTTAAAAGAAAGCGATATGTTAAACAATGTAGGCACCTGCATATCGTTGCATCGCAGCCAAATGGCGCTAAGAAATTTTACTGAAAATGACAGCAAAACAATCGAAGAACTATCCTGTTCGGCGGAATTCTTCAGAGGTGTAGATTGCGAGCTATTTTCCTTTCAGCGCTAAATATTTTTCTTTCCATTAGTGCATTTCTGGTGAAAACTCTGATCCTAGGTTCCCTATACAAGGAAACTTCACTTCATGCGCCGTCCAAACTCCTGTATCGTAACCTAGCGATAGCTGATCTCTGTGTTGGTATCATTGCTGAGCCTTTGGCTGTGACTTATTGGACTTATGTTGTGAAAGAAAGATGGGATATTTGCTATTACCCTTATTTAGCAGAAAACCTTTCAGGTCATACCTTATGTTCAGTGTCTTTATTAACAGTGACTGCAATAAGCGTGGACAGACCTGTTGCCTTGTTGCTGGGGCTCAGATACAGACAAGTTGTAACCTTGAAAAGAACGTGTATAAATGCATTTGGGTTTTGGATTTTGTCTATAGTGGGTTCATCTAGTTATTCGCTTATTATTAACCCGAAAGTTGCGCTCAGGCAATTGAACATGTCTGGGCGGATTGATTAGACTCCCTCGGTCTTAAAAGTAGCGCGTGGGAACAACTGATACATGATCAATTAATACACGTGTCATAATATAATCCAGCCTAATTAAGGTTGTCTTCCGTCTATTTGAAGCTTTAAGTTAAAACCAAACAAAGACATCACCTGCTTTGCTTTTGGTTAACAGTGCAATATCTCAGGAAAACAGGAAGAACTAAGAATGAAGGTATCATGCGCTTAGATAATTAGTTTACACAATATAGATGCTCTGGGGAAATACTGATGTTGGTAATTTGTAAACCACGTACTGGCGAGGTTTACAGGGCAGTGAAATGGCAGTTAATATACCCTACTACTAGCCGAGGTTTCTTTCCAGTATGGTTTTAAGCCGCTTATGAAGTTTTTTACTTTTTGCCTCCCATTACAGACACGAAAATTAAAACCGGCCGTTGTTGCTTATCGCTGATTATACCCTTTTACAGTCATCTGACGTCAAGTTAGTTAGTAACGTATAAACGCTTGCCTGAGAAAATAGTGATTGCTCAAGCTTGCAAACTTCGCAGCTTGTGTTCTCTCATCAGTTATTAAAATGTTACGCCAAATTAATACGATTTAAATTGCTGAACGTCAAGCTTGCAATGGACAGGCAACACAAAATGTCATTAAAACGTCGAGTCGAGTTAGTTTGACCTGAGCCTGGCCGATAAAGGCTACATCATAGGCCTAGGTTAGCTGCGGAGCCTTTGACTGTGGCTTATAGGACTTCTCTTGTCAACAAAAGATGGAATATTTGCCATTACACAAGTTTGGCAATGGGTTTCTTGGCTTCTACTTTGTGTGGAGTGTCTTTATCAACTTCGACTGCAATAAGTGTGGACAGACTTCTCGCTTTGTTGCTGGGGCTCAGATACAGACAAGTTGTAACTTTGAGAAGAACATATATAATCGCTTTTGGTTTCTGGTTTTTGTCCATCGTTGTTTCATCTACTTTTACAGTTTGGAATATTCTTATACTTTTTTGGTATCAATAGTTAGGTACAGCTTTGTGTTTAGTCACCACAACCTTCGCTTTCACAAAAATTTTCTGTACTCTGCGTCATAATCAAATACATGTTCAGAACCATTTTGCTCCTCGACAACCTAACCAAGAAATTCCACTGAACATAACTCGATACAGAAAGGCAGTGTACAGTGCACTGTGAGTGCAGGGAACATTGGTTGTTTGTTATCTGCCGCTTAACATCGTGAACGCGTACTCTTTGACAACTCAAAGGGGCTTTTCCTTATCTGTTTACCTTGCATGGCATTTTACGTCTACACTAGTGTTCTTAAACTCGTCATTAAACCCTTTGTTGTACTGTTGGAAGATCAGAGAAGTGAGGCAAGGCGGTTAAAGAAACATTAAGGCAAATATTCTGTTGTTCGAGTCAGTAGTGTAGTATGCTTTTCAGCGTTGTATAATGTTAATTAAAAATTCATGCGAAAATTGCCTTTTAACTAACTACATTTGGAGAAGTGTTTTGAAAGCTATTTTCAAAGTTTCGTTTGGGTCGAGGTAAGTCTTGATTTTGGCCACATAAGTGTTTTTCTTGTTTAACTTTTGTTTTTAGTTCTCCTTGAATTTTTGCTTAGCTCGCGGATTTGCTTAATGCCATTTTAGCAATATTCTTCGCTTGCCATTGTCAGATGTTTGTTTTTCATAGGTGGTCGTGAAAAATAAGGGCTACAATTATTCCCTAATTATTTCATCGGAAGTTTCGTATTTACAAGTGAAATCCTCTCATTATTCAAGGATATTGTCTCCAAGTTTTATTTTCACGTTACCAGCAGTGACTAACAATACACTTGAAATATGCAAAAATGTTAGCTATTGTTGCTCACGAAAATATGAAACTTGTAGACAATACCCTGAATAATAAGTGGCTTTCGCTTGTAAACACAAAATTTCTGACAAAATATTAGCGAATTGTAGCCCTTATTTTACTGCCTTACAATATATCAATAACCTTGAAACTAAAAGGTCATATAAGAGGAAGGTTAATCTCAAGTCTCTTAAATTTTTAAAAAATCTATCGAGTGGTTCAAAACTTATTGGCTTATTTGCTAAAGCAGACCGAAATGTTTGCAAAACCGCAAATCCTTCTTTCTAGCAATCGGCTGGCTATCGGCTATCTCCATAAGTCTCACACACGTTTTTAAAAAGATTGAAACTACTATGAGGTGAAATTGCATGTCAAGACGCTTCGTTTTCTAAAGAAAACAGCTGAACATCAAGATTGTCCTTTTTTGACCGTTTTCTTTTTTTAACCATAAAAACTTCATCCCGACATATCTCGATAACGCTCTTACAGATGCCGCTAATAAACTTCACGAACATCGAGGCAACTATTTTTGGGAAAACGTTTTGGGGAACGATTTTGGAAGAACAGTTCCCAGTGCCGAGAAATACTGCTGCAAGTGAAATAGGTAATGGCGTCATTTCGTTGCTATGACAACTCCGATGTCATTGCAACCCTGATCATAACAATTTTCATCTTTATCTAATACAATTGTGGTGGCAATTATTCCAAATCTCTGTTTATGGCGATGTATGGCGATGCCCAAACTTGGGAGGCATTGACCATGAAAAACTGTATCGAGCCACCTTAAGTTTGTCTAGAAGGGGAATTTTATGTCGTCAGAAACAGCAAAGTTGAATTGCAATTAATTGCAACGAGAACTTTTTTGAGAATTAATTTCCATTAAGTTTTTTCGTTTAGGATTTGTTTGTATAAATTGAGGGATTTATACAGATAAATTCCTAATTAATAGTTATGAATTTAATTCACCATCCCCGATCTTCCCTGCTGTGTTATCAAGCCCTCCCCGGACTTTCAGTTTGTTGAATATTCAAGAGGGTTGTACGTTAAATAAAGGTTGTTGAATAAGAGATGGACCATTAGCAAAGTTATGGGTGGGGAGGGGAATTTTTTGAGCCGCAGGAAATTATTTTCTTTATCAAATTCCTTGTATGAATTTTTTTCAGCCCATAGCATGAATATTTTTTAGGATTAATTGGCGTGCATGAATTTTTTTTCAGTTAATTTTCCCTTGCGCGAATATATAATAATATTTTTTTTTTACTTCGCCCACCCCCCAAAAATAAGTTTTCTAATGGTCCGTCCCTAACAAAAGAAAAGAAAAGGTTTGAATCATGAAAGAAGAACAAATATAACATGGCTCTTTTGTTTTTGTTGAACATGATAATTATAAAAAAAAGAAAACTAGTCAGTGTAATCAAATCACGATGAACAATTTTAAATTCAATTTCATGTCAAAATTCTAGTAGTTTTTATGCCATCTAAATACTGTGCTCTTTCGTGTGTTTAAACTTGAGAGTGCGTCTCTTATTTCGCTGATATCTCCATTCACGACATCTCACCTTGACATCCCTTAACTTGGACGCCATCTCGGGCACTTAGATATTCAAAACGCTGCCATAGCTGAAATGAATAAACGCTGAAATTTTGCGCCAAATTAAAGAGTAACTTGTTCGCTGAGAAATTACCACGCGCTTGGTTAATTAATTAGTTAATTTAAAAGATAGAATGACACACTTCCACCCATGTAAAAGGAAATGATACGTTAAACAGTACAGGCACCTGCATATCGTTGCATCGCAGCCAAATGGCGCTAAAAAATTTCACTGAAGATGACAGCAAAACAGTCGAATAACTATTCTGTTCGGCGGAATTCTTCAGAGGTGTAGATTGCGAGCTTATCTTCATTTCAGCGCTGAATATTTTTCTTTCCATTACTGCATTTCTGGTGAAAACTCTGATCCTAGTTGCCCTACACAAGGAAATTTCACTTCATCCGTCATCCAAACTCAGGGGCACCCAACGACAATTTTCGGAAAAATATCTGTTCGGAAGACGATTTGAGATCTAGAATTTTCGGAACATTTGTTGTAAAATTTCTTGCTTGCCTGCCTCTCCTAGGATTTTCGGACATCTAAAAAATGGTATAATTGCCTATTTTTAACGGATTTTTACCCTAAAAAGGTCACCTAGAATTTTCGGGAGCCTTTTTTCTGGCTAAAATTTTCGAAAAGGTAAGTTTTGATCCCTATAATTTTCGGATCACTTGACTTTCACCTAGGAAATCGGAACAGATGAAAAATTTTTAGGGGATAAAAATATGCCTATATCTACCGTTTAAATACTAAAATACGTTTGACAATTCTATGTTTAAGTGGTTTTGAACTATATTTTCGTTGGGTGCCCCCAAACTCCTGTATCGTAACCTAGCGATAACTGATCTCTGTGTTGGTATCATTACAGAGCCTTTGGCTGTGACTTATTGGACTTCTGTTGTTAACTAAAGATGGAGTATTCGTTATAAATCAAATTTGGCAGCGGTATTCTGAGGTTTTGTGTTCAGTGTCTTTATTAACCTTTACTGAAGACGACAACAAAACACTCGAAGAACTATCCTGTTCGGCGGAATTTCTCAGAGGTGTAGATGGCGAGCTTATCTTTTTTTCAGCGCTAAATATTTTTCTTTCCATTTCTGCATTTTGGGGGAACACTCTGATCCTGGTTGCCCTACACAAGGAAACTTTACTTCATCCGCCGTCCAAACTCCTGTATCGATCATTGTGGAGCCTTTGTATGTAACTTATTGGACTTCTGTCTTGACAGAAAGATGGGATATTTGCTATCACGCAAATTTGGCAGTACCTATCTCAGGTTATACTTTGTGTTCAGTGTGTTTTTTAACATCTGCTGCAATAAGCGTGGACAGACTTCTCGCCTTGTTGCTGGGGCTCAGATACAGACAAGCTGTAACATTGAGAAGAACATGTATAATTCCGTGGGATGCCTGTGGCACTCCCACGGTAAAAATCCGTTTCGGTTGTACCCAAAATTGCAAAGCCAGCCAATAGGATTGCCTAAAATCTTTATCGATTATCTCTTCTTCCAAGCCGACCAATCAGATTGTACAAAATCTGTATCGATTTTTAATCGATTTGCTTCCTCTGAAGAAAGTCGAAATCAGAACGTTCCTTGCCAAATTTGTCGCCCTTGAGTTTTCCCACTCGTGGTTTAGGATGGCTTGTTAACCAGCGAAATCCTTCGAGATACTGGCAAGTCACGAAAGGCGACCTAAGCCAAATTATTTCTTCCCTTCTCGATTCTTTTTGTTTAGGTCTAGCTTTTTCATAAGGTTTTAGTAGCGTCTGGTCGCGGGCCATGATTTCCGATAGATTTTTCTATTCGGAGTTCGCCAGTTTTTGCCGAGCACAGCTAGAGTTCAGTTTTTTTCTTTTTTAATCGAAAACACCTTGACGATGGGAGATTAAATGGCGTAAATTTCAACTCGTACCCTTGACGACTGACGGTGAAATCGCGAAAATATTGTCCTCGTCGATCGACGACTCGCTTTTGGCATGGATTGGACTTCTGGATGGGACACGGATCAGGACCTTAGTAAACTTATTATACCTTGGGATCAGGGATAATCATTGGAACTATGTTAACTTTGAGACCTTGGAAACACATTGCAATTAATTTTTAACCGTATCAAGAGCATCTTGGAATATTAAACTTTCATCTTGGATTAAAACATTGGAACTTTATCGAACTTTGTAACCCTCGGTTCGACCCTGGATAAAGCAAGCGGATGTTTTGTTTTGTTTTGTTCCATTAACCTAAAACTACAATGTTTATTTCTCTTTGAAAAAGTTACCTGTAGCAACTTTCTACCAAGATATGACCTATCTTTATACATATGCGCATGTTCTCCATTACTTGTTTCCGTTAACATTCCAATTTAAGTTACACGGCGAAATCTTGTTTTGATGCAAAATAACTTCTTTTTCTTATCCAAATCGTGCTACGAAAATAACTACATAACGATAGATCAAAACAAGATCAACTCAATCCTTGCGACCACTGGCAACTATGAATTTAGCTTGCGTAGCAGGTGTCGAAAGGGGTGGGGGATAGGGAGGAAGCCAAAAGGGGATGTGGTTGGGGAGAAATGGTAGCCTGCCACGCAGGCTACTATAAATTCAGTCATAAGCACATTAAACCAACCCATACAGGTAACCTACTCATCGATGCTCATGATCATAACATGACACATCTTTCCGGTTTCCCTAATTTTTCCAAATTCAGATAGAACGCCATTATGCTTCCATGGACCAACGCATCCCACGGAAACGACTTCAGGCGTCTTGTTGTTTTTGGTTTTTGGATTTTGTCCATCGTTGGTTCACCTACTATATTTTGGATTCCACTTATACTTCTTTGGTATCAATACATAACAAGAGAGATAATTACAGCTCTGTGTCTAGTCACCGCAATCTTCGCTTACACAAAAATTTTCTTTACTCTGCGTCATAATCAAATACATGTTCAGAACCTTGTTGCTCAAGGACAACCGAGCTAAGCAATTCCCACACTGAACATAGCTCGATACAGAAAGGCAGTGTACAGTGCACTGTGGGTGCAGGGAACATTAATTGTTTGTTATCTGCCGCTTAGCATCATGAACGCTTTGACACCTCAAAGAGGAATTTCTTTATCCGTTTACCTTGCAGGGCAATTTCCGGTTACACTAGCGTTCTTAAACTCGTCATTAAACCCGTTACTGTACTGCTGGAAGATCAGAGAAGGCAAGCTGTAAAAGAAACATTAAGGCAAATGTTCCGTTGTTCGAGTTAGTTTACTATACTTTTCCGCTGTATACTATTAAAGTTCATGCAAAAATTGCCGTTTAACTAATTACATTTAATGCTGTTGTGAAGTATTTTCAACCTTACTTTCAAAGTTTCGACTGGGTCAAGGATAGTCTTGAGAGAGAGATTTTGTCCACATAATTCTGTTTTAACCTACTGTTTCTACTGAACATAAATTAAAGAAAAATTTAAGCATCTTGTAAAAAAATCGTTATATCTAGGTCAGACCATCATCATTGCGTTCTATGATGGTTACTAGGTTTTCAAAGAAAAAAAAATCACTTTTGTTTTGCTAAATCATGTGTTTGTTGTGCTAAGTAGAGGCCCGTTTCAAATCAATTTTAAGGTAAGAGTCCGTGTTTTTCTAAACAACGAAACTTATTTGGCTTTGACAATTTATTTTCACTTGCCAAATACTGAATAAGGGCTTCTTGTCAACAATTTGGTTTGTTTGTGGCCTGAGTTATGCTCAAACCTCCATTTTGAATCACCTTAGAGGGGCATGAAGTGTTTGTTCCAAAAATTCAATAAACCATAATAAGCCAAATTTTTCTCAACTGATTTTGATAATTGGTGACTAAAGTAAACAGTGGTATAGGTATGGAAGTTATGCAGGAAGGCAGGTGAATATACTGAAATTTTGAAAAATGGCTATTTTGAGTTGTAATTGTAGCAACAATTCTGGCCAGACTCCAGTCCCAGGCTCCTCTCTGTGCAATACCTTGAAGACAAAGTTACATGGGTGAAGTGAAAGCTCTATTACAGTATACTTCATGCTCAAATTCATTTGGTAGCACAATTTACCAGTGGGGTCGTACGTCACTTTCAAAATTGCCCCTGGAAGGCTGGATTTTTGGTGCTCAAAAGGTCAAAAATGAGATCCCCCTGTAACTCCAAAACTAAAAGTCAGAGAAGGAAGCCAAAGTGGCTTTTGAAATATCTCATCACACCCAACTTCTGTACCAAGTTTCAGCCAAATCGATTGACCACAATTTTTAGTTGCGGCCGGTAAAAATGTAATTTGCTTGGCCTTCCTGGAGAAAAGGACAGCTGAGCTGGAGACTGCGTGGATGGTTGCGTTTATAGAGCTCCTGCAGGTTGTTGCGTGTAAAATACAAGAACGTGTCAAGGGATACCTTAACCGCCTACACAAAGATGATTTAATCGACGATGACACAAATAATGCCGGGGCAAAAGCTCTCCTGGGAACAAGGTTGAGCTATTTCGAGAAAGGTTGTCGGAAAAAATGTGCACGCAACAATCCCGTAAGGTGATATGGGATATAATCAATACACTGTTTCTCACTCCGTAGCCTTTGAACCCATAACCTGCGTGGCAGGCGTTTGAAAGGGGAAGGAAAGGGAGTTTTAGGCGCGAGGGAAACGTGTTTCTCTCGCGCCTAAAACTCCCTTTCCCTTTCCCTCCAAACGCCTGCCACGCAAGCTATTGAACCTACTCTTGTTGCTTTCCTTTATCACTCGCAAACATACGTCTCTTCAAATTTCTTTGAAGAGGAGTGAACTCAAAACCACCCACAATACCTTTCGGAAGTGTCGCGTGCACTTTTTCCGAGAACCTTTCTCGAAATAGCTATAAACGGAACCTTATTTGATTAATTTAAAAAGGTATCCAAACGAGGTTAATGTGGTGTTAAAACAATACAGCCTAAGAATGAGCCTATCGCCACGTTTCCATGTTAAAACAGCTGATCACAGCGATCTATTTCCGTTTTAAACAAATATTGGTTTCACTCTTATCCTTTTATGCGATCTTTGCTGTCATGTGCTTTCGAAAAAGTAGTCCAGTATAATTTGGGGGGTTCCTTTTAATCTATGACAAGCTTATTAGTAAAACTGAATACAGTAAGTTGACCAGAAATGCGTGGCATTGTTTCTAATAGCCGTTACAGGTCTAGCCTGTCCAGGCTCGGAGATAGTCGGGTCCGCTGAATTGAGAAAGCGCAAACACAAAAATAAAACGGGAGGAAACTGCCCACCTTTTCTTTTTTCCGGCCCGGCCAACTTTAAGCGTGCCTTTTTTTTTCGCGTCTTGACTACTACCTGAGAGCCTGGAAAAGGCTATTATAGGTCTTGGGGAGTTCTGGGGTCGTTTTCTCCCCGTCCCCCACCCACCCCCAAAGGCCATCAGAGCCCCTTCAGCCCCCAGAGAGCTTGTTGGCAGGCTACCCATTGTAAAAAACAAAGCAAGGAAAAACTAGGAGAAGTAACATTGTACGAGAGCGTTTTAAGGAACGTCCGTTAAAACAAAGAAACAGATATTCCAGATCAGGATAATTACCAGCTTATTTTATTACATGAAAAAGGAGAGCTGTAGAGAATACTGTGGATTTAAACAAAGTAGGGCTCCTAGCTACAATCTTCCTCTGTTTTGTGTTCTATCGGTGCCGTGTTTATGTCTTGCAAAGTTGATTTTCTAGTATGTAGTATATGATCAGCCTTGCAGAATTCAGTTCGCCCAGCTATGAATGTTTTGACTCAGACTCTCATTAAATCTAATAAAAAGTTATCATGTCTATTTGCCACAGCACTTCAGACGCAGACCGCAACACATTGCATAACTTTCCGAGTTTATATATTCTCGGGCATCACTGCTCAAATCGCCCTCGTCGGTCCAGGCTCCTTTGTCCCGTACCAGGCCCCTGTCTGGCATTGGTTTTCCCGTAACCAAAGTCACAGCAAACAGCAAGATGAGAATCTTAATGAGATGCTTCATTTTCACCTAAATTAAAACATTTGACAGTAAGGAAAACACGATCTGAACTTATCATATTCATTGTATTTTTATAAGTTGTAGGAGCGATGGGAAACCGCGCAACACTTATAATAATGGACATGGCCTAAAGCCCCGTCCACACGAATCCGGGTAAAGAAACATACGGTTTCAGATAAAAATCTCCTGATTCGTGTGAACGGGGCGTAAGAAATTCCATGAGAAAGTATTATAACGATTACAAGTAGGTTTTTAATACAATGGTCACGTTTTAATCCACATGACTAACTGATAAAAAATTTACCTTGTACAGCCTTGTAAATAGAACAAAGAGGCCCGATCATGAAGATATTTGCATTTTGCGCCATAAAGATAAGCCTCGACTCGTCAACAAGCGATTTTGTTGAAGAAAAAAAAGTTCGAAACATAAACTGACTCGCCAGTCCCTTTCGACCGTCATTCTTCATAAGCTCAAATAAAGATAGATATCATTCGGAGAAAAAGTGCGTGATTTAGGGCTTAGTACTCTCCAATTTACAATGCCCCCTACGTGGCAGACACCTTAACCCTATTCAGACTGGGGGGGGGCTTTTCGAACCCCCCCTCCGGAAAAATCGTGATAACTCCTACACCGAAAGAGCTATGTCGTTCAAATTTTCTGGCTTTTCCTAAAATTTATCTAGGAACATTTTGGTATAATTACCATGTCCATGTGATTAATCATGTTGCCATGGCAACCAGTTTCTGACACATAGGTTTTGGAAAATTTAAAACAATGGTGATTTTTTTTGTTTTAAGATCGCGTTTTTACACTTATAGTGCTTTTTGATGTCAAAATGGTCTTTGCTTGGGACTAGTTTTTGAATTACATCAAAATGTTTCAACATCGAATATTTGGGGGGGAGGGGTGGGGTTAAATTTGTCACTTTTTTGCTGTGACAAATATGCTGCTCTATTTTCCAAATAACACTTCCAAAGTCATTTGTTTCGGTAATAAACATTAGTTTGATACTTCTTTTATACATTCTGAGCTTTTTCCCCTTTGAAAGTTGCTTTAAATCATAATTTTAACAAAAAAACGGAAATCTAAGATGGCGGATCCCAGATGGCGGATCCAAGATGGCGGACAACCATTTCAAATTTGAAATTTTATTGCTTCCTATTGCTTTTTCTCGTTGTACAAGTGTGTATTTTATATGCATATATGTTGTATATTATATTAAAGAGATGACTTTACCAATATTATTGATTAAGAAACATTGAAAATCGGAATATGACGTCACTGTGAGGTCATAATTGGGCGTGGCGAGTCAAAACTGGGTGTGAGGCTTCTTTGTACGGAGATGATCATTGTGTGTAAATTTCATGACCCTAGCATTATTGGTTCCAAAGATACAGAGGGGGGTCCGAGGAGCCCCCCCCCCCCACCCCCCCAGTCATAGATTGACCAAAAAAGCCCAGTCTGAATAGGGTTAAGGTTGGTTTCCACCGTCGCGTAATTTCTACGCGCGTACGTGCGTTAAATTTACGCACGTAGATAAAAGAGGCTATGTTGAACGTTTGTGCGTAGACGTAAAAGTTGAGCGAGGGTTCAATTTTTGCGTTCATTCATTCATTCATTCATTCATTCATTCATTTATTTTGCCATTAACCAGAAATAAAACAACAGTATACAGAAATACATTAAAGATAATATACAATATTCCAACTAAGTTATTTACAAGTCATTTTCATACCGTTTGCCTCTATTTCTTTTACAAACGTAAAAATTACGCGACACTGGAAATCCACCCTTATATACACAAAACATTGTATTAATTAAAGCTAACGACACGAGAAATTCTCTTGGAGATTTTCTATCCGAAGGAATAAAAAACGAAAGAGAAATCACCTTTTACCCACCTCAAAACTTCTGCTTGAAACTTTTCTGTGAACGGAAGAAATACAAACGCTTCGAGGGATATTGCTGCAACAAATGATGCACGGAACAAAGTAATTAAATTGCAAAAAATATATAAGTCGTTATATTTTAAGCCTCGTTTTCAAAGAGAGTCTAGGTGGACATCTTCTCATACTAAACTATTTTCCATTCATACGCAAATAAATTCATTTACTTCAGTATAAATGGTTCTGCGCACTTGGTTTTATGATATGGCCTTGGGAAATTCGGAGATGGGCTTTTTTATTAAATGTTACTACAATCCATTGAAACTGTAAGTTCCTTAAGCTAACTGTGGTACTTGGTTGTGCCAAAATCATACCGTAAAAAAAGGACAGCCGAGGAGTACTAGTACTTGGAATCCTCATATACTTCCTTGGTGTCAATACATAGGTACAGCTCTGTGTCTAGTCACCACAATCTTCGCTTACACAAAAATTTCCTATACTCTGCGTCATAATCAAATACATGTTCAGAACCATGTTCCTCAAGGACAACCGAGCCAAGCAATTCCCGCACTGAACATAGCTCGATACAGAAAGGCAGTGTACAGTGCACTGTGGGTCCAGGGAACATTGATTATTTGTTATCTGCCGTCTGGCATAGTAGAAGCTTTGCAACGTCAGAAAGCGATGACCTTATCCATTTACCTTGCTCAGCAATTTACGGCTACCTTAGTGTATTTAAACTCATCATTAAACCCGTTGTTGTACTGTTGGAGGATCAGAGAAGTAAGGCAAGCTGTAAAAGAAACATTAAGGCAAATGTTCCGTTGTTCGAGTTAGTGTACTATGCTTTTCCGCGGTATACTATTAAAATTGATGCAAAAATTGCCGTTTAACTATTATAACTACATTTAATACTTTTGTGAATAATTTTGAACATTATTTTCAAAGTTTCAAGGTTAGTCTTGATTTTGTCCACATAATTAGGTCTTTTTCTGTTTTCACCTTATGTTTCTACTTGTACTTGAATTTTTTCTTAGCTCGCCAATTTGCTTAATGCCATGTCAGGAATATTCTTCGCTTCCCATTGTCAGCTGTTAGTTGTTTTTAGGTGGTAGTGTTTGTGATGTTAGTGCTGACCTTGGTTCTTAAGTCCCGTTAAAGTTTCGATTTCGGTTTTTTCACCAGCGTTTTAGTTTTTCATTAGGTTGTGACGATCGCAACCATGTTGGTTCAGTAATACCAAAACCTTACCTATACCGAGTTTAACTTGTTTTTATTCCCACGGTCAGCTAACACAAACATGTCCAGCTTTGGCTATAAAAACCGTTGTTATTTGAATTGCTAGAAAAGAAGATTGAAGTAGGAGACGATATAAGAGTGTTAAGAGTATAGTTGCTGTAGAAGTCAAGAAAAATACTGAAGATCAAGATGTAAGAAGTAGACTCTCAGTACCTCATCGATTAGCGAGTGAGTCGAACACGCCTCGACAATACTTACTGGAGTTCTTCTTCATCAACTGTTTTTCCGAAAAAAAAGACGCCCAGTCTTTTAAAAGTTCGGTTTGAAAGCTATAGGAGGTATAATTACTCTCTTAGCCGTAGAAATCATTGTTAAGTCGCAGAAAGTGAAACTGGGTTGGGGAGACATTATGGTACCTCGTAAAACAGCAACGAGAAAAGAGCTTCGATTAGCTATCCTATGCTCAATACTAAATTCACGTGACATGTAGACCACATGAAGCTCAGAATAAGTAACAAAAACGAACATAAAGATATTGAAAACGCATCCACGTTGCAAGCAAATATACTCTTGAATTCTGAACATTTAGCATACGTTAACATAAATAACAGTGCTTATATTGGTAAGAGTATCTACTTTGTCCTGTGGTCTCCTCATAATTAAGAGCTTTGCACGGTTCTGCATGATACACGTATTTGGGGTACATAAATTGGCGAGGGTTACTGCAGGCAGTAGGCATTGAATATTTAATCTTAGTTTGCATTTTGCACAAAATAAGGTGTAGAGAAGATTCGAACACTAATTAGAAGGCGTCTGTTCCAGTTTCACCAAAACGTTTACCCACGTGAAAAGCAAATTGATCCACACGACCACATGATATTTTGCAAAAAAGTACCACCATCGCACTATGTATATTATATATTTTACAGCTGGCTTCTTTGCAGAAGGCAGTCAAAGCTGGCAGCGCACGATTAATAGCAATATGATGTTGAAATAGCAGATAATAATTAGTCTCACGACAATTTATGAAATTTAAGAGGTATAGACCGCCCAAATGTACGTTAACTAAACGAGATGTCATTATGAGGTTTTCGCGCGTTTTGCCTCTCATAACAGACCCAAAAATTAAATTCCTTTCCAGCCATCTGACCTCAAGTAAGTTAATAACACAAATATCATTACGCGGTTCTGCTGGGAAGATAGCGATGGCTCAAGCTTGTCAACAGTTTGTGTTACTGGAAAGTTTATGCCAAATTACTGTAGAATGTTAATGAAGAAATACATCAAGGTTAATCGAACTGCACCGACCACATTTTGAGACATGAAAAATCATTAAATTCGGCCGTGTATGAACAAGTTTCACCTGGCTCATCATAGCAAGCTAGTATTTCTTAAAAGCATAATTTGTCTGAATTTTCTCTTTTTTTTTTCTTTCACTTTAAAGTATCTCAATCTTTAAACTTAAAACGGATATCAATCAGTTGAGTTTTTTGCCAAATTACTTCTCTCAGTGACATTATACGTACGAAAAGGCTATCAAGGAGCAACGAAAGAGCTAAAAAGTTATTCAAATAGTCAGTGAGCTATATATAGTTCAAGCTCGTGACACTGTATTTGGTCTGCTTGGGTTTCTTATAGTCTGTGCCAGGCTCTCAAATAGTAGAGACGTCCCAAAAACCATAACTATGCGAAAATAAAGCGAAAATAAGACGCTCTTGATCTGAGAAAGTGTGCTTTCTCCCCAGTCCCCGCGTGTTTTGCCATTCACGACCTCTGCGCGACACTATCTTGGAGCCTGGAAGGGGCTAAAAAAAAAATACACAATTTGTGCTGGACCTTAAACTATTTTATGTCTTACTTCAACCTTTCAAAACAAATCATATCTCGGCATTTTTGTTTTTGTTGAACAGGTTCATGATAATTATAAAAACAAGAAGACTAGTTTGTGTTATCAAATGGTGACGAATAATTCAATTCCAGGCCAAAATTGTAATGGTTTCTCTACCATCTAGACATGTTGTGCTCTTTAGCGTGTTAGGACTTGTAACATGGTCTTTTATTCCCCTGATGTCTTCATTCAAAACATCTCACCTAGACATCATTAAACTTGGACACCATCTCGGGCATTCAGAGTGCAAAAGCTGCCATAGCTGAATTTATGAATTAGTATAGGTAATAGCATGATTTGTACGTGATGTTTTGCATAAATATCACAAACGGCTCGTGAAATTACGTATAACAATTTTGAAATACCACTTATTTGTGTGTAATACTACCCGCAAAGGTTTTGTAATTTTTACATGTAGGTATTTCAAATTAAGCTGAAATGCCACTGCTCTTAGCCAACCAAATTAATTAAAGAAATTTCTCATATACTAGTATAAACGCCGAAATTTCGCGCCAAATTAAGGAGTAACTTGTACCCGAGATATAACCATGCACCTAGCCTTAGTTAATTAGGTTATTTAAAAGATAGAATGACACACTTACCCCCTTTTAAAAGAAAGCGATATGTTAAACAGTGTAGGCACCTGCATATCGTTGCATCGCAGCCAAATGGCGCTAAGAAATTTTACTGAAAATGACAGCAAAACAATCGAAGAACTATCCTGTTCGGCGGAATTCTTCAGAGGTGTAGATTGCGAGCTATTTTCCTTTCAGCGCTAAATATTTTTCTTTCCATTAGTGCATTTCTGGTGAAAACTCTGATCCTAGGTTCCCTACGCAAGGAAACTTCACTTCATCCGCCGTCCAAACTCCTGAATCGTAACCTAGCGATAGCTGATCTCTGTGTTGGTATCATTGCTGAGCCTTTGGCTGTGACTTATTGGACTTCTGTTGTGAAAGAAAGAAGGGATATTTGCTATTACGCTTATTTAGCAGAAAACCTTTCAGGTCATACCATATGTTCAGTGTCTTTATTAACAGTGACTGCAATAAGCGTGGACAGACTTGTTGCCTTGTTGCTAGGGCTCAGATACAGACAAGTTGTAACCTTGAAAAGAACGTGTATAAATGTATTTGGGTTTTGGATTTTGTCTATGGTGGGTTCATCTAGTTATTCGCTTATTATTAAGCCGAAAGTTGCGCTCAGGCAATTTAACATGTCTGGGCGGATTGATTGGACTCCCTCGGTCTTAAAAGTAGCGCGTGGGAACAACTGATACATGATCAATTAATACACGTGTCATAATATAATCCAGCCTAATTAAGGTTGTCTTCCGTCTATTTGAAGCTTTAAGTTAAAACCAAACAAAGACATCACCTGCTTTGCTTTTGGTTAACAGTGCAATATCTCAGGAAAACAGGAAGAACTAAGAATGAAGGTATCATGCGCTTAGATAATTAGTTTACACAATATAGATGCTCTGGGGAAATACTGATGTTGGTAATTTGTAAAGCGCGTACTTGCGAGGGTCACAGGGCAGTGAAATGGCAGTTAATATACCCTACTACTAGCCGAGGTTTCTTTCCAGTATGGTTTTAAGCCGCTTACGAAGTTTTTTACTTTTTGCCTCCCAATACAGACACGAAAATTAAAACCGGCCGTTGTTGCTTATCGCTGATTATACCCTTTTACAGTCATCTGACGTCAAGTTAGTTAGTAACGCATAAACGCTTCCTTGAGAAAGTGTGCTCTCTCCCCAGTCCCCGTGTGTTTTGCCATTCACGACCGCTGTGCAACACTATCTTGGAGCCTGGAACAGGCTAAGAAAAAGTACACGATAGCCCACGTTCGATATATTAAAATTCTAACATGACTCCGAGACTTTAGGATCAAAATTGCAAATTTTTCACGTCTCTGTTCTCTCACAATTCCCATAAGAGACTTGAGCACATAGAAAACCAAACCAAAAATAGAAAAATGACCAGAAAGCCTGAGAATCTAACAGAGTACAAAGAGAGAGAGAGAGAAAATTTCCGGTTTTCGCATATAAATGGTAAGTACCCCAGGTCCACCATATTCAATAATTTTAAATTGCTGAGTGTATGTTCAATACAAATTGTCATTTGCAGATTTCTTAACAAAAGTCTTGTAGAAAACTCTAGCAAGGATTAGAAGGCTTTTGTCATAATTAAATTGAATCCTTGGATTCGTACCCCTCCCTGCCTGCTGAAGGCGTTCAGTTAGTGGAGAGTAAAATTGCTGGGCGTTAATTAATCCTGCATGAGAACATGAAGATATGAGAAAGAAATATCAGAAAAAAATTTGTTGAATAAATTGTAACAAAATAAGTGCCCAGTAAAATGAATTAGCTTGCTAATAATAAAATTCATTCTCAGTTAAAACAGTTATGGTTAATTTTAGAACTCTCTAACATTGTAGGGCAGGGAGGGTTGTGTCAAAAAGAAACAGAGCATGTAAGGTGTCAACATAAGGAGTGTACTATTGTTCACTGACGCAGCATAATTAAGTCTAATAGGGTCATTCCTGCCTTGCATTCAAGCCCTCTCTGTAAGTTATCTGCTTTCCTACAGAATAGCCAGTAGAAAGAGAAATACAAAAGTGTAAAAATGTGAGATTAAATTTATCCCCTGACTCATGTTGTTCAGGCTGAATGAAAATGTCGGTCTGTTTCACTGTACCCAGAAGTGTTTCATTTGCCATCGCCCGACCAACCTATCTTTTTGGAAATAGGAAAAAATCAGGAGAATAAGAGTACATCCTTTGGTTTTCAGTATTTAAAGTGAACACTGTTTTCTTGCAATGCTTTTTAAAGCAGTTACGGTTTATGAATTATTTCTTTCTTAAAACGAGCTTTCCTAAAAGTTTAAACAGATTCATCCCGCGAAAATTTATGCGGACATTTTATATCTTTCTTTCTTGCTTGCCCTACCGACGGACCCACTTTTTTGTTTGAGACGGATGGATGAATAGCAAAACATTGTTTGGGCGTGGCCTAAAATACCAAAAAATCAATGAAACCATACGAACTATCGCTATGTTCGAAAAATTACTTGAACTTTGGCAAAGGTTTTCCTTTAAGAGTATTTACGGCAGACGCTATATCTGTGTCTTCAAACTGATCAACGGCAGACTCTGGCAGCACTGCATTTCTTTACAAGATGTATACACGGCCTCCCTAGAAAAATCAATCGTGCACACTTCCATGCCATCGTCAGGTTGAGAGGTTGTTTCTGAGTGTCTGCTGAGAACTTCTTCTAGGAGAAGAATCTTCGTCTCGCGTGTTACTATCTCATCTTTCCAGTTCGTCGCAGCTTTGTCGAAAGCAAAGCATACTTTCTTCTGCATGTTTCGCAAGGTGTTAAGATGGCTCGTGAGGCCTAGCTTGTTAAAACAGTCCATCTCCTCCTTCTTACAACCTCCAAGCACTAGAATGGTGTAAATTCTAAATGTAAAATAAGAGTTCGGAATCCATGGATTCAGAATGCTTGCAAAGATCACTGCCTCCTTGTTTTTCCCTTTCTTTACTTTTTCGTTCCTTGGAAATGACGAAGAAACAAGGCAGTGCAAGTTGGGTGCTTTTTGTTGGATTTCTCTAATCAAATGGTCATTTCGGAAATCAGCAAGCTTCTCTAACTCCCCTCGGTACTTGTACGTGTTCGTCGGATCTTTTGAGTAGTTCTTTAGTTCTCTCTTTATTTCTTTTCCAATCTCTTCTAACACTTTATCGTGCAGTGGAGAAAATTTAGTGACGCCAACTGCGGCGCGAGCGAGGGGGCCGACCCCTCGCGGCTTCGCCGCTCGCTCGCCCGTTCTCGCGAGACTCGCTTCACTCGCTCAAATAGGAGAGCTTGCTCGCAGGCTAATATCGATAAACAGTTGTCAATATCAGTTCAAATTTGTAACAGCTTCTTTTCGTTGAATATTTCTTTACCTGTATCAGAAGGAAAAAAATTAAATTATTGCCTCCATTGAAAGAAACGCTAATTGCAAGTACCTGCCGTTATTAAGCTTAATTAAGAATTTATCTATCTGGAAAAAGAACCACTCGCCTTCACGACTGGCCTGGACGCTGTTTCGTCCTTTGTTGTTGTTACCACTGAACACATCAAATTCGCTAAAGCGCCTCCAAGATTTTCACCCTCATTCCGATCGGCTTCGAGCTGAAATAAAAATATCCTTGACCGACCTTTAGGTTCTCTTGGCTCTTGTATTTGTAGTGGAATATCCTTTATTTTCTTGGAGTTCGGTGTCGATCCGCTGGTGGAATTTCCATGGAGTCTCCACCTTTCGTAGACTCCGAATTGCCCTCGTCGATCCTGGCTTTGACAGCACTTTCAAGTTCATGGAACATCGTGCAGCAATTGAAAATTTTTTTTTTTCTTGCACATTTTTTGCAAGCTGATCTGGATTCTTCGTTCTCTGCACTACAAACACCTATCCCAACGTTTCTGAGTAAGTCCCACAACACGATACTGCCGGCGGCGGACGATTTTTTTTCCGTTAACTCTCGATTTCTTGTGGCCTTGCATAACGGCACAGCCCCTGCTAGTAGAATTTCATCACAACGATAACATTTTTTACTTTTTTCAGCGAGCACCATCTGAACATCGCAGTGTAATTTTCTTTTCTCTTCCCGTGAGAGACATAGAGGGATAATGGGGAGAGGGCATGATCTCAGGCTACTTTTCCCTTGTGAGGGCAGACGTTTTTCGCGCCTCGTTGAAACGAGATTCCCGCCAATGTACGCATACCGGCTGACTTCCGGTAAATGCTGATTGGCCCATTAACTTGACAGGTAGAGCTGACGTTCAGGTTTATTTAAATTAGAGGGCGGCTGGCGGCATGTTAAATACATGTATCAGGCGTTTTTTTTTTCCTCTTGCCTCGTCCGCCCTTGAAAAAAAAAAACGTAACATGACGGCGTTTGGTTTTCCCTTTACATATTTTTAATTACACACTATCGTACGCGATATTTGTATGGATAAAATGGTTTGCTTTTCCTCCCATACAACAAAGTGAGACCACCCGGGTGCGAGGGTAATTAAACAGAAACCCTTGGCGAGAGCAAGTATATACAAACTGACTGATCTGAAATTATTAAAGAGGAACTTTATAGTTTCTAGAGAAGCTGAGATGTTGCATCGATGGGAAAGTAAAACACAAACGTTTGGTTTTATCAACTAACTAGATCACCACCGTATTAGGAAGTCAGTTGGCCTAGTCTATCTACGGCCGTGGCCATTTTCCTTTACCAAGTGGCTCAGTTAACAAGCAAAATTTTTATACAAGCACCTGCTTTGCTGGGCAATAAATGGCGGGATTAAAGTCTACAGTTTAGAAATATTTTTAAAACTAAACGCAAAATCTATGCCTCAACGCTTTCTGATACCGGTTGTATTTTTAAGTATTTAGTTAAGTTGATGTACTGAGTATGATATGAGGGCCACTCTCCCAGAGATCTGGCGGAATAAGGCAACACGAGTTGTTTACTTTCATGGAAGAAGTGACATCTTGAAATAACTTTTAGGGAACAGGGGACTTTGTTGAGTTTTTCAGGTAACCGGGGAACATTGAATCTCTACCTTTAAGTGAAAGAATCCAACAGCATACTTTTACTAATCGGGCCCTTAACGAGGCGAATTTCTCAGTTAGTTGCGACTTGTTTGTGAGTGTACCAAGGCCTCATTTCAATATGTCTGGTGAAGAGTTTGTTTCGCGTGTTAAGCTTTAATTTATAGTTCAAATACCATTGGCTTGACTCGAACACCATTACGATTTTACTGTTCCGGAAGCTTTGGAAACTTGGCAAAATTGACTTTTGAGGACCATGTGGAATTACTCGTTATGGCCGGAACAAGGGGGGAACTTCAAATTATTGAAGGGACAGCAAGGGATGACATTGAATTTTAATGCCATAATTAAGACACATTAATAATAACAATACTTTTTAATGTTTGTTTTAGTTGTCTTAATTCAGGCATCCGTTTTCACTAAATAAGGATGAAGTTGAAATAGTGGATACGTAGCTAAAACTCAGTTTCAAGAGAAAAGACAAAGTACGTCATGAGCTCTTCGCGCGCTTTGCTTCTTATAACAAACCCAAAAGTTATAAAACCGACCTTGTTGCGAACATATTTACATTTTTTCCAGACATTGAGGCTGACCTCAAGCTTGGTCAATTATGCTTACACATGTAAAAACGGTGATGGCTCAAGCTTGTAAACTTAACAGCATGTGTTATTGAAATTTTGTGTATGGCAAGCTTTGGGGCCAACCATTCGCAGTAGGATATTCACTTAACAGATGATGACAAATTCGTTAAGGAACCGTCGAGTATATTTTCCAGTTTCTTCTCCACTCCAATCCTGGATCAGTCTGCCCTGATGCTTAAAGGGACTGTGACACGCTTTTGCGCATGCGCGGCGTCTTGATTTCTGGGTCTGGCGATCTTTTTGCAAGATTGGCTTTTGGTGAAGAAATCCTCTTCCATCGGCCCTGAGAAGCCCGAGAAAACTATTATATCAGCATTCAAGAGTTATTTGGTCCATTTTGGAAGTTTTAAACGTATATTTTGTATCTTTGTGCAAGCATTGTCGAGAAAATTCGAAGTCATTGAGGAGAATGTTAGGGTACATTGTTGCTCAGTCTGCTTCATTGTATGCGCTTCTCTTCGTAATCCTTACTATTTATTCAGTCTATTCTGTCTACTTCCGTGTAACTAACTGTATTCAGGGATATATATTATATAGATAAATTTGTTTTTAGGTCAGTTCGGAAATCAAAAGTTCCACCATGTCTCAAATGTCTGTTGTTAAGGGTCAAAGGATGGTGTTTACAAGCTGTCAGAACAGCTGAACACACTTTAGTTTTTACTAGCAAACCTTTGCTGGTCAGTTAAGTCCTTTGCTAAAAGATTTTTGCACCCATCTCTTTGGTGTTGGGATCAATCCAAAATAGAAGTTGGACGCACGGTAATTGCAGCAAACATCATAAGTGTAGTTTCAGTCTTTCACAACTAAAGGTTTAACTGAGGTTAAGAAACACCTCTTCAAGCTTATGTAAGAAACACAGAAACAAGATCAAAAGATAGAAATAGGTAGATGTATTCAGCTGTGGAATAGGAAAACAAGCGTTTCCTGTTAACGAAGTTCGTTTACTTAAACCTGGAGTTGGTTCTCACTTTCGCTTCCAAACTTGAATCATCATCAGATTTCCTTATCTCATTAAAATCTAACCTAAGGCCACGCGTCCTAACACCTTTCGAGTTCTTTGTTCTCTGTTGAACCAGTTTTAGCCAAATTTCTGACTTACTTTTCTGACCTCAAACTAGAATTTCTTTCGACACAATCTTAGAAAAATTTAGTTTCTTTCAAACTATCGTTTTGGTTCCCTGTAAAGGAATTTGGGTATAGAGATATTTCTAGTTTTGCAAATTTCTTGCACGCGTAACTGAAGTCAACTCAATTTCAGTTCCTTTTGTTTTCTAAACTCTGACACTAACTAACACCTTTTCCTTGCATATGAATGCCATGTAAAACTGTAGTTGTAACTTAATTGTTTAATATAAATAGAACCTCTTGTGAGTAGCTTCACAGTTACGCCTTGAGATCTGAGATGGCTAAGAAGAGTTTGTAACTTCAACGGAAAGATTAAAACCATCGTCAACTGCCAAACTCTGGTTGTGTCACCTCTCTTCACGTAATCCTAAAGTCTGTAGAAGTCCCCCTCTAGAAGAAGTGCACCGGAAGCCATATTCTTTGTTGTCAGTGTTCCTACAAACGGACCAAATGTGGCGTTTAATGTGTTCATCTGGCTTTCATTTGTGTCTATTAAGTTCTCCAGTCAACGATCTACCATTTCCGGATAGTTTTTAAACGTTAAATATGTAAAGAAAGTTGAAAAGGGTTTCCTCGATATAGACGTTGACTACCAATGGGAGGCAGCGGCGAGTAAAGCTGATCTGCGACATGACTTCCGATTGTCTGCAACAATTGACTCTCTCGAGTGCTTGGAATCAGAAGGAGAAAACCGAGTAATCTTTTGTTGTACAGGAACCCGTGTGTGGTTTGAAGAAAGAATCCATCGAACATGAAACGTTTTAACAAGCATTCGATGTCGCGCGATCTTTACCGATCGAGGTGGTTCACTTAGAATTTCCTTGTATCTTTGCTGCATTAGCGTAGATGTTTAAGAATTGATCTTTTTAAAATAAATTGTTACCTGAATGTTCTGTTAATTATCTGGTTTCTTTATGTTTTGAACTCGATAACGTTTGTTTTGCGAACACCCGACGGAACGACCATAGGCGTACGGGCTATTTTTTGCCAGGGGGGCGGTAAACCATTTGCCCAAAAAATTTTTGCAAGTTGCCCAAATTTTTACAAAACAGCCGAACAGAAACGAGGGCCGATGCAACAAGATAGGCCGTACTGGCATATGAAAATGGCTCCATACAGTTTTTAAGGGTCAATACCTGCCAAGTTTGAACATAAACTACGTCGCCACAAACAAACATTTGGAAAAGTTGCCACCACAGGTGTATTAGATAAAGATGAAAATTTGTTGTGATCAGGTTTGCAATGACATCGGAGTTGTTGTAGCAACGAAATGAAGCCATTACCTATTATACTTGCAGCAATATTTCTCCCTGGGAACTGTTCTTCTAAAATCGATCACAGGAGCTTTTTCCTCCAAAGGTCGCCTCGATGTTTGTGACGTTAAAACGGAATCTGTAAGAGCGTTATCGAGATATTTTGGGATAAAGTTTTTATCGTTGGAAATACGGTAAAAAAGGAAAATCTTGATGTTTGGCCGTTATCTGTAGAAAACGATGCACTTTTGACATGCAATTTCACCTCGTAGTAGTTTCAATCTTTTCAAAAACGTGGGTGATAGATCATGGAGATAGCTCCGGCCAATTGCTACAAAGAAGGATTTGATTAGGATGTATCATGGCGCTCCTGTTAGCGGTTTTGTAAACATTTCAGTCTACTTTAACAAATTATTGAATAATTTTTAAACCGCTCGATAGACTTTTTTAAAAAAAATCAAGATTCTTCTCGCAACTCAACTGAGAATTAGTCAGCCACTTCTTCACTTTAAGACCCATTGCTGATGCTATCTGCCATACACTGTTCTACGAGCGGAGATGATTGTAGAAAGTTAGGCGGAAGTTTATTCTAATAAATTCACGAGTGGAAATAGCCCATTGCAGTCAGTGCCCAACAATAAAAAAAAAAATCAGCATATGATACCTTTCCCTTACAACCAGAAACTCGTCACGTGCTAGGCAGACACTGTCTCGTGTCAATGTAACTGGATTATTACGCCGACTTGAGGTTAAAATAGAAAATATTTATCTCTTCTGGCTTTGCCCAAATTTTCTCGTGCTGCCCAAAAAATCTTAGTTGCCCAAACTTTGGGGGGGCTGCGGCCCCCCTCGCCCCCCCGGCCCGTACGCCTATGGGAACGACTAAGAAGGGATTTGTTTAGTTGCTGATAAGCAATTGAAATTTATGCCATGGTGATGGGCTCCTGTTTATGCTTAATTTTCCTTTGTTCTTTTAGAATAATAATCTTTATACTTATATGTTATGTGGCTACTATTGCAATGGAAGCGTTTTATGATGAGGCGCAATTAAAAATTGCTTTCAAACACTGTTACGAGAATGCCAGAAGGTAAAATGGCGGTTCCGTCTCCAGTAAGAGACTTAAAAATGAATGGGTGTACCCATTTAGTATTTTCGTGTCAAATACATTGACACTCAACGTCAGTCAATGGAATTTTCTACCAAATACTGCAATGACTTTATACATCTAGCTGGCAAAACCAACACTTAGTAAGACATGAAAAGTCTTCAAAATCGTCAGTAAGTTAGTTTTACGTCTTAATCTTTCTCTCTCGTTCAGTCTGATTAAAACTGTTTTCTATTTGACTGCAACTGCCATTTTTAGTGATTCAGTAGGCCCTCGTCTGCTTACCTTACTAGATAATTTACGGGGTCTTTAAAAAATTAGCTTAAGTGGTCATTAGACTGTTCCCTCTTGTTGAAAGATCAGAGAAGTAAGGCAAGCTGTAAAATCAACTTTAAGACAACTATGCTGTTGATCGAGATAGTTTACAATGCTTTCAGCTATAGATTCATGAAAGTTTTGAAAATTCTCCTTATTCTTATAATATTTTTTGCCATCGCAAGGTTTGTCCCTTTCTCATTTTTCAAGATCTTTTAAATTATCTGATGCAAAAAAAAAGCGATGCATTGCTTTTGTGAACTTTCGGTAGGATGTGTTTTTAATTTTCTTGATCTGTAAAATTGAGACAGAAAGCAATTAAGGGCTGTAGTATAAATAAGAGCTATAAATCCACTTGCAAATTGCGCAAAAGATGTTTTTGTGTATTTGAATACTGTCTTCAACATGACGGCGTTTGGTTTTCTCTTTACATTTTTCTAATTTCACACTATCGTACGCGATATTTCTATGGGTAAAATGGTTTGCTTTTCCTCCCAAACACCAAAGTGAGACCACCCGGGTGCGAGGGTAATTCAACTGAAACCCTAGGCGAGAGCAATTGAAGCGAACACGATTAAGTATATGCAAACTGACTGATCTGAACATATTAAAGAGGAACTTTATAGTTTCTAGAGAAGCTGAGGTGTTGCGTCGATCGGAAAGTAAAACACAAACGTTTGGTTTTATCAACTAGATGGCCACCGTATTAAGCTACGGCCGTGGCCATTTTCTGTTACCAACTGGCTCAGTTAACAAGCCAAATTTTTATACAAACACCTGCTTTGCTGGGCAATGATAAATGGCGGAATTACTCGCTGGATTATTAAAGCTAGAGTTTAGAAATATGTTTAAAACTAAACGCAAAATCTATGCTTCAACGCTTTCTGATACCAGTTGTATTTGTATTTAGTTTAGTTGATGTACTGAGTATGGTATGAGGGCCACTCTCCCAGAGATTTGGCGAAATAAGGCAACACGAGTTATTTACTTTCATGGAAGAAGTTATATCTTGAGATGACTTTTAGGGAACAGGAGAATTTTTGAGTTTTTCAGGTAACCGGGGAACATTGAATCTCTACCTTTAATTGAAAGAGGATCCAACAGCATACTTTTACTAATCGGGCCCTTAACGAGGCGAATTTCTCAGTTAGTTGCGACTTGTTTGTGAGTGTACCAAGGCCTCATTTCAATATGTCTGGTGAAGAGTTTGTTTCGCGTGTTAAGCTTTAATTTATAGTTCAAATACCATTGGCTTGACTCGAACACCATTACGATTTTACTGTTCCGGAAGCTTTGGAAACTTGGCAAAATTGACTTTTGAGTATTATGTGGAATTACTTTATGGCCGGCACAAGGAAGGAACTTCAAATTATTGAAGGGACAGCAAGGGATGACATTGAATTTTAATGCCATAATTAAGACACATTAACAATAACAATACTTTTTAATGTTTGTTTTGGTTGTCTTAATTCAGGCATCCGTTTCCACTAAATAAGGATGAAGTTGAAATAGTGGATACGTAGCTAAAACTCAGTTTCAAGAGAAAAGTCATGAGCTTTTCGCGCGCTTTGCTTCTTATAACAAACCCAAAAGTTATAAAACCGTCCTTGTTGCGAACATATTTAATATATTTTTTTCCAGACATCTTGGCTGACCTCAAGCTTGGTCAATTATGCATATACATATATAAACGGTGATGGCTCAAGCTTGTAAACTTAACAGCATGTGTTATTAGAATTTTCTGCCAAATTGAATTACTACAATATAAGCTGACATAGGTAATTTGCAATGCACCGAAAACACCTGAAAAATCATTGAATAGACCACCGAGTTAGTTTTACCTGGTTCATTACATGCACAGTTCGACTATATGGTTTGAAAAACTACAAAACTCAGTGCTAAACCCCCATCCCATTTCTTCTCTGTCTGCTGGCCCGATGAAACGAGCCCATATTGTTTTTTTTGACGTCAGCTTTAACGAACAATTGACAAAACTCGCAGATGGGCTTTAAGTTATTAGTGAAAGACTTGAAAGACCCACGAGTCATATCACTTTCCACCCAAATTAACTAAAAGCAATATATAAATAAAGCAATCACTTGGATCTCAATGCATTGCTGACAAAAATGTTACCAGGGACAAACTTCACTGAAGATGAAAACCAGAAAACGTACTAAGAACTGGTCTGCTCGGCGGAATTTATCAGGGGTGTAGACGGCGAGCTTATTTTTATTTCAGCTCTAAATATTTTTCTGTCCATTACTGCATTTCTGGGAAACACTCTGATCCTAGTTGCCCTACACAAGGAAACTTCACTTCATCCGCCGTCCAAACTCCTGTATCGTAACCTGGCGATAACTGATCTTTGTGTTGGTATCATTGTGGAGCCTCTGTTTGTGACTTATTGGACTTCTGTCGTGAAAGAAAGATGGGATATTTGCTATCACGCAAGTTTGGCAGTAGTTTTCTCAGGTTATACTTTGTGTGGAGTGTCTTTAACAACTTTGACTGCAATAAGTGTGGACAGACTTCTCGCCTTGTTGCTGGGTCTCAGATACAGACAAGTTGTAACTTTCAGAAGAACATGTATTACTGTTTTTGGTTTTTGGATTTTGTCCATCGTTAGTTCATCTACTATATTTTGGAATCCTCATATACTACCTTGGTGTCAATACATAATTACAGCCCTGTGTCTAGTCACCACAATCTTCGCTTACACAAAAATTTCCTATACTCTGCGTCATAATCAAATACATGTTCAGAACCATGTTGCTCAAGGACAACCGAGCCAAGCAATTCCCGCACTGAACATAGCTCGATACAGAAAGGCGGTGTACAGTGCACTGTGGGTGCAGGGAACATTGGTTGTTTGTTATCTGCCGTTTTGCATCGTGGAGGCTTTGAGACCTCAAAGAGGCATTTCTTTATCCGTTTACCTTCCACGGCAATTTGCGATTACCTTAGTGTATTTGAACTCATCATTAAACCCATTGTTGTACTGCTGGAAGATCAGAGAAGTGAGGCAAGCTGTAAAAGAAACATTAAGGCAAATGTTCCGTTGTTAGAGTTAGTGTACTATACTTTTCCGCTGTATTATTATATTTATCAGTAACTATTAAAATTCATCCGAAAATTGCCGTTAAAGGGGCTATGTCAGCTGGAGAGCATGCGCTCTGAGGTTATGCAAATTACTTCCAACTGTCAAAATTCCATTGTTTTTAACGCGTGACTTTCTCCATGTGCGCTCTGAGGTTATGCAAATTACTTTCAACTGTCAAAATTCTATTGTGTTTAACGCGTGACTTTCTCCATTTTCTCTGTCCCGTCCAAGGCTCCGAATTTAGAGAGGTTAACAAGCGAAATGGGTTTAGGTAAGGGAAATTTCGATAGAATTTACGGAACGTTTCTTCTCTGGTTATGCTAGATCAAGAATAAAATTGTGACGACAATTTTACTTGTAGTTTTGGGGTAAAAACGCATGCCATTCATAAAATAGTGCGCAAATTCAACAACAGCATATTGTCTTATTCAACAAAATAAATCGAAGGTTGTATTTTACAAACGAGCTACAAAAGACGCTAGACCGAAGATAAAGACCGAGACTGTTTCAAATCATTAACAATTAGATTTGTCTGTCGCTAGTGATTTTATAATTTAGATGCTGATAGAACAAGAGACATCAAGTCTTTGTTTTGATCTTAGGGAAACATACATTATCGCGCAAAATTGTTCGATCGTGCCGAATCACTGCGACATCGAGAAAAACAGAACCAAGCATCATTGGTATACTACTCCACTATAAGCAGTCCGTTGATAAAAAGGGAAAGTAAACTCTGCTATTTTCCAAAAATATGCTCGAACACAAACAGTTCAAAAACATGGCATTTACAGGATGCAACTCGTACTAAGGTGCCTCTCTAAGTCCGTTGAGAACAATCTGGACGAGCAAACGGTCGTGTTTATCTTTGCCGTGAATCCAGATAAATACAAGAAGGAATCTAGCCGAATTTTATAATGTTTGTGTGAGATGACGTAATTGCAATTTAGAGAACTCGTGACCAGTGTCACGTGACTTGCAAGATCTTCGACAGCGTGCGACATGTGAAAGGTTTTAAAAAGTGCGGAAAGGGTTAAAAAACACTGTAACTGTCTGGACTTTGGGTCCATTACTTCCAGCATATTAAAGCGTTGTTTAAAATCAGTCGTTCGAGCCTGGCAACATTTTGGCGACCCTGCCAGGACGAACAGTTCGTGTGGAAATTCGTACTCACAAACAGATGTGATCGAAGGAAATTACCGATCGACTGCTTGGCTTGTGTATCATCTTCTGCGGTGGAATATATGTTGTTGATTCTGTGACAAGAAAGGTCTTACGGTAGTCGAAACAACCAAGATGAATTCAGAGCTCGAAGAACTGCAACTTCAAGTTGAGGGAGGAATTTGTAAGCTCCCGATATCGGAAATGGAGCAGCTAGCGGAGCACGTGGGCCTGGAATCAAAGGAATACAAAGGGAAAAGTAAGCTTGCCATGTCACGGATCGTTCGTTCGAAAGTCGAGGATGAGCTTGGAAAAGCCGAAGACAAGACTGAGTATCTCACAGCACTCCAGAATTTTATCTCTGGGACACCACCACCACTCGAAGAATCATCGAACAGCGAGGATCAAAACAAAGAATCTGTGAAAGCACTAATGACGGAATACGAAACTCTACGTAAACAATTCGAGGCAATGATGGCGTCTTGCAAAAAGAAAATGGAGGAGGCATCGGTAAAATTCGAGGACGAAAAATCGACTACGCCAGCTGCTACAACTTCAAAGCCAAAGGAAGGTAGCGTAGTGTCACTTGTAGATGTAAAAACTGCTCTTCGGAGAGATTTTAAGATTGTGGGTGTCATTGGAGGGGAGGAACAGAAGGACCGGTTGTCCTTCGTCAGTTTAATCCGCCAGATTGATACAGGGCTAGAGAAAGCATACAAAGAACGGGAGATTATTGACGGTGTTATCCGTGCTATCAGCCCCAGCTTAAAGTTAAGGTCATACTTAGAAACCATGAAGGAACTTACCCTGCCGAAATTAAGACAAATGTTACGAGCCCATTACAAACAGAAGTCGGGCACGGAACTATACCAAGAACTAACAACCATGTGCCAGTCACCAAAGGAAACTCCCCAAGACTTCTTAATCCGGGCCCTCGATATAAGGCAGCAGGTTCTCTTTGCATCCCAAGCTGGGAGTGGCACCGTGAAATATGAGCCTTCTCTAGTACACCCCCTGTTTCTACATGCTGTAGAGACCGGCCTGCAGGATGAAGCTGTCCGAAACAAACTGCGACCGTTCCTCCAGAAAGCAGAGATTACTGACGAAGAATTGATGGAACAAATCAATGTGGCTGTTTCTGAAGAGTCTGAGCGGAGGGGAAAGCTTGGCGCTTCTAACTACAAGAACCTAAGGGTGAATGTCTTGGAAGCAGACGGTGAAAAGGTCGAACCAGGAGGTCAGCGACAATCAAAGAAGGCTGGCACGAAAAAGGAACCGAAACCTGACAGGCCTGACAGACTCATGGTCACCTTGGAGGCTGTTCAATCGGATATTGCTGTCCTGAAAGAAGCTCTAGGTTCCCAGAATGCACCTGAAAGAGAAAGGGCTCGATACACGTATCCATATGACAACCAAAGGAGACGGCTCTGCGAAGCGTGCCAAAGGGCCAACCAATATTTCTGTGACCACTGTTTCCGCTGTGGTTCAAGTGACCATTTTGCACGAGGGTGTCGTAGGGGTGTGGCAGGAACTACCCATCAGGGAAACCGAAGGAGGCTGCAACCGCGGGACAGGGAGTAGCTGTTGACCACATAAAACAGTCCCATGTTTGTGTCAACTGTGGCAGGAAAGGGGTATCTCTAAAGCAATGTTCTTGTTGTCATTCGGTGCACTACTGTTCTCAGAAATGCCAAAGAGCCCACTGGAGGAGGCATAAGCAACTGTGTAGCGCCATCAAGTATCTATCAAACCAGGAGAGAAAGGATGTTACTGGCGATGGCATGTATGTTAGTCACCTAACACCGAATCAACACGCCAAAGTAGTTAAATTGGTGGGAAAGAGATGTATGGTTCAGTGTGTTATGAACAATGTTCAGACTGAAGCTCTGTGGGACACCGGTGCCCAAGTTTCTATTGTTTCTAAGGATTGGGTTGCTCAGAACCTGCCCACAGCTGAGAGACGCCAAATTAACGAACTGTTAGATAAAGGACTTGATCTGAAAGCTGCCAATGGTAGTGAAATCCCATATGAAGGCTGGATTGAAGTTTCATTCAAACTTGCGACCTCGGACGACAAACCTGGTATGTCAGTACCCTTCCTGATTTCTACGGATCCTTTGGACCACCCTATTGTCGGATACAATGTCATTGAAGAAATTGTTAAAACCCGGATAGTCATTTTCGTAACAGCCATGAAGAGACACTACTCAGCGCCCTTAACTCTAGCCTTCCGAATGCAAAGCAAGAGAATGTTGAAGCTTTGATTAATCTCATTAGGACAACCACTCCAAGTGAACTGTGTAGCGTGAAAGTAACGAAAAGAGATGTGTTAGTTCCGAAGAATGAGACAATGGTAGTCACTTGCTCCGCGAATACTGGCCCAATCGAATCAAGATTTCCAGTATTGTTCGAACCAGATGTTGAGTCACCTTGGCCATCAGGGCTTGAAGTCCCAGAAACATTAGTAACGCTCAGAGGTGGCGCTTCATCACGAGTTGGCATTCAAGTGAGAAATATCACAGACCATGACATCATCTTGAAAAACAGGACGGTATTAGGCAAACTTGAACTAATTAAATCCGTAACACCGCTTGAAGTACGGAAGAGAGAGGAGGAGGAAAGTTCAGCAGACTGTGTTCTTCATGCAGACAAGTTATTGGCAGAGGATGAACAGCAGAGAAGGAAACCTCAAGCGCCTGTTATGCAGGGATGTCAAAGTGAGACTAGTAATCCACTTCCAGATGTGGATTTAGGAGACCTGTCAAGAGATCAGAAAACTGTAGTATTGAACATGTTAAGAGAGGAAGCAGACTCCTTTTCGAAAAATGATGAGGATGTAGGGTGCGCAGAAGGTCTACAGCTCAATATTAACTTGTCAGACAGTCGTCCAGTTCAGAAGAACTACACAGCAGTGCCAAAGCCCTTGTACCCAGAAGTTAAACAATATGTTGAAGATTTACTCAATCGTGGATGGGTGCGGAAGTCTCGTTCGGCATACTCGTCACCAGTGGTATGTGTTAGGAAAAGGATGGTTCTCTGCGACTATGTGTGGACTTTCGTGAGCTGAACAAGAGAACAGAACCCGACCGACACCCACTTCCACGTGTACAAACGACGATCGAGAATTTGGGGAAACAAGTGGTTTTCTTTTTAGACCAAGGCAAGGCTTACCACCAGGGATTTGTTAACCCTCAGTGCCAACATATGACTGCATTTGTGACGCCTTGGGGTCTTTACGAGTGGGTTCGGATCCCGTTCGGTCTCAGGAACGCTCCGGCAGAATTTCAAAGATACATGGAAAACTGTCTAGACGGACTCAGGGATAATATTTGTGTGCCTTACCTGGACGATGTGATTGTCTTTAGTAAGACTTTCGACGAACACGTAGAAAATTTACGAACAGTTTTGCGGAGGCTGCGTTCACATGGAATAAAGCTTAAAGCCAAAAAGTGCAAGTTGTTTCAGAGAGAGTTAATTATCTGGGCAGAGTTGTATCGGCAGATGGATATCGAGTTGATCCTTCAAACACCAAAGCGGTTCTTGCACTGAAAGAAACTAGTCCGAAAACGGTTGGAGACGTCCGGAAACTCTTGGGCTTGTTGGGATACTACCGCAGGTACATCCAGGACTTCTCGAGGGTTGCGCAACCGCTATTCAAACTCCTGAAAACACCAGAGATTAATGGTAAGAGACCTCCGATGGAAACAGCAAGGCGTGGTCAGAAAGGACATGGGACACAAGCACAATCTAACCGTACCATCTATTGGACACAGGAACACCAAGGGGCGTTGGAGAGACTTTTGGACT